ATATATTCTGGACAGATAAGGTATCTGCTACCTGGGAATTGCGATGAATGACAATACGCATTTCCACAGATGAGGGCCAAGCATGCCATCAAGATACGTAGGTCTTATCTCACCCCCGGTGTATTTCGTTCATTGGAAAGGCTGCCCGGCTCTCTCCTTAAGAATACCGCATACAGGGTGCCTTTTCAAACCACTTCGACGAAAAACCATTGAATATAAGTATAATTGGGGAGTAGGAAGTTTCAAGAGCAGCTTTACCTCAACCAAAATGGACCATCAGCGCACTAAGTGGTTGTTTGAATCGGAGGTCCTTTGCTCCTGTTTATAATGGAAATACCCCGGTCCTAAGGCTATCCGTTAAACATCTCGAACGGGGGGAAGATAGTTGCTCGATGTGAAGAGTAATACAGCTAATGAACATGATTTTAGCAATTGTGCTGGCTTTCACAAGATGTCCAGTGGGGTTTCAATTTGGGGATGAAGCAACCAGGAGACAACCTGGGTTAAATGTGGCTTTCCACGAGAAACGCCAACTGGGTATAACAAGGCTAGCTTCTCAGCCATCAACACATATAACGAGTAGACGGTGATTGAGGGGAACTGACCATCTGACTGCGTCTCGAAAATGATCTGGAGAGGGCTACGTAACGAACGGTATTCAGTCAATGCCGTTTTCAGCTCGGGTATCCCCAACCCCGAGGAACTAAGAGAGAAAACGGCGTCATGGTACCTCTGCTTCCATACTTGTAATTATATCTTAGTACTCACCATGACAATACGATAGATTGTCTTTTATAGCGAGATATAACGGATTCACCCGCCTCCTGGGGTAGGCCCGAGGGCTGATGCATAATTGATGAGGGGATACTTGGCTTGGGCATGGATGCAGAGGGCCAAAGTCTATTATAGGGATAGAGAACGAATTGTACCGAGTTACAGATGGCTGGTGGACTAGTGTCCATGCAGTGAGCCTGTATGCCCGACAGTCTGGATGCCGCGCGGACGGTAAGTAGGTGAGAGAATGCACAGCAACAATGGCTTCTTTGAAGTTGGAGGTCTTGGCCTGTCAGTATCGAGTCCTTTGCGCGAGGGCCACTAGCTGCAGGCAAAACTAGCGGTAAAGCAGCTAAGAGCTGAGTGGCTATAAATCCGGAGTTTGGTGACAAACAACCTGGCCATCGATGTATTTTGGAGTTTCGAGAACGAAGAAATCGTCTTCTTGCCCACCGAAAAGCTGAAAACACGCAATATTTTGGTAGCAGTTTTATTAACCAAAAGGCAGATAAATCGAAAATACAAACAGACAACACAAAAACAATTTAATCATGTAAATGTCAAAATAGCGCACGGCCATTCTTCTTTGGTGGGCTGCGAGTCATAACCGCGGTCGATTTGAGGTGTCAACAACATTACCTGTAAAATTTCAGTCGTCTTCCAAAGAATCAGACGAAATATTGCCCTGCCCCGCTGGATCAGGCATTACCACGCTGTTCAAATACGTGACCTGTGGTTGATGACCCTGATTAGCTCTTTTCCCTCTCACAAAGTACGTACATGGATGGAGGGTTGGAGAGTCTTAAAAACTTCATCTGCATGATGATTTGTGAATGTGGATGCCGTTCTGGACTTAACCACAGCAGACAGCTGGGAAAGGAAGGCGAGCGGGCGCTAGGGAGAGGGGAAATGGACAGATACAGAGTGCGAGGATCCATTGCACGCAATTCACGGCCGAATCGGGGGAAAGCCAGAAGCCGGGTGCATATCGAGGAGAAAGGACGGCTTACAAATGGTTCCATGATGCCAATGAGAGCGGTGATTTTATCCTGGGCATCAGGACTCAAGAGATCAGCGTCTGGAAGCCGTTTGCCAATAGTGAAACTGCGTAAACGGAGGAGCTGGATATTCTTATTGTCGTATTCATATCCCTGAGAAAAAGGAGACGAGTCAGCTCTTGTAATAAATGGATGTTCCAAATCAAATTCGACGTAATCTCGGGTGAGGGTGGGAGACTAGAGAGATGGTGAACCATGGAAAGCGAATAGACGGCGCAAGCGCCTTTCCGAACCGGGTAGGAAGAGAGGAACAGCCAAAACCCGCCGGAGAAGCCCCAAGACAAGGCTCTTTCTGGCTAGCCAGAGGCCGGGCTCAAGGCTCCAGGGTGGGAAAGGGAGAGCCAGACACGGCCCGAGAAGGGTCGCCCATCCGCAATTGCACTTGAAAGCTGGAACATCAACAATAATGCAGTGTATGCGGGAGCACACTTGTATTATTGTCGCAAGACACGTTCAAGCCACGAAGTCTCTTCGTCCCTATCTTTCTTAGTCAATCCATGTCTTTGGATCCCCATTGGATAGGTGTGATGCCCATCGCCGAGCATCATGGTCGACCAGTCAAAGGCGAGGCTGAGATTGCCGTTGCGGCATTCTCCTGAATACCAACGCTGTCATTGCCTTCGAGACTTAGATAAAGCCTTACTGTCTTCTAATCGCTCCTTATTCAATGATGAACAGAGCCAAACAGATGATAATGTGCGATGAAGCAGGATTGCCCGAACCCACGATAGACTGACGCGCCCGAAAGACGTGACGGCCATACCGGCAGCCTCGAGACCTTTACCACTCGCTGACTTACGTTTCGAGAGGAGATAATTCAGTTTATCGGGGATGTGAAAACGTGAGACCGGTAGTCTCTCGTCTTAAACAATAGGGAATACGTGATGAAAGAGGTTCTTACCTTGGGCTTTGTTTTAAGCGCACTTTCGCTGTTTTGGCTAACAAAAGCCTCTATAGCTTTGTCTTCATCGTCAGGTATACCATCGAAGAATTCTCGTCGCATGCCGTGTTCCCTGAGAACCGTCTTTAAACCTTGCGAGTTCCCATCGATGTCGTCTCGAAGAAGCGCCAGCTTATCAGCTTCTGGATGCCAGAGCCCCGACCCTAGAACAAAACAAAGACTGTTAGAATATACTGTGACGGATATGATGGTACACGGGGTGGTAATATTTGGACTGCAACTCTTAAGGAGTTTGTTCTCTATTTTGCGGAAGTGCAAGTAGAGAAAGCAACGTATCCTCAAGCATGTGCCCGGCGCAGGAAAGAACAATCAGCGGCGATAAGACAGGAAAGACAAAGTCCACGCCCATGAAAAAAAAAAAAAAAAAAATAATTACATAGCGAAGGAAAGGATGACCAGCGTGTTTGTGAATTGGGGGGCGCTTATTGTGTATAACTCACCAACGAAGCTGGCTCCTGGTTGGCAGTGGACATAATATGCAGCGTAAGGACCTTTTTTGCCAGTGCGGGACCTGTTTACCACCTCAGCTAATGACCATTTCGTAGCAGTAAATATCTACCTACCAAGCAGCCGAGAAGTGTGTCTGCTCCGTGCAGTGGAGGTCAATTATACATTGTGCTTTAAGAATTTCACACGGCGCGCCGAGATGTGTAAGGAAACCAACATACCTTATATGGTGTAGGATCCTTACTGAACCTAATGTCCCTATGTATACGAAAGACCTTAATTAGTGTTAGTACATCTGCCCTTGTTCATTTTCTTTAGACGAGTCTTACCAAGTCTTTTGCAGGTAGCTCCGGGATGGTGCTATCCTTCTCAGTGACCTTCTCCGTTAATGTCTCAACAAAAGTGTCCCAATCTTTTTTTGAAGAGCGATAATCCGCATCGTGGGCTACCAGCCGTGTTCATATCAGTAATGGACCTCAAGGAATGAAACGCGGGGCAGCAGTGCATATGGTTACCTTTAAGCCACTGCCTTTCGTTATTTTTGGCCAGGTCTTTCAGAAATAATATGGTGTTGGGATGTAGGGTATTATCCTCATATGGAACGTCTCCCGGGTCCCTTGCTTTGGGCTTCTCGATGAAGACCTCTCTCCCAGGCCCAAGGCCGGTCTTGACACCTTCTCTCCATAAATCCTTCTTTTCCGAAGACCCTGGTGCATCTGATTTGGTCGCACGGTTGTTCTCGAAGTCTTTCACGGCTTGTGAGATTTCTTCTTTACCGGCCGTGGATGACTGCTCTGGTTGCCAAAAGTCCGAGTCTGCGTCTGATGAATCCCCGGGTTCTTCGTCTTCATAGTCATCCTGTGGCTTAGTCGCGCGCTTTGCGTTGCGCTTCGGCTTTTTTGCTTCGTCTTTCTGGAAATACTTGCTTTTCCTGGTGGTGGATTTCACGGATTTGTCAGGGGCGCTTGAATCGTACTTTTGTTTCTTTAGCGCCGCATTTGAAGCCCCAGCAACTCTGGCAGAGGCGCGCCTTTTGGGTGCCGATTCTGGAGCCTCTTTTGCGGGAGCGGCCCGGGTCGATCGAGGAGGCATAGCGGGATGGGTAGTTAGTTTTCCGCGCGTCTGCGGTGTTGAACTCAAGTTACCTCCGTATAGCGAATATAATATGACCGGAGTTGGTCCTGCAGACACGGTTGCTACTGGGTGAAGAAAAGCGCAATACGAATGAGACGAGATGGATGGCAGCGTTTTTGAACCGTCTTTGTGGCTCCTCCGCTGTTCTTCAAGGCGCCTGGCTGCCGCTGGCTAGTTGCCGATTGAGTTCAGGCGGTTCGAGCGTTTCAACATTTGAATGACGAACTTGCGACCAAGGGGCTGGTAGCTTCTGGGGCAGTTACCGCGTGGAAGGGGCGAGATCCCGGCAGGACCACTCGCAATCAACTAGTGTCGACCCCACCAAGGACTTTTCCTGAAGGATTTTCGGGTCAAGCACCGCCAGAAAGACTTCTTCAAAGAATGCGGGATATTTCTATTTCGGTATATTGAAGTGGGACTGTCTTATTGCAAGGCATACCTATGCTGATGTCTCTTTGTATATCTTCTTTGTATTCCCTTTAGAGTTCCGTCGACCTTTTTTTCTTTGGCTCGGGCAAAAATATTGCGGGAAGGTGTACAATTTGATCAACGAGGGACCGGTCCCATACTTCTCTAAGCAAGTGCTCCCTATTTCAAAGGGGGGCACAATATTAGCAAAGCCGATCATGGATGAAAAAAAACCGACGAGGGATGAAATTATTCCACCTGTCTTCATATCTCGCAAGAACAAGATCCTCGCTGATCTTTCAGCTCCAGCAGAAGAATACTCAGATCTCTCACCCAAGGGCTCTGTGGATGAAGGAATTCACGACCTCATCCAAGATATCAACACTCTGCCTGGTTTAGTGACGACGAGCAGCTGTGCTGGTCGAATTAGTGTGTTTTTGGAGGGGAGACGTGTTCCAAATCCGCCTGAAGAGATCTCGCAAGCTAGCGAGCAGAGGAAGTTCGTACCCTCCGGCGGCAAGGGAGCGGGGAAATGGTTATATGTCTCGCATGAACCGCTGGACATGGACAATGGCTCAGAGAACAAAGAGAAGTCATTGCATGAGACGTTTGGAATGACCCCTGGAGATGGGAAGCCGCCAGGTGTAGAAGAAAGCCAGGGTCACGCCCCACGTCTTGTGCGCTTCCATTTCGAACCCTTGGTGAGTTTACTCTCTGGACATTATGTATTCCTTGCTTAGATGACCTTAAACGGCATATCCCCCCCGTCCGCCCCTCCTGAATTGTTCAATCGGCTACCATTATATGGTGTCGAGTATTTGATTTTTTCCATATCTCCCAGTAATAAAGTGTTGCGTTTCTTAAACAACAATTATGCTGATATGACCCTTGCAGATCCTCCATATCATGGCTGCCACTCTGTATCACGCCCAGCCAGTTCTCTCAGCGGCATCAAGTTCAGGGTTCCGTGAAAGCGGGCTCCAAGGTCTCCGCTGTTTAGAGGGCGATAGCGGACCTAGCCCAATTGTCGCCGTCCGATCTGCAGGGCTTGCATTGGAATCTATCATAGGATATTGTGAAGATGGAGGGGATGAACCGGTTATCCGGAGTTTGGTGTCGGAGGAGTACCTCCGAATGCTTGTTAACATGTCGAACGAGCGTTTTTCGGTGAATTCGGAGCGTAAGGAACGATTCAGAACGGCCATTTTGCATGGTTTCTCTATAGGCAGCCCCAACAGCACAAAGTCGAAGGGGAAGACGAGACCTGGATGGGAGGATCCAGAGACGCGGAAGGAGAGGAAGAGGGCGGAAGGTTTGATGAGGAAGAAGGTTCTTGAGGGTCAGGCTACGCACGCTATGGGCCAAAATACAGACCATGAAGATGAGGTAGGAATATGGCATTCGTTAGATACAGAGGCCTCATAAAAAGGAAACACTGACTACAAAAGCCATTTCAATTGTATCGGACCGATACCAAACCTCAAACCCCACAAAGGGACAAGACTGTCTTCCAGAGACAGGCATAGGAACGCAACCAACGAGTATAACAAAACGATAACGTAAACCACTATTCATGATTCCCAAGTATTCTTCCAATTCAAATTCATAACTATGATATCGTAGACTTGATAGTTGCCAATTGACTTTGTTCACGGACCTGTCGACATCGTCTAATAGCGTGATATTTGATCATATCATATAGCGAATCTGAAAGAATTCTCAAAGGAGAAACATAATGGTTGGCATGGCGATAGATGTAGGAGAACATTCAATGGCCTGCGCTATCATGCTGAACGTTGGTCAGCATGAGCTGGAGAAGAATCAAATGCTGAAAAGAGCCAAAGAATAGAGTTACAAGGACGGTGGTTCACATACCTCCCCATCATTCGGAACTTAGATCCCCCCAGGGGTTGGTAGTGGGTGACGGAAGACACATGGGAGACGATTGGGTGTTACGGTGGCCACGGCGATGTCCACTAGGGGGATACAACAGCAACCTATGATTCCAAGTGTTTCTGGCCTTTCCAGAGCTGACAACGCCGCCTATTCCCACAGACTCACTCGCGCGGCGGAAGTGGGAGACGTGGGCATCAGAATGGGACAACATTTGGCTTCTCTCAGTGTCACTGGGCGAAAGGCGCAATATACGGCCATTACCGGGGGTGAGTGATAGTGATGACTCTCCATATACTCTTCTGTCGTTAAAGAGATTGTTCATGTCGTCATTCATCCATCCATTAAAGACCAGAGTGCAGAGAATGACCATTTCGTGATGGACAGCTGTCTCCCAACTGATTTGGGAGGCAGACTGGGGCCATTCAAACCAGATTTGACCAAAGGGAGAACGAAGGGCAGGAACATCCTTCGGAAATGTGTTAGACAATCCCATGGTTTCAAACTCGTGTTCGCTGCCCTGCGAAATGAGCGTTATGAAGTACTAGCAAATTAGTACTTGATATAAAAGACTTAACAACAGCAGGGGCTCTCACTGTATAGATGTCCTCATTGAAATTAGGCTTCCTAGCAAGACTATCAAATGGAAACCATTTGCTAGTTTCCGGTAACCTGATTATTTCGCTTGAAATCTCGGAATTGATGCACAGAGTATATTTCTGCCGCTCATTGAAAGCTGGGCATTTGAGACCCGCCTGGAGCAGATCATTGAGTAGTTTCTGATCAAGGCCAACGGTATTGACTCTCTGGATACGAGAAACGAGAGATTGTATGTGACGGTTGACCAACTCAAACAACTGATTACGATCATGCACCGTGTAACACTGGGGAGCGTACCAAGGAAACTATATTGACAACAAAAGTGATTAGTTCAATCCATGACAAATTAACTTGAACAATAAAGCTAACAGTGGAGTTTTTACCTTGTGGAGTGTACTTATAGTGGACTCGTAAGTGCGTTGCGGACATTTGTCACAGAAGGGAGACTAAAAGGGTTGTGTTAAGTCATTGCCCCTATAGGAGTAGCCAAGGACGACGTTTATAGCTTACACGATGAGGTATTTCTGCATGACGAATGGCCAAAATTATTTCCTCCGCGGTGAAGAAACCAGTAAAGCCTGAGCAATAAGGGTCTCTGTTTTCTTGGGGATATGGCATACCGCCCCTCCAGACAATGCACTTTGCACGCGGGAACAAGTCTTTCAAAAGCTCATTCTGGTCAGTCAGATCAACATCAACATGGCGATTACCAAGACGAGGCGGACGTCCAGACTCGTAGATACGGTTGATGCGATTAGCGGTTTCTCTGGCGTCGGCATGGGTCTGAAACTCGGCATAACAGTCCATCGTCTTAGCGGTGGATCTTTCCATAATGATATGGATCGGACAGCCTTGCTCTGGAGTAATTAGGCGTGCCTGGCGACCGAGAAACTGGAGTATTTCCTGCTTTGTTATGGAGTAGGGAATCTATGTCCCAGTAAGTCAAGGTTAAAACGATATTACGAAGGTTCTTACGTTCGAAATCTTAACAACACCAAAAGAAGGAGGCTCTCTGAAGTCAACAAGACTACCAATTGGCATTTCACTCGGGTTGGTAGCTTTGTCAACGCTTTCCCTATATCCAGCAATGGCTTGAGCGCTCATAGATGGTTCCTGAACCTCAAGTTTGTTCAGTTGCTGTATCAGCGAAGAAGTCGCACGGCGAGTCACTGGGGATACAATCTCGGTCTGGCGGGGTTGGTGGGGAAGTTGAGCAGTCATCGAAGGTTGAGAGTAGGCAAGTGAGCCATAGGAATTCTTGTTGGGCCTAGGAAGGACCTGACTCGACATGTTCAAAGACTGGAGAGCAGGGACCTGGGAACCAGTAGAAATGCTATCGTTTGGATGAGGAGTGTTACTGTTTAGAATGGCCAATCTGTCCTCGAACCTCTGGCTGGAGCTACCAGGCACGAAAGCCGGTGAGTAAGGATTCATGTCGGACTCAGGAAGGATATTTTCTGTCTAGAGAGCCCCGGAGAGAAGGTGATGGGATGGTGAGGTGGAGAAATAGAAGGAGAGGGCGAAGTTGAGGAACGAGAGGAGAATGGATCTAAAGTGAGAGAAACACTTTAGAACTGCCTGGTGATCCTACATGCCGAGACAATGATTAGTCGGCGAGATCCTCTCCAGGAGAGTGAATTGTTATTTGAGGGGTTAGATTCTGAAACTATTATATCCTATATTGCGTGAACTGAGGCACTAGAAGGAGTTGAAAGACAAGTACTACCATCATAAACTAGTCCAGAGATAATAAAAAAGTGCACTATAAGCTTACTACCTATAACATCATAGAGCTAAACAGATATTCAGAGCACAGAATTCAAAAGGCATCCCTACTTTGATTAATTATCTTGGTTGAGAGAGTGACAAAGGAGCGCCAGTCATGGAACTATAAAGAACAAGCCCTATTTAACAGGTATTGGGATTAGGTGGGCCATGACAGAATACATGCACATGTATGGAGAGCATACAGTTTCAATTCAAGAGCCGAGCACAAGACATGGTACCCAGTCAGATTACGTTTAGGTAGCCTATTATATTTTCATATATCTGCAGGAGCCTCATACTTGGGTGGCTGGAGTCAACTCCAAAGAGTCCAGGTTGAATCTTGGCAACAATTATATCGATTGGTAGATGTTCGGTCTCTAAAGGAAAATCTCACAAGGATAATGAAATAAACAAATGAGACAGACTCCTGATACTTTACAAAAACACACGGTGAGTACGGTGTATAGAATGTAAAACATTTTTCAATCAAGATCTTGTAGACTAGTCGGATAATCAACTAAGTATGGAATCTGAATTCCAACGAAGTACTCGCTCTCGTTAATATTTATGATATTTAGTTCAAGGAAGCCTCAAACCCGGGGACAGACGCGAATCAACAATGCTTTAGCCGGCAGAATAAACCCAATTCATCCCAGACAATTTGTACACCTACCTAAGCGGGGTACCTTGAGGATCTGGATGCTGATTTGGTGTATCATAAATGGAATGACCTAGTCAAACTGCGCCGTTATAGTTAGAACGGGGATGCCTTTTGACGAAGTTAATTAAAAGTACTTACCGGTGTCAGGAAAGATTCAGCAACGAATCGAGCGCGCGCGTTCAACTGCGAAGTATTAGCACGGGGTTTAAGAGACATATGGGCGGAAGGCGAGAGAACGTACGAAAAGCTTCATCTCAGAAATCTCCTTATCAACCTCCTCCATGAACTGAAGGATGAAGTCAACCAATTTGTGCTTCAGCATTGCTTCCGTGTGGAAGTTCGTAATGAGGAAAGAGATGTCGTAGCCCTGCTCATTCGTTAGTCCCGATTGAGTCTTAAGTAAAGCTATAATACCCATACCTTCACAGGCTTTCTCCGCAGTATAAAAAAGGACTCAGCACGTTGGGTCAGGAAACGGCCGAATTTATGCACAAGAACTGGATAAAGGTTAGTATACAAATCAACTGGCTTCTTGATGCCAGCGCAAGCTTACTATGTTCGATTTCATCCGCCTGTTTTATCCGGATGCTAACGCGCACACTATTCACGCTAGGTTCGATTAAGACTTTCTCGTTCTCGTTTCGTGAGACCGTCAGAGGGTTAAGGAGAAGTTCGGGGGAGCTCCCGGCTTCGATTTCAGGCACATTATGTCGCTCGGAGGTTTGGGACGCGAAGTTAGAGATAGCAAGGGCGGCGGTCAGCGAGGACCGAACGCATTGGAGATAAGGACGCAATGATTGAGACTTTGTTCGTTAGACAGAAAGCTAGGGGCGCTTGGTTCATTCATTACCTACCATAATGAGGGGTGACGTATAATGCCACTATCGGGGGGTTGGTGGGTTCAAGGAGCGAGCAAACGGGTGTAGACTTCACCACTGTTTGCTCAGACAGAATAGTAATCCCACAAGTCCAGCTTCTAGGACATCAATTCGACCGTTTCAGGCGTCTGTTCGAAGGCGAGCGGAGGAGACCAGTATGTTGAGTGGTCAGCCCCGGAGGACGGGCAACGTCCCGCAATGTCGCCTGGAGATGTTTGTTGTGTTTGCAGTCATAGCCCCACGCCTCCCAAGGAAGCTGACAATCAATCACCCATGTATTTACGCCACGCACCCCCCTACAAAAGCTTCAAAAGGAGCCGGCATTAACACTCGGGACATCCCAAGACGATAAAAATGGCTTCTATACCAGGTCCGTCTCTCAATTACATTGATACCGCTGTCGACGGTTAAGGACCAAGCTAATCCCACACCGCAGTTATCGTCAAGCATCAAGGAAAGCGCTACGATGTCGAGCTCGATCCATCTTCCAACGGCGAGACCTTCAAATTTCAACTATATTCCCTTACGGGTGTTGAGCCTGAGCGGCAGAAGATCCTGGTGAAAGGAGGCCAGCTAAAAGATGATACCTTGCTCTCGTCCCTCAATGCGAAACCGAAGCAGACGTTCATGATGATGGGCACTCCTTCCGGAGGCCAGGGTGTTGGAGACTTATCACGTCCAAAGGAAGCTGTGAAGTTTTTGGAGGACATGACGGAAGCGGAGGCTGCAAGGGCAGTGGGAGCAACCCCGGCTGGACTACAGAACCTCGGGAATACGTGCTATCTCAACTCAACTTTGCAAACCCTGAGGAGTGTTCCGGAGCTTCACCAAGAACTTCAGAAGTATCGCCCATCAAGAAGCACTGGTGGTTCCAATCTTTCCAATCTTAGCGACTTCGGTCTGGGAGGACTGGGTGCTTCCATGGACCTCACTTCCTCGCTAAAGGATCTGTTCAAGCAGATGTCAGAAACCCAAGAAGGTTTTCCACCACTCATCTTCCTCAACGCCTTACGAAACGTCTATCCCCAGTTCGCTCAGCAGGATCGAAACGGGCATGGGTATGCCCAACAAGATGCGGAGGAGGCCTGGTCACAGATCGTAGCGCAGTTGAGGCAAAAGTTGATGGTCAAAGATGGTGAAGGAGAATCGGCCTCGGAGATTTCATTCGTGGATAAATATCTCGGCGGAAAATTCGAGTCGGTCACTGAGTGTGATGAACCGGCGGCAAAGGAGGTCGGTGAGCAACCCAACGAGAGTTCTGATGTGTTCTATAAACTCGACTGTCACATCGACAAGGATACGAACCATTTGCATGATGGTATACTTGCAGGCCTTGAAGAAAAGATTGAAAAGCGTTCTCCTACCTTGGACCGCGATGCTGTTTACACGAAGCGCTCACGCATCGCACGGCTGCCGAAATATCTGACGGTTCATTTTGTTCGATTTTTCTGGAAACGCGATGCGCAAAAGAAAGCCAAGATCATGCGCAAAGTCACGTTCCCTGCCGAGCTTGACGTGGTCGACTTCTGTACCGACGAACTCAAGAGTCTGGTGATCCCCGTTCGCGATAAAGTCCGGGAGATTCGAAAGGAGGAGCTTGACTTTGAGCGCTCTCGGAAACGTCAAAAGGTTTCCCACCAAAGAGAAGAAGAGGCGAAGAGCGAGGAACCCTCTGCCTTAGAGCCAATGCAGAAGAAAAAGGCTACTGAAGAGCGCAAGGAGGAAGCGAAAAACGGAAAGGATGAAGATACGGCAATGGTCGACTCTTACAAGACTGATGCCGAATACGAGGCGGAGAAGAGCGCCTCTATTCTTGCAGCTAAGAAGGAGCTGGCCGAGCTTCTCAACCCGAAGCTGGCTGCAGATAACGGCACTAACAAGACTGGGCTGTACGAGCTGAGAGGTGTTATTACGCATCAAGGTGCTAGTGCAGATAGCGGTCATTATACCTCGTATGTTAAGAAGCAGAGCGAGGGTAAGGACGACAATGACGACAAGTGGTGGTGGTTCAACGATGACAAGGTGACCGAGGTAGAGGGATCGAAGATTGAGACTCTGTCTGGAGGTGGTAAGTGTTACTCTTTTCTTTCTGCCCGTACCCTACCTATTACTGTTTCCATCCGATAGAGAAGACCCGTGGCTAACACACTTTGTAGGTGAATCTCATTCGGCACTTATCCTTCTTTACCGTGCTGTTGATTTGCCGGTTCCTGAGTAAAGCTGTGCTCTGGATCGGGTACATCTGGGTCAATAATACCACTTAGCCGATATCATTTCATCTGATAAAAAGGATGTCACGGAATTGCTTTTGACGGGAGTCATTGATGGTTATACCTCTATAGAAGCGGTAATCGGAGACAGATCGGATAATAGTTCTAAGAGTGGCGTACTTAGAAGCATACTATGGTAAATAAAGAGATGTACCTAAGTCCGTAATTGCGGTTTCTGCTTAACCACCTCCATAATCATTAATCGGGCCATTGATACTAAGTGGTACGGTGCCCGATATAGATCAATATCCAGAACAGGGCAATAGACCCAGGCGCATCACGTGATCCGAGCCTCGGTTGAAGTCCGCGACTGCCGATAAGCTGTTAAGCTTTCAAATTGTTGAGACGACACATTGAACATTCAGCGTGCAATGTGACAGCCATGATCGGGGTTCGTCAGGCTATACATCCCCGGCTGCGCTATGCCGCAGCTCAGTTTCATCCGTTACCGCGATTGTCACTCCGTACCACGAGGAATGTTGGTACGATTGCCCACGGACACACCCCTGCACGCTCCCAATGGCCGCGCCGGTTCGCCTACCTGGGGATCTTTGGGGCAGTTGGCGCCTATTTGGGGCATAGCTTTGGAGGATTAGACCCGCCTCCGGTGCCGGGGTCAGATGTTGATATACTTCTAATGGAGGACGTTGCTAAGATGTTCGACAAATTACCTCTCGTGAGGCGGCTGCGGGCGGATGCAGATTACGTCGAGGCGCACGTTTACGGTAACTATTCGGACGAAGATAAAGAGCAACGGCTTACGTCTGGACCCTTCCGTGGTAGCGGAAGGCTGGCAATTCAGGTGTGTGATTTCTGTTTTACCATGCTCTTATCCAGAAATGCGCCGCCAAGTTCACGGGTGCTCAGCTTCGGGCTTTTGGATGAAGTACCGACTTGAGGAAGTGCCGGTGGACAGAGCTCAGCCTCGAAAAGCTGGTCCATTCTTGCTAACTAATTGGCCCGTACAGAAAGTCTTTTGGAATCATAAAGAGAAGCAAGCCATCAATGTCGTATTCGCCGGAAAGGGTATTGAAGGATGGCCATATGTTGTCCATGGCGGCGCCATTGCCACTCTACTTGACGAACACCTAGCGCGAGTTGCAATTCAGAATCTGCCTGAGCGTACCGCGGTCACTGCGAACCTGGATATCAACTACCGAAACATGGCCATCTCCAACAGCTTTTTCTCTGTTCACGCGACCTTGGATCAAGAACGGAGCACAGAACGGAAGGCTTACATTAAAGGCGAAGTGCGCGATATTAAAGGAAACGTCTGTGCCGATGCCACTGGACTTTTTGTGGTTCCCCGAGGATATAAGCTGCGGAGATTAGGAGATACGTACTAATTTTCGATTTCGACCCTGGGTGTATCTGACGACCGGCCCACAATAACACAGCCATCGGAAATTCTGAGCCCTGGCCCTTCAATGGATATGTTTGGGAACCAATAGAGCGAATCTAGCCGTGGAAGAGGTATTTGGGGTATCCTCAGTAGCTGCAAGAGGGCTTCCACTACAATACGACCCATTGGAGCCTCCTCATTTCCAACCTAGGTAACTGGTGAGCTCTCGGTATATACTTGTAGATAGGTTAGATGGGTCGTTTAAATCCCCCATTGACCGAAGGCAACACCCCAGACCCTTGGAACCGTTTAGCTCGTAAAGCATAGCAACGCAAGCGAGTTGATTTGGCCCCTCTTCATGACAGGTCTTTGGCTTCGACTAGCCACGGCCTAGGTAGCTCTAAAGTCGGCGCAGCCCCCGTCATTGGATGCGGCCACCCCGGACTCTTGTCTCCACGTTTTCGATGATGCTAAGTTTCTGGAATCCCCGCATCCCCGGCTTTTATGGTCGCTCTCTCCTCCAACCACAATCGTTGCTCCCTTCTGTCGGCAATGAAGCAGTCCAGATCTTCGAGCTTTGCCTCGGCCTGCTGAAAGAGGCGTTACAGCCGGCTGGCTGTTTCAGCTCTCTCCTGTAGTATCACTTCGATATTCCCTCATTCTTGTCACGATCCGCACACCAAGATACCATCTCCACACTGTGGACCCAATATACAAGCATCAGACTCCGCGGCAAAAAAGAGGGGCTGGCCTGCTTGTTTTTCCTTATAGTCCGTGTAACCCGCTTCAATATATGTGCGTGCAGCTGTGGGGCCTCGAAGGACTCTACACCATACTGCTTCAATTCAAACCCCTTTCTATTCTGATTATTTTTCACCGTCCCGTTTGGTTCTATTCTTGGGTCACGCAAAATGGTTTCGACAACTGAGGATTCTTCTCAGTCCCATGTGGACGAGAAAACTTCGAACCAGTCAGACACCAACCTGAAGCCAAATGCTAGCCATCAGGAGGAAAGCGTCACCTTTGCTGACGAGACTGGGGGGGCTCACGAAGAATACAAGGTACAAAAGACAAGCCAAGCCAAAACAATGTATCCAGGGCAGCTTTGCTGATTTGTGGCTGAAGATGACGTTCCGTCGATTCATGGGCTTCGTGGCCATGGCCTTCCTCTGGACTGGTAGTCAGATTCCGGTTTATCTTTTTGGTGGTATCCCGCCCATCATCTATGGCGATATTGGTGGCGTTGATAGATGGGTCTGGTTTGTATGTTGTGTTTCCCAGTTTGGTAGTTTCAATTTAAACCAAGAAGGTTAACACTATATTTTAACAATAGGTGCTAGCCAATTTGTTGGCCTTGGCTGGAGCCTGTCCTTTCGTCGGCTCCCTCTCCGATCTCATCGGACGCCGATATGTCGCTCTCATCGGGGCTGCTTTGGTCCTTATCGGAATGATCATTTGCTCGACGGCGCATACTATGAATGTCTTTATTGGTATGACTCAAACCGATATTTTACCACTTGTTTTGGCCAGGCACTAAATTCAATGCAGCCGGTATGGCTATTGCAGGCGCAGGCGCAGGGGTGAATGAACTGACAGCTCTGGCTGCCACGGCCGAGATGGCACCAACTCGCCAACGGGGCAAGTATGTGGCTATTCTGATATTCACGATAGCTCCCTTTGCACCATCGGTGCTATGGGCCCAATTGATCGCCGATGCGAGTAGCTGGCGCCATGTTGGTGCTTTCTGTGGAGCATGGAGCGCACTCGGCCTGCTCATCACCGCTCTTTTCTATTTCCCACCACCTCGAGTAAACTCAGAGGGTCTTAGTCGAGCGGAAATCATCAGCAGAGTTGACTTTGTTGGCGGGTTCCTCAGTATCGTAGGGCTAATCCTCTTCATGGCTGGCATGCAGTGGGGTGGATATCAGGTACGCTTTCTCATCTATCCCTCAGCTACCCTTGATCGTCTGAATGTTAATGAACGATCATAGTATGATTGGGACAGTGCACATGTTCTTGCGCCTCTGGTAATTGGGGTGGTCCTGCTAGTTTGCTTCGCTTTTTGGGAAATTTACGGCGCAAAGCACCCTATCTTCCCCAGCCGATTGAAGCAGGAATCTCGTACACTCGGCCTGACGCTCGTCATCACCTTCATATCCGGTGCGAACTTTTTCTCAGTACTTATGTTCTGGCCCACGCAAGCCTTCAATGTCTACGGTCATGACCCTCTTGGTGTTGGCATTCGCAGTCTACCCATTGGCTTCGGAATCATGGGTGGTGCCTGTATCGTTCTATGGTTGCTCAGTGTCCTCCGCGGTCACAACAAGGAACTCTTAATTATTAGCAGCGTTCTTATGACAGCAGGTTCGTGTCCTCAGAAGCAAGAATACAACAATTAAATGAGCTGACTCTCGCAGGATGTGGCGCAATGGCTATTGCCGATGTTGACAACTTGCACAAGCTCTGGGGTATCCTTGTTATCGCTGGGTTAGGTATTGGTGGTATTGTTGTGCCTGCTTCTATTATCACGACTATTATCTGCCCAGATGTATGCACCACGCCCATTTCCTTTTCGAACACGGCAACTGCAAGCTAAATCTTCATTTAGGACCTCATCGCCACCATCTCCGCCCTCACTCTTTCAATCCGTGTCGTTGGTGGCAGTATCGGGTACACCGTTTACTACAACGTATTCATCAGCAAATTTGTTCCCAACTCGCAACACTACATTAGTGAAGTCATGGCTACCCAGCTGAATATCACAGACGTTGCCCTGATCACCGAAGCGATCGAACTCACTGGCGCCTCCCTCTTGGAAAGATTACATGATATCCCGGGAATTGCAGGAAACCAGGCGGCCTATGATGCCGTTGTGGCTGCTGGACAGATGGCCTACGCGGACAGCTACAAGTGGGTTTACTATGTTAGTATTGCTTTCGGAGGTATCTCAATTCTTGCTGCGTGTTTCCTTGGAAATATTGCAAAGTACATGGACGATCATGTTGCCGTGATGATACACTAACCAGGCTATTTTGGGGGTTTCTTGGTTACACTTATGTTCAAAGAACTGCAAAGAGGCTCGCTGTATTCTTTTCTTAGACACCTCTACTAGGGTATATATATATGTATATATTCAGGGACTGTGGTAAAGATATGCTAGAAACTTGATCAGTGGAGGGGAGAATGATAACTAAACTATGCCCATGACTCCCCTTGACATTTTGTTTCTTTGTATTTGTAGTCTTTCCACCCATGCATATACAGTTAAGGTAGTATCTACCACATGGAAATAATAATTCGTCGTCGATGGTCCCTTAATTCTCCACTTCCTAAAATAGTGCGCGGAAGCGAACCCGACATATTAGTTGCCTATATCCAAGACGAACACAAGATCCAGCCATAAAAGAATCATCTCCTCAAGGAAAACCGAGTTCCTCTTACAGTTTAGAGGAAAATAAATAAAAAATGGTATGTACTTCAAATATCCAGATTCGTCCAAATATCTCCTAATATTCATCACAGGGACCCACTGAAGCCCTCTATCTAGACGATGCTTCTCTCCACACATCAAACACTCAGATCACTTCCTACCGACCACTGTCAGGTCTAAGCGATGACGAGAAACTCCTCGCAAAGAAAATTCCACTAGAGGAGACATTTGCCATCATCACAAAGCAAACAGTCTTTTACCCACAGGGTGGGGGCCAAGCAAGCGATATAGGGAAGATAACACCCGAAAACTCGGAGAACCAAGACAGCGACGGCAGCTTCCTTTTCGAAGTCCTGCTTGTCCGAAAAACCAGCGATGGGTCTATTCTCCATTTTGGGCGGTTCTCGCCACCTTCCACATCAGTTCCTAGCGGCATTGCAATTGACCAGCCCGTTTCAATACAAATAGACCGTGTAAAGCGGAACTACCACTCCCGTTTACACACAGCAGGACACATAATCGGCCTCGCCATGCGTCTCCTACAACCAATATTGGGAGATCGCAGGAAAGTCAAAGCGAATCATTTTCCTGGAGAAGCTTGCATGGAGTTCGAAGGGCTGCTTTATAACGAGCATAAGCCCGTGATCCAGGCGAAAGTGGATGAGCTGGTTCGAGAGCAACTTCCCGTTCGAATCTCCTGGTGGGATGATGACGAGGTTGAGAGGAGAAAGGACGAGCTTGATATGGTAGAGGGGAGAGAGGTGGGTGGGATGGGGAGGGTGCGGATTGCTGAGATTGGTGATGTTGATGCGAATCCATGTGGGGGTACGCATGTGGAATCTACGGGGTTAACCGGGGAGATTACGATTAGGAAGATTAGTAGGCAGAAGGGAATCAGTAAAGTTTCATATGAGGTGCCTGTTTCTTGGGGAGAGGTATAGAGGTGTATAGCTAGACCACTGGGTGACGTTGATGGAGATTAGGTTAGTGCAGTTGAGGATTTTGGGATTTATAGTATATAACGTGAAAGACATCTCATTAACGCAGCAATAGGGTATATGTTCGTCTAATATAACAATATTATCATCCTTCAGTATTAACTTAGGACCTGGTTCATAGATGACCTCTTGGGAACGAATGTATAGTTCCCAGGGTTTTTCGGTTTCCGTTTGTCCTCCTTTCCGCGTAGGCCTCGACTAAGCCCCCCACCGAGACCCCTGGCGAGAGAGGCAAACGGTGATGCTCCCCAATGATCTAGGTCATCCTCCGGGTGGCTGGGGTTGACCAGACTGTCAATGGAGCCTGAACCTTCTGAACGTCTTGTTTGAGGTCTGTTCTCGCCTTCGAGGCTCGGAGACGGCGGATGGCTCCATGGTGCCGGTATATCGGTCATGGTGTGATCTGCGCATTTACAGCCGCAACCTGTGGGGCAAAACTGCGTGTCCGTGTCCCCATCGCTATTGTCGGCGTGGCGCACATCTGGCAAAATGACCGAGAGCCACTCGCGGCAGCAACTAAAACAACAGACATGGCCGCAACCGAGACAAGGTGTGAGCATTCCCTCAACCACTTCACGGCATATAGCGCAAGATAGTTTGAGCGGCAGCGGTCGTTTCGGCTTGCAATTGGGACATATTATGGATGTTGCGATCCCCTTGGCTTGGCCGTTAGCGCCCGCCACTGCAGAATCCACGGCATCCTGAATGGCGAAGATGGATAACTGTTGAACACCACAGCTAATGCAATGTCGCTGGATCCCTAGACCATTGCTATCCTCGTTTGCTGAGGTACTGGGCGAACTCTTGCGAACAAAACCGGAAAGTGAAAAGGAGTCATCAAGGTTAGTAGAATCTCCGTGATGGGCGCCGGTGTCATCCGGGTGCTTTATGATATCGCCTATTTTCAGCATCTCGCTCCGTTGTACGGGCAGTCCCCATATCGACAACAGATGAGCATAGGCTATGCGGTATGATCGATATAGTTGATCCTTTTTTGGATCAAGGAACAAGTTGTGCATCGTGCTATGGCTGTCAAAAGTACCTTTATTTTTGAAGGTAACCCTGATTTTCTTTGTTGGTTTCGGACTTAATCTTTCGCTTTCCGCATCCGACTGGGTCTGTGAGGAGGTTGTTGTAAAATGATCAGGTTTTACAAATGCAGCCTTAGCTCTAGAACTACTAGGGGTCCATGCCCCAGGTCCTCCGAGCGCACGAGCATTCTCATTTTGGGCTTGTTTTCTCCTAAGAAGGTCACTTGCGGGAGGCGATGCCGAAGACGGCCCGAACGTGAAGGATCGAGAAAGAGAAGATGCAAGAGCAGATCCGAAGCCAGTGCCGGTTCGTGGCTGTGATTGTTGGTCTGGCGAAGCAGCCAATGACGGGTTCTGGGTAACTGCCCTTCTCTCAACACCTAACCCACTTGCACGAGAAAGTAAAGGGGGTGTTGTGCCTGCCGAATAGGGTGGAGTAGTACCTGGGCGCCACAACTCTGATGATGACCGTCCAGAGCTTTGCGTACCAGGCGTGGTATGACTCTCCTTTGGCGTGGACTTGGGCGGTGTTACCGCTTGCGACTTGTTCGTCTCGGTACTGGGAGAGTTATGGAAATCTAGAGAAAAGGAATTATGACCTGCGCGTTTTGGTGACATTTCTCCTTCGGACGGGGCTTCTTTGAAATCGGGTTCGTACAGAACGCAGGAAAGCATCGCAACCATCTGTATATCGCCAATTCGTTCAAAGTATGCGAAAAGTGCGGGAATGAGCCAATAACCACCAAAGGGATGGTCCCCCCATTGAACGACGCCCGATGTATTTCGAGAGGATTGATCGGGATGGAGAGCATCGGATCTTATATCTATTGCGCTATCTTTTCGTAGGATGTGTGATCCTTTGCCTGCATTTTTCAGAATAGGAGTTGATCGCAATGATCTTCTTTGATGCAGTATGAGTTTAACCAAACCCCAAATACGAGCTAGCTCATAGTAGCCATGGTTGAGGGCAACCGCTGCGTTATGAGCACACACATCAACGACCTTTCCACATATACGGTACTCACTACCCAGTTCCCGCTTGGCTGGTAGTATACCATTCAAGTCATGTATAGAAATTACATTCTGTGGTGCGTCAGAAGATCGGGAGGTCATGCCGCCGATGGTTGACCTCTGGGAATTGTCCGTCGAGCGAGGTCGATAGAACCCAAGACTTCCAGCACTACGCCATGTCTGAGGCGTTGGGAACCGATGTTGAAGCCCAGATAGAATACCAGAAGACCCAGAAGAACTAGAAGTTTCGGCTTCGGAATCATCGGAATACTCAGATGCACCGTCGTCAGTACTGGCGATTGTACCTGTTATCCGGGGCCCCGGAGAACTAGTATCAAAACGTCCAAAACGTTCGAAAAGATTGTCAGTTCTTGACAGTCTCGTCATCTCTTTAAACCCTAGGTTTTCAAGAGAGTATGCTGACTTATCCTTCTTCGTTGGGAAGAAGCACACCAAACGGCCGTCCTTGGCCCAAACTGCTCCACATTCCCTCGCTCTTGGGACCATCACGTTCGCATTGACAGGCCGAATCAACTCGGAGCTCATTGCTAACTCTTGACTTTGTGATAAGCCAACTTCGTCCTCGTCACTGGACTCGTCGCCCCCGACATGGTCATTCGTCGGTGATTTCAAAGTCTCAGCTGTTTCCCCCAGGATCCACGCGATACTTTCTTCGAGGCTGCTTTCACCTAAAAGGTACCGAACGACCCCCTCAAGACAGCCTCGCTTGTAAGATAAATAGGTCTCAGAGATAGTCTGCAGCTCTGCAACAATCTTGCTGGCGAGCTGATCACTAACAGCGGTAGTCTTCTGAACATTGAAAGTGGGCACGGCGTCCCTAGGGTAATCCGGCGGGAATTTGATGTCCACTCGGATGAAGAGGGACGCACTGTCAGCACCCCAAGGACCATGTAAAGATATTGTAGCCTTTCGTCGTCTCACATCAACCGACTCGAAGGCCACTTTCGTGAATTTCTCGCCGACATGGGTAATTTCATCCCCAAGGGTTTCGATATCCCATCCTGATATTTTCACGCCCCTCATCCAGGCAATTGGGTTTGTGTCGGCCCGCTGGCCAGATCTATTTTGCATTCCGACTCTCGAGTTGGCGTTTCCTCCTTGTGGCCATGCAGGAGCGTATGGAACTGATATGGTATTCATACCGGCGCGCGAGGATGGGGGTACAGGGGGCTCGAAAGACGGTGATAAAAGGCCATTTTCCTCGTATTCTAAGCCGACATTTTCCTCTCGGAAGCTTCTGTAGACCGCTCCTCTCCGGGTGATATTTAGGTTGGACATGAAGGATTTCCCGTTCTCGTAACCGACTTTTTCAAGAACGTCAGGATCAACACGGTGCAAGCGGAGTTCCTTATCAGTCCCCCAAGATACTAGCTGGAATTCTCTGTGATCGATTCCATCAGTAACTTCTCCACGCGCCCTCCAAAGAAACTCTTTAACCTGTCCTTTGTGGCCGGGAAAGCTATGTACAGGAGGAAGCGGGCTGTCAGGATCGGCCCCATCTATTGCCCTGCGACTGTAAAGATGAAGATCGCTGTTGCCTCTTTGAGGCATGGCCAGAACACCCCATCCAAAAGGCGTATTTCTGGCACGCCAAACAGGGAATGGCGTCTGGATCACCTTTTCCGGCACGTCATCCTCAACGGTATAATCCCAGAACTTGATTGTTTTATCCAAAGAGCAGGTTGCCAAAGCCCCGGGTCGAACCCTATTCCAGTCAACCCCGTAGATCTTGGTACCGTGAGCTTGGATAGACCGGATCGGGTAAGCTCCCATACGCTTATCCCAGATACGAAGAAATTTATCATGAGAGCTCGCAATTACATTGGGATCCTGTCGATTCCATTTCACCTGAGTGGCGCCTGCAAACCAATCCGAGAATGAGATAGCTGGTCGGGAGGTATCGCGAAGGTCCCAACAATGAACAAAGCTATCGACCGCACAGGTTGCAAGGACATCTGGGTGATGTGCGGAGAAGTTGATATCAGTAATGGCGCGCGTGTGAGCATGCAAAACATGTTCAATAGAGTTCTGATAACTCTGCATTGCTAGATTCCATACCAACGCCTTCTGATTTGATGTACTCACCACCCAATAGTCTCGAGCAGCAAATGGGGACCATTGAACATCTGCAACTTCCCAAGGTGTATGATGAGGGAGATAACGAGGGGGTGAGTAAGGCGAATCCAGGTCAATTATGTGAAGTCCTTCCTTAGATGCTAATACGACGTCTCGACCACAAGGCGATATGGACATAGATCCAACAGGCTGATCCACGTGAAAAGAGCTGTCCTCTCCATATGTTGGACTTTCGAACGCTGAAGTCAACGGCCTTGGTTCGTTGGAGTCGGACATTTTGGCGTTAGCGGCGGCCGGTCGTCAAACGGCCCCGTCTATGATCTGCTACCAGGGCGATTTTCGAGATATCGATGGACACATTGATTGTAAGGATTGCAAGTAGCTGTAGCCTCCTTCATCTCGATAGAGCACGGCTGTTAACGCTGGGGTCAGAGTAGCCGGGACAGCTTAAGAGCTGATCGTATTCATGACGCGCACGGCGTGGGGAACTAGTTCGGGATGGGTGTATCTAGGTTCAACAATATTCGTAAGTACATGAAATCCCAGGTAGTCACGACACAGTGCTTACATATAAGTGGCGAGACGAGTGACACTCGCGAAAAGGTTGAGTGCACTGAAAAGAGACTCAGGCATCGGTTTCCGCGAAGGTCGGAGCAAGCACGGACGGGGACTGATAATCCCGTCGTCTTAGATCAACCCCAGTTCGGAGCTACGAAGCTAACGGCGCCAAGGATTCGCCCATGGTCCGAATGGTCCGCCGGGCTAATTACGGAGGCCGAGAAATCTATAAGTGCAGAGCCCCTCTGACATTCCGCCGGTTACGTCGTCGCCCAATCTTTTTGCGATAAGTTCTATTCCCATTAAGTTCACCTGTTTTGCTCCCCGTTCGCGGACCGACTTGGAGTTTTTCTGTGGCTGAATTCCACTTGCCTCCCCATACACTCTGAGATAACCAGATTCTTGAACTGGGACGAGGGGAGAAATCTCGAAACCCGGAACCCCGCGCATACCCTTGACCCTCGGAGAACAAGCCGCAGTACAAGATGGCCTTGCCAAAGAGAATCGTGAAGGAGACAGAACGCCTCCTGGCGGAACCGTAAGTTGACGAAGCCGGTTTCAAAACCTGGGCCTACGATACTAATTTATCCCCTTCAAGAGTCCCCGGTATTACCGCCGTACCTCACGAAGACAACCTGCGCTATTTCGATGTCACAATCCACGGTCCAGCGGCGTCGCCATACGAAGGAGGAATATTCCGCCTCGAGTTATTCTTGCCTGAGGATTACCCGATGACTCCTCCCAAGATCCGATTCCTGACCAAAATCTACCACCCCAACATTGATCGTCTTGGGCGAATCTGCCTGGATGTTTTGAAGAGTATGTTCTTCGCGGGGCTTACTTTACTCAAATGCATGGACTAATGATTGACTAGGTAACTGGTCCCCGGCTCTCCAAATCCGTACCATTCTGCTATCGATCCAGATTTTGTTGGGAGCTCCGAATCCTGATGACCCCCTTGCAAACGATGTTGCCCAGCGATGGAAAGAGGATGAAGCGGCGGCTATTAAGACCGCGAAGGAGTGGACCATTACCCACGCGATGACTTAGAAATCCTTTATTTCAGTTGCTGTGTGAATGACGATCGACGACACCGTGATGAGACCATGAGTAAAACATGCGACTTTGGCCATACTCGCATCGATCTGTCAGGTCAAAATTATTCTAAAATTTAGCCCTATTTCTCCGATGGATGGAAGGAGTCCGCGTCTCGCTAATACATTTGCATTCCATCCCAGTTCTGGTTCGTTATACCCCCTACGCTGATGTACGGCGAAAGGGCAGCTACTCATTTCTGATCTTCCAGACATGCTATACCTTGAGCCACCTGCACTACTTGGAGCCATGAATTACTACCTGAGAATCATTTTAGATCCCCATTCAATAGAACTATTGACTTCTAACCCTGTTTTGTACTCGTATGTGCGTTTAGAATTTGGTTCTAATTACCTCCAGCGGTAGTCGTTCGCCCCTAGTTAGCGTTGGTCTGAACTGATTTTCCCTGCAAGAGTAACCTGAAGACCTTTTCTTTTCTGTTCTTTTTTTCTAGAAAATACAGAAGCTACTCTAGACTTCTTGACTTACAATCCATTTGTGCGCCTGGCTCTGTAATAAAGGAGACAATGCTCTGTACTTAGTTTTGAGTAAACCCGTGAAACAAGCTCAAATACTCTACAGCTTTGGAACACATGAGTAATAGCATGAACCTGGTATAAATCCTTCATTATGATTATTACTAGAATTGTGTTTTCTACATGAATCCGGGTTTGGCCTGAAAGTTCTTCTTGCACGGCTCAAGGACACAACCTGCGTCTCAAACGCGACTTCACCACAACAGCTTCACAACAACAACAACATGCCAAGTAAAACAAGAAATAAGAAACTGTCCAGTCGGAAAAGGCTCACCAGGTGCTAAACACTGTCCTCTAACAGCTCTTAGGAGTATGGATTATCCAATTTGATTTTGCTAACAGTTACAATAACAGTAGTGGTGGAGTTGAACAGCTCACAGACATTCACACCAACCATTACTGTAGTGATAACACCAAGGATATTGAGGCCTCTTTTCACATTGAAAATACCAAGCCCTTTGATCTGTCTGAGCTACGCAGTCCATTGGTTGATGCTACTCAAGAACTTGAAGAAGGCAATCACGTCGAAACAGACTCGCCCGGAGGCACATCCATCCGAAGACGCCTTCAAGCTTTGACCACAGCTTCGAGTTCATCTACTGAGACCGATAGGCAAAGCTGGAAATCGATATCGTCGTCCAATAACGACACGCGAGCTTGGTCCGTCACAACACAGGACACAGGGTCAACAGGAATCAGCACCGTCTCAACTTCGACAGTCACACAGAACTCAAAGAGAAAGAAGAAGAAAAACAAAGGATCCTCGAAGAGAAAGGACTCTGGTGGCGCCTTAAGTCTTAAGTTCCTCAGGTCGCCTGGTGGTGAAGTTCAACAGCACCCTCGTCTTCCGCGCAAGCGGGCTAACTTTACCTATCACAGATTACATGCAATTCGACTTGGATTACTGCGAGGCTCAAATCGCAATGTCTAACAAGGAGCCAGAATGTGAACCTGAGATCGGCAAAGCATCGGCCGAGGAACTGGTGAGGATATACCTTACAAGATAGAACAAGAATCACATACTGACAAAACAAAAGCTCACCTACCTCCGCGGTATAACTGGAACCCAAGTCCGTGACATTCCTGCAAGCGACATGAAAGCCCCTCGCAGACCAAACGAATCCAGGGCCTGGGATCATAGAAACCTCTGGTGTGTCGACTGCCGCAAGTCCTGCCCTATCTGTAACACGACCTGCTGTGTTAAAGAAGAAATGGCGCAGAAAGCCGCCGACGAAAGCTTGGATCCAGATCAGGTTCACCAAGCAAAGCGTCTTGGGAAGATAATCGAACATCTTGGTACCCACGCTAAAGATGTCAGTACTTTTGCACAGTGTACGCCCCCCGATGGGTGTGGGCGATACGTATGCGCTAGCTGCTCCGGCGTGTGCCCAAGCGAGATATGTCGGGATATTCAGTGCAAGGTAAAAACAGACAATCATCAATAGCAAAACATTGGTACAGTATCGCTAATGAAGCATGCCCGCGGGTACAGGAGTGCAAGCCGGATCCCTGGGCTTCCTGTGATTGGCACGATTGATCATGGCATAAATCGCGGGATTATATCTCGGTGGGTGCTTCTAAGAGGGACATTTGGTACGCCAGAATATCTGATATCTGGGTTTACCGGTAATGGTTTTGATAATACAAGCCAGGAATTGGTATGCAGGTCCCAGATTGTGAGGACGATGCAATTAAATTGGGAGGGTTTAATGCGCCGATGAAAGGTCTCAACAAAAAAGTATCCACGACATGTGAGAAATACGGAAAAAAAGACAAATAAAAAAGGAATTAACGCTGAGAGTGAATATGAGACCACATTAATAGCACTGAAACTGCCAATTCGTAGTAAAACCTCAATGTCGTAGAATACATGTTCCGTATAGGTTTGTATAGTCCCCCGTCGAAGGGGTCAAGGGCAGAGCGTGGTCACGTGTGCGCTTAGCGAGCTCCACACCGCACCACCTCAGAATTGTGCCAGTCTCGCGAAGCACGCCGCCGAAGAGACCGATTCGACTCAACCACCCAACGCCAATCGACAACATCTCGTCCCAACCGGTCGCGCATCTCTAACGTTCAAGATGCGTACCTACGACGATTCTTTCAGCGGTCAAAAGATCTACCCCGGAAAGGTGCGTTTTGTCCCTCCGCCAAACAACACGTTCGATGAAATCCCTCGTCCCGACCGAAGGCCTTTACAGGCTGCACGATCGATCAAAACCATCGCCAATGCAAATTTTACATATAAGGGTATTTGTTGACAGATTGGCTTTTCTTGAAACAGGGTAAGCTGTTCGTCCGTGGCGACAGCAAGATCTTCCGCTTCCAGAATGGAAAGTCCGAATCCCTTTTCCTCCAGCGCAAGAACCCTCGCCGGATAGCTTGGACTGTTCTCTTCCGTCGCCAGCACAAGAAGGGTATCTCTGAGGTCGGTACCGCCTTTTCCTTTTATCACTGGGTTGAATTCGAGTTATTGGGGAATATTGTTTTGAGGAAGCGGGTTGGGTTTGCCCCTCGCGATATGGGGGTGGAATGTGAAACTTGGAACCGCTACAATGGAATTGGGGGATAACACTCGCGGAATGGATCACAAAAAGCTGACGGATGATTCAATGTGAACAGGAAGTTGCTAAGAAGCGTACCCGCCGTGCCGTCAAGCACCAGCGCGGCATCGTCGGTGCCTCCCTCGACGTGATCAAGGAGCGCCGTTCTCAGCGCCCCGAGGCCCGTGCCGCTGCCCGCCAGCAGGCCATCAAGGACGCCAAGGAGAAGAAGGCTGCTGCCGAGAGCAAGAAGAAGGCCGAGAAGGCTAAGTCCGCCGCCTCTGCTGGCAAGGGTGCTGCTCAGCGCATCCAGAGCAAGCAGGGCGCCAAGGGTTCCGCCCCCAAGGTCGCTGCCAAGTCTCGTTAAGGAAAAGATATAACGGTCTGGCTTGGGATTGGGAGGCGCGGAAGGCAAGCACTTCATGGACGGAATTTGGGAGGTTACTGGAGCTGGAATATGTGTTTTCCCTATCACCCAAAATGAAATGTTTCACAAAACTATCGGCGTACAAGACGGTTTCTTGCGGATTCAACGACATTCAGATAAGCTCTATCATTCGCACGCCATCGATTTCATAACTGGGAAATGGATGTGAGATGATAGATCCCTGATATACGTCGCTCTAGTGTAAATTCCTACATGACCTTGTTTTTCAGGGCATACGCCCAATCAAACATTACATATTCAAACAGTCCTGCTCCTTACGAGGTTCCGACGTACTTTCATGTCGTCACTTTACACGGCCTAGCACTCAAAAGTCGCTGACTCCCTAAGGCAACGTATTTTTGCACGTATCATCAGTAATCATAACTATACATTTTCTCCATAAAACCAAACTGACTCATCCACGAAAGATGTCACCAAGTTCCACAGCCGTAGATCCAAGACTCGGAGCCTCGAAATCGAGCCCTGCCATACTAGTAGGGCTCAAACCTATCCTAACCCGATTTGGCATATATACTATTTGCAGGGAAGGACAAACAAGAGATAACAGAGCACCAGGAAGAGTGTGATACCTCCTTATTAAGTTAAATACAGCAACTAAAGAATAATTGCACGTCCATTACTCTCCGTCATCAATAACTGCTTGAAAAGAACAGTAGCAGAGATATTCATGTTTCCAGCCGTTATTGCCTCAGGCAGCAGCATAATCGCTGAGTCACCCCCGGTTCCCGCCCTTCCGAATTTTGCCATCTCGCTTACAGGTCAGCACTAGCGCGATTCGCCCACAGAAGTCCAGCATAGTGGTGACTCAATCAACCCCCCTTTAACACAAGTTCCCACCTCGACTTTTCAACTTTCCCATTTCGATCCGACAAGTTCTACATCACCAGCAGCCATGGGTAAGGTTCACGGATCTCTCGCCCGTGCGGGTAAGGTTAAGTCTGCCACTCCTAAGGTCAGTTCTCCTTCTATCTTTCCATATTGTTCGTGCTGGGAAGGGAAGATTCTGGGACGAGCGCGATCGGGGAAAAGTTTTTAGGGGAGGGCTCTGCTCGTTCCGGATGTTTCTCGATTCAGGAGGTGGTTTTTTGTGATGGAAACTGCAAGAAGTACTTTGGGAATGGTAGGCTGATGAGCTCTCTTTGATAATATAGGTCGAGCCCCAGGAGAAGAAGAAGCTCCCTAAGGGCCGCGCCATGAAGCGTCTGAAGTACACTCGTCGTTTCGTCAACGTTACCATGACCGGTGGCAAGCGGAAGGTACGTTTATACTGATACTCACGGGAATATGGGGAATCTTGGAAAATCGGAAATACAGCCAGTTTTCTCGAGACGGTTCCTCATGTGGGCGTGGAATTCTGGGATAAAGTTGCTAACTTACAACCTTGCGACAGATGAACCCCAACCCCGGCAACTAGACGATACCCTAGCGAAAGGAGGAACCTGGTAATCGCCGCGGGGAAATGACGATGACGACCACGAACGAAAAGAAGAAAAGCACAATAATACGCGGCCTGGGCGGTTAATACCCGTTCTCTACCTAGTCAGAAAGGAATCTATCAACGCCGACGCGGAAGACTCGAGATTTCGATCCAGAAAAGGAGCCGGACTTGGGCTTGGTTACGGGGATGGTTTGCGGATGTTTTCTTTTCATGCATGGCTAGTTATGGGCTTAGTATCTTCATCATCATCAAATGGGAACTTCGACTTCGTTACTGGGAATTGAATTTGATTCTTGTCCGTTGACTGTTGATCGCTGCTCTGGCCTTCGTGAGCTTCATGCTCTTATGGGAAAGGCTGGTGCATTCTGCGACCGCAACCTGATACCTTCAGAATATGCTTCATATTCTCTCCTTTTACCGTAGTTGCGTAATCGGGCTTTGTTGCTAAATGCCCAGCAATCGGCACTCAGGTAATGTTCTAAATTCAACACTACAGTCTAAGCTTCGACTCTGATCGTCTCTACCTAAGAGAAGAAACGGCTTGGACTTAAGGGGTGGATAGACGCTAGCATAAATGAACTCCGGAATGTTAAGCAAACTCCATGTCTATTGGCCAATACATTCGAAGAAGCATTTACTTCCCTACGCCCATATAACTAGAACATCTGGGTCAATCTACCAAAGCGTCTCGCTACAGTAGACCCTCGTGGGTGCTGAGAAACGGATAATATAAACAGCCATGAATCTATGCATACGTCTATCCATCACTAACAAAGCCAGCAAGCCAGTATCAATCACAAATCTCTGAACGCCAGCAGAAAGAAACCTGGATATACACTTGGAGCACATAACAAGCAAATATCAAGCCCGTAACGATTACTCCACTTCCATTTCAGGCACCTAAACTCCGTCTAATAGTAATGGGCCATCTCCAACCCAGCCCTCTTGAACCCACACTTGATATAGAATCCTTCGTTTGTCTCGGAGCAGTCCAAGATAGTCTATGCAAATCAGTTAGTCACTGCACGTAGTAGTCGACTAAAATGGAAAACAAACCTTATAGCACCCAACCTTCTCGGCCACAAAATCCAACGCCTGGATGACCCTAAGGCCCAACTTCTTTCCCTGCTGCCCCTTCTCAACAGCAATGTCTTCAATATGCCCGACCATGCCCAGAGAGTGGATGAACTTGCGCTCAACAATCAGACTCCCTGTCGCAACAATCTTGTCTTCTTCGTCTACGATAACAAGGAGGTAGTATTCGTCATTCCGGGTGGAGATCCAGTCGAATCGCTTGTTCCAGGCATCTTCGCTCACGTCACCGACTGTTGTAAGGACACGCAGGACATCGAGGTAGCCCCGGTGGAAGTCGGAGCGTTGTATCGGGCGGATTGAGTACCCTTTTGGAAGGACGTCGGAGACGAGGGGGGAGATGAGGGTGGTAGGGAAGAGAGGCTGGTCTTCCTGGGTTGCGATAGGCATTGTGAATATGTTCTGAGATTTGAATTATAGAGGAAATCGCCAAAAAGGGCTAAATGTTCAATTGAAGACAGCAATCCGGTTCTGCAAGTTGGGGTTCGCGATGTGCGGTGTCGCTGAGATTGTAAGGAGGGGTTTAGCGGCGGTGAACGGGCGTTTAAGTTTCAGTCTAGGATCTCTGGCCACTAACTTGACAAGGCAGGTTCAATCAGATTGGAAAGAGCGGGCGATGAGAAGAATGCGATTATAAACGAGGGACGTCGGGTTGGGGGAATGAGAAGGAAAGTTCAAGTTGTCAACAATAATGGAAGATTTAAGGCGGAGTATATGGACCTAAAATCGAGGGAGCTGAACCACCCCACTTGAAACACCGTGAGATTGGACAATGCGAGGTATTTATAGATTGGAGGAGACTTCAGTTGGCAAATTGTACAACTAGAGAGTTGATTCTTCAAGATGCCAGGACAGTAAGGACTTTTTATTTTGAATCTGACTCTGAATCATGTTTTGCCTCTAAAAAAGGGGTGTTCCTGTCCATTCGGGGTATAGAGTTGATCCAAAAATAACCGACAAGCCAAGACATAGTCAATCCAAGAGGCAAAAAAAAAAATTAGAAGGAAAAAAATAGTACAATATATTCCAGTATACAAGTCAATAATGTCTAAAAATCGCTACAATGATTTATAACAGTCTAGGTTTAACACCCACCCCCCCCAACAACTAATAATGCTCATCTATTTCTTCTCCTTGGGGCTCAACATCAGCTCAGGTCGGACGTGCTTGTCGAAATCCTCCTCACTGAGTGCCTTGAGCTCCATAGCACTCTCCTTGAGGGTGATGCCCTTCTTGTGGGCATTCTTGGCGACCTTGGATGCCATGTCGTAACCAATGACGGGGTTTAGGCAGGTAACAAGCATCAGACTGCGAAAGTTAGTGAATTTGAAAAACAACCTATGTCCAGACAAGTAAATAAAACTTACCTCTCGTGGAGGAGAGTGTTGATTCTGGGCTCGTTGGCCTCAAGGCCAGCCACAAGGTTCTTCTCGAAGCTCTTCATTCCATCGGCAAGGATGCGAACGCTGTGTAGAAGGTTGCGGATCAGGAGGGGTTTGAACACGTTCAGCTCGAACTGGCCGTTCATGCCGCCAATTGTGGCAGCAACGTGGTTACCCATGACCTGAGAGCAGACCATGGTCAAGGACTCGCACTGGGTAGGGTTAACCTTTCCAGGCATGATGGAAGAACCGGGCTCGTTCTCGGGGAGGATAAGCTCGCCGAGACCGCAGCGGGGGCCGGACCCGAGGTAGCGGATATCCTGTGCAATCTTGAACAGGGAGCCAGCAAGGGTGTTCAGAGAACCAGAGGCCTCGACGATGGCATCGTGGGCAGCAAGAACCTCGAACTTGTTAGGGGCAGTCTTGAACTCAGTGCCGGTCAGCTTGGAGACCTCGGCAGCGATGGCCTCGTCGAAGCCCTTGAAGGTGTTCAGACCAGTACCAACGGCGGTACCACCCTGGGCAAGTTGGCGCAGGTGGGGCAGGGAGTTCTGGACGCGTTCAATGTTGCGGTCCAGCTGAGCAACGTAACCAGAGAACTCCTGCCCAAGGGTAAGAGGAGTGGCGTCCTGGAGATGGGTGCGGCCGATCTTGATGAGGTGCTGGAAGTTGTCCACCTTCTTCTGGAGAGCATCACGGAGACTCTTCAGGGAAGGAAGGAGAGTGTTCTCAAGTTCCACGACGGCGGCGATATGCATGGCAGTGGGGAATGAGTCGTTGGACGAAGCGGACATGTTGACGTGGTCGTTGGGGTGGACGGGCTTCTTGGTGCCCATCTTACCTCCTAGGATCTCAATGGCGCGGTTGGAGATGACTTCGTTCGAGTTCATGTTGGACTGAGTACCGGAGCCGGTCTGCCAAACGACCAGCGGAAAGTGGTCGAGGAGCTTGCCCTCAGCGACTTCACCGGCGGCCTGCTTGATAGCCTCACCAATCTTAGGGTCTGCAGCATATTAGCATCCATTTTCTCCCTTGTAGATAGTCAGCGAAATATTTCTTACCAAGGCCATAGTTCATGTTCACAGTAGCAGCAGCACTCTTCAGGACACCGAACGCCTTGACAACGGCATCAGGCATGCGGTCCTGAGGCTGGTTGATGTCGAAGTTACCCAGGGAGCTAGCCGTCAATCAGCATCCATTCTCACTTATTCGTATACCCATTCGACAATATCTTACCGCTGAGTCTGCGCACCCCAGTACTTATCGGCGGGGACCTAGAATCATTCCAATTAGACCTTGTATCGGGTTGTTTGGGAGGCGACCGGACTGTCGTACCTGGATTTCGCCAAAGGCATCGCTCTCGGTGCGGGATCCCGAAGCCTATAATACATGCATGTCAGCTTCTCCGGACTAAAGATCGAGTTGTATCCTCGTCGGGTTGCCCCGACGTGCAGAGGGGCATACCATTGTGACTGTTGAGCTGAAGGATCTCTTGTTTGAGAAGGACTGGACGGACTGGAGGCGGGGGAACTGTTGCAGTTGACGGGAGTTGGAGCAGAGCGAGCGTCGGCTAGCGAACGAGGCGGGGGAGCGAGCAGCCAACGTCAGTCCGGAGCGGGCCAATGCGGAGGTGTTCGATGTTCGAGCAACCGCATGTGGCAGAGAGCTCAATGAGCGCACCGCGGTTCGGGAGGCCATAGCGAAAGATTAAATGCCGGAATTTATAAAAAAGACGGGAACCCGAGAGTTAGGTATACTCTATGTGTTTGGAATTGGAAGCAATTGGGAGACTTGGGCTGTTCCAGAAGAAAAGAAGGGAGAAAAAAATGCGCTCCGAAAGGCGGCCAGCACAACAGACTTAAAGATGCGACAGCTTCTGAGGCTTCCAGCTGTTTTTTTGCTCTGCCGTCCGACGTCGCCGGCCGATTTCTCCCGGTCTGGTATTACAAATACGTGACTGTAGCTTTCTATGGGAAGCCGACCCAAACCCGAATATGTTACGGTATCAAGTATTGGCGGATAAACCAAAATCCAGTCTTCCTTTGCTCCTTGAGACACTTCAACCAGACTGAGAGACGAATGCCTTCTGCATTGTCTCAATCACCTTCTTGTTGAACTGCTTGGCCGACTCAAGAATCTCATCCAACCCACAAAAGGTGTGCGGGGCTCCCGCAACCCGGACTAATTCCACTCGCCCACCTGTCGCTCTCAGCTTGTCTGCGTATACTTCGGCCTCGTCTCGCAAGGGGTCCATCTCGGCACTGAAGACCAAAGCCGGCGCCAGGTTGGAGAAGTCACGGGCTAACATGGGGGATATCTTCCAATCCTGAGGATTATTTGTAATGAGACTCCGGAAAGCAACAGGGTCACCAATGGCAACTTACATCTTCCGATGGAGCAGGTCGTGGTACCCCGAGGAAATGTTGATGAAAGTATGACATTCTCGCCACTGGTAGGGCTACGGTAAACTCCATCTCCCGATACGAATCGTACGGAGAATTCTCCCGGTCAAACGCTCCATCTGGTGTGAATGAACTGTGCAAGTCGCAGACAGGCACCACGAGGATCTGCAACGCAAGCGGAATGTTGGCGTTTCGACAGTGGTGAGCTATTACCGCGGAAAGATGGCCTCCAGCAGAGGTCCCTCCAACTGATATCCTATTCAGGTCGAGGTTGAAATTTCCTGCTTGAGACCTAACCTGGATAAAAAGTCAGGTGAAGGAACAATGCACAAACAAAGTGACAGAGAACGTACCCAATTGAAGGCGACCCAGCAGTCGTCCACGGCAGTGGGGAACCTGTACTCAGGCGCAAGCCGATAGTCTACGTCAAACACTACCAGGTGACCATCCAGTCCATCCACGAGGCGTTTGCAAAAGTCATGGTCAGTCGAAAGATTTCCAAAGACCCAGCCGCCCCCATGGAAGTTGATGTAAACGGCTCTTTTCTTGGGCCGTCCGTGTTCATCATGGATAGGTGCGGGCTCAAAGATACGAATCTTGATCTCTCCGTCTTTAACCGCGCACGTCTTCTCGGTTATGCTGAAAACATCCGGACCTACAGCACGACCGTACGCCGTCAAGTACTTGGCCGGATCTTTGCGAAAGACTTCAATCGACACCTCATGCGTATGCAGCCGTCCCGCATTGTATTTGTTATAGTACTCTACGTAGACCGGGTCAAAGCGTGGAAGGAGGTCTGGAGGTATGCTGTTGTGGAGAGGCTGGACTATGAATCCTGGACGCAGCTCATGCAGGTCCTTGTTTCCTGCCATTGGTTATTTTATCAAACAAGACGTGACGTTGTAAAAGTGGTTTAAAATGTGAGATTTGCTCAGGGGAGATATAAAAAACCAGGCAGACAGTTGACGTTGTAATGAAAATGCGGGGGTGCATCTCTTCCTCCCTTTCCCCAAGCGCGCTATCTTTCCCCTCCAACTGCATCGAAGACCGGCACAGAACATCTCCAAAGTACAACGTTCTAGCTTCGAAAGCCCGTTAGCTCACTTCACCGTAAAAGGTGGCCCAGCACCGTCATGGGATCGGCTCGTTGTGCGTACTGCTCGGCTACTACCGGCTATCTCCATCCGCGTCGGATATTGTTGACGAGACCTATCCAGCTGACTTCTGACCTCATGGATCAATTTGTGGAACTAGGTAAGGGGTTTCCAAATTACGCCTTCGCATTGAGCAAATCAATTGATGCCAATTTGACTGCGAGCGTGGAACAGAACAAAGCCCCAGTCTTCACCAGCCTTGAGCGGCCATGACTTGAGGGGGCATGCTCCACCGTCACTGGCACAACATTCATTTTCGCTACCTTGGCCAGCCGGATAAGATGAAGAAATGCGTCACGTTTGGGGTATACTCGAGCAGTCCTCCAGTTTTGTCGGGTTAGCGGCTGTCTTTGCCGGATCGGCTTCGCCTGGTTCCAGCAGAAATTTTCTTCGAATGGCCAATGATGCCAAGATCCAATAATGGGACCACATACGGGGGGCGATATCGGTCCAAACTTATCGATTAGGGCGTCCGAGTATATCTTGACGCTCTTCCCCAAAGATCTTCAATTCCCCATACAAAGGTAGAGTGAAGATAACAAACCCGGATATTCACTAGTATTGACTTGCTTTGACTCACCCCATTCACCAAAGGAATTTCGCCTAATATAATAGAGCACACCCACTTCTCCACAACAAATCTCGCACTTTCACAACACTTTCACACCCTCCTACTTCCTTTCTGCAATACTTTCTTAAACGCCGATCACAATGACTGTTCTTAGCGTAAGCCCAGTGCCTCCGGACGAGATCTTCGCTCTCAACCGTGCATACACCGAGGATGACTACCCACAAAAGGTCAACCTTGGTGTTGGTGTTTACCGAACCAACGAGGGTCAGCCATGGCCTCTACCGGTCGTGCAAGAAGCAGAGAAGCAGCTCGCAGCAGAAAACAACCTCTTTCGCCATGAATATACGTCAATTGAAGGCGACAGGCCCTTTCTCCCTATTGCGCGTGACCTCATGTTTGGCTTCGATTCTCAATCGACCTCCGAGGAGCAAGAAGTAGCCAAGGCACGCATTGGAACCGTCCAGACAGTCGCAGGTACCGGCGCAAACCACCTTGGTGCTCTATTCCTCGCAACACACATGAAGCCCAAAGCTGTCTGGCTCTCCAACCCCTCCTGGGCAAACCATCTCACAATTTGGGAACTTGCCGGTGTCCCACGCAAAACATACCCCTACTATTCTGCCGCTACCCGCTCTTTCGACTTCGATGGCATGGTGTCAACCCTCGAATCCGAGGCCCAAGAGGGTGATGTCGTCCTCCTCCACGCCTGCGCCCACAACCCCACAGGCCTAGACCCCAACAAGGAACAGTGGAAATCCATTATCGACCTCTGTGAGCGCAAAGGAATCTTCCCCTTCTTCGACTCGGCCTACCAGGGCTTCGCGTCCGGGTCTGTAGACGAGGACGCCTGGGCCGTGCGTTACGTCCTCAACGAGAAACCTCAGATGGAAATGTGCGTTGCGCAAAGTTTCTCCAAGAACTTTGGCCTCTATGGTCAGCGTGTCGGCGCATTCCACTACGTCCTTAACGAGGGCGCCCAAGACCTCCGCGACACCGTCGTCAACAACCTCTGCCATCTCATTCGAGGCGAGTTCTCCATGGGCCCAACAGCCGGATGTAGCATCGTCAAGAAGATCCTCACAAGCCGTGAGCTTACGGCACAGTGGCATGGCGATCTCAAGACCATGAGCTCGCGCATCATTTCTATGCGGGAAGCCCTTTACGATGAATTAGTTCGGCTCGAGACTCCCGGCACTTGGAAACATATTGTTGAACAGGTAAACTTTCCCTCCCCACTCACCCTTACCAAAAAAAAAAAAAAAAAAAAAAAAAAAAAAGAAAGCCAGTCATTTTAACAATCTCCACAGAACGGAATGTTCTCCTACACCGGACTTACCCCCTCGCAAGTCTACGCGCTCAAAGACAAGTACCATGTCTACGTGCTGAAATCCGGCAGAGCCTCGATCAGCGGACGTAAGAAACCTCCTAGGCCCCATTATATATCCCACTCCAAAACTAACAAGTTTACTTTCTACCATAGTGAGCCCCAAAAACGTAAACTACGTTGCCAGGGCAATTGACGAGGTCGTACGAAACGTTAACTGAACTATGGAATTCATGTTTGCGAGCCGTTTTCTAACGAATCATGTTACATAGCGCATGCATAGATAGACCGTGATACCGTCTAGGATTGCCTGATTTTTTCCAATATGAATCCACGGCGTGGATGAAGCACATACGTGGACTGCATTATTGTGACGTACTTAAGAAATCTAAACACTTGCTGAAAGCGGGTAAAAAAAAATATGTTATTATAAAATATTGATTCATCATGATACGAAGCATTAAAAGAGAGCTATCTAAACTGAACCATCTATTATACAGAATGGTAGTTAATAGAGCAAAGCACAAATCCACAAACAATCATAGGAAATAGAAATGGAAGGTAAAAAGTATAAGTATCGAATGCGTAATGGCATGGCGTTGGAACTGACAGAATCAGAAGAGATTCTAGGTCGAGATCAATTCCAAAGGGTGTCATATCAGGTAAAAATGAATATACAATATTCGGGCGCTGAGCCGGATGACCAGCTGATTATTAAAGGGGTACCTCATTGAAATCCGAATCCCCTGCATGTTCCTTCGATTTTCCCTTTTCCCCTTCTTTAGGGCTGGATAGGCCATCGTTTTCTCCCTCTCCTTCTTCCTTCTTTTCCTCATTCCCATTTTCCAGACCTTGTTCATCCGGTTTCTCGGACAAGTCTTGTGTTTTCGACTCCTCTTCATCAGCATCCTCAGAATCCTCAGCAGGTAGTGGCGCCGACTTTGATTTGGTTTCTCCGTTAGTTTCGGGTTCATCCTCCTGCTTATTCTCTGGCGATGCTACTGTCCGCGTCTCATTGGCATCGGAGTCTTCATCCTTTGGAGGTGGAGGCGGTGGTGTCTCTGAATCTTCTGAAGAATCATTTTCTTCATCTTCTGCCTTTGGCTGCCCACTCATATCAGCTCCTGGGAACGGGGTTGGCGGTGCTTCAGGAGCACTTTGATCGGCCCCTTGTTGGCTTGCAGGGAGGGATAGAGACTGTGAATGAGATTGAGACTGGCGCGATGGAGAGGCTATAGATGAAGTCGTGCGCTGGTGCTGTGTTGAGCCGTGGATGGGCCCAAGTTGGCGGGTCTTGGGGTCGGCGTTCAGGTAATAGCCCCTTACGCTAACGATAGTGCCCTCTGCCTCGCAGGCGTCAACCCACTCAGGCACCACGACTGGGATGTTCATCTCGACAGCCTTCTCCCACAGTGGGCCTCTGCCCTCCGAGCAGACGAAGTGTGTAGTGTCGATTCGGACTGAGTCGATGAGCTTTCCACCAATGCGATCGAGAGCTTCACCGAGAGCATCCTTCCGCTGGTCGTTAAGAATACCAGTGGTCACTGTAATACCAGACAGGTCTGTCATCTTGTGTGTGCGGCAAGTCAGCTTCTCTGATTGGAACGTGCCTGCGGTCGTGCGCAAAACGAGATGGAAGCTGTATTCGGAGTGGATAGCGAGACCACTAATCTTGGTGCTGCGCGTCTCAAGAGGCCGGGGAATAGAACCGGCCTTGGAGCCATTGCGGTAGAGTGAGAGGGTCTTGAGGGATGCGGTAGCCAAGTCGATAGGGTCCCATTCGAGAACAAGGGAGGTTTGTGTAGCGTTGCGGAGGCGGAGTACGGGTGGTGAAGGTGTCTTGATGCCGTAAGTGTTGAGAATACGCTTTTGAAGGCCCTGGAAGGACGCCATATTGGCGGCTTCCGCGGCATTATTGCGCGCCACGGTAATATCAACGATACTTCCGGAGGTAATATTGTTAGGCAGGAGAACCGAGGGGAATTCGATCTAGGAGCGAGCAAGGTTAGCATTAGTGGCCACGTGGGGTAATCGGTGGAAACTCGAAAAGCCTTTGATCCTGAATCCCGATACTAGATAATCTTCCCGGGGCCAGGTCCATAGCAGGCTACGACTCGTCAAGGGCATCGTTTCTGCAGAATAGGATGGCTTACCAGGCGGTTGTCTTGGGTCAACAGGACAGCGACACCAGCGTCGACCTTTCCGACAGTCAGGGAGACCAGCATTCTGGCGGGTGAGCACAAATTAAGAAAGTCGCTAGATAGAGCACATTGACAGGCGAAAGGTAGCACTGGATGGATTGGAAGCGAGAGACCCTGACGGGAAGTGAAAGTTGGCTGTTGATGCTCCCTGGAGATCGGCCGCAGTTAGCGAAGATGCCAAGCTGGGCCAGACTGGGGAGCCGCGTGCCTGTCAGGAGCATTCGTCATCAGCAGCGCCCCCAGACAATCATTGCTCCATTACATACGGAGAATTTATTTCAGTCGGGCGGCTCTACAAATGCTGTTCCAGGAAATCTACAAGCGTCGATTTTTCTTCCTCCTGTGGCGTGCTCAGGGACTTTATACAAGCAAGCTTCTTCCTGCAAATAACTAATTGTACACGGGTATCATACGGAGTATAACTATGATCAGTAACTTGGACTTTGGCACTCTCCTAGCCTTTTTTTCGAGGTCTTGTGCTCGGCCGTGGGGTTCCCCTGTGCGTCTGTGTTGATTTCTGGGCCTCTCTGGGCTTTGCAACTTTCGGCTTTCCAGCGTTTATCGACTGCTGATTTCGTTGCTGCCAGACCAATTCATCCACCTTAGACTTCATCTCTTTCCGGAATGCCGGAAAGCCCCCCTGGAGTGAACTGGGCAAAATCGTAATAGTGACAGTCCCTCTCATATTACCGCGAATCCCATCAGTCGAAGCTATATTCGTCTCCAACCTTCTGCCCTTAGCATCAAATCCCCGGGCTTTCAACTCATATAGAAATGCATCTCGCACTTTTCGAGTAACCCGGGACCTGACTACCCGTTTTTCACCAAGTATCTGTATAGAGTTCACTCTCCACCATAGCGTATTTGGATCACGGTTATCGCACTGAAACTTTATCTTCGGGTAGATGGGACTTTGTCGAAGAGCAAGGTATCGAGAAGCAAACGATGGTATGACCGATTTTGGTGTGAATTTGAGATTAAATAGACGCTTAGGCGCGGATTGGGCCATTTCAAGAATTAAACCACCATGGAGGAGAGGAAAGGGCGCATAGAAATCACAGGCGGCCGGAGAATGAGCGGCATGTGTCGCCAGGTACTGGCAGGTACCAGTCGCCACCCAACGCACAAGGTTTGCCAAGAGTAGTTGCGAGCTCAATACACCTCGGTAATCAAGAAACAAAAATCTTGCAACAGCCAAAGAAGAATTGCACTGAAGCAGTTCGAAATCAGAACCAAGAGCATGCAACCAAACATTCAGCATCAATACTCTGGGCGGTGAGGATTCTCGCTTTGTGGCAAGCCTAAGGCAAACTTCAGGCCGCCACACATCGATGACATAAGCCATCACAAACCCGTTTGAAAGAGAGATTTAAATGCACAATCTCCCCCCACTTTCACGTCCTTTCGGCTGCCCATCTCCTTTCACCTTTGAACTCCAGTCTCTATTTCGATCTTTTGATCAGGCATACCGTTCCCAGCAAACAGCTAGGGATATCTCAGTATGCCCAAGAACAAGGGAAAGGTATGACTCACCTTTTTCTTCCCATCTCACCCCGCTCTGCCTTTTTTTTTTCTGGCTGTGTGCCGCCCAATCTCGCCTCCCGTCCCTACGCAATATTTCGCCAGTGATATCTCGTGATTGCGCTAGGTGAGCCGGACATATTTCGGCAGAAGGGAGTGGCAAATATTTTGCGAGCACAGCTTTGGATTGCCGCCATTATGGCCATATGCTAACACAAAATGTCTATAGGGCGGTAAGAACCGTCGTCGCGGAAAGAACGAGAACGACAACGAGAAGCGTGAACTCGTATTCAAGGAAGAAGGCCAGGAGTATGCGCAGGTCGTGAAAATGCTCGGCAACGGCCGTCTGGAGGCTCTCTGCTTCGACGGCGAAAAGCGCCTCGCACACATCCGTGGCAAGTTGAGAAAGAAGGTCTGGATTAACCAGGGCGATATCATCCTTCTCTCGCTACGTGACTACCAAGACGAAAAGGGCGACGTCATCATGAAGTACACCGCCGACGAGGCCAGAAGTCTGAAGGCCTACGGCGAGCTGCCCGAGCATGCCAAGATCAACGAAACCGACACCTATGGTCACGAAGGTTTCGAGGACAACGTCGAGTTCGACGAGGACCGCGATAGCGAAGAAGAGAAGGACGTCGATATCGACGAGCTCTAAAATCCTTGCCCCAACTCCGATATCTTTGCATTCCATACTCCCACAAGAGCCACTGGGTTCTTCCCGCCAGCTTCGATCTTCGGCCTTTTGTTTTCTATCACCGCAGCTTTTCAAACTACTACGCGGCGAGAAAAATCACTCTCGCGTCCTTCGACGGTGATGGAATCATAACGAGAAATCGCAGCTTACGGGACTTCCCCGCTTCGGTCTACCCTCAGAAGACCGGTGCTCTTCCAAGCTTAGTACGGATCATTGATATTTGGGACACTGGAGAACTATTCCATGGTGACGATTGACTGGGTACGTTTCCTTTCTTTCGCACAGTTCATCGTGGGAGAAGTTCTCCAGATGCTGCAGAGAAATGGACGTGACGCGTACGGTGTCAACTACGTACTGGTCCACGTCGTGTCAACGATCCTTTGTCTGTTTCTCTTTCTACTCGCTCCTTGCTCCTTTTCTTTTTTTGTTGAAAAAGCTTGGATGATAGATTAATGAAAGGGTTATGAATAAAAAAAAATCTTTCCAGACCATTTTACATTTGTAGAACACATCTATTATATGCGTCAGCCACTAGTAAGGCACGTAGCTCAACTATTCCCCATCAAAAACACTCTTCCGGAAGAATCCAACAACCTGCCTCGCAGCCTCCTTCCCCATATATGGATCAAGCTGTTCAACATCCATATTGGCGATCTCGGTAATATTCCCAATATCAAGGATCAGCCGTTCCAATACCTGAGGCGAGACCCCAGGAACAGCCCTCAACATCTCTTGAGGCAGAAGATTAAACGTCCGATGCTCAATCCCCGAAGCCGTCATCACATCCCCTGTCCCCGTTTCTGCGTCTGTCAAAATGTCCACATCTAACCCGATCTGCACAGCACGCACAGGGTCCGGCTCTGGGGCATTTTTCTTCATCTCGGCGAAAATTTCCGCCGTTTGATAAGGCGAGGATGACCAGATTATTTTCAGCCTTGGGAAGGCGAGCGTCAGGAGGACGAGGAGGTGTTGTGCTGATTTAGGGGCCGAGGGGTTAATGAGTGCACTGCTGGACGACAGAGACGTTGTTACTGCTCCCGATGAGGAGAAACCAAAGTCCGTTAGGAAAGTTGTTCCCGGTGTAGTTGCGGATGTGAAGGCGTCGAAGGTAAAGGATTTGTTTTCGTCGAATTCTATTAGTAGGAGAGGGGACTTGTAATGCTGGGTCATTGTTTCGGCCTGGTTGTACAGACGCCCGTTGCGGAGTGAAGATATCAGGTCACGAACGGATTTGCGTTCCACACAGATGTCTGGAGTGAGGATGTAGTCACCTACTGTTATTTGGCAGGGTACAATGATCATGTTATTGCCATGGAGGAGGGATGGGAGGGCACTTCTGAATTCTCGAACGTCGACGACCACTCGTGGCGGTGATGCTGTTGCTGTGAGACGTCCGCCACCGGCAATACGAGTGTTGACTGTTCGGAGGAATTGCTCTTGCGGGTCTTCAAGACTCTTGTCGTGAGTAATGGTTACAGCCATGTTCTAATGTAATAGGTTAGCTTCTGCCTTCCAATTCGGGGGCCGGGGGAGGGCGGGGGGGCTCCCTTACGCTCTTCTCTTTGATGAGCTTGGTGAACGAATCCTTCTCACGCCTGACTGCACTCAAGTACCGTTGTTCTTCAACAGAGCCACCATAATACATGAAGTACACGCGCACGTTTCTTCCTACGTGGGAGCTGCGGTACACCTCAACCCTTCGAATAAAAGCAGAGTCCGGCTCGTACATGATAATGTATCGAGGGCGCACTTCTTCAAGAATGTGCTCATCCATATCGCCATCAAACGGATGTACCATCACCAAGTCGTCCATGTCATACAACTCGTAGAAGTCGTCCATGTCCTCGAAGCCATCGATAATGACCTCTTCCTTTATCGTCTCTTCGGTTTCGGTGGGTTGAATCTCATCCAGAAGACCAGACATCTGTTCCGAAGGCTCAGCGTCTGCTTGGACACTAGCATTCGCTGGACGGCCCGGCATTGAATTTGTAACCACACCTCCACCACGGACTCGACGTCGCTTGTTTGGAGGAGCTCTTCCTTGTGGGGTTGACGGTCGCGGCGTATCTCGGCCTGATCCAGATGGAGTCGCCTCAGTTGATAATCTCCCTGACAAATTTTTGTTGACGTTGGACAATGAGCGTTTCCAGTCAATATACTCCCTTAGTCTTCGGCGCAACATCACATCTGCCGAGCGCCTCTTTTCTTGCATGCTTTCATCGTAATCCGCATTATCCTGTCTGTCGTCTTCTACTTTCGTATGCATTGTCCCCAAATACTCCCGAAGTTGACGACACATTCGTTGGTCAGCACACATTATTAACACAATGCTATTTGACTCGTCCGTATTGACTGGGTTGAGATATGCGTCTGTTTCAATCTCCTCAAGTATCTCAGCTAGGACCTCCCATTTGGGCTGTTCTTCCAAAACAGGCCGAAGTGTAGTAGGTAAAGAGGTTAAGGACGAGCGAGTGGTATCATTGCCAATTTTCCCCTCGTACACCCGCGACTTCGCTGTCTGGAAAAGAACGTGGGCGGCGTCAAGAAAGAGCCATGGTGAATAGTTGTGTCTCGTGGACCCTGGAGGGGGGGAGTGCGCAGTTACAATGGTATCAAGATATTTAACAAACGAAACAGCGTCGTAGGTGAGGAGGGCGCTGGATTTTATTTTTCAGTAACCGGCACAGGGAAATTCGGAAGGGTGGTGTTTGTCTTACTGAAGTATTGCCCGAAGATCGCTGAGATCACTCACAATCTGCTTCGTTCTGAAACTCACACGGTGCCACATGGGCTCAAGCTGACGTCTGATAGCAATGTCAAAGCTCCTGTGCAGAGCACTATCCAAAGTCCAATCAGCCATGTCCAAACCTGTATTCGCCTTCTTGAGCTCTCCGATACATAGTTCAACGCATTCAAGAACGGCGTTTTGGATTTCCCGCATCTTATCGCTCATTGGGACCTCAAGTTCGATTACTTCTGCCTTTCGGTGGCCCTCCAACGACTCAGCGACGGTAACGTGGAACCGCGGCCATAATGAAGCTTTGCGCAGGAACAGGTTCCGCAGGGAATTGGCCAAGGGCGCAAACCCTGTGGTGAAAGGCTCTGGGGAGTCTGAGAAGGCTTTTAGAAAACCACTTTTGTTGGCATGACGAAAAATCCGAACTATGAATGCCTCGGTTGACGTTGCGACAATCCTAACCGGTTAGTTGGTATGCGAGCAGGCAGGTGAAGCAGAGCCTTACTTGTCAGCATGAAGTACAACCAGCCCAGTCACCTTCTCTGGGTCAAGTAGCTCTGGGACGGGTCAAATAAAGCTCAACATTGGGAGTTTCGGGGTATAAAAGTACTTGATAGCAAATCCACGACTAGTATTCTGGATGTCACACTCAGAATACCACCTTCGGCGTATATCCTCTCTCTAGACTGCTATCAATATTCAATCCCAGCACCTATTAGCGGAGCACTCACCGCATGGGAACTGTAGCCCTGTCTGTATTTATAACCTTGAGGCCCCTTGCAAGAGGGGTTCTGCTAATCGCATAATGCTCTGCCAGGGCTTCGAGGGCGTCAGCACCGCTTGTGTGATGGATTGCCCCCCAGGCAGCTTACCCTCTCCAATCCACTCGTTTTCTCTATCGTCTGCCCCCACTAATAACACCAGGTTATTTCCAGCAGCATCGTAAAAGTGAAGCAGGTTCGTAATCAAGCGCAGGAGCCCCAGACCCCGAGCGAGGATGACCAATTCATCTTCCCCGCGGAGTTCGGTGAAGATGTCCTGCTGGAATTGCTACGGCGTACCCAGTCAGCGGAGAAAGCAAATTTATACACGGGGACATATGATCACTAATACATACTAGGGGCAGGGACAGCTTCACCGGCGCATTCTGTCGTTCAGGTGGCATGAGGAGCCTCTTTACGCGAGCAGATGAAGTCTCGTCGCGAAGTGAGGCACAAGAACACGAAGTCACGTGTTATGATGCAATCTATACTTTGCTCAGCTTCCTCTGCTAATGGCTGTTCTTGATTATTCTATACCTGGTAGAGTTCCTTTTATGAATACTTTAAGATACGTTATGATGGGCTTGGTGTTCATCAAGACCGGTATACGGCCGAACACAGATGACTGCAAGATCAGCACATGTATACCCAACTTCACATTTGAAGCCTCAAGGCAAAATTGAAATTAAATTAATTAATTTCAGCTAGTAGCACATAGTTTATCAAATCGATACACATATCCCATCGTGCAAGGGGTTCTGGTGAAAACATTCCTATCTCACTTGTTCAGCTCCTTCATGCGCGCCTCGATTTCCTCTCGAGATGCTTTGGGCGGCATATCTGGTGATGGCTCATTAGGCGTCTGAAATTACACAGGCTGTTCAATTCGTATCCAATATGGTACTCACTTTCGGGAATCTGGGGCCCCTTTGAGATATGATCCTGCGCGGTGGCTTTCTTGCTCTGGTCCTGAGAATTCGAGGACTCGTTGTTGTTTCCCGGGGCGAATGTCTTGGGGTCTGGAACAACAGGCATGGCGATTAAAGAGAGATCTGGACTTAAAAAAAAAACGAATAGTATAGTATCAATTCTCTGTAGATGGTGAAGAAGAAAACTACTGCCTATGGAGAGTTTATACAAGAGTGAAAGGCGAGGTGACGTCATCCACAGTAGGGCAAGCACTCGGACACTTGAGGCAAACTATTAGCTTGTGTCTCATATAGCCCTGGGAACACCATTGCCCCGCCTAGCTCTTGGTTCTTTTCGTATATGGCGAGTTGGTGGGATTGCGTATTCAAATGAGGCAGTTCAGTGCGGCCTAAGCAGAATATATAGTTGTCCACCTTGGGATCAATATGATTTAGGCATCAAAATAATAGAAATACGGCAAGAACAAACCGACAAACCAGTGGCGACCCTTTTATCCATTTCACAATTCGATCAAGGACAGCACTATACAGAAAACCATTGAGAAGTGAAGAATACTGCTGCGTAAGGCTGTTGCTGGTCGCATGCGAGTTCCCCACTGGGCGGTGCCTCTAAAGTTGTTTAGTGCCTGCGACTCCGCTCGCTCTTGTCTGCCTCACCTCAACTCCACGAGACGCCTTCCTTTACCTCCCCCAATCCTGCATTCCCAAAAGACAACCCAATCCCTGTCTACCGGGAACAGAACAACGCTATTTCTTGACCACATTCGACCCTATTTAGGTCTTTAATCCGACAACAGGCGCCAGCTACTCGCTTGCCCTGCTCCCAACTACCGCCGGTTTTTGCCGCTGACAAGATACCTATACCTGTCCCTAGGAAACAAGCGCTCTTTGTTCTTCGAAGATTTACCCTGCAATGTGCTGCGGGGAATCAGATTAAGACGACGCCTTCCCCCTTATTCTTCGAGCACCCCCGAACGTTCAACTCCTCTTTGCCCCGCTTGACTCGACATGCCATCTATCCTCAGTGACGCCGACAAGGAGACGGTGAAGAGAAATGTCCCGAAACCAGCAAATAAAATTCAAGCAGTAGCAGTTGCGCGGCTCTTTGTGGCCTATCCAGATCCGCACAAATGGACGTATACCGGCTTGCAAGGCGCCGTTGTGCTGGCGAATGACTTGGTCGGGCGCACCTTTTGGTTGAAGCTGGTGGATGTATCCGTGAGTGATAAGCCATGATTTTGTTAGGATTATTCTAACATCGCACTTCCCCGGACTGTAGCCCGCTGGAAAAGGCGTTATCTGGGACCAAGAAATTTACGAGAACTTCCAATACAACCAAGACCGCACGTTCTTCCACACCTTCGAGCTGGACGATTGCCCCGCCGGTTTATCGTTTGCTGATGAAAAAGAGGCGAAGACGTTCATCAAGAAAATGATAGAGCGGGAGAAGAATGCAAGCAAGGAGACACGCCAAACACCATTTGCGTCCACACGAGGACAGGGTCCTACACCCGTTGCGAACGGGAAGTCTGGTGGCGTAGGCCGATCAATATTCGGTAGCCTGCTGGGACGGTCGCATGCACCAACGCAAATAACACCGGCCGAACTCCCTCCAGCCCCTACGATACAAGCCGCCCCACCACCTCCCCCTGCGGCTTCCCCGGCGCGCAAGGAAATGCCTTTCGACACGAGTGACCCATCATGGAAGGGACTGTTGGGCGAGCTCGAGGCCATGGGGTTCACGGAAGACCAGATTGCAGACAATGCCGATTTCATCAAGTCGTATATCGAGCAAAAGCAAGCCAACGAAGCGGAATCTGCATCGCCACCAGTCAATGATAAGAGGGGAAAGGCGCCACCTCCACCCCCTCCTGCTGCACTACCGCCGAAGGCTAGTGCCGTCAGCCCTCAGAATACAGGTAGTAGCTCGGGCAGCCGTCGGGGTGCTCCCCCTCCACCACCGCCGTCGCGCAAGACACAAGCCAAAACGGACGAAGACACAGCTCCGACACCCCCGCGAGACCCGTCGCCGCCGAGGGAAAGATTTCGGGCCCCTCCCCCGATCGCGGATGCTGGCAAATTTGCCCATACAGTCGGTCCAGCTCCGCCAGCGCGCCCGCGAGCGGCGTCAGGCGCTAACCCTGGACCGCCGCCGCCGCCCCGACCTCCCAAGGCTCCGATGGACGATGGACCTCCTCGATTCGGAGTACCACCTCCATTCCAAGGGGAACGAAAGGTGTCCGCCCCGCCAGCTCCCCCTAGCCGTAGCCCGGCACCTCCAGGGCCTCCACCACCCCCGCCGCGGACAGCAAGTCCTGCATCACCACCCCAGCTTCCTCCTAAACTCCCCAATGCCTCAGGAGGACCTCCACCACCACCACCAAGGAGCCCGGCTTCCCAACCCCCGCCACCGCCTCCACCTGTACCTGGTGCATCACGGCCTACTCCTCCGCCCCCTTCTACAAGCGCTGCTCCGTCCCCACCTCCACCACCGCCGCCTGTTTCAAGCATCCCTCCCCCGCCCCCTCCACCGGCACGTCCGAGTCCAACTGCGAGTGCTGCACCACCACCACCACCACCAGCGCCGGGGGCCTCTGCGCCGCCCCCTCCCCCGCCGCCTCCAGGGGCTGGTGCACCCCCACCCCCTCCGCCTCCTCCAGGGGCTGGTGGTCCTCCACCTCCTCCGCCTCCTCCAGGTGCTGGTGCTCCTCCACCCCCGCCTCCTCCTGGTGGATCAGCACCCCCGTTGCCGCAGCCTACTGGTGGCAGAGACGATTTGATGGCTGCTATTAGATCATCTGGCGGTAAAGGCGGTGGCGGTTTGCGCAAAGTCAAAGATACCGAAAAGAAAGACCGAAGTGGAGCCATGGTGCCAGGAGGGGCTAATGAAACATCATCAGCAAGCCCTAGCGCAGGCGGTGCCCCTCAAGGAGGATTGGCGGGAGCATTGCAAGACGCACTGGCAAAGAGAAAACAGAAAGTCAGCGGCAGTGGTAAGCACCAATTCCCAGAACTATTTGTTATAAATATCTAACTCGATTTCAGATGACGAAAAGGACGACGATGATGATTGGTGAGCGACGAATTGTTGAGTGTCTTCTTGCATCTTCCCTATTTCGTTGCAAAATATTGTTCAGTTTCTTTCTTTCTTTTTTTTTGATACCTATGTGCTCCAGTCTTCTTGTAGCCATTCGTGTTGTTTGCGGTTTATCAATTGCAAGCGTTGGGAGAGGATGTTTGTTGAATTCCCAAAAATCTGCAGCGTTCAGTTCACCTTTCAGTGTCTTGTTCATGAAAACGGTCATACGCATCAATGTCTCGGCTACGAAATTCGCATGTCGGCCAACAATGTATAGAAGGTCTGGAAAGAACTTTTCTTATCAGGATATCAGCCAATGTTCCCATTAGTAGTTAAGGACTAAGGCAGCGTAGCTGTATAGATAGAGTGGCGGGAACATAGTTGATCCGACCGCCTTTTTTGGATGGGGAATTCCCGAAGAGCGGAAGTCATTCTGCACAACCACGGAGCACAACAAGTGGATGTGAGGCTGCGAGAAGAAATTGGGGCAGACTTCTCTGCTCGTCTTCTTGCCAATATCAACAGATATGCTCTCACCGTCGCCCTTGAACCCCTCTGTTCCTTCAGCGCAACTCTTGCGATTTCTGCGTGCCCAGTCCGAATCGGCCCTCTTTTCGAAAAACCAGCCATCGGCATGCCGCCATGTTTCTACTAAGCTAACTTCCTGCTCGTCTACCCCGTTACCTGTGAGACGACCTTCTGGAAGAACGAACGTTGGAGTTAGTCCGCTCCAGACGCGCTTCTTTTCTGGCGTGAATCCATCATCGAGAAACCGTACCTCTTTAAAATGCGCCTCATCTGTTCCCCCGTCGCTCCCGTCCGGCGCGTTCGAGCCCCCCTCGAAACCGCCGCAAACTCGCAACTTCTCATCGACTAGAAATCGGTCTATCCTTCGCAGGTTTTGGGATTTCAGACGCAAGAAGCCAGCTGCGGAGACGCGCAAACCGCCCTCGTTGCTTGACGATACGGATGGCGGGCTGAGCCTTGCGCGAGCGCTCGCAGCAAAGGCATCAAATGAACTCCGCCTTAGGTGCACAGAATTTGATATGAATGGGAATGTAACTTTGATGAACGGCGAGTTCAAGAAAAGCGAGCTGATTGCCAGGGTTAGTGTCGGCGTGCTGAATGAAAATGATAAGAAACTAATGATTATAATAGTATGGCCTTCTCCCGCGTGATCTTCGAAAGATCGATTCGTCCACGTTGCCTCATATATTTGTACGGCCGAGCACTATCCTGATCAACTTACTTCATCTTCGTGTGCTCATTAAGGCTGACCGGGTTCTGGTCTTTGACGCATACGGCTCAACGGATTCATACATGCAGTCCCTGTTTGTGTATGATTTGGAGGGAAAACTGCGACAGAAGCAGGCCCCGGGTGCCGGTGCCCTGCCTTATGAGTTCCGGGCCATCGAAGCCGTCTTAATCAGTGTCACTACTGGCCTAGAGGAAGAATTTAACGGGGTCCGGGAGCCGGTTGTGCGCGTCTTACGAGCTTTGGAAGAGGATATTGACCGGGATAAACTTCGTCATCTCCTCATTTATTCGAAGAAATTGGGTACATTCGAGCAAAAAGCACGGCTTGTTCGAGATGCTATCGATGATCTACTCGAGGCGGACGATGACCTTGCCTCGATGTACCTGAGTGAGAGATCAGAAGGTGTTAATCGCGAAGAACACGATCACCAGGAAGTTGAGATGCTGTTGGAGTCGTACCACAAGGTTTGTGATGAAATTGTGCAAGCTAGCGGGAACTTGGTGACGAACATCCGCAACACAGAAGAAGTGTAAGCCTTGGCTCTTTCGTGTCAAAAACAACCGACTGACTTTAGCAACAGTGTGAAGGCAATCCTGGACGCCAACCGCAATTCTCTCATGCTTCTCGATCTGAAATTTAGCATCGGTACTCTCGGTCTTGGGGCAGGGACTCTTTTTTCCGCGCTGTACGGAATGAACTTGAAGAACTTCATTGAAGAATCCGATCTGGGCTTCGGCGCAGTATCCGTGACTTGCTTCGCTATCTCTGCCGTTGTCTGCGTGTATGGTCTTGCAAAGCTACGCAAGCTGCAACGTGTCCGTATGTGGGGGGAATCAGGCGTCGGCGGAACCCCAATTCTTCCTCTCCACTCTCATAACACTCTTCCAAGCCATAGGGCCAACTGGCGAGCCGATTCCATAGAACCTGTTTGGAATAGCCTTCCCGGCGAGGGAAGGGCAGAACGCATGAAGCGCATCAAGGATAGCGCGGCTGCTGTAGCGGCCGCGCGGTCCGCTGCCTCTAATGCTACCAATAGCAGATCTGCGTCCCTGAAGCGCGCAATCAGGTTTCCTTCTGGCTCTGGTTCCAGTTCTGCATCAAAGCAAGCGAAGGAAGCGACGGCTACTTCCCGCTCTGAGACTGGTTCCCAGGGCGGTAGTTCTGCATGATCGAAGTGCCCGTCATTTGTTGTTGACAAATTGTACATGCAGGTATGATTGATGGGATGTTTGTGATTTCATTTGCATTTGAGGCTCTGGGTGGAGTTCGGATTTGTTTGTCTTCTCTGCTTCCATACTTAATAAATTAGACCTCATGTATTAGTCTGCTTTATGACCCTTTGCCCTCAGTTTGGAGCTGGTTCAAGTACGAAGGAGCTTTTGTTTCATTGATTATAGATTCATCATCTCAGTATATAGACAGCAGAACAAAGTCCCCAATCAATGTACATTAGACAATAAATCAATCTCTACTGGGTATCTATTTCGCTTTTGTTGTATTTTGACCACTCTCCACTAAGCACCTAATGCCCATGCACATTACCACCAACACCCGCTCTCAACCCCTTAGCCCTATCGACCCAACTCTTTGCAGCAGAATAAACCCCGCCATCTCGGGCACACTCCCTCTCTACAATCGACGTAATCCGGTCTCGAACCTCCCCTTCGACACCTTCTTCATCCGCATCCGCACCCGTATTCGTACCCCCATTGGCCCCGGTAGAACACTTTGTAGAAAATGACCCTAAAACACCTATATTCCGCGTACTCGGAATCCTCAGCAGTGTCTTGAGCACATCAAACCCAGCCTCAGTCGAAATAGCAACAAGTTTATCCGTAAGTGCGCCGTAGGTAGATGTGCCGAAGGACGCGCTGTGCGGGTTCTGCTCCGTTAGACGCAATTTGCGGAGAGCTGCTAGGTCTCCTGTTTCTATTCCTGGTGCGGAGGATGGTTCCTGCTTCCGGTTGTTCTTTTCTGGTGTCGATGGTGTTTGAGCGGGGTATCGATACCTTGCGGCGGACAGGGCGTGCGAGCAGCATGGGATTGCGAGGAACGGGGGCGGGGAGGCGGGATTGAGGAGGGCTGCTAGGAGGGGTGTCCAAATGGTGAGTTCGTCTGCGTGGTTGGAGATTATGAAGGTGTTTTTGTGGATGGTGGAAAGGGATGGTGAGGGAGAAGGCGAGGTTGTGCTATCTGACGACACTGGCGACGCAGATACTGGTAATAGCTGGTCACGGTCGTCGTCCCGTGTGGAAAGTGCGACTGCAAAAGGTTCAGGGATGTAGATTTCCTCCTTTAGACGCTCTTGTATATCGGCGGGGAAGATACTCCATGTTTTCCTGCGGCGCGCGTCGAAGCCCCAGCCGGGATATCCCTCCTTGAGGAGGATGTAGACGAGTACGCCGTTTCCACAGGCAATGTCTACGAATCCTGGAAACTGAGATTTTGCCCGTGCTTGCGTGGAGCCGCCAACGTTAGATGTTGAGGACTGTTCCTGTTCATCTGCAGGAACACAGCCATACATATCCCGCCACAACTCCACCAGGAAGGCTGCAACCCCCAAGTCCTCGAAGACATGCTTGCTCGGCTCCGTGCTTTCAACCCAGCGAGAGCACAGGTCTACCGCGTACTTGGCCTTAAGCCGCGAGTAAGTATCTTGGACACGGTGACGGGGGATCACGTTATCCTTTATAGGGGCTATAATGGATTGCACCGTTTGGGATTTGGCTTTGGCATTGAGAAGACGGCCTCTCGTAACTCGTATTTGCACCTCTAAGAGGTTACCTAGAGTGCGCTCCAAGCGGTTGTGGACGGATTCGGCTGGGTAGGGCAGGAAGTGGATAGACATTATGTTTGTGCCTGTTCCTGGTTCTGTTTCGTTTGTCTGGGGAGATTCTCCAGATGTAGATTCTGAGCCTGGGGGTTGAAAAGTATTCTCGCACTCATATAGCAAAGCCAATGACTGAAGACGCGGATGGTAGTAAGGTAATTCCTCCTTCGAGGAGACGTGTGGCGTATAAATGACCAGGAACCGTTTCCTGCCAGCCTCCGACTCTGCAGTGGGAGAAGACACAGACATATAGAAGTGGCATGTCTGTTCCAACGGCCGATCGAGCTGGGAATTCCTAGGAATCAACCTCCTGACTACCGTCCTGGTCAGCTCGAACCCAGGCACATGTCGAGCAGGGAACGATTCCACTGCTTGTTGGGACGTCTCTGTCTCTGCATCGCTATCGGCCAGGATATCAGCTCGGAACAGTACGCTCGAGTTCAGGCCTGGGTTCGCGATAAGGAAGAATGTTGTGCTTTGAATTTCTTCTAGTGGGTATGGCAGTCCATATTCCTTTAGGTCTGGCGAGGTCACCCATGTTCCTTCTTGCCTGTCTGGGGATGTATCCAGCACTGATGACGGGGAGAGAGTTTCCGAAAGTGGGCGTCCCGAGAGTCGCGATAGGTCTCTCAAGGATTTCTTGGCCCTTCCCATTGCTGGATTGGAGATTTTGAAGCAGTTTGTTGCTGGAGATGTTTGATCTCGCAGCGGAAAAAGGCCTGCTTAGTCATTGCATGTATAGATCACGACAGGAACAGACAACCTTTATAAAGAAGCCAGATGGCATTTCCTTTAAAGAACAGAGATTTTTGTATACCTGAGTATTCCAGACATGAAAGATGACAAAGGCATATGCGGCCATTAAGGCACAAACCCGAATCTCAACTGTTGCCAACTTTGAACCTGATAAGATCAATGCTATGACGCAACCCTTCCGCATAAATCTCACCGAGCCCCTCCATCCCTCCATCCCTCTATCCTCTCAACAATCGCTTCAATACTTCGACAATCTACTTCACCTTCCCTCTTTTTTAGCAGTTTAATTCACAATTTGCAAACATGGCACCCCGTTGCTTCATCATTCGCCACGGCGAAACCGAATGGTCGCTGAATGGCCGGCACACGGGGATGACGGACCTCGCCCTGACAGAAAACGGCGAGAAGCGAATCAAGTCCACAGGGAAGGCGCTTGTCGGGAACGACCGACTAATTGCGCCCAAGAAGCTGGTTCATGTGTACGCTCTAATATGCCCACTCGCTCTATAGATCCAATCAATGATAGCCATGGATGAAATGGTACTGACGGTGCTGGTGCTGGTATAGATACGTCTCCCCGCGCTCGCGCGCCCAACGAACACTCGAGCTCCTCGATATTGGATGCCGGGAGCGGCTCCCTTGGACGGAGAAGCGGAAGCCCGAGGCCGAGGAGCCGATTCGGACAGAGGCCCGCGTGGAGGTTACAGAGGCGGTTCGCGAGTGGGACTATGGAGACTACGAGGGATTGACGAGTAAGCAGATTCGAGAGCAGAGGGCAGAGCGTGGAGAGCAACCTTGGGATATTTGGCGCGATGGGTGCCCAGGCGGAGAGTAAGATTTGTTCCTGATCCCTGACCACTGATCCTGATCCTGGTCCAGATCTTGGTCCTGCGGAATTTCAGAGTACGTAGCTGACTTAATATGCGACAGGTCGCCTGACGATGTTATTAAGCGATTGGATGCATTGATTGCGGATATCCGGGAACAGTATCACAAGCCGTGTTTCGAGTCAGGCGAGTCAGGCAAGGGGGACGTTCTTGTTGTCGCGCATGGTCACATTCTTCGTGCCTTTGCGATGCGCTGGACAGGACGCCCTTTGACGGAGACGGCGCTGATACTGGAGGCTGGAGGTGTGGGCACATTGAGGTACGTCCGAGAATAAACCTACCTGCAATCTTGTTGTCGCAACATATACTAACAGCCTGGTATAGCTATGAGCACCATAATATCGAAGAACCAGCGATCATTCTTGGTGGAGGATTTGTTGTAGAAAACTAAATTCTATGTTAGATCTAGATAATGATTAGACTTAAAGACCTATTCATCGCCCTGCATTCCTTGACCAAGTAACTTGGCCGAGTCCCGTGGTACAGAGATATCTTTGGAAGAATGACCTTCATAATCCCGCCCACCCCCTGTCACATCCTTAATAGGCTTTCCGGTTGCTCAGAAGGTGTTCCCTTTGTAATAGTTCGTAATGGGGTCGAAGCCACCCCCTGGGGTTCTTCTGTGGTAGTCGCCGGTCTGGGCTCGGGGGAACAAGTTCACCATTATGCTCAATTGCAGCAGACCACTAAGACGATGGGTACCGAGGAATCTGCGATGGCTAGCCATAAGCCTGTACATTGACGGTGCTCGTTCGGGCAATGAGTCTATAAGCGTGTGATAGCCCGTCGCCCCGTCGCCATTGTACGTTCTCGGCAGACTCCGTAGTTGAAAATTGAGTAGACGGACCAATGTTGACTTCGAGTTGAGATGACCAGAGTAGGTTCGACTGTCCCTCTGTCTATACGCCGGTTAGAGACCAACAACTTGGCATACCACCGAATCGACGAGGATAAAATAGAGAACGACAAAGAAGACAGCACTTACTCATCACTCCATAGTTCCGTAGGTAAGTAAGTAGGAAGTTCGATAGTAGGTGGAAAAGACTTTTTACTGCTCGCCCTCCTCATCCTCATCCTCATCGGCCTTCTCTTTCCCCTTCCCCTTCTGCTCCTCATCACTGCCTCCCTTAACCCCCTCTTCCCCGAGTACCTTTGCAGATCCCATAAAAAGGGCGCCTACATACCCGCCCAGAAACCGCATATCCTCCGCCTGGACGGCAGTCATGCGCAATAAATTCTCGGTGTCGGCTAGGTTTGCATTCAGCTGTGCCAGCTGTGTCTGCAGGTTTGCGTACTGGCGCGTTTTGGCGGCGGACATGGATGAGGGGCCGCTGGCAGGGTTTGTTGTTGCTGAGGGGAGGATGGAATGGCGGGGGAAGGATTGAGAGGCTGAGTTGGAATGGGTATGGTGGTGGGAAGGGCGCATTTTGGTGGCGTAATGTTGAGTTTTGCGGTGTTTTTTTTGTTTAGCTCCGGTTGTTTGTTTTCTGAAGAGTAATGGAGTTGTCGTGGTGGTGGTTTGTTTACCGGTATGGTTCCGCCGGATCACGTGGCAACCGGCTGTCTCTTACATTTACGCCATCAATATAACTCGGTGCAGTTGCCTCAGGCTCTACAGTTCTAATCCATGAGGATATTTGGTTGAACCATCTTCAATTCTCATTTATTGTCAATCAAATAATCACGGCCTGACTGGCCACAGGGCCCTATTAGAATAACCCGCAAAAACCAGCCAAGTCAAGATAGTCAATCCCAGTGCTCTTTTATGCGCCGCAAACACAGACCGTAGACAAGGAAATTGGAGGATGATGGTGGGGCCAACAAGCTCAATATAAACCAACTCGAACAAAACTGCTAGGGGAGTGCGATATAAGGGCCGGAGTAAATGAATGGATGACAAGGCGTCTGCAAATACAACCAAGGGCAAAAAGTATTGGACACCAGCATCAAGAGTCGTGCAGACAAGATAATGTACAGCAAAGGGTCATGCATTGGGATGATTCACTGGCGTTGTTGCAGGGAATTATGGTATAATTGTAGCGAGTCAAAAAAGAAAAAAAAGAAAACCAGGATGGTCCACGCGGACTATCCGGCTCCTTGTTCATTAGATAAGACAACGTCGCAGGAATGAAAGACAAATGACCACATGCGATATAAAAACACCCCACCCACATATGCGCCCACTTGAATATGAAACAAGACGGAGAGGTCAAAACAGAAACAACAACGTCCCTTATGTCCCTTTTGTATATGTAGTGAACAGAAACAGTGCGACAGGGAGTCAGCTCTTATCCTCCTTGCCAGGCATCTCATTAGGAGGTATTCTTTATAACAAGTAAGCAGCGCTGTGAAAGGAAATTCTCAAGCCTGAGCAATGGCGGGAAATGAATGCTGAGAGGAAACAACACGTGTGTATCTGGAAAATGAAACGGGCAAATGATGGATATGTGTCGCTCGGTCGGTACGGTACGGAACGGTTGGAGGGAGGGAAGGGGTTTCGTACGGGCCGGAGGGGTATCATCGTCGTCGTCGTCACCTAGCGAACGAGCGCCGCGGCTGCAGCTTGCTGCGCGCCTAGGCTGATTTGGCTGCTATGGGCAGAGTTCTCGGATTCGTGTGTGGCACTAGCACCGCTATCACCACTCTCCGCGCTGGCGCTCGCACTTCCGGTCAGACTTCTTTGCTTGGGAGTACCCTTGGCGGAGTACGGGTTGCTCACCCCATATTGTTGTTCAACTTGCTGCGGGCCAACCGCATTTCCTTGCCCAGGGGGATGCCTGGGAACAGGTGTTCGCATGGCCCCCGGTGGTGACGGATTACCACCGTTCATGTGTCCATTCATGGGCCCATTCATCGGACCACCAGGTGGGACAAGACCATCTTGGGCTGTGCCTGGTCGGCCCATTCGAGGGCCGGGTCCCGGCCCTCCAAACGGTGTCCCCGGAGACTGGCTATTCCTCCTGCTCCCGGGATATCCAGGGTGTGGAGGAAAGTCGCCCATGCGGCTGGCAGTGAGGGAGTTAGTACGAGACCCTTGGTGCATTTGGTTCCTATCGACGGATCCATAGCGATTTGACGAGTATGCCATCATAGGATTATCCATGAGGGATTCATGGAGGCCAGGGATCTCTTGCATAATACGATCACTAGCACGCTTTCTTCCTCCAAAGTATCGGCCAAACGAAGACGAAGCCCGGCCGCCGCCGCCACCACCGCCGTTCATGTTCATGTGCATCTCTGGATTTTTGCGGAATTGACTGGCGTTAGGTGCTTTTTTGTTTCTTCGTGACGTTATACTCATCATATCCACGTTGTCGGGATCAACGTGCGGGATAGGTATGTTTTCCATGGGGTCGAAGTAGTCAACCTCGTCTTCCTCATCGAAAACGGACCGCGGTGGGGGCGGTCTGCGTGGTCCTCGCCTCATGCTCATCTCTTGCTCCCGAATCATGAGTTCCCGCTGACGCAGGGCTAGTTCTCGCTCTTTCAAAGCGATATCTGGCGGGGGACCACCAGGTGCCGCATCGTGGTAACCATTGGTTGCGGGGGGAATAGCACCTGGAGGGATAGCGCCCTCTGGGGCATCATCGTAGAGCATTAAGTGACTGAATTCTTCTAGGCCTTCTAATGAAGGCTCTCGGGGAATACGACCAGGATGGGGATGCGGCTGCGCACTTGGAGGTCTCGACATCATGGGCGGAGGAGGGCCCCGTCTCGGCGGCATCATTCCCGATGAGACTCTCCCGGGGGGCGGGCGCATCGGGCCGGTTCTTGAGGGAGGAACCGATGAGACTCGTGGTGGCGGTTGAGCAGCCACTGCTGGAGGAGTTGAACCTCGAGGTTTCGTCAGATTCGCATTATTGACGTGATGCAGTATGGCATATAACGTCTCGATGCGCGGAACCTTCTCGCCAAGTTGCGTAGCTAGCTTAATGGGGGATCCGAGGTACGTTTCAAGCTCCATTGGTCGTCGAGATTGAAAGTCCTGGTACATTGTGCTCGGTGTTTCGATGGCAGACATTTTGCCAATCGTTTTCTCAATGAAATCGCTGGAAAAAGAGCAGCCGCTCTTCATAGCCAGGTCGACCAACTCTTGAATGACATCGGAAACTAGTTGGCGCACTCCCACCTTTTCTAAGAGCTGCTTATGATTCGCGGTTTCAAACATGACACTCGCCGGGTGGAACGCAATAGGACTGGGGAGAAGAGACTGTTAGCAATCGGGAATTGGGAGTTTCGAGAGTATGGGTGCTTACCCGATCATACGCTCAAACTGCTCCTGTCTAATGTTCGTTGAAACTTTGCAGTCAACCTGTCCGGACTCCAGGGTCATCGCTAATGCCTGGGCCATGTCGCTCTGGATTTCAGGAGGAATGCTGGAGTTGTTATCTGTAGCACCGACGGAGATCTCTGATGAACCGAGATGCTCGAATTCACCCGGACCAGTCTGGGTTATATCGACGCCGGACACCAATGATAAAACGACGTTGGTTGGGAACCGCTGTTCCAGGTGTGATTCGACACCAAGGGTATTTGTGGTGTTTACCAATATACAAGTATGCTGGGGGGTAACGACAGATTCGATGATGGCGGCCAAATCGTACACATCGGGTAGTGCCTTGACGCACAGGATAACGTAGTCGAAGGCGTTTTCACGAGATGCGGCTTCTTCTGGGGCGCGGACAACTATGATAAGGACAAGAAATCAGCAATGCAAAAACAAACGGGTGTTGAGAGGGCACTCACCATGACGGGGCTTAAACCGCTCGGTTCCAAACGTTTTCGACCTGGATATGGTTAGAATAGGAATCCGAAGCACCTCTAGCAGGGAACGTACTTCATAGTCACCCCATATTGAGAAACCGCCTCGAAGCCGTTTTTCCAGACGAGCGTCACGTCGCACGAAGTGGTTGCCTGGAGTCTCCAGGAGAGGAATGCAGAGATGCCATTGCTGCCCACTATACAGGTTTTTGTTAGACAACGAACCATTCTCGGAGCTTTCGGAAGCGAGGGAAACGAAAGGGCTTTGGATGATTCGAGGTGTAACAGAGAATGCTGAAAGCACCAGGTCGAATCGGGGGTCGCAACGGTCACTAACCTGACAAAACGCGCAGGCGCGGCGGAGGAGCCATGATAAGCGATCAAAAGTGGAAGGAAGCTGATCCCGCCAGCCAGAGGCCGATAAAAGGCGGCAGACGATAGAGCTCTTGAGAAACACCAACTCCACGGGCACGGAGGACGCTATTTATCGCGCAACGAGCGGACGTCGATTCAATGGACTAGATCGGGGCGGATTTCGATAGACAGAGCAGGCACCGAAGAAACAGTGGAAAAAGAAAACGAGCGAGAAACGAGAGTCGCGGAGGAGAGATGGGTGGATTAGAGGGCGTAAGAAGGGGACGAGGGAGGAGAGGGATGGAATTGTACGAGGAGCTAAACAAAAAAAAAGAGAGAGAGAGAGGGAGAGAGATGGAGGAGTGAGGATGATGGATGGACGGATGGATAAAGGTGGAAGCAAGAAAACGGCCAGTTCAGGCGGAAAGGCAGCCCGATATGATGGAGCCGTGCGTATCGACGTTTTCTTTTCCTTTTTCTTTTCTGTCAGTCTATTTTCTTTTTCCTTTTTTTCCCTAACGATCGTGGATCCCCGCCAGCGCTCGAACCGGAAACGGAGACAGGGAGGCGATAAAGTGACTGGGACTGTCTGCAAGCGAAGAAAATGCAGAAAAAGGAAAACAAGAAGAATGCCCTGGCCAGTGGTTTCGCCTGAGAACTAAAAGTAGCGACCAGCGAGCCCCTCTCAGAGCAGGAGGACGGATGCGCTCGCCGTGAGATCCAAAACCTGGCAGAGACCGACTAGGAGTATGCTACTAATTATGCTCTGCACAGCTCGCCATTGACTTTCCACCGCCGAATGCATCTCGAGGACGCCCGTTCTCTCGAAGCCATTACAATTACTGCTGCTCTCCTCAGACGGTTTACGTACTCCTTTGCCTATTTATCAGGTCTAATGAATCATCCTGATTATGCGTTTGAGACACGACAGCACCCACTCATGTGGCCAGGTGAATCCACTTCCCAGGTCGAGAATGAGATCGAGCGCTCGGTCGGACCCGGTCAGATTCCGACTGCTCTTCATCCTTCTAGCTGTTCCAGCTGTTCTAGCTGTTTCCCGTAATCAATTCGAAACAGTGAGCCTTGTTGTTGATGCCGACTGCTCAGATCTAGATCTGCCACCTGCATTCCCATCATATGAGCGTGTACAGTCCACCCTCCAGAGCACAAAACTGTCAGCACTACAACGTCCTCCGGAAGACTGTGCGACCTCCCGAGCCAGCCTCCTCCTGTCAAGCAAAAGGCTTTTTTTTTTTTTTTTTTTTTTTTTTTTTTTGCAAGCAGTTCGGGGTGCCTCTCGCCCGCATTGAACGGGCTGATCGGACACGGCGATGGGTAGTACAGGCTGGGAAACAGGATCATGATATTACACTATCATTTCTTTGTTTTTTCTTTGGTTTTTTTTTTTTTCCCCGTCGTTTCTCCCACCTCTTCCCGCCCTCGTTTTCCTTTCCCTCTTCGTAACTCAATCATATGAAGGCATTGGAGCATGATTAGATAACGCTTGAAAGCGGCAGGAAGGGGGAGGCAGTGTTCTCATCCCAGCATGCCAGAGCTTTTGCCAGGAGTAGGGATCGGCATCCTTGGACAGGAGATCAAACGGGAACAGCAGCCAGCACTGAAGCCTGAGCTGTTTGCAGCTGGGGATTGCATCCGGGGGTCCTGGCTCCCGTCTTCGTGGACGATGCTGCCAGTGGCTAGGTTCCTCATGGTCTCACGCCCTCCGGACTTTGTGTCTCTGTCTCCAGAGGGGCCCCCATCAGATGAGAATTTAGGTGCTAGGCTGCTGGGGTTGTGTGGCACGGCGCATGTTAATTCTCACTTGCCACTGTCGATCGCGATCTACGGTATAGAGTTACGATATACACCCTGAAAATCAGGGAATCCGTAATTCTGAACCGCTCAAAAGTTCAACTCTATGGTGTAACAGCAGCTGAGCGCCCGGCGGAGACATCAATATGAAAATAATGCATTGTCATGCCAACATTGTTCCCCCTGAGCAGCATTGTGATGGGAGAGAACAGCTCAGAAGCCAAACCCCGAAAGAGCTCCCCACTGCTCCATCCATGGATACCTGGAGGGACCAGACTGGAGCCGGGCTGCCCCTAGACTGCATCAGGACCGCTGCGACAAAGATAGAAACAGCTGTAGCCGCTGATTGGCCGCTGTCAGGGCGAGACCAATCGTCAATTGCCGCCCCGCAGCAGGACCTGACTAAGCGGCCGGCGGGTGCTTTTTAGTTGGCCTGCCGGGCACGTTCGCAGAATCAATTAAATCCAAGCCGATCTGTCCATCACTCTCTCTCTTTCGACTCGCATTCGCAATTCTCTTTGCATCTGCGAGCTAAAAAAGCCCGCTACGTCAAGATGATCTCAATCCGCCCATTCAATTTCAGTCTCCAGCCACTCATGCTTGTCCATCACATCGCTCAATTCGCAATCATCTTCCCGTTCCCCACACCCCTACGATTCACAGCCCGTTGAGCAAGCCTTTTCGAGGCCCATGCTTGTGGCTTGACCAGCACTCACTCACGCGTAGATCAGACTTCGTATTGCCTACTATCATGTCACACACAATGCTCTGTTGCATGACACAATGGCTTCACTCAATAATTTGATTCAATAACGTGCGTAGCCGAGCTTAGTTGCTTTTCAGCACCTCAATTTGCGGAAGCCTGGAAGTCGCCGTGGACGGCCGAGTGGTGCAGCAGCACGCAAACATTCGAAGCGATTGAGTTTGGGCCCGAGTGCGGCGTTCCCTGGAAACAACTCCCGTCTTCCGTCTCGCTGTCCACTCTGTTCCTTGCGCGCTGCCACGTTGCTGCAAATCCGAATGAAAGTGTGTTCTCTGCTCACGTGGTCGCTGCAGTCACCAACACCGAACTGCTGTCTTCAATAAAGCTCATCATAATACGGAGAACTCAGCAGTTCTAAACTATGGCAAGACAGAGACTGCATTAGATCTATCACAATTAGTCGTCACCGCCGGAGCCCGGAGAGCTTGGGTCCAGGCCGAAGCATACCTGGCTCCGCATGTCTGAAGACGCGTTTCAAACTGCGGATCATAGAGCAACAGAATGCACCATATTGGATCACTCCAGTGCCCAAGAAAACTTCCCATCCGAGAAATCATGGGCGCGGTGCGGTTGGAGCTGAGCCCTGAGCCCAAGCTTTCTGGGGATCCAAGAAACGACGATCCTCCGTTCACACCGTTGGAAGCCGCTCGGGCGTTAGAATTCCCCGACCGGTCTATACAATCCACGGATTTCGGGCGTCCAAACCCCCGGCTGCTTTGTTTATAAGCTGCCTTACCTCCATTCTCTGCGGAGATTGTAGTAACAGTCTCTAAATTTATATTTTCCTAGAATTTCACTGCTATGGCCTCCCCCAGAATCGCCATCGTCGGCGGCGGCCCCGCAGGCCTCACCCTCGGCCTCCTGCTACACAAGCACAACATCTCCTTCACAATCTACGAGCGCCGCTCCAAGCCTACTCCCTCAGACCTTGCAAAGCCCTCCGGATCGCTCGATCTTCACGATGAATCCGGTCTTGCCGCGCTCAAAGAATGCGGCATCTACGAGGACTTCCTCAAGCTGACAGGCGAGTGCTCCAAGGCGCAAAAGGTCGCCGACAAGGACGGTATCATCATCTACGCCGACAAAGGCGAGCTCAGCGAACGCCCGGAGATCTCGCGGCATGCGCTCACAAGCCTCATAACCGAGAACCTGCCCGCGGAGTCGATCAAGTATGAGCACAAACTCTTCGCGGTCTCGAGCTCCACCAACGCCAACTCGGACACAGAAGTCGAACTCGACTTTGGCGCACAGGGCAAAGAAACATTCAGCCTCGTCATCGGTGCCGACGGCGCCTGGTCGCGCGTGCGCAGTACCTTAACCGACACAAAACCTTACTACACCGGCACGCAAGTCATCGCCGCCACAATCCCCAATATCACAAAGACTTACCCACACCTCTCGTCTCTTGTAGGCCAAGGCAGCTTCTCCGCCCTCGCCTACCGCCACGGCATCATGTCGCAGCGCGGCCCCGGCGACTCGGCACGCATATACATCTTGCTCTCTCTCCCCGAGCAAGAAGACTACGCAAAGTCCTCAGGCTGGGAAAGCGCCGACTTCAAGAGCGCAAAGAACCAACTCCTCACAGACACGAAGCTCCTCGGCCTCTTCGGAGAGAAGATCAAGGAACTCGTCTCTGTCGCCTGCGACGAGGAGGCCAAGATCGCTAGCTCCAGCAGCACAACGAGCACAAACGCAAACACAAACACAGACCCAGACTCAATTTCGACCTGGAACCCATCTACATCTACATCTACATACAACGGCTCTCCAACCGAACCAAAATCAAACCCAATCCCCATGAAACCGCTCTACACATTACCCCCCTACACCTCCTTCGTGCACGACCCCACCGCCTCAACAACTGCAATCGGCGACGCTGCACACCTGATGCCCCCATGGGCGGGCGAGGGCGTGAACCTAGCTATGTGGGACTCGCTGCTCCTATCACATGCCATCGTCAAAGCCTTAGAACAAATTCAGAGTCAGAGTCAAGATCAGGACACCTCGTTCCGGACAGCCTTTGACCCGCTCCTATCCGCCTTCGAGACGGAGATGTTTATGCGCGCGGGCGAGAAGGCCGAGGAGACGGTTGGGAATGGGCAGATGTTGTTTGGGGAGGATGGGGCGAAGGCGTTCAAGGAGTTTTTCGAGAGTATTTATGGGCCGTGGAGTGGTGATGCATAGACCGCTCAATTCTCTTGGTTAATCTTTTGAATGATCTGTTGGAATGAAAGGTAAGTAAATAATAGGTAAGTAGGGGGTGAGAATTGGACCAGAGGATGGTAAATCTCAAATCTCAGATATATGTAGCGTAGGCAGACAGCGTTTTGTTTTGACTTGTTGATACCCTATACCCCCATTGTTTGAGAATGGGGGATTTGATGTATAGTTATAGCGTAATACTGCTTGTATAATATATAAAACTTGATCAATACTGCCGAGTGGCACTTTGGCCATCTCATAAAAAGACCAACACTAGAACTACACTTGAAACAGACAGGCTTATGGGAAGTTGATTTAGACATCTTTTGTATAATAATCTTATTGGAATTACATTTTTCGACCCAGATGTCCCAGATGCCCTTCCCAGAGCATCAACATGACAAATCACATCCGAACCATCGCGCCAAAAGCAAAACAAACTGACGTAATTGATAGAAAAAGCCGGTCGCTGAGTTCACACCGGCCAGACATAAGAAGATTGCGCATCTAAGCCATGTAGGTGCTAGAGTCAACACCGTCCGCGGGATACTCGCTGGACATATTGTTAGCGTGCTGCCAAAATCTTTAAGTGCCATAAATCTTGGGACGGAAACTTACGGAAGGGCGACCTCGAAGCGCTTCTCGATATCCTTCAGGACCTGTTCATCTTCCGGAGTGCTCACGAAAGAGATGGAGAGACCCTTGGTACCGAAACGACCGGCACGACCGACACGGTGCAGGTAGGAGTCTGCATCCGCGGGCAGATCGTAGTTGATGGCAAGGTTGATACGCTCAATATCGATACCACGTCCGAAAACATCAGTAGCGACACAGATACGCTTGTTGAATTCCTTGAACTCTTTGTAGCGTTTGATACTATATATTCATGAGTAATTGCGTTCGCATGGAGATATCAGGTAACGTACCGCTCCTCCTGGCTAACACCAGAGTGCACAGCAATACTGGGGAAGTTGCACTCGCGCAGTAGCTTGTCGAGCTCATTCGCACGAATTGTGCTCTTGACGAAGATGATGACCTGGTTGAACTCGAGGCTGTCGAGCAGCTCGTTCAGCTTGCGGTTCTTCTCCGCCTCACTGAGCTTGATGTAGTATTGCTGAAGACCGTGGAGAGTAAGCTTAGTGTCATCATCGACGTAAACTTCCAGCGGATTCCTCATGAACTTCTTGCAGATAGGTCGGACCTCCTGCGAGAGGGTCGCACTGAACATCATGACCTGCTTGTCGGTGGGAGTGGCGCGGAAGATCTCTTGGACGTCACGGCGCATGTCTAAGCCGCACGTAAGTTGTATGATCAAACTTCAAAGATATTATGCAAAACTTACCAATCTGGTCAAGCATCTTGTCACACTCGTCGAGAACAAAAGCCTTGACGTTGCGGAGAGAAAGCTTCTTGTCGCGGACAAGGGCGTTAAGACGACCGGGAGTACCGACGATGATGTTGGGGAAAGTGTCCTTATTCGACAGAGTTTCGATATCCTTCTGAATGGGAGTACCACCGTAGAAGACGGCGGTCTTTACATCGGGAAGATACTTGCTGAATCGAGCGTATTCGTTCTTGATCTGATAAGCCAACTCACGAGTGTGGCACATAACCAAGACGGAACACTCTCCAGGAACAGGCTCCAGTTGGTGAAGGGTGGTAAGGACGAAGACAGCCGTCTTTCCAAGACCGGACTTGGCCTGGCAGAGAACATCGACGTTCAGAATAGCGGTCGGGATGCAAACTTGCTGGACTATGGTGATGCGGAACGGCATGTTAGACTTTGATTCGAATCCATGAAACTTGAAAGAGGAAAGACAATCCGTCTCAAGGTCCGTCCATCTCAGTGATCGACTACGTAAGGTCAAAGGTTCCAGGCCCAACTTCGTCGCCTGAACAATCGGGAAGTGCAAGCTATAAGCATTGCCAAAATATCAGATCACCCGCCGGAGGATAGATCCAACGTCTAGATCCCCCTTTGCGCGAAGACGTTTCAAGTCCCAAATCTGTGGCAAAGCGCCCCGTAGTTTTTTTTTTCTTCGGATGCGCATTTGATTCACCCAGATCCGCTCAAGGCGACAATCTGGGGAAAAGAATATCGGCGAAAAAACTCGATTTTTTCGCCATGTCACTGATGCAATTAAGCAACAGGTATAAGCTGTAGAGCACTTTCCGCGCGGCGCGGCCATTCTCGCGATATTCCATAACAGAAACATCTTCATGGCGCCACAGAATCCCGAGAGAAACAGATGACAAGAAGCGACTATGGATTCCCTTTCCCGTGGAGATGGACGGACCGTTGAAACATGGAGCTATGGAGGAAGGCTATTGGAAAAGAATATGTGATGATGGACTAACCCTCCGAAGGATGTTCGAAACCGCAATCGGTGATAGCACGTAGAAGTTCGCCCTTGAGCAGAAAGTCGCGGAAACCGGTCGAGTGGATACCGACATAACTTCCCTTCTTGTCCGCACGGCCACCAGTGACCGTCAATTCGCTACCTTCCTTCTTGGCTTGAGCCCCGTTGGCGGCGGGGGCAGCGGTAGTGGCTGCGGCGTCAGTGGTCTGAAGCTCCTCATCGGAGTAGTCAATGAGATCCTCCTCGTGAGACATGGTGAAAGACAGTGGCGAGTCGAAGTGAGATCGAAAGCGGTGCGAAAATGCTGATTACTGCGGCGCGTCTAGACCGCAGGAAACCGATGTCCGGGGAGAGCGGAGTCGGGGAAGTCGAGAAAATCGAGGTTCAAGGTGAGATTGAAGATGGAAAAAACAAACAGCCGCTTTTATCGTGGCTGCGGGATGAATTGAAAGGGATGGCGATGATGAAAGAGCAGGAGTTCAGGCGAGTCGCGAGGGATGAAGGAAGAAAGCAGCTCAATTCACGTGACTCAATTAGTCATTCATGGAGCCGCGCAGATACCGCTTCCGGTTAGTTTTGAATTTCCACATCACAGCCGTCTACACCAATTCCAGCAGCAGCATCTTCACAGACAGTTTCAATGGCGAAGGCCAAGGGCAAGAAGGGCTCTGGCGGAGGAGTTAACAGCCATGTGCGCGCGCGCATTAACTACCTATACAAGGCGGCTACCTACCTACAGTCTACAAAGCCGACAACCCGCGAAACCGTCAGAGCCGTCAAGAAAACACAAGAAGACGAAGTAATGTCAGACTCTGCGCGCATCGTACCACCTATATCCGTAAATGGATCTACAACTGGCGATCGTGCTCAATATCACCCCCAACTTGCTCGGATGTGCATTTCCCAGATGCGCGGAGTCTCCCAGAAATCGCAACTCCGACTTCCAATCGAACAAAAACGGTCGTTTTGCAAGCGCTGTGATACGCTGTTGATATCTGGGGAAAATTGCACAGAAGAGCTGAGAAATACAAGCCGCGGAGCCAGGAAGCCGTGGGCAGAGATCCGAGTCGTCCGCTGCAACGGCTGCGGTACTGAGAAACGGTTCCCTCAGACGGCTAAGCGGAGCCGGAAGCTTTCAGATCGCAAACAAGACTCAAAACCGGCAAATAAGGCGGACTCGATGAATCAAACATGATTTCTTTTTGCTGGCTGTTCAATGCAATTGACGGCCTTGGTGAACTAGTTTGTCTAAGCTCTACGTGCTTATGGAACACCGCTATGGCTATTCCCAGTTTCATTACTTGGAAGGACAAATCCGCTGGACAATAACTTCCCGGACATTGTTACTCTACCGGGAGCACGAGGGAGTTGCTTTCTGCTGGACATACATGGTGTCATACATGGTGCCGCCAACCCCAGCGCTAACCCGGATCGGAGTCCGAAATTTGACTTCAAATTCCCTGCTCCGACGGCCAATGGGCTACCGCGAACGGCCTATATCCGTGGATGATAGCAAAACGCGGGACCTATCTATTATTTTATGTTTCGGCCTGCGGAAAGAACCGCTTTTGCGACTGACCCATTCGGGTAAGATTGGTAGAATATGAGAGGACGATATACATAGAGTTATATAAACTGCCCAATCAATAATGAAGACTCCGCTCGCAAGGGCTGGAGTATTGTATTCAAACATATGGAAGGGGATTACCGACGGGCTTATTTCATCTTCATTGCGGAGTTTCACGCAACAAAGCGTAATCAACTAATCAAGGAGATGAGATGTATTGGACAAACGAAGCGACGGAGGCAGACAAAATAGCAACGGCAACACAACAGTAAAACTCCAAAGCACCCCACCAACTCGAGTAAACTCCAACGCTAGAAACATAATTATACTGTGATCCTGTGAGCTCTTATCTCATTGCACGTTGTTCCACAATAGCCAAAATTGCCGCGAGGCAGGTATCCAATCTTGAAAGAGCAAAACTTCGCCATATTTGCGCGGGTAGGGGTAGTATTTGATAACGAAAACAGAAATAGCGTAACACACAATCTGCACGTGGGGAACTTAAAACAGGTAGATATCATAATAAAAGTGTAATCTCAAATCAAATCACGGTCCGTGAGGACAGGTACAGTATATATATTTTTTTTTTCGGTTCTTCAGCTGGGAGCGCTTGTTTCTCCTTTCGTGTCTCTGTCGTGGCTGTCGTCGATTTGGTGGAGGTCGTGTAGGTCGTGCGTTCGTGATCATATTGTAGAGGGGTAGGAGTTTCGTTTGGTGGATATAGGGAAAATTCATTGGGCGAATCAGGTGCCTGGGTAGAGGCACGGATTCGAAAGTAAAGCGCCTCCAGGGCCGGTAAGAATATGTTCTTCAAAGAGTAGATCACAAGGGAAATGGGAAGGATTGGATGGACAGTCGTAAAATCGCAGGGTAGCAGATCGTAAGCTGATGGAATCAGGTGCATATATTGAGTATTAATACCTCATCGTCGTCGACGTGCGGCTTGGTCAAGGCGTTGGTCTAAACCCTCTATTCGGCCACGATAGGTTTTCACGATTTCTCTGATGTGACCGATTTTCGCAAGCTCGTTCTCCAAGTCGTCAATTGAGGTCAGTATCGCACGAGTACGGGCGATTTCGGCGTCGGCATTGCGAATAACGTTTCCGGCCCGGTCATAACTATTTTGTATGGAAAGTTGCATTTGATCCTCCAACTGGCGCGGGTCAGAATCAACCGAGTCAAGCCTATTGAGATTGCGAATAGAGAGGTCCGTGGAGGAAAAGCGGTCGAAACAAAACACCCGTAGACCGGTTCACAAATACCGGAAAATAAAAGGGAAAAAAGGTAAAAATTAAAGAAAAGAACATACATATTCGAGGCGATTCTGAATCTGCTGCTGAAGCCCGTCCAACTGATGCGAAAGCGCCCGCAGACTCATGGGGTCCAGCAGCAATCGACCGTGGCTGCTGGCGGCACTGGCTGCGCGCGAGCTGGAGTTGCTCGTACGCCCAGTGCCCCTGCCCCTGGACGCCCCATTGCCGGAATGACCACCTTGTAGAGCAATTTGCTGTTGCTGCCGCAGAATCTGGATCTCGGAGGAGGTGAGGCCAAGCGAGGTGTCGGGAATCGAGGCTACGGACATTTGGTCCGCGCAGAGACATGCTCCAACCGCGACAAGTCTAGGAATCGCCAGCCGATCTCAATGTGAAAGGTTGGGACGGACCGAGGCTCATGATGCTGATGACAGGGCCGGGAGGAGGGTGGGCAAACGGGCTGAAGACGAAGACGGAGAAGGAGAAGGTGGAGGTAAGGGGAAGGGGAGTGTCGGAGAAGTGGCACGAGGACAAGCTGAGCACCCCCGACAGCAAGCGGGCTATCGATTCGAAACAGGGAGCGTAATCCTCAGGCGCCGTGATTAATATAGCATTCTCGGAGACAGGTAGGGAAAGGAGACGGTGGGATGGAGGCGGAGAGAGGATGGTCGGACGGGCAAAGGAAGAAGAAGCAAATGGATTGGATCGTCGGCGGTAAGGAAGAAACGACCAAAAGAAATAACCCAAAGAGATTAAGATACCCCAGGAGATGGAAGAGCCCGCCGTCGCCGTCCAGTCAATCGGATGTTACACTGACGGGGAATGGAGGATCCGTCACGATCAGGCCCCTCCAGAGAGCGACGAGGGAGGGTGGGATATTAATGGCACAATTAAGTGAGGCGGTTCAGGGATGGAGACTGAGATGGAGGCAGAGGATGAGGGGGAGGGGAGGATATGCAGAGATGGGCACGAGGAGCACAGAAAAAGAAACAATAACAGAATAGAGACAATAGAGAACCGTGAGGGCAAAGACTCTCTCTCTACTTCCGCGTGCTCTCATACAATGAGCCTCACTGCAACTGATTTATATTGACTGTCTGGTTATGAGCACAATTCGCCCTATCAGATTCGCGCATAATCCACTGCAGTTGAGTGATCCCACCGCCTTGTCGCATCTCTTAAACTTCCACCTCGTCTCCATATCCTGCGGCTTCTCACCATTCTCCATTGATTCTCCCTAATTCTCTGGATTCTCTGGATTCTCGCCAATCGTCGTTGATCCGAGCGCCCGGGTCTGCCGCCTTTGACGCCATTCCAACCGCTGTCGCTGCGAGCTGCCGATTCCCATCACTCGCGCCTCTCAGATACTCGAGCGACCTAAACTAACGCTGCCCAACCTGTGAGGCTAGAGCCCTACGTCCTGCCCTGGTATATTCTATTGGGTCTGGAGAAGTCCAACCCTGCCGACGAACAATCCGACTTGCTCAGTCGTTTTTTCGCTGGCTGCAGCTTACATCGAGCCCCAGCCTGTGAGCGTTCCCCAATCCTCTCCAAGTCTGTCTAGCTTGCTGCAGGAGTCTATGCTTCCCCGCTACCCCTCTGAGATAGCCTCTCGGTTTTTTTCTTGTTTCAGAGGCGCTGACTGACGCCATCTGCTTTGCTCAATAGGGTCCCTTCCGATGCTGGAGCCGGACACACGAACCTCCCGTGTTATCCAGCTGAACCTTATTATCGATTTTTGTCACCGTTGCCTTTGAACGGCTCGAACCAATTGGGTCCCCCAACTCAGGAAACCAACAGAAGCACGAGACACCTAGACTACGATGCCTCGAGACAAGGAACGTTCGGTCAACCCTGCCGCTGCGCAGCGGAAACTGGAGAAGCAGAAGAGTCTCAAAAAGGGCAAGGCCGAGGCGCAGGCCCGTAAGAATGAAAAACTAGGGCGTCGTAATCCAGAACGCATCCAGCGGCAAATCAACGACCTGAAGGAAATGGAGCAGTCAGGGCAGGGTCTACGGCCACGTGAGAAGCAGATCTTGGAAGCTCTCGAACGGGATTTGCGGGCTGTGCTGAAAGCAAGGGAAGCCTTGGGTGATAAGGCACCCAAGTTTGCGAGCTCGCACTACGAGCGGGGTGACGATCACCCGCGGGATCGTAGGGACGGAGGGGTACTGGGGAAGCGGAGGCGTGACGGCCATGGACGCTTTGGAGAGAAAGATAGTGATAGCAGTGAAACTGACGAGGAGGTGCGGAGAATACCGATGCCTCGAGATACCCCTCCACCTATCCCGCGCGAGTTCCAGAGGAGGAAAGACGCAAATGCAGGTGTCGAAGGTGGTCGGGGCCCGCATCCCCTCCCAGCGAAGCCTTCGGAGACAGAATCGAGAACAGTCTACGAGGCAAAGCCCGAGATTCGAGACCTAAGGAAGGAAGCCGTGAACAAATTCATCCCAGCAGCGGTCCGAGTGAAGCACGACTCAATACGAGGACAGGGAAAGCTATTGGAACCGGAAGAACTCGATCGACTGGAAAAGGCCGGGTACAACGCCGGTCCTACGGAGATGGCACCAACTGCCGAGGAACAAGAAACGCTCCTCGAAGAAGAGAAACGCTTCAACCAAGAGCTCAAATCTGTCCAGATCGAGGAAGTCGAGGACGAGGAAGCATAATGATACCCACATGTACTATAGTAACGATAAAACCCGCTCGCCACGGCCCAGATCCGTCTAGCGTAGGCACCCCAATTATGGAATGTGATGATACCTGCAGGTCTGTGATACCGCAGTCAAGAATAGAGTCGAGTCCCATCCATCCCAGGCTACACCAACTGACCTCGGTGACACTTTCAGCCAGCTTTCTCCGGCCTCCGGTCTAGATCTGGATCTGGAGAGATCGAATCATGTGGTTCTTGCTCGACATCAAATAGGAGAATATCGACCATGTCCATACGACCTGCATTTGCTCCTTGCCTTCCCAAGTATACGTCATCTTATGGCACGACATTCATCCAGGATGCCTTGGCTATCGTGCCTACCAGCTGCTTTATTTCGACGTTAAGTTCCAGTGTCGGCAGATTACGACCGTACTTCTGATTTATATAATGAATCTTATATGAATTCTTCAGCCGTCTCACTGATGTCGATCCTAACCCCGGCACACTGTGCTTCTCGGAGGGTATACGCATCAGGCTAGTACCAATAAGCAGCAGTCAATATACAAAAAAAAACAACCTCTGCCCATAAACTTTAACAATGTACTCATACCATCCATACAAAAACAAACTACTCCGCAGGCCCCTCATGCATATCCTTCAGTTTCGCCGCAGCGCGACGTCGACTCTCCTCACTCACAAGAGGATTATGCTGAGCCCTGTAATCCCGTTAACCAGCGTCCCTTATACAACCCGGCACCAACAAGATTAGATCGTGTAACAAGATACACAGTACATACCCTCTCAACCCCCCAGCCACCCTCGTCGGACTCTTCGGCTTCTCGCGATAAAGCTCCTGCCTAGCCCCCTCCTCATCCAGATCCGTGAGCATCGTGCGCGCATGCTCTTTCGCCTCCATCGAGACAAGCGGGTTACTCAGCGCCCTGCATGTACTCATTCATTAGCCTCCTTATAACCCTTCTGTACAAGCCAAGCTGGTCTTTATAGGACACATAACGTACGCCCTATACCCCCTCGCCGCATTAATCCTTTCCTGCGGGGACGTCGGGCGTTCATGCGCACTGCCTACACGGCCGTGGTGGCGATGATGAGCAGCGTGATGCGGGCCTTCGTCGTGCATTTCCTGACGCGCTTCGTCTTCGTCGAGGGTTTGGAGCATTTCTCTCGCGTGCACTTTGGCTTCGGCTGAGACGTGGGGGTTGTGGAGGGCTCTAAGGTGACAATTATAGAATATAATGGTTAGTATGTATACATTGTGTTTTAAGTCCTTGGATTTGGTGCGTACGCTTTGTAGCCGCGTGCGGCGTTGATGCGCTCTTCGGGGGTTTCGTGGGCGGACATATTGTGCCTGTATGGAAATAGCTAGCTGGTGATATAGGAATAGAGAAGGTAGATAGACGACAGAGAAATAATTGTTGGATGTTGAACGGGATGTTTCAAGTTATATTTGCAGTATAAAACTACATATTTGTGGTGATGTCAGGGGGTAAGCTTTGCCTCGTGGCAATTTACGTGGAATCCATTTCGTTTTCTTCTCTTTTTAATTGATTAATTGATTTATTTCTGATTTCCATTTGATATCTTGGTTTACGTGGTGGTGTTATACTTTCTATGGCATGCAGGCCCGGCTAGAATGCGGAGAACAAGAAGTCTGTATACGGGGGTGGGCCTGTAGACGTCATGAAAGCCGGGCAAGTAAAGCACATTCCTATTGTCCTGACTCAACCATAATGGAGCTCTGGTGGTGTGGATGGGGCATCCGTGGATTGCACTTATATTGAACCAAACATTGAATCGCTATAGCTTCATGACGCGGGGATGGAGCGCTAAACGTCACTACAGGCCGTAAGTGATACCAAGCATAATAGAATGGGAATTACTGGGTTTGCACGTAACTTCAAATAAAAATATCATACAACTACTGCAAAATGAGTTCTTGGGCTGATCCACCGTCTAATGTGTGTGCGTTCTATTTCCTATAATGCTGTAGCATATCTAACCAAATAGATCGTGTACGCCGGGATATCAAGCCTCTTTACCGAGGACTCCAGCACCAGATTCGCCATCGTGATCCGCAGCTCCTCCGAGCTGGTCAACTTCTTCGAATGCACACTTCCCTGCCAGGACAGACAGGAGGCCGCAACGGAAGTCCCGATCCTCGTCCTCGACAAGCTCATCCAATACCGCAATGTCTTCCACGAGAAGATCGCCGGGATCGCACTACCGAGAGAATTATCGCAGCGGTGCCCGTCGCTCGCCACGAAACTCTGGGAAGTCCTCGACGCCGTTCCCCTGGTGATAGAGCAGGAGAAGCATCGGCGCGCGAAGGGCGACCAGGGCGAGCTGGCTACGTTTCTGGGGTGGGACGAGAAGCAGATGGACGAGCAAGCGGATTCAATGGTACGGAAGTGTATAAGGTTTGCAGTGCGCTCTGCTAGAGGTGGTGCTGTTTCGCTAATTAGGTATATAGGTACTTTGGTGTTGGACACATTCCGCTCGTGCGCCTGGACCTGCATGGCATGGTTGGGGTTGATAATGACTTCAGGGTGCATCTGGTAGACGAGATGGGCTATCAGCGCACTGTCGACGACTCTACATGGCGTCTGGCGAGTTATTATGCCGACGATCTGAAGCAGAGGCAGGCCAAAGTGGCCTTCTTCAGCGTGACGCCTCATGCAAGGCCGGATTTACCTACTAGGCATGCCCTCATACGGTTTTCTCGATGCCTGAGGGTGGATTTTAAGTGGTACTATCACTTCCAATGTCCGATATGGTAGAGGTATGTTAATTGTTCAATATATAGGTACGTCCCTCGACCACGGCCTCAACTGCTCCCTATTGTTCGTAAAGTGGAAAACATCCTCCACTGCGCCAATACCCAAGGAGCTCATCTCGCTGTTGACGAAGAGCTCCGCATTCTAGAATGGGTCTACACAACCGCAAAACGCTACTGGCTCAACGACGATGGACCACTTCGACCTCGCTCCAAGGGTGGTGCAGACGTTGTCGTTATCAGCGACGCCATACTGTCTCCCCTGGCGCTTATATCGAAGCAGTCTGACCCAAAACGGCCTGTTATATTCGAGAACAGACTCCATGTCCACGATGGGAGCGTCAATGATACATCGAGTGCGGAATATCAGACTTGGGACTTCCTCCGCGCGAGGCTGAAGGATGTTGACCTGCTGGTTTGCCAGGAGCCAAAGGGACTGGCGCCGCCTCTTATGTTGGAGAAGGATGCTGGATATATATCGCCGGCTATTGACCAGTACGTATTCGTACACTCTGTTGGGTCGAAACGACTGGCTGACTGTTATAGACTCGACGGCAGGACGAAGCGTTTACACGACTGGGACGTCACCTTCTATGGCCGCGAATTCAATGCAATATGCCGTTTAGGAGGGAGGCCGGTAATTGACTATCCTCACGGTATACTCCGTAGTCCTTAAAAGAAAACTACAGGCGAATGGCTGACGATAACTAAGAGCAATATATCCTCCACCTAGCCCAGCTAGTCCCCGACGAAGGAACCCTGTGTCTGCTAGACGCCTACAAGAAATTCCACCAGCGCCGAGAAGCCGATAGTCCAGGACGCCCGGTCCCCAAACTCCTCCTCTGCCACTCCAGCTCCCCCAACGACGACGACAGAGCACCAGTTTACGCCAGCATAATCACCCACATCGAGAATACCATGCCACAGCTCGCCCAGAGCATCACGATCATCCAGCTCCGACCCCCAGATCAACTCTGGAATGTGCTTATCTCCAAAGCAATGGCAATCGTTCAGCTGAATGACTCCGAGGGTATCCCGGAGATGCTGCTAGGCGCAGCGCAGAAGGGGAAGCCGGTTATTGTAGGTGAGAAGTGCGGGTATTTATCGTTCCTGAAAGAGGAGGTCGGTGCTATTGTGCTTGATGGGGATTGTACTGAGGGTATAGCGCATCATCTATTACGTCTTGCAGCTGATATGGCCCGGGGGAAATCTCAGCCTGGCACGGAGGGTTCAACGGCGCTTAATGCGAGGTACACTACTGTTGGGAATGCTGTAAGCTGGTTTTATCTGGCTTCGAAGTTGTCCAAGGGTGAGGTGGTTGAGCTGGGGGAGAGGGACGTTTATACGTTGGCTGAAGAGGAACGGAGGGATAGTTAAGTAGACTGTATTGATCCCTGAGAGACCTAGTATGTAGTTCTGGATTACCAGTGTAAATATTAAGGTTGCATATAGTATCTTAATTGTGATTCCTATATCCTCACGTTGGCCCTATATACCAACTCATAACCGAAGAACCCAGCTACGGTGGAATATATGCACCCTACTCTTCCTGCTCTTGGTCCCCAGAAAAAATCGATAACAAGCAAAGAGGACAATTATCATGCCCATTCAAAAACCAACCCTCCAAGCACTCCCCATGAAACACATGGTGGCATTGTAGGGCATGGACTACACTTTCCTCGGAAACCGGATCGAGACAGATGGTACTGATATATTGTACAGTTAGTACAGCGACATAATTAAATAGACAGATCGAGCAGTATACTGCGTACCAGATCAAGGACTGGGTATGATATTCCACCAGATGAGAATGAACAGGCGGCAGCTCCCTCAGCCAGTCCTTCAGCGTCTTGCTTGGAGCAGCATTTTCCAGAGACTGCAGCCGCGATTTTGCATCGCTGCATGCGAGGCCTTCTTCTATTACCCCGTCTGCCACGATGGCTAATGTCTGGCGCGCGGTGCGAGAGACCCGCAGGAGCCTGTTTCTCGGTTTAAGTGAGAACCCAGGAATAATGGATATATGAATGGCATACCAGAGTACGCAGCAGATGCTTATGGAGCCCCATAGGAGGAGAAAGATCCCTAGAAAGGTAAAGTCCTTTGCTGTGTATCTGTGTCGATTATTCTCAGGGATACCTATATCTAGGGACTGCTGGTTTAGATTGTCCTCCATTGTGTGTGCTGTCGAGGTAATCCAGATAGACCCCACCAGGAACTGTGTAATGTAAATAGAAAAAGAAAATCCGAATTAAAGCTCTCAAGATGAGAAACCGGCTATTTTCTTTCCTGATAATAGCATAAGACATAAGGGTGTAGTGGTGTCCCGCCAATACCCATATCCAGCCGCTGACAACAAGGTCTTCGGAATTCCAGGCATGAGAACCAATAGAATAACCAGACATTAAAGTCTCATGATCTCATGATATATCAAAAGAAACGGCATTATAGATCCCAACCCCGGAATCCGGTCGCGGCCGAAGAACTGGGGGTGGGATGCCAAACCCTAATTCCAAACGCAGCGAACAGATCCCTGGCTCTACTTAATATAAATACACGTGTGACTTTATAACCCCACAAAGGTAATTGATTAACCTCTCCATACGCTCATGTTCGATAAGATAAGATAAAAAATAACCTCAACTAATCCTCAAAATGCCTGGCGTCGTAACAAAAGACATTACCGGCCCTCTAGTCCGCCACTTCCGCGACATAAGACGCACCGATGGCGCCTCAGTCGGCGGCAAAAACGCCTCGCTGGGCGAAATGACAAGCGCGCTGGTCCCCAAGGGTATCGCTATCCCTCCTGGATTCGCAACAACATCACAAGCGTACTGGCAGTTCCTCGACGCGAACCAGATCCGCGAGAATATCGCGGGACTGATCGGCGAATGGCAGGGCGGACATGCAACGCTTGCGGAGACGGGGGATGCGATTCGCAAGATCGTGCTTAAGGGGAAGTGGCCTGGTGATGTAGAGAGTGCGATTCGGGCTGCGTACCGGGAGCTCTCGAAGGGTGGAGGTGCAGGGGCAGGTCCAGGTGCCGGTGCAGGCATTGATGACGATGGTGCCAGTGTTGCGGTAAGGTCAAGTGCAACAGCAGAGGATCTGCCCGATGCTAGCTTTGCAGGACAGCTGGAATCGTATCTAAATGTTGAAGGGGAGGAGGCGGTTCTGCGTGCTTGTCGGCGCTGCTATGCCTCCATGTTCACGGACCGGGCGATCAGTTACCGCGCAACGAAGGGGTTTGACCAGATGAGTGTTGCGCTCTCTGTGGGAGTGCAGAGGATGGTGAGGTCTGATGCGAGTGGATCTGGGGTGATGTTCTCCATTGATACAGAGAGTGGCTTTGACAAGGTGGTGCTGATTAATGCGGCATGGGGGCTTGGGGAGAATATCGTCCAGGGAACTGTTAACCCGGATGAGTATCAGGTGTTTAAGCCCCGGCTAGGGGAAGGTAATGAGCATTTGGTGCCTATTATTGATAAAAAGTGCGGTGAGAAGGGGATGAAGATGGTTTATACTGCTGCAGATGACCGGGACCATCGCAAGGCAGCAGCTGCCACGACGCGCAATGTACCTACGTCCAGGGCTGAACGGGCTGCATTTGTGCTTTCTGATGCTGAGATCTTGCAGTTGGCACGCTGGGCATGTACCATCGAGAAACACTACGGCTGTCCCATGGATATGGAATGGGCCAAGGATGGGGTCACAGGAGAGCTGTTCATCGTCCAGGCACGACCAGAGACCGTCCACTCACGACGAGATGCTGCTGACGCCACGGTCTTCAAGACCTACAAAGTCGTTGGGAAGAAGGACAGCGTTCTGGCGAGAGGGCTGTCAGTTGGCGACGCTGCAGTCTCCGGCAATATCTGCTTGATAGAGGCAGCAAAGGACATTGACCGGTTCGTTGACGGATCAATCCTGGTGACGCGGGCTACGGACCCAGACTGGGTGCCTATCATGAAGCGCGCTGCTGCTATTGTCACCGACCATGGAGGCCGGACGTCGCATGCTGCCATTATCAGTCGTGAACTGGGTCTTCCTGCCGTCGTGGGTACAGGGAATGCAACATACGTCCTGCATACAGGACAGGATGTCACAGTATCCTGCGCAGAAGGAGACAACGGCTTCATATACCCAGGGATCCTCGAAATCAAAACCCAGACAGTCGATTTAACCAGCCTCCCAACATCCACAACGCAAGTCATGCTCAATCTCGCAAACCCGGCAGCCGCATACCGGTGGTGGCGTCTCCCAGCAGACGGAATCGGGCTTGCACGCATGGAATTCGTCGTGACGAACGCAATCCAAACCCACCCAATGGCTCTTGTGCATTTCGACAAACTCAAGGACGAGCGCGCAAAAGACGAGATCGCAAGACTCACAGCCGGATACAGCCACAAGCCCGACTTCTTCGTGGACAAGTTGGCACGAGGCTTTGCCGCGCTCTGCGCCGCTATATACCCGAAGCCAGCTATCCTGCGTCTCAGCGACTTCAAGACAAACGAGTACGCGGGTCTCATCGGTGGTGCAGAGTTCGAGCCCGAAGAAGATAACCCTATGCTCGGCTTCCGGGGGGCGTCGAGATACTACTCGCCCCGGTACAAGGAAGGCTTTGCGCTTGAGTGCCGCGCGATCAAGCGGCTGCGTGAGGAGATGGGATTCACGAACGCCATCGTGATGGTCCCCTTCTGTCGGACGGTGGGCGAGGCGAAGAAGGTTCTCTCGGTCATGGCTGAGAACGGGCTGCGGCGTGGAGAGCACGGGCTGAAGGTGTATGTGATGTGTGAGATTCCGTCGAATGTCATCCTGGCCGCAGAGTTTGCAGAGTGCTTCGATGGGTTCTCAATTGGCTCGAATGATCTGACGCAGTTGACTCTTGGGATTGACCGGGACTCGGAGGAGCTGGCTGAGCTGTTCAACGAGCAGGACGAAGCAGTCAAGTGGATGATTGCAAAGGTCATAGCAGTCAGCCACAGTAAAGGCTGCAAGGTTGGCATCTGTGGCCAGGCACCGAGTGATCATCCAGAGTTTGCTCAGTTCCTGACGAAGGCTGGGATTGATTCTATATCTGTCAGTCCTGATAGCTTTGTTGCCGTGAAGAGGAATGTATGATCAAACAGTTGAATTGAATTGAATACTATCTGCCAATTTACTTGATAAAACATTTAATGGTATAAAAGAAAGCCTACGAAATCATCTCCTTGACCTTATCAAGCTTCTCCTTCATCGCCATCACCGACTCAGTCACCTTCTGCTCCTCCTCCATACTCAGTGGCATATGGACAGTATGACCAATGCCAGTTCTTCCCAGAACAGCCGGATAACTGAAGCAGCATCCATATTCCGGCTGGAAGTGGCTGACCGGCCGGATATTATGCTTATCAAACAGGATAGATGCACAGATGCTAGACACAATGGTCCCAATTCCAAACGGAGTCGCACCTTTGGCACGAATGATGCTTCGTGACCGGTTCTTGCATTCGTTCTCCATGTCTTTCTCTTTTATGAGTTTGCCTGGTGGTAGGGCTTTCTTTAGTGGGATGCCGCCCACTGCGGCGGAAGACCAGGCGGTTACTTGAGTGTCTCCATGAATGCCCAAGACGTAGAGGTCGAGTGAATTTGCTGCAACCTGTATCTAGTCAGCTTGCCCATACTGTAATGAACGGAATGAATAGGAGATATACCCCAGCCTGGTCTGCCACCATACCGCGAAGCCGCACAGAGTCAGGGAACGTGCCAGAGCCAAATACCTGCGACGACGGAAGTCCGGACAGCTCTTTAGCAAGCGAAGTGAGCAGATCCACGGGATTCGCAACAACTAGCAGGATTGTGTCTTTCTGGAATGGCTTCATCTCGTTCACTATTCCCCTTAGGATGCTGGCGTTGCGGTACAAGTAGTCGAGGCTTGTTTGGCCTGATTTCGGTCGTCATTCCAGATCACCAAAAGAAAGAAAAAGAAAGATAGAGAGGGAATACCGTAGTAAAACTTTGAGCCGGCGGTTATGACAATTATATCACACTGTCTGGCCTCCTGGTGTGTTGCAGCTCGCACGCGAGTTCTGCTGCCAATCGTGTATGCCACATCAGATAGATCTCGCACCTGGCCGTCGCGCCATTCTGAGCGGTTATCGACGAGGAATAGGTCGCTGGCAACGGAGCCAAGTATGAGGGCGTATGCAGCAGCAGCGCCGACCTGGCCGACGCCGATGATTGCGATAGACCGTGCTGGTCTCTCCGGATCTACACTATCATTATCCATTTGGCGGTATTAATAGCTGGGTATGGCTCATTAGAGACGTAAAATAATTAAGAATGGTGCTCTCTCCAGAACGTTGACTCTCTGCCCAGGTAATATCAGTGGCGAAATGTGGCGGATCCATGGCTTGGTGGCCTGACAACCCTGACTTTGTGAACCAAGATACCAGTGGTTTCAATGTCTCCTGACAGTGGTCTAGCCTTGGTATTACCTTGCAATTTGATCTGTATCTTGTAGTTATAGCAACTGGACAAATATAGTGGATTTTGACGTCCCTCCTAAGCAGCATCTAGTGTTAAGCTTAAGGAACTGTATCTAGTTGATCTCTAATATACCAAGAATACCGATCAATTCCTGGATTTAGATAAGCTATAATGCCTAATAAAACATTTAACCAACAACGGTAGGCATCACAACCGATCCAATGTCAAAAGAACAGTAAGATACTGAAAGGCCTCCCCTGAACTAAGTGGAGCAGGTACTAGGACTAACAGATGACCGGCTTTTGTATAACATCATGCAAGACACCTCTGAGAAGGGATATCAAGGCCATCCCTTCACCCAGTCGTCCACTGCAAGGAGACCAAACAAGGGCAGTATTCGGCATATCTCTCCGGCAGGGCTGATTACGGCCCGGCCAGTGAAGATATCCAAACTATGATCAGTGATATGTACTCTTACGTAGGGCTAAGTTACATCATCTTGCGTTCTGGAATGTAAATTAATTCAACTGAGCAGGATATAGGTATAACCCTACCTACTAACCCTAGACCGAGCAACAAACCGAGCCCTGCTCCCCCTTGGACTCGCACTCAATGCCGTAGGATCCTTGATCCCCTTGACAGCATCCACTTCATCTTCCACTGCATCTGACGCAGGGTGAATCTCGAAATTGGCTATGGCATGATACAGCGCTGTGTAAACCAGCCGCGTGGCTAAATGCGAGGCTACACACATACGGGACCCATATCCGAACGCGAACTGATGCGCGTGCTTTTCGGAGTTGCCTAGCCACCGCTCTGGGATGAATTCCCAGGGGTTGGAGAAGAGAGCTGGGTCTTGTTATTGGGTTAGTGGAGGACGAAGATATAGATATATGTATAGGCCGTGAAGACATACCGTGATTACAAGCCCAAGCGTTCAAGAAAACCATAGTCCCAGAGGGTATTACTGCGTGTTTATACTGAACAGGGGCTGTTGTTTCTCGCGGCATGGACAGTGGCAGGGGCGTATAGAAGCGGAGTACTTCCTTGACTAGGGCCAGGATATAGTCGACGTCTTTGGTTTCTGACGGGTCGTAGTGGGATCCTGTAGCTTTCTGTAGCTCATTGAATGCAATAGTTTGGATATCCTGCCGGTGGGCGAGTAATATGAAAGCCCAGCCGATTGTTGGCTGCGTGCTATCTGCGCCCTGTTGGTTTGCTTTTTAGATATGCCATCTTCGGTATAAGAGAAGGTAGGTATACATACTGCCATCATGCTGAAACTAATACTGAGAAGTTCATTATTGGACAGTCCGACAGCCTCAGGGTCCCGCAGGACATTTCCCTGGATGCAGGGCACTTCGGCATCCCGATTAACCGCATCTTGTAACCGGCGGAGGAGCTCATTGTTATACGCGATTCGACGGTTCCCAATGGCTGCAGAGTGGGCTGCAGACTTCCGCCAGAAGATGGGCTCAAGGAAGCGAAGAAGTGGGATATAGTTAGCCAGGTTCCTGGATGTTGAGCGGAGCCTTGATATCTCGTTTTCGACTTCAACGACTTCGGCGTAGAAGGCGTCGTCCTTGAGGTCGGTTGTTTTGGCAATTCTTTCTAAAGTTAGCTCCTGGTTGATACCTTTGGATATCAAAATACCTTATCCCGTAGTTCAGGGTCATCACCGTATTTAACGAGAGGCGATGAACCGCAGCTGTGAAATCGGCATCGACAGTACCGCCTGACGATTCGACAGCCAGGGCCTTGATAAAGTCATCGGTCTCTCGTAGTATAATCTTGAAGTCATCAGCATGGGTCTAGCCAGACAGTTTGTATACTAACAGGCTCATACGACTGAACCTTGGGCCGGTTCAGCGCCCCTGCAGCAACCTTCCTTCGCGACTTGCAACTCTCATTCCAAGGAGAAGTACCAATACTCGCAACATTCTTACTAACAACCTTGTGCAAGACGTGAAAGACCGGTCTAGAAATGAATGCAGAGCTCTGGTTGAGAAGCAAGGCCTTTGCCTCTTCTGTCTCGTTGACAATGACGACCGGAGAGTTGCCCAGTTGGACTTGATAGACTGGACCGTAGTCTAGAGACCATTGTCTGTATTTCTCAGCGGAGAATGTCCGATTGATCTGTAATTCGTGAGAAATAGATATAGTTAACCCCTGGGACTCATACATCAAGGAGATTTCCAATAAGCGGGAGACCTTTAGGCCCCTTTAGGCCGTTGATTCGGCTTCGCCATCTTAGTACTTCGTTTAAAATAATATATACCGAAAGGGCGAGAGTAGGGGCTACGAGCCCTTTGAGGAGCAGTGATAGAAAAGACATCGCTGACTTATAGCGTTTTCGCGGAGGGACGCGCAGACTGTATGTTGGACAGAATGTTTAGACGGGGTGTATGTTCGGACCGGCGGGGCATTATATTAAAGCTGTGTAATAAGAGATTGATACTGGCTGGGTTAATGCACGTCTTTGGGGTAGGGGTGCACGCAATCCGGAGTTGATATGGCTCGTGGTGGTGAGTCCCCGAGAAGTTCTCTACGATGTCATCAGCATTTACCCCAATGGTGAGATGCACTTGGCCTCGATATGTCAGGATTATCAGCTATTTGACTGGCTGCTTGTTATCTTCAGCCGTTTGATCCTGCAGCAAGGGGTTTAAATGGGTGTATGCCGCCATAAAATAAGAACCACACCTTCAATACGACAGCTTATATTCACCATGAGTACAAAGCTACCAGATGTAGAGACCCGCAATATATCGCAAGAAACCATTGACCCTGTTGCTGAAAAGTCTCTCGTAAGACGCCTGGATCTGGTTCTGCTTCCTACTCTTGGTACCTCATCATAGCCCTGCCGTATCTACACTGCTAACATACCATCTAGCTCTCCTCTACCTAACGCACACCCTCGACCGCGCCAATCTCGGAAATGCAAAGACAGCAACGATCGAGGAAGACCTGCATCTGGTCGGAAACCAGTACTCGCTCGTCCTGATCTTCTTCTACGTGCCATACTCGATCTTCAACATCCCAGCCACCGTCCTGGCGAACCGGTTCAACCCCTCGCTCGTTCTTCCTGTCCTTGCTATCGGATGGGGAGGCCTTGCGATGATAACTGTTGCAACGAAGAATTTTGGAGGTCTGTTGGTTTGTCGTTTGGTTCTGGGTATGATGGAGGCGGGCTTTATGCCGTGCGCGACGTTCTATTGCTCGCTCTTTTATACGCGCAAGGAGCTGGCATTTCGACTGTCGATTTTTTATATCATGGGATTTATTGCTGTTTGTTCAGTCTGATACTAGCTTGTTATTTCTGGCTAATTGTGTTTTAGGGCGCCATCAGTGGATTGATAGCATATAGGGCTTTCCAATGGGAGGGTCCGTTAACGGTGGGTCATCTTCACTTCTACTCAACAACGCACCAGCTGATAGAACAGGGCTGGCAATACCTCTTCCTGATCGAAGGCGCAATGGGAGTTCTCGTCGGCACATGGGCCCTCTTCTGGCTCCCCCGAGACATCTCAACAAGCCGCTTCTTCACCGCAACCCAGAAACACTGCGCCGCACAGCGCATGGCACACGGCCACACCGACATCTCCTGGCTCAAGGGCCTCGCGGTGCTCAGAGACTGGAAAGTATGGGCCTTCGCGTCCTCAACCTTCCTCTGCGGCGTCGGGTCCGCCAGTAGTTCCAACTTCCTACCAGTCATGATCAAGCGATTAACGAACGACACGGTGCGCGCGAACCTGCTCACCATCGGGCCGAATCTCGTTGCGGCGACAGTTATGATGACGGTTTCTTTTCTATCGGATTATACGCAGCAACGGGCGTATTTTGCGCTTGGGTCTGCGAGCGTGGCCCTAGTCGGGTGGGTTCTTTTTGCGTCGCTGGATCTGGTGAAGAAGACGGGGGTTGGGTATTTCCTGACGTATCTGATTGTGTCTGGCACGTTTCTGCCATTGTTGCTTGTTCCTGCGTGGATTGGGGCGAATACGAAGACGACGTCTGAGCGTGCGGTGGCGATGGGGTTGATTTCGATGTCGCAGAATCTGGGTGGGATTGTTTCTTCGGGGGTCTATCGCGAGCAGGATGCACCGGCGTATAGACCGGCGCTGATTACGGTTTCTGGGTGTCTTGTGGGATTTTTGGGGATTTGTGGGTATATGAGGGTGGTGTATGCGAGGTTGAATAGAGGGCTGGATTGGGAGAAGCCTTCGAAAGGAGTCCAGTATATGCTGTAGTTCATTCATCTCAAAGCAGAGTATAGGGAATAAAATCATGTTTTATCCTGATATCGCCTCCACTCTAGCATCCCTTGATCTATATAAAGATACAGACCGTATATTAATCCCTATAAGGCCTCAAAGTCGGACCCTCCCACTTAAACCTCCCTCTAACAACCCAGTCACAACACGCAAAAACCATCACAAACCCAAGCACAGGTCCCGCATAATTCATATTCTCCCCAGTCACCGGAATAGTAGCCGGGAAGGGCAGGAAGATCGCAAAATACGTCGCAAAGAGAATCGCCAGCAGATTCATGGGGAGTCCCCATTTCCCCAGCGAGAACGTCCCCTTGGGGATATCCTGCGGTGCCGTGAAGCGCTTCAGCACGAGGAGAACCAAGGGGATTAGGTAGGAGATGTAGAGGCCCAATGTACTAAGGGAGAGGATGGCATTGAAAGCAGCCGTGGAACCGATCTGGATGAACGAGATCGCGACAATGAGAGACGCCACGAGGAATAAGGCGCGTAATGGGATTTTATAACGCGGGTCCACGCGCGCAAAGAAGTCGGAGAAGGGGAGGCCGTTGTCGCGTGCGAATGCCCATGCCAGACGCGTGACGGAGGCGAGGCCGTTGAAGAGGGCGATCCAGCCGGGGAGCATGCCCATGGCCATGAGCACGTAGGTGGCTGTCTTTGAGCCGGTGGCCTGGTAGGCGATTGTGATGATGGGGTAGCCGGTTGGGCTGGCGAGGGCTTCGGTGTAGTCGCCCATGCAGTAGAGGACGGCGATGAGGTAGCAGAAGGTGAGGGTGCCGTTGATGAGGGTGCCGTATATCATGGAGCGAGGGACGACGATTTTGGCGTTTTTGATCTCTTCGGCCATGTGGATTACGCCGTCGATGCCTGGTGGTGTTAGTTGACATGACTTAGGGCTAGGCGAGATGCGTACCGCTGAGGGGGGTGATGACGCCGAGAAGACCAATGGAGAACACAGCACCGGGATTCGACCAGCCGCTGCCTGTAACTGAGCCACTGATGAACGTGTTCCAGACGAATTCGTTGGAATTGCGAGGCGCGAGGATGACGAAGACCGCGATGGTGACGGGCAAGAAGACGACGTGCATGATACCAGCAGCGACTTCAATGCCTGCAAGAACACGACGCGCAAAGATGTTGATGATGATTGGAATCAAGGCAACAGCCCACATCAAGAGAGTACCGTGCCATCTCTGCGGCTCGTAACCTATATCGGCCAGGACAATCATGCCCTCGATCTGTGTTCCGATGAAGTACGGCGCGATACAGACCAGGGCCGCCCAGGAGAAGACAGTCACCCATCCTGAGCTGTTAGTATTGGATAGCAATAGTAGAGCGGTGTCCCTACCCTGGAAGAAACTGATAAACCGACGATAGCGAGGAGCGAGGAAATAGCTCCAGTGGTACTGAGCTCCGGCAGTGGGATGTCTATCTCGTCAGCATAGATCGTTATCACCGACCAGGATTCCTACAGTGAAGCAAGCTCAGCCAGAGAGGACGCAATTGCCAAGTTACCAGCAGTGGCCACGATGATTCCATAGACAATTGCTGCAGGGCCGCCGTTGTATAGCCCGGCTTGTAAGCCACCACCAGCGGCCTCCCACGAGGCAAGAAGGGTCGCAGAGAAAGCAAGCGATGAGAAGAAATTCAGATATCTCTGCGAAGGTTAACACTACTGTGAAAATATAATGGACTAATCATACCTCTAATTGTTGCTTTTGGCGATACGCAGCACTTCCTGGGTTGGCGTAGACATGTCCATTCCCATCAGCTGGCCCCGATCGCACAGCGCTCCCACTCTTCATTTCCAGCTCTTGCTGCATGGTGAATCACACAGTTAAGCCTCAAGCCTGACAGGGAGGAAAAGGAAAAAAAAGAAATTGGCCGGAGGAATTGGAGAAACCGGCCAGAAGACGGAAGAAGTACTGCGGCCATATCTCGCCTCCCAACAGTCCTTTCCATTTCCATTTCCACGACCAGGATCTGGATATTAAAAAAGCGAAACACGGACAGCACACATTCGAGACGGAGACGTGGCGAGGGTGACTGTGCCGCAGTGCAGCGAGCCGGACTCTGGGGCTTGCGCAGACCCCGGTCGTTAGGGCCGGTTGGCGTTTGGGTAAATCGACGGCGTCTGCTAGCTGCAGCCATCGAATCCTCCATCGGAGTCTGGGCACCACTGCGGGCGTCTGGAATGGCAGATCCCTGTTCACGCCGGCCAAGATGGGCTGATACTCGAGTCGGATAAAAGCGTCCAGATGGCCGAAGACTGACGGCTACGCGATAGATAAAGTCATTCTTAAGAAAAAAAAACAATGGAATTCGGATGCGAAATACTTATTTTAGAAGACTATCGGTAGTTCACCGGAAATTCTAGCGATCATGTCGCATTCTCACGCCGTGGACAGGGATCGGAGGAGCCAACAGGGGTGCTCGTGTTGCCAACAATGGGTGCAAAGCTAATATTGCTGAGAGGCAGAATAAGACACGGACCTTTCTCAGCTGCTCGTGCTGTCTTTCTTATTTTCTCTTTTCCCCTTATTATGCGTGCGAACCCTTCTCTTGGATCCGGCCATGGTGACTTAGGCCTGAACACTCCGCAGTGCCAAAATGGCCAACCCAACCCCAAATGGCCCATTCCAGGTATTAACAGGAAGCAATCGTGGGCCTCTAATTACACTAGTATCGATTACTTTCCTGATTGCCGCCATCATCTTTGTCCTTGCCAAAATCGGGTCTGCGATTTACTTTAAACAGCGGCGGACGGCCCTCAACACGCCCGTATGGATTGCTTTGGTACGTTGTCTATTGTAACAAGCAGACAGAATTCTAATTTACTGGCTTAAGATCATTGCCATTATTCAAGTTGTCGTTCTGCAAAAAGCCGTCGATAATGGACTGGGAAGACACCAGGTCCGACTCAACGGGGATGCCCTCGAGACAGCGAGCAAGGTTGGTTAACTGCTAAAGCCTAGATGTTTACTGACATAGTATAGTTTGCATTCGCTGCGCAAATACTACTAATTCTGGTCCTCTCGCTATCAAAACTGTCAACAATCCTGCTGGTCTGGAAGTTGACGCCGAACAACAGCCTCCGTCGAACCTGCACCATCACCGCCGGAGTCATTCTCGTATGGACTGTATTCTCCATATTCGCGATTGCCTTCCAGTGCCAGATGCCGAAATCCTGGTTGTATACGCCAGGGCGTTGCGCTGGAGAGGGTGCGCTGTTCTATCCGATCGGGGTGTTGAATATCCTTACAGAGCTGATCCTCGTCGGTCTGCCATTCGCAATGATGCGCAGTGTGCAAATGGCATTGAACAAGCGGGTGAAGATCCTGGGATCGTTCTCTACACGGCTATGGTACGTCAAATGCATACATGGCATTGGTATATGTCAACTGACGGATATCAGTGTCGTCGGCCTCGCAGTCGCCCATGTAGCCCTTCTACCATCATTCACGCACTCAACAGACGTCTCATGTAAGACCCACCCCTCTGATCGCGTATTGCATCTAACAGCCACAGGGGACAGCGTAAACTGGCAAATAACCGGGCAAGCGATGATGCTAACCTCCATCATAATCGCCTGCGTGCCCACGCTCTACCACATCTTCGCTGGCCTGCACTCCGGCTTAACAACAACACAGATTCCCGACGGGGTGGAACTGAGACGGACCAAGACAAGCACATACATAAATCAGACCTCGTCATCCGGCGGAAGCAAATCGCGGGGGAGGTCCAGGGATAGACGGCGTGAATCGCCTTTTAACCCTGAAGACGGCGCGGTTGTCACGGAGATTTCGTCCCTACCGAACAGAAACCACAACCGCAGTCGCAATGGCGATTATGGAAGACGGTCGAGTTCGAGTGATGGAAATGAGAGTACGAGGCATTTGACAATGGAGGGTAAACAGGGGGGTGTGATGAGGACGGTGGATATCACGGTGGAAGTAGAGGACCATCGGGGTTCTCTCTAGATATGAACAGATATGTTAGACGATATAGTAGACCTACTCACTGAACATAGAAAGTCAGAATGAGACGACGATCGCAGTTCGCTCAACAGATCAGATCGCCCCGTGCTGTCAATCGTGGAAGATTCCGATGGCGCGACAAGCACGACGGCGTCGCAGTAGTGCAGCTTGGCTGTTCCAGATAAACGAGCACGGGAAGGAACCCAGTCGATCCGAATTTCTTTGCAAAGGTACGAGTGCAGGAGATGCATGTGGCGAATTGGTCGGAGGGATCCGGAGCTAGGGCTGCCTGCTGCATTTTGATAACGCCGTCAGATCCATTTCGCTTGCTCGGTGGAATACATTCCGAGCATCTAGCCTTTATCTCGTTAACCACTGCCCGGATTATAGACCGGTCTCGCCTCTGACGGGTCTTGGAATGGATGCTTGCTATTTTACTATATCGAGAATTCTTCAAACATAGAGTTGTTTTATATTGATCATTTAACAAACGAGATATGTATGCAGAAAATGACAGTCAAAGCAATCAAGACACACTATCCAACAGAAAGAAACAAACTCAGTCTTCAATCGAAGAGAGTCCTAAATATCAGCTTCCTCAGTAGATCCGTTGAGGTCGAACTCATCCATCCCATCAACAACTCACCGTTCACGACGACAGTGCGCCCACTTCCCCAACTCCTTCGTATTTTGCAAACACCAAAGAATCACCTCTCAAGCCGCAAAGGTGTCTTCCAGGCAATCATGCCCATTGCCTGTCTGGATATCGCGATCAAGAAAGTCCGAAGCCAGCGTCCTCAACGCCCAAGTCCGCCGACACCCCCAGCCCACCGCATCGCGCGTCATAATGGCCGAGTCGACGGCATCCGCATGCACAATCCCCAACACATCCAGGCCATTCTGCAGTGCATGCTCCATAAGGATAGTTTGTTGGTCAATAATCTTCCACACCAACTCCCTGGCTGCTCTCCACCCACATACCGTCTTCTCCCGCCTCTTCATATCCTTAAAAAAAACTAGGAGCCACGCCGTTATATTGACTAGAAGAGCCAATAATACTCTCCACGGGCTCTATATACGTATCTATCAGGATATCTCCGGCTAGAAAGTCCACGGCACTAACGCGTATCGCCTCGCTGACTTGGTTGTTATTAACGCCGAGGGCACCGACCACTTCGCAGTCAAGCACTACTGCCTTGCGGACGGTAAGGTTAGATTTAGGGCTAGCCTGCATGTGTGCGAGATTGGGGTCTGCAAGTGCAAAGTCGTGTGCTGTCCAGAGGATGATAGTAAATAGGTCCTGCTATGAATAGCCTGGTAGAGAGTAGAACTTACTTCAAAGGCCTTCTTAGCAGGGTGGGACCTGCATGCCGAGGACCTAAGTTTGTTGTTCTTTTCTGATATTGGTGAGCATTAACTGAATAACAGCAAGTTCCAGGAGATTCGCCTACCTCCACAGTTTCTACATCTCTTCTTCATGTCGAGATCCTGCTGGCTGGGAATCTGGGTCCAGAAGCCTTGTTTGCGAAGAGACTGGACGGAATGGTATTTTGCTCGAAGCGCATCGATCAGTGCATCTCGTTCGGCAAGGGGGATAGCGGACCAGTTTCCCCTGATATCCGCGCTTCTAATAGATAGGTAGACTGAGCGTCAGCCCTAATGGAGCCTTGCGTAGGCTGCAGCGACATACTCGGGCCTACCGAGCCCAGTGTGGCGAATTTATATCCAACCTTAATATAAAGACCGTAAACGCCCTGAACATTCAGGAAACCACATAATTCCACCATGGCAGCAACGAAAATCGCCCTCGTAACCTGCAGCACAAGGGAACCGCGCATCAACCCCTTCATCACGAAATACGTCAAGCAAGAACACCAAGGAAATAAACCTCTCCATAATCGACATTCAAGACCAAAACCTCCCTCTCTATAACGAACCAGCAGTACCATCGCATCTATCATCGACAGACCCAACACCGCAGTATATCCACGAACACACGCGCGCATGGTCAGCGCTTGTCCGACAGTACGATGCTTTTATCTTTATAACTCCGCAGTATAACTGGAGTATACCTGCGAGTTTGAAGAATGCGCTGGACTATCTATTCTATGAATGGAAGGGAAAGCCTGCAGGGATTGTGACGTATGGTGGAAGAGGAGGGGGGAAGGCGGGAGATCATTTAAGGGGTGTTTTGACGGGGTTGAGGATGAGGACTGTGTCGACTGCTCCGGGAGTTGTTGTACGGAGTACGGCTATGGAAGGTTGTTTGGCGAAGGGGGAAGTTAGTGTGGAGGATAGGGAGGAGTGGAGGAGTGCCGGTGTTGAGGATGCGATTAGGGCAATGTTTGGGGAGGTATTGAATGAGCTGCAGGAGAATTGATAGACAGCTAAGTAGAATATACCAAGAACTCAAGGCTGGTGGTGAGACTAATAGATAGCTGGTTATTGGCCATTCAACACATCTAATCCTGATTCTCCCTTCAGATAATCCAGTCCATCCAGCTAAGGTAAGTAGGTCACAGTATATACTTAAACAGCGGCGACCGATCCCCCATAACCTGCAACTCCTCAGGCGTATATTTCTCCTGAATCTCATCCCTACTCATCTTCTCATTCCTCTTATTCACCCACCAAAACCTCGTCTCCAGCACAAGACTAGCCACCATCCCCGCCGCCGCAAACGCAAACGAACTCCCAAACCCCGTCGGATACTTCGGCGCCTCGCGCTCAAGGTATATAAACGAACCTACAAGCCCCCCGCAGTTTCCCGCACTGATCATGAATGCAATACCCATAGCCTGCTTCCTCGCGCCGGCCAGATTATTCGCCGTCCACGCGTTCGTCCCCGGGATGATCGGATACAGGCCTATACAAGCCAGCACGACGGCGAAGTAGCAAGCAGGGATATTATCCTTGATATCATCGGCGAGTGCGAATAGAATCCCAAAGCCAATAATCACAAGCATCTGGCCCATAACGATAATGGGCATGCGCCAGCGCAGTTTATCAGCCACAACCCCAAAGCCGTAAGCGGAGATAGCGCCCGCGAAATACGGCGGCATGGAGAGAAGCTGTGCGTTTGCGGAGGTGTATCCCATATTCTTCATAATCTGGGGAAGGGAGAATTTCAGCCCGTAATTCGGGACCGTGTTGGACCAGAAGTTCAGGATCTGGAGATACAGGTGCCAGTCGGTGAGGGTGCGGAAGAGCGTCTTCCAGTCGAATTTACTGGCTTTTTCGTCCACGACGATGGGGCCTCGAAGGGCTTTCTTGCGCAGTTCTAGGTACCGGATCTCTTCGGGGTCTAGCCACCGTGTTGAGAGGGCGGGTGTGTCTACTAGGCAGAAGTAGCAGACTGCTGAGAGAAGGACGGTTGCTGCGCCTTCGATTATGAAGATCCAGCGCCAGCCATTATATCCGCCGATTCCGCGCATTTTGGCGAGTCCGAATGCGAGCAGGCCTGAGAAGGCGCCGGCGAGGGCGCTGGCTGTGTAGAATATTCCGATGCGGGTTTGCGTTTCTTCGGGCATGTACCATTGTGTGATGAGCCAGACGGCGCCGGGGAAGAAGCCGGATCTAGAAGATATAATTAGACGGGTTTAATCATCTATTCGAAAGACATACTCGAAGATACCAAGCAGCACGCGGACGGCGCAGAGGCCGGCAAAGTTTTGGACGACTCCTGTTAGGGTTACGATGATTCCCCAGATGAGAGTCAGCATCGCGAGGTAGACTGATGGTTTCTTGAATTTGGCCAGTAGAATATTGCTAGGGACCTCTAATACCAATGTCAGTGAGGAAACTAAAGAGACTTGATTACCTACCGAACAGGACGTAGGTGACGAAGAAGATTCCCAGGGCAACGTTATACTGAGTCCCAGACATATCCAAGTCCGTCAACATGCCTTCGATTTTGGCATTTCCTTTACATCGTCAGAATCAGAAATATCACAATGATGTCTAACTCACCAATACTCGCTTTGTCGATATAGGAGACAAGATAGAGGAAGGCCAACAGAGGGCAAAGTCGCCAATCGATCTGCAAGGTTATTCTCCATTAGTCTCATAAGCGATTCGTCCCATAAGGGATTTTTCTTACCTTTCGGATGCACTTCTTCCTCTTCGCATCAGAAAAGTTGGCCAGGAAGTACGCGTCATCCTGGCTCAACCCGCTCTCCATGTACACCTGCTCCAGACTAGGGGCCGCCTCGAGGCATTTCTCCGGAGACGCATCCTCCACGTACAGCACACTGGACGGCTTAGACGAAGGCATGACGCAGTGCAATTGAGAAGTGACTGCACCTCTGAGCTATTATGCGACATCTTCTTTATACTGCCGACCCTTTCTCGGCGCCCAGACAGCCAAGACCCCAACCCCGCGGACAGTTACTCCAATTCTGGGGAATAGGACCACGCGTGGGGTGGCGGTAGGATCGCAATGAGCTTATTGCCGTGCTGAGAAGGCTATATGCAGGGAAATGTTGGAGATGTGGCGCAAGTCTTTGTCCCGTGTTGACACTTGGACCCCCCTGAGGGCAGCAGCAGCCGAGAAGTAGCCGAGATGGCATCAATGCTTATTCTTGCCACCTGTCTTTTGAAGCGTGCATTATTTATTGGCTGGTGAGGTGTGGAAGGGTTGGAACCTTGGTGACAGCCTAGATGCCTCCCATATATCAGAAGATGCCGGCATTGAGACCGGCAGTGCTTTAGCGTAGTGGGCTAATCAATATCTTTATTACTTATTAATATCAGGCTAATCGAATCCTCCAGATGAATGCCAATCATATGCAGTTACATAACAGGCTTGCCCAACAGCAGCTCCTTGAACTGGATGAGCTGTGTAACCCTATATAGACAATTACAGCTCCCCCAAAGCAAACCTCGTCAACTCGTCCCTACTCCCCAAAAACACATCTCCCTCCCCCCCATTCCCACTCATCGCCGCATACTGCCAGAATGTTGCCTCCTTCCAACCCACAGGCAACGCGCCCATCTCATCCGCCCAATTCGCCAGCCACAGGGGATGCTCGGCCGCAAAGGAGGTATCATTCCCAGCACACTGTCCCCACCACTTCGCAGAGAGAAACAGCAGCGGCGGCCGCCCCGTAGCCTGCTTATAAGTGTTTGAAAAATCCGCCATCCAGTCTGTGATTTCATCTGCTTCCATCCCGTGGCATAGTTTGCCCGCGATGTTACCCTCCATCTCCAGCACGCCAGGCAGGGTCTCTCCATCGGCCGTCCAGTTCCCGCCGTTGTTCAGGAAGAATTTAGCCTGGTCTGCGCCGCTGCTGGATGCGGCGGACGCGAAGTGGATTGCGCCGTGGAAGACTCCTGGGGCGGCGTTCTCTGTTTGCGAGGGATATCGCAGGTTTTTGTAGTTGGTGCCCTCTGTTGCCTGCACCAAGTTAGAATACAGAAACACCACTGATGGACTGCGAGGAATATGTAGTACCTTGACAAAAACAAATTCCACACCGTCCGCGACGGCATTCTTCCAGTTCACAGGGAGATGGATCTCGAACAGGTCGATTCCCCGGGTGCCATTCACAGGCAGGGAGGTGCTGGAAGCCAGCGATGCGAGGGCGGACAAGAGCCACCAGGAAGTGATGCGCATTTTATTCTATTTTATTTTTTATTTTTCTTCTTGTTCTTAATATTGTTCTCTTTTTCGACGATCAGAGATGATCTTAAGATCGAGATCGCTCGAGTTAGACCCCTTTTTTTTCTCCGGGTGGGGAATTCTGGAACTGCGCTAGGACGAGTCGAAACTAATTTAAAACATTTAAACACTTGCCTCGGCAGTTTGCTGTATTTATTATCTTCATTATTCTGATTCTGCAGTCTGTGTTTTGTGACTTAGGGCTCTACATTACCCTCTCGCCAGCCTTGCCTGGTCAGATATCGCTTCAACCTGTCTTTCTCTCTCTGACGAACGCGCAACAACGTCAAAGCCAAACCTCTCAGGCTGGACATTAAACCCTGCCCTATAATCATACAGCGGAGGTAGTATGTCTTTCCCACTGGCATCCCTCTTACAGCGCAACGTCATCGCCCACGCAATCCTCGCCGTCAGGATATTCAACGACCGCTCTGCGATACTCTGCCCCGGGCAGATCCTGCGCCCGAACCCGAAACACGAGTAGTTCTGCATGTTGGGGAATTTGGTTAATGGCTCCTGGTACGTCGGATAGCCGCGCTCAAGCCAGCGCTCTGGGCGGAATGTCTCGGGGTCTGGGTATATTCCAGCGTCCCGGTGGATAGCCCACTGGTTGGCGTGGAAGACTGTGCCCTTGGGGAAGAAGTGGCCGTTGTAGCTGTCGTCTTGGATGAGTTGGTGTGGGACATTCCCGGCTGTAACTGGTCTCCATCGTAGGACTTCTTTGATGACAGCGCGGACGGTGGGTAGATTTGGGATATCGCTGAATTCGGGGATCCTGTCGCCGACTTGATCGTCGATTTCAGTCTGCATCTTCACCTGCCACTCAGGGTGGTGCACCATGGCCAGACAGAACGACATCATGGCCGCGGCGGTGGTGCCACTGCCTGCTTCAAACAGCGTTCCAATCACATATGCTGCCTCGTCATCCGAGAGCCCGTATCCCTCTTTATTGTCCAGGAACGTCTTGGTGAATGACCTGCTCCCCTGTCCTTTGTCGATATCATCACGAACATCCTGCTGCAACTTCCGAAACAGACCCAGCTCCTCCGCATGCAACCGCGCAGCCTCCCGCTTAAACGGCGCCAGAAACGACGGAAGAATATTCAACACAGGGAACGAATCAACCAGATACGCCCCCGGCGACGCAACCCTCTCCACGGTCTTTCCCACGCCAATGATGCGTTTAAAATCCGGCTCGTCGCCCGTCTCGATCCAGCGCCCGAATCCAATCCGGTACACAACGCTGGACGCGTACAGCTCGAACCACTTCTCGTATGCAGCGGGATTCTTCAGTAAAGAGGCAAGTAGTCTTTTCGACTCATAGTCCTGAACAGGCTCGTAGCTGCTCGCGGCGGTGTTTGTTGTGAGCTGGTGCATCAACTTCCGTCCCTTTCGCCAGAGATCTGCATATCCATATCATGAGCAAACAGCAAAGCATAGACACAAAAAACGGGGGAAGAGGAATACCATTATAAGGAAGAAAAAGAGGCCTGAGATTATGCGACAGCAGCCCCGATGCAAAGGGCAGATACTCCCTGGAAGAGTAAAGCGACCCTCGCTCCCGAAGCAGGGCATTAGCGATCTTCTCGGTTGAGAGAACAACGTGTTTTCGCCCTGCGAGATCGAGCTGGAAGATGGGACCGTACTTATCGGCCCATTTTTTGAATTTGAGCCAGGAGTGTTTGGGGGGAATGTCGAGGAGGTTTCCCAGGATTGGAGTGCCTGGACATGTTAGCTGGCTTGTAGAGCACCGCAGGAGTCCGTTGTATACCCGGTGGACCTGGAATGGGGGTTCCAGGTTGTTTTGTATCCCTCTTCTTCCATAGTAATAGTGCAGCTAGCAATGCAAATAGGTAGGCGTATATCATGGTGATGGTAGGAGTGTCATGATATGGGAGTAGTGAGAAGAACCACCAGCTACCAGCAGATATTCCAGCCCCACGAGCTGATCAACCAGCTGCAGCAGTTCAACTCTCTTGATTGGAGGCCTTGTCTTGACCATTTCGAACCCCGCGATGCCCCACGGCCGCAAAGGGACATATGTGGAGGGACTGACTAGCTGTACCACCTCCTTGTGTTGCATCCTGCCTTGAACTACTGGAATTGGTCACGCGGGGCATACTACAGTACTGGCATACATTAAGGAGTACTTGAATCCATTTATAGTAGATAAATAAATAAGAAAAAAAAAAAAAAAAAGGGCCCGAACCGTGGTTCGAACACGGGGCCTCTCGCATTTAGATCGGATAATCCCACTATTCTGGATTAGTATGTGGTAAAGTTGGTAATCCTGGTACGGTAGCCTTACAAGCGAGAATCATACCACTAGACCATCCGGGCTGATGTAAGCGCTTCAGTAGATTGAGCTTTTCAGGGTCTTGTCTCTTCTTTAAGAGAAGAAAGAGAAAAAAATGATAAAAAAGAAGGGCCCGAACCGTGGTTCGAACACGGGGCCTCTCGCACTTAGAATTGGTGATCCCACTGATGATGAATTAGTATGTGGTAAATTTGATGGTACGAATACGGTAGCCTTACAAGCGAGAATCATACCACTAGACCATCCGGGCTGTTGTTAGTGCTGCTGGGCTTTTCTTATTTATCAACGGCTCCCAAGCACCCTCTACGAATTTGTCGACAGCCAAAGGTTCAAGTGAAACTACACATGAACGCTATTTCGAGCCTCAGATTCAAATCTATAAAGCCTGGAGGCAAGTGTCATGTGGTAAACAGTGGTATGGTTTACGCCCGTTATGCGCAAGAATATCGGACTCGATTATATATATTCCATTCGACAAACTTTATACAGAGAACGAGACGAGGGTGTTAAGAAGTGGGATCAATGAAATGGTCCAAATATGCCAACATATTCAAATCGGCAATTTAACGTATAGATACTGTACGGACTTTGAGAGTTGACAAGTTACCCCATTTATTCCACTATGTTTACAATAATAGTGGTCGATTGAATGAATACGGACATGTGTAGTTGATCGGAAACCATATCCGAATCTATAACATCATTTAACTATGCAGTCATTGACCTTATGGCCGTCGTAGCTTTGCATCAAGATTTCCCTAGCTGAGTAGCTTATAACGAAAGACAGTCATTCGGTACCAATATCACACCTCATATCGATCCGCCGTATCCTGCACCGGCCTATACACAAAAGAATCAAATTTGGCTGGCAGGGCTGTCCCATTCAAGTCGGAGCAGGCCATGCCCACAAACGCCCCAGTGAAGCTCCCATGGGCCTGATGACCACCGCACTCGTCCGACAGAATCGATGCATCAAACACGGGCCCAACGGCTTGCAGGTCTCCGTCTCCGAGGGCGTAAAAGAACTGCAGAGTGAGTCCACCTCTGATACTCAATGCCAGTCTGACCTTGCCTTCATTCGGAATCTGAATTGGCTCAGGGAATGGGGTATCGAGTTTCCCTTCGGGGTATGATGCTTCAGAACGCAGGATATTGATCTCCCGCTGCCCGTCCGCATCTGCTGTAACTGCCAGATAGAAGAAGTTATACCTGCAGTAGTACGCGACAAGACCGGCGAACTGCCTCTCGTCAGTAGGCGCATAATCAATGAGGACAGTCTCCGCATCGTATGAGAAATGCGTCTGCCGCCGCGCAACAAGCGCCTGCTCAAACCACGACCCAATCGACTCACGGCCGACAAGGCAGAGACTCCCATCCGTAATAGAGAAGATACGCTCTGGCTCAGGCGTACGCAGCCACTGGAAGTCCTTGTGCAGGACATCCCTGAAAGCATACTTCTGCTCAGCCCAGTACTCGCCCTCGCGCCGCGTCCCAGGGACATCAACATACAGCGACGGCACCGGCCCCCCCTTCACCCACAACCAGCCATCCTCACCCCAATACACCTCCTGGATAGAAGTCTCCCTTCCCAACACACACCGTCTCCCCTGCCCAACCGGCCTCCCCATCAAATGCACCAGATACACCCTCCCATCCTCCGTCTCCACCAAGTCCCCATGCCCGGCCCTCTGCAGCGCCGCAAAGGGCGCATCCTTCGAACTCAAGATATGCTTAATCGGATGCGTCTCATAAGGACCCCAGATACTCCTCGACCGCGCAAGTGTACAAGCATGCTGATACGCCGTCCCCCCCTCGGCCGTGAGAAGATAGTACCACCCGTCCCGTTTATAAAGATGCGGGCCCTCAACCAGATCCAGCTCCGTGCCTTTAAAGATATTCTTCCTCGGCCCGACTAGTTTCCCTTGCACCGGGTCGAATTCCTGCAGTGCGATCCCCGCAAACGCACGCGGACGCCGCCGGTGGTCCCACAGCATATTTACGAACCATTTCCGGCCGTCCTCGTCGTGGAAGAGACTCGGGTCGAAACCGGAGGAGTTTACATGGATAGGGTCCGACCAGGGACCTGTAATGTCCGGCGCAGTGACGATATAGTTATGGGAATCCTTGAACGAGCCGTCCTTGCGAGTGACGTAGGTATAGACGAGCCAGAATTGGGATCCGTCGTGGGAGAGACACGGTGCCCAGACGCCGCAGCTGTCGGGGGCGCCGCGCATGTCGAGCTGGCTTGCCCTGGACAGTGGGCGGGCGATTAAGTCCCAGTTTGCGAGGTCGGTGGAGTGGTGGATTTGCACGCCGGGGTACCATTCGAAGGTGGAGGTTGCGATGTAGTAGGAGGAGTTGACGCGGAGGATGGAGGGGTCGGCGTTGAAGCCGGGGAGGATGGGGTTGCGGAGGGGCGGCATTGCCACTTTTCTCTTGCTTGATATGGTATAATATAGAATGAATATGGATGTGGATGTTCGGAATTGGAATTGGAACTGGGCTGATGGAGTTATATAGCGGGGCTTCTCCAAGCGGTTATTTGCAGCATTAGCCTAAATGCGCCTTGGCTTGGGGTATAAGTCAAAGGTACTGTTTAGCCAGATTTCTTAGTTATTTAATTATTGTAATCCTCGAATAAGGAGGCGGCGCATCATCATACACATGTACTGTACCCTCTCTACTGGACACAGCTTGCTTCCCTGCCTTCTTTTTTCGACAACAAATAACGACGACGTTCCCGTTTCAACGGAGGTGTCCTGGTCGGCTTCCACAAGAGAAGACAAGTTTAGACTAGAAGATTAGTTGGCTGTTTAATGGATAACTGCTGGAATACGCACGTCGAGACGAGTCCCTCAACCGCCAGGGGATAGTCTAGGGTCGTTAGGGCCGGCAGCTGCACGCCCAGATTCGACGTTTCAATGCTAATTGTCGAATTAAAGGGCTGACCATCGAAAGCTGAAGGATCTCGAGTGATATTGGCGAGTCGAGGGAGCGACAGCTTGGAGATACGCCCGAGGATGTTGAGACCAGCAGTAGACTATAGAGCAGGCAGATGAACCTCAATAGCCCCATATTCCTGATCTTCCCAGGGATTTGTCACGTAGCTCGAGAAGATGACGCCTGATGTGCCGACGCGTTACAGCGATGTCAGGTTCGTCCTTAGCAGTCAGCACACGAGGAATCTCACATAAAATATTGATACATACTCCCAAATTCCAGCAACGCCGATTAATTCAGATTCCACCAATTTGCCCAGATCAGCCTTCCCCCCCTTATACGAGCGCAGTGACAGCTCCTGCATACGCTAAACCTTGAGGAGCCGCACGTCGGAAACCTGGTAGAGCTCCAGTATCCCAGCGTAGTTGACCACATCGAGCATCTCGAAAGATTCCACATTCTCCGAGTACTCGGAAGCGTTCATCGCGATTCCGCCATTTAATTCTGTGACGCCATTCAGCTTGAACGGACCGGAGTAGTCGGGTAACAGTACGATGTTGCCGGTGAGGTTGGTGCAGCCATCCAGGTGGCTGAGGTCTTGCTGGCTCGAGTCGTAGAGAGTAGGGATATCTGCACTCGAGTCATTTGTACGGCAGTTTCGAGAAAAAGCAGCTTATCATGTTAGTATTATAACTGGTAGACAAATAGAGATATAAGTAGGAGTATACCACTTGCAAGCTCAACAACCAAGACGATCTGCAGGACACGAGCGGTGATCACCTTCAACGATCATGATAGTCTTAATGATCCTGAATTAGCCGCGGGAAAGGGGCATTTATCTATTTGTTATCTACCTATTTGGTGGGCTGAACAACTGCCAAGGGCACTAAGAAACGCCTGGCATGCCACTAAAGAAGATGAAGTTAAGTGTCTCTGAGTTTGAAAGATCATTGGATGCTATTAAACAGCCGACGAAGGAACTAATGTCTGTTGGGCGTAGCTCCGTGGACAGAGGGCTCAGCAGAGGCGCAGCACTCTTCCAGCGTCTCAGGGCTGAGGACGAGGTCAGGAGTGCAAATTGCTATTTGGATCGGGCTCGTAAATGTGCATGCCAGAAAAAAAGTAGGTCTGGCCTTGCCTTCCTAGGGATTCAGCTTGGGTGCTTTAGGGCTGAATATCATTTATATTCAATCAGTCAATCAGGCACCTCTGCAGGACTAGGCAGGAATACGAGCAGGTCCCACCAGATTAACTTTCTGACATGCACTATATAAACTACGCTGCCCGCCATTTGTCCGTTGTTTAGACCGGAAGGACAATACTAGGTAACGATGCCAGGCTTCAAAGCCCTCACCAAGGACCATGTGTCCACAGTCCTGGACCAGAGCAGCTTCTATCCAGCGGAAAAACAGCTCAACTACCCCATTGAAATGAGATTTATCTCATTCGATGAAACAGGGTCTGTCGGCGATATGCACTGGAATAACAGCGCCGAAACAACGGCCGCCCTGGAGAAGTGGTGTCGCGATGCGGTGGAGCTGATCAAGCCTGGGAATGGCCTGGATTCACACCTCGACAGCCTGGACGGCCACTTCAAAGCGCTGATGCTGTGTAATTTCCTGACGTACAAGCAGGAGATGGGAAAGAGTGAGATTGTTGATCGCGCTTGCGCGTTGCTTGCTCGACTTCCCTCTCATCCACCGGAACTGCCATTCGTGTATGGAGGAGAATGGCCTGCTGAATATTTGACACCACTACAGGGTAAAGAGAGTGAGTGTGAGTATAAATGGACAGCCCTCAAGGTCCTGTCTACACCAAGCACGAACAGCATTCGCCTCGCGCTGTTCCTGGTAATGAAACGCAGCGTCCCACTCAGCTTCACAGGCCACTACTCCGACACGATAGTTAGTCTCCTGGACACCACAACCCGTCTCCTGGACGACAGTCCCAGTGAGGACGCACAGGCGTGGTTCGTTCTGCAGGCCTTTCTATGGGCGGCATGGCAGCACACCGTCATGCTGCAGCTGTGGTATGACGGGAGCAAGCAGATGGATGGATACCGCTTCGACAGACACAACGATCTCATAGCGAAGCAGATTCCCGCGGTGATGCCTAGCCGGGAGACGATTGAAAAGGCACGGCCCAACTATATGTGTAAGTGGGCGTTTGAGCTTCTCCGGTCCGATCTGAGCTGTGTGCCGCAGGACTTCAGGACGTTCTTAGACATCTTCGAACGGCGGTTTGGGGACCGTGGCCCACGATGCAACATTGTTCCTACTGGAGATGCCCCAAGCCCAAGGAGGGTTTGCGACGGCAAAGCACCTGGAAACTGCCAGAGATTCGAGTCCGAGGGCGTCCAGATCCAGGGCGCGCACGACTTCGACTGCCCCGGCCCCGGCCCTGATTCCCCCTGCCACTTGCTGACCTGGGACGAGCAGTCCTATCTCAGCATCACCGGCGGACGAGCAAGAGCCATATCCCTAGAGGACACCGACGACAAGCACATCCGTTACACCCCCGCCACCAAGGACACCCTGGCCGTCTCGCACGTCTGGAGCCACGGCCAGGGCGGCCGGCCAGAGACCGGCTTCAACAGCTGCCTGCACGCCAGATACAGCGCCCTGGCCAGATCTTTACAGTGCACGTCATACTGGATGGACTCCCCCTGCGTGCCAACAGACCGCACCCTACGCGCCGAATGTCTCGGCCAAATCAACGCCATCTTCGAAAGCAGCAAAGTCACCCTCCTCGCAGACCGCGACATCATGGAGATAGATATCCTCCCACAAACCCTCGAAGCAAAGGAATCCATCCTCGCTGCCCTGCTCGTTTGCGACTGGAACGTGCGCGCCTGGACCCTGCTTGAGGGAATGCGCGGGCGTGCAAGACTTCACATCCTCTGCAGAGATAACAACGTCATCTCCCTCGTCGATGTCCTCAACGCCGTCCTAAACCAGAGCTGTCTATCCCTCGTCTCGCCATGTCTCGCTGCACAGCACTACGCGCCTATCCAGCCATCCTTTCCCCCCGACGACCCTGCGGGTGTATCAATCGAACAAGCAACCTGCCTCCTCAACCACCGCCACGCGACAAAAGACCGCGACGTCCCCATGATCTGGGCCCTAGTCGCCGGCTCAGCAACCGTCATCAAAGCCGCGGATGAGTTCTGGGGCCAGAAAATAGGCGAGCCCGTCGCAACGGGGTTTCTTGTCTCTGGATCCCCGCGTCTCAAAACCAGGGGGCTGGGATGGGCGCCGGCGCGTCCGAACCTTCTCCCCCCGACAGCAACGAAGGATGAGAAGCAGTATCCTGCCTATGATGGGCAGAATAGTCTCGCCGGGAAAATCACAGAAACAGGCTTCAGGGCGGAATGGCTTGGTGCTGTCCTCCGGCGACGAGGGAAGGGTCTTCCGGCTTGGATGTTTAGTATTGAGAATCCCGCGCCCCCGGGGGGTCAGTTACGAGATTACTACCGTGTGTACAATAAAGGAGGCAGTGAGGGGATGGACATGAAGACGCGGCGGAAGATTGCGCTGGTTGTGGGAAACCTGTTTAAGACCTTTCGCTGGGTTGCGCTGTTGATGCCGTGTCTGAGAGACCGGGGGGCGAATGGGCCGGTGGCTCCTCCCATGCCATTTGCATATCAGGGCCAGGCTGAGGGGCCGGTGGTGGTTGTTGTGGCTTCGAATGACCAGGAGGAGTGGGAGTGGCAGTTTATATACGAGTGGGAGAGAGACTCCCTGCCTGAGTTTGGACTGGCGGAGTTTTTACTCGTATAACACACTATACACAGCAGGCTAATTAATTCTAGTAATGCTACTATGGTATATAATATCAATATACAGGACACAACCTTCCATTGTTATTCCACGATTCCGGCAACGGATCCACCGTCTGCACCTCCCAATCCTCCGCGCCCACAGCCGTAAGCGCATAAAACAATCCCGTGGGATCATACTTCTGCTTCAGGCTATAGAGTCTCGGGTAATTACTCCCATAGAACGCCTGCTGAAGATCCGGCTCGATGATGTCCGCCTCGCTCATATAAGCACCGGAGTCAGGCGCAATGGCGCGCATCTTGTCCATCCACGCCGTCACGAATGTGGACGTGCTGTAGACGGTGGACCAGCTTGCGTCGGCGCTCCATTGCCCGCCGACGATGATGTGGGCAAGGGCGTTGCGCCAGGCGGGAAGCACGGCGTTGTTTGTTGGTGGTGTCATGGCGATTCCTGTGCCGGAGATGTGGAAGCCGGCGATGAAGAGGCCCTATACTGTTAGCTGAATACAACTAGGGGCAGGAGACTGGGGTTAGAAGTTAGGGTGGTGGGGTACATTTTTGATGGCATCCTGGTGGGCAGCGAACAAGCTGGCTCGGGAGGAGTCCTCGGTGAATACAGTCCGGGGCATCAGACGTGAGGCCGTCTTTACCATTGCCGAGCCGGTGAATTCCTGGGGGAAGGCTGCTTTCCAGACATCGTGGCTGATTCATTAGCAACTATCCGTGAGTAATGGGTGGTGTGGTCATACTAGTTATCAGCGTGGTTGTACCACGGGGTGTATGTGATATTCTGACTATCGAGCACGTCGAACCACGGGGCAAGCAATGTCTTGGTCTGGGCGACTGTCATGTTCGGTGCAACGAATGATTCCATACGGAAGTAATAGTCTGTCGACCCAGCATAGTCAGTGCCGATCAGGATAGAGGAGGCCCCAACGTAGTAGTAGCCGTACGACCCGGCGTCGACGAAGCGCTGGAAGTTGTCGAGGTAGGCAGAGACGCCGGTCCAAAAGGCATCGGCATTAGGACAGTCGTTGATTGTGAAGTTGAAGGTGACAGAGGTCGTTTGGATCTGGGGGTGCGCGATGACCGTCAACGAGGTGACGACGCCGATAGTGCTCCCTCCTCCTCCACGGAGCATCCAGAAGACGTCTGGGTTCTGGGTTGCCGATGCGGTGATGAAGCGGCCATTAGCAAGGACAACTGTCTCTGTTAATATACGCTTAACTGGGGGAGAGGGACATACATACCCTCCATAGACAAGACCTGGTCAGCAGCCAGCCCATACATGCTGGACAACGGCGAATGGCCACCACCAGCAGTGAATCCTCCTCCCAGACCAACAGTAACAGCCTCACCACCAACAGTCGTAACGTGGTTCTCCTTTGCAAACTCATTGGCCTCCCAGACCTGGGTGCCTGCGCCGAACTTGATCGCAGGGCCGATATAGCCGTTGTCAGAGCGGTACTCGGGATAGAACCGCTTATCCTTGAGCCAATGGGTCCAGATGGACAACGCCCCCTTGCCAGCAGCCTTGCCGTTGAAGTCGTGGCCTGTATTCTTGACAACTAGACGCAGGTTGAGGCTGCGCGCGAAGTTGACAGCTAGCTGGATCTGGGCCACGTTGGTGACGTTCACGACGTACGAGGGATAACCGCCCATCATACAGGTGTCGGTGTAGTTCGAGCCAGGGGGCATGCAAGTGCGGCCTTCAAAGAGAGGAAGCATTATGGAGGTTGGGTCGCCCATACTACACATGGTTAGCCATGTCACTTTATGAGGACAGAGACATACTGGAGATCAGAAGTAGACCACTGCGTGGTGATCTCAACGCACTTCGTTGCATCGTAATCTGGCCAGTCAGGATAGCATACTGCAGCCAGCGGCGAGGCCTTGATTAGACGTCGTCCAAGGAGGAGGTCAAAGATCTCCCAGAGTAGGTTTCTCGGCCACAGCGAGTCGCCTGGCAGCGTCTTGCAACTGCGCCCGCTTCGCTTTGAAACAGCCGCGTCTCCGAACTTGAACAGGTCGGACACCGACTTGTTTTGGATCGCGGCCTCCACTTCGCCCAGGACCTCGTCTGTCAATTGCAGCGACTCTCCGGGGAAGAGTGTGGCTGAGGGGACGACAGTGGCTGCAGGCTTCAAGGACTGGGATGGGAACTCTGCAGCCGCAGCAGCCACGGCCAGGGTGGCGAGTGCACAAGGGAGCAGGTTCTTCATTTCTAAGGATAAATGAAGCCACTGCAATTACAAATGCGCCAGGCCGGCTCTTGGATGACAGGCAGCGAGGGGATCCGAGATGCGCAGCAGGGAGGCCTCAAATACTTAAGCCTGAGCGGGCCCAGGAGATGAAGCTTGCCACTTTACTAGCATGCTGCTAATTAGCGAGGATGGCGTGGTCAACGGCGCATGCACTATTGATGCAGGCATTATATCCCGCTCGACCACACCAGAGTCAAGCAGACGCGAGCAGCAGGGGCAGTCGGAAGAAAGCACCGAGCCCTGAAGGCTGGATAGATGCAGCGGACCAATTTTTATTTGTGCATGACTCGAGCAAGCGATGCACTAACAGCTAGTGAGGCACCGGACTGGAACTAGGGCTAGCCACTCTCGCGTTAATATACGCAGCCAATAACGCCCTTCTTCCCGTATATTCCATGCAGGCTTACCTTACCATGTCCAGTCCAGTGGGATCTGGAACGTGAAATGAAGGATCCTGCCGGCGAGTCAAGCATCGGCAAATAGGCCACCACTGTAGCCGAGCACCCATGCTTAATCTGTTTTAATATACCGGGCCACTGGGTGCCGAAGAAGTCCGGCATATCCGACCTCGACGAGCCAGTAAGCCAGTTCGAGCCCCCTGCGTGGCAAGCAGGGGCTCGCAGTCTACCTGCAGAGAATGCAACAATCCTTGTTATTCTACCATGCCCCCGTCCCAGAAGAGGAGCATCTCCGCCCCTGGTCTAGCCAGAGCCACGTCCAGGTCCCCAGATGAGACTGCATAAAAGACCTGATCCTGCGGTCTTGCAAACTCTGATCAATGGGGGCCGAATCGTCAACATCACGCAAAGTGTAATATAACAGTATAAATGCACCCATTCTCTCTGATCGGCAATGCTGATCTGCCTCTGCCGTGAACCGGATCGCCATGGATTCATCTTCGGACGATCTGCCCCACGACAACTTGCAGGCACAGGCGATCGGCCTGATCTTCGGGTTTCCTGCCGCTGCGACGGTCGTGGTGCTGCTGCGTGTCTATATCCGGGTCTGGATGCGGTCATTTGCTGCTGGTATGCCCACAGTAATACAAATCATGGAATACTGCTAATTATTAGACGACTGGGTTATTTGCGCTGCACTGGTAAGACCATTCCTTTATAACAGGGCTGCTGTTTATATTCTAGGCGCTGTACTGGGCAGAGACGGTCACTTCATACTTCAGTATGAGCCCTCTATACCTTTATCTGGCGATGCTAACAAGACAGCAATCAAACTGCAATACATCGGCTACCATGTCTGGGACATCCCAGAAGACTACAATGCCGTTCTAGCAGGGAAATATTCCTACGCAGTAAGTATCTCCTGGTTTCTATGGACAGTACCTCACAGTCCCAGACGGAACTGCTCTACAACCCCATCCTCGCCCTCATCAAAGCCTCCATCCTGCTATTCCTCCTGCGCCTCACCGGACAGAAGGTCGCCGTCCGTCGCACAATCTGGGCCATCATGGTGCTGAATGCCGTAGCAGCGGTCGCAACGTTTCTAGTAACCGTCTTCAACTGCGTCCCCATCGCATCGAACTGGAATCCAGCGGCGTATCCGGATAAGAAGTGCGTCAACTTTGCAGACTTCGTCACGGGCACGGCCTCTGTGGCTATCTTTACGGACTTTCTCGTCTTGCTTCTTCCGACGTGGATCGTGTATAACCTGCATATCGCACGGAAGCAGAAGATCATGCTTGTTGGGATTCTGTCGTTTGGTTTGATGTACCCACCACCACCACCACTACAAGAAAAAAAAAAAAAAAGAATACTAATGAGAATTGTAGAACCGTCCTGGCGGGAATAATCCGCGTCATCCTGCTTGACAAATTCGACCGCAACATCCCGCCCGACTCCAGCTACAGCGTGCTCTTCTGCATCTCCACAATCGAAGTCGGACTCGCCTTTGTGGCTGCCTGTGCGCCAGCCCTGAAACCACTCTTCGTGCGCCTCGTCCCCAGACTATTCAGCTCGGCTAGTCACACTGGTCAGTATAACCGTCCTGCTGGGCGCTATGGATATGCGTATGATCTTGACCATGTATCCAAGTCGCGGAAGACGCAGGGGGGGAATACGACGTCTGTGCTGGGGGGAGATGAGGATGTTCCTGCGCCTTGTGGGAGTCAGAGTGTGTCGAAGAGGAAGAATGGGATTATGATGACGACTGAGACTGAAGTAAGGTGGGAGGATTCGCCTGGGACGGTGGATGGGACGGTGAATGATAGTAGTACGGAGAGTCTAGTGCAGCTCGGAGGTAGATGATATACAATACTACAGATATCATAGCTACAGAAGGAAAAAAACGTAGACTGCTGCATGAATAGCGAATAGAGAATGTATTATATACACTGAAGTTATTTACTTTCTACTGCAGCCCCTCCAGGACACAATAAACCTTTGGATACTGCCACTTGGGTACACTCCAAAACATGAACCCAAACACCCAGATATACCCTATAACCCTCCCCAAGACACCCCCCTGCACCCTTTTCACCCAATGCTCCCTTCCAAAAGACTTAAACAGAGTTCTAACAACCCCCAAAACAAAAACCTCAGCCAGTCCAACCCCAAAATTCAAACAAAACCACCAAACATCACCCCTCCACGCACAATCCCCCAATCTCCACGAAACAACCCCATGCGAGACCCCCGACAGGAAGAAAATCACAAAAATCACAATCAGCTTATCCAGGGCCGACCCCTTCCCCAACCGCAGAACCCGCCGCGACACCAGCTCGCCGTAATTCGTGTACGTGCGCCGGATAATCTGGTGCCAGAATTTGCCCCAGAACCGACGCATGCTCCAGGCCTGAGTTAGTGGGCCAAAGATGGGCGGCCATTCGGCGGGCGCGTCGAAGCCGAGTATCGACACGGAGAGGAGGGAGAGTGCCGCGTGGGCGCCGTCTAGCATGGCGACGGCGGAGAATATCCAGAAGGCGACGAAGGCGATGCGCAGGAGGGTTTCGCGGAGAGTCACGGCCTCATCTTCATATCCATTTACCTCTTGAGATGAAGGTAATAGAAGACGTCGGAAGTAGACTTGATGGTGCGGATCGAATTCGTTCATCTCGATGGGCATGAAAATTCCTGGGAAGATGTATGTTTTGATATAGAAGTACAGTCCGATATATGTGATGAGTTTTGCGGCACGGATTATGGTGAATGCGCGCAGCCCTGATGGGATTGCCGGCTTAGGGCTTTTGAGGATACATTCGTGCGGTGTTCCCAGGAGGCGTGGGTTATTCCAGAGCTTAATACCCTTGACGAATTTGGGATGGATGTGAGGTGCGAGTTTGGACCAGCGGGCTAGGTACTCTCCCTCTTGGTAGATACGGTCATTCTCGACGAAGAGGAGGGATGTGGAGTGACCGACCCAGATGCAGAGGAGCAGACCCCAGAGGCTGTTTAGATCTCCGGGCCACCATTCTGACAGGTAGAACGAGACCCCGGCTGGGATGTAGAGTAATGGTGATAGAATTAGCCTGCGAGGGTTGGGGATATTCACTAGATGGAAGAAGACAGCGATGGACAGGAAGAAGGTTGTGATGGATGCCGTGACTGGCAGTATCACTTCAGAAAATAAAGACATGTTTAATGAAAGACGTGCTGATCTTGGGGAGGGAATCAGCCTGTTTATATACCTAAAATGGCCCCCATGGACCGGGCTGAAGGCCCCCACGACGGTGGGTCGGCCATGTAGGGCTATTCAAGGCAGGGTCCATTTCTTCAGCTTCAAATTAACAGCCGTGGCTATGCTACTAGTCTTGCTAGTTTGTAAAAGGCTACTGATACCTGGAAACTGAAGCATATTCGGATAATTCAATAAACCATGTTCTTAATTGAAATACATAACTATCACTAGCATCTCCATCTCATCCATATCAATAGACCTAAGCAGAGAGAGCGTTCTGGAGGTCGGTCTTGTCCTGCTCGGTCAGACCGGTGTACTCAAGGCTGGCGCTGCCCATGGGGGTAGGGACAGGGCCACCGGCCTGGGCAGGGTTGTCGAGGAGAACAGCAGCAAGGTTCATGCAGGCAGGGGGGACATCGTCGGCGCGGGCAGCTAAAGAAGTCAATAAATGTGTATACTTGGGTGGAATGGGGGACGCACAGTCGTCACCAGTGCTGTAGACGTTGACAGGGGTGCCCTGGTCGTTGATCTGCTGGGTGCACTGGTCGATGGACTCCTGGGAGACACCGGAAGGGAGATCACGGCGGCTGTTCTGGGTGCCAGCAGCGATACCTCCGGAGATGGCACCACCACCGAGACCACCGGCGACGGCACCGATGACGGCGGGAGGAGCAGGGCAGAACTGCACGAGGGAAAGGGCAGCGAGGGCGCTGACGGCGGTGGTGGTGAAGAAGTGCATCTTGAGATGGTTGAAGAGAGAAGATAGAAGATAGAAGAGTTGTAGAGTTGCTTTGAGTTGGAGATTGATTGTTGCTGTTGATGAGATTCTTCTCGGGGTACAAGGCCATATTTATAGCCAAAATATCCATCTAATGGACTTGTTGATTCTCATCAAGTCCTCCTCGCGGTCAACTTCCGCGGGAAATCCACCGTACTACGCTTGGGGGCCGTTGGACATCCAGCCGCCATGGGGCACGCTTCTTCAGGATCTAGAAGGTCAAAGCGCTGTATATCCTGACTGAAATGACTCTTTACTATGCGAGATTTTCCTCAGGATGACTTCCTGTGGAGCCCGAGGCGCCCTCTATCCGCAGGATGAGGATCCATAGATCCTGGATATTGTGGCATTCATCGCCACGTTGGGGCCAACTTGACCCAGGAGCTGAAGGTTTGATGAAGAAGAAGGATATGGGGGCTAGAATTATCTTGGAAGCCTCTTGGAAGCGTCTGGGAGGGCAGCCTGCAAGGTCCACCGCTGTCTCTCCTCAGCTCGGCGACCTGATGCGGTATACTACACGGTTATCATGTTGGAAGGGGGAATGAGCAGCGTTGGGGGCGGCACAATAGAGGCCTTTGATATTGAAATTTGATGATGAATTCATGTCAGATATTCTCCAAGTCTGGTGTTGCTGGGATATAAAAACCCCGTCTCCCTCAGTGTATCTAACCATCATCTCAACCAACTCAACTATCAACCCAAACACCATCTACATTCTCAAAGTTTCTCTTTGCCCAAAACCACCTTCAAGATGCAACTTATTTCCATCTCCGCTGCTATCGCTGCTACCCTGAGCATGGTGCAGTTCTGCCCTGCTCCCCCCGCTGTTCTCGGCCCCATCATCGCTGGTGCTCTGTAAGTATCCAAGCTACTTCACTGCTTCCAAGCTAACAGCCTCAGTGCTGGTGAAGCCGGTGCCATGGTCGGCTACGGTGTTGGCCAGATCAACAGCAAGCGTGACGTTGCCGTCAAGGGCTCTATCAAGGGCTCCGTCTTCCGCAAGCGTGACGATGTAAGATACGCAAAATCCCCCATGTTAGCCAAAACTAACGAAACAGCCCTTCGCTGGCCTTCCCCAACCTGCCGCCGACACCTGCAAGGAGCAGCTGAACGGCGTCACTGTCGAGTTTCAGAACACTGGCGAGGGATCCTTCCGCGCCAACGGCATCCCCTCTGCCTGCATGACCCTGTCCAATGTCATTATCGGCCAGGACCCCACGCAGCCCGCCCCTACCCCTCTAGGTACGTATCCACTGATAATTTGGAAGTGTTAACTGAGACTAACTGACTGCAGGCTCTGACTCCCTTCAGTACACTGGTCTCTCCGAGGAGGACCTCAACAAGCTGCAGTCCGCGCTCGACGGCAACGGCTACTAAGTGGGGATTGAATAGCCTCAGCATGTAAAGTATCCTTAGTGCAAGGAAGAAGTGGAGCGGTTGGGGCCGTTTCAATAGAATCATGTTCGTGTTGGCAGTGAGCTTGCTAGTCTCTGTAGTTAATTCTATAATCTTGATCGATGTTAATGCCTCCCCCACAATATTGCTTATATCCTTCTGCCGATCTTCCTTAGTGCGCGTCATTAATCAAATTAAGGTCTTGGAATCCTGGCTAGTTCCTGTTTCTGCCCCAACAGCTCCATAAAGCTTCAGCCTTCGGCCCCTGCCACCGGTCCACGTTCCTCACAGCCATGCGAGCAAGCTGCCCCTCTGCACTGCCATGCTGATCAAGCTTGGCAGTTCTCAATCTACACCGTATGGGCGGGTCAAACGTGCAGACTGCAGAAGCTCGGTGTGCGCCTTCTGGAAAGTGCATCCTTGGAGTAAGATCTGACCGCTGTGTTCTATACAGAGTGCCGTAAGATGGATCTCCACCTCGCATATGACCTCACTGCTAATTACAATCCAAGAAACCCCTCCCGGTGTGCATTGACTTCAGCTGCCTGTCTATTTCCCCGATAATCCCCCTTGCAGAGCCACACTTGCCCACCCCAATTTCGGGACATACCCCTTCACCAACCCGACTACCTCTTCGCGCAGGGCAAACGGGCGTCCTGGGACGTACATGTATCTGTCGTCAATGGCATTATTATCGCCTTTTGTCAGAATCGTTTGTCTACCCAGTCAGCTCAGAACAATCTAGAATAGAATAAACATACTTGAGTCCCCCATCCACAATTTGATAATCAACGGTAATTGCCCGATGGACCATAGGCAGCGGCTTCCCTGGGATCCAGATCACAGGGATATCGCCAGGCTGGACACTCTGCTGCCTGTTCGAGAGGAATATGAGATCGCCTCGCTGGAAGGCAGGCTCCATGGACCCGGATGTTACGACCAGGATGGGGTATTTGGAGCCAGTGAGGATGCATAGTGCTTCCCAGGCCATGAAGACCGAGGAGACGGCCCAGAGGATAGGGAATATCTGCAGTAACGCCTTCATGGTCTGATCGCAGAGATGGTGGTGGATGTGGTGGATGTGATGGATGTGATGTAGATGCAGTGGAGGATGTTGGGGCGTTCACCGGACTCTTCACTCTCCATTATTATTCTTCACTTCGATTCTTCACTTCAGCTTGCGACGATCAGTTGGGGCCTTGGAGGCTGTCTTGTCTTCAGCCTGGCCCCAGGTCCTGACCCACAGTTGTTGAGGACTTGGGCACTTGGCGCGTGGGGGCTAATTATCACAGTACTATACACAGTCTACAGTATACTGAGTAAATGCAGTGAGATGAGGTCAGCTTATGGGCCCTTGCAGATGCAGTCAACATCTTCCGTGAACCTGTGTTGGATTACAGTTGGTTGTGATCATTCGTGGCCAAACCCTAACTGCTGTCCGTCGTCATGCGGCGCAGCGCTTATGACGGGCGGCGGCAGGGTTCCGTTCTGTTTATTAATTTAATTGGCTTGTAAATGGCGATCAGAGGGGCCAGCTATGGAAGAGACCGGGGCAATTATAACCTGCTGTCATTTGGCGATTCACGTCCCACTCTCCACTGCTGCGACACTCTGCCTGTCCTGTCCTCCACCAGTGCCCGATGCCATCGCTTCATCTGCAGTCGGCGTCTTGTCGGCTGAATTCTAACAAAGACGGCCCCATTCCGACCCTGGCGTGGCTTTATCTGCCTGGTCCTTGGTCTTTATTAGTGGAGACCAGCCATTCAACCTCATCCCAACACTCCCACTCATCCTTCTCCTTCTCCTCTCATCCCCTCACGTAGCAGCTGCTCGCAAAGCTATCCAAATGGAGTCTCTCACACCCCTAAAGCAATCTCTGGCCATCCGGCCAGAACACGTCGTCTCCTCTACGACCACAATCCGCGTCAAGCAACACAGCGCCAGCCTATCCAGCAGCAACTTCACAATCACCGGCGCACCAACCCCCGAAAGCCCCGAGGGCGCAAAGCTCTTCGCCGTCGACGGCGACTTCGCGTCATGGTCACAGCGCCGCCGGTTCTGCGACGCATCAGGTCTGCCCCTCTTCGAGATCTCGCGCAAGGATCTCGGCGTGACATTCTACCTCCATCTCCCCGGCGAGGGCGGCAGGAAAAAGGGTGGTAGTAGTGGAAAGGATGAATCCGAGCGCATCGCGACCATTGTCCCCAAGTACAGCGCGCTCAAGGACAAATTCGACGTGCATTTCCGGAATGTGGCCGCGGACGGCGAGGAGACGGTGCTGGAGGTGAGGGGCCAGAATATCTGGAAGTCCAAGACGCATGTCTACCACCGCGGGCATCTGGTGATGGTTGTCAAGTTGACGGATATGGTTTCGGTGTATATTCCGGGGAAACGGCCGTCTTGGGAGGTTGTTGTTGCCGAGGGGATGGATTTGTCGCTGGTATGGCTTTCGCCCTTTATATTTATTTCATAACTGACTTAACAGGCATCGGTTCTTGCGGTGCTTCTGGCCATGATGCTATACTCAAGCAGTGAGGCACCTCGCAATACCCTTACCAACTCGAGTTACTGATTCGTATCCAGGTGGCAAAGGGACAGCGCCGACGCAGCCGGGGTCGATGGTAGATGGCACCACTAAGGGATAGCTGGAATAGAAGCGTAGTCCAATGCTAATAGAGTACCTCATGATCAAGAATTATAAAATGACCCAGTCTATACGCCGCAAACTACGTGTAACAAGTGGATCTACTGAACTGATCCTGAAACGGTGGACTGGTCTGCTGTCAGCATGGGGGCCAACTCAAACTGGACCTCGTGGAGTATACTCGACGTAGAGCATTTGATCCGTCTTAAATAACCCTGGCGAGACTCATATTGCGTACTAGGCTATTCTAACTCTCAACGAGATGCCCTCAGCACTGTTGCGCCCTGGGATTTCCTGGCGATGAGTGCGCAATCCATAGTGAATGTGCTCTAGAATATGAATGGCATAGAAAGCGGGTTGCCTAATTGGGTAATTCCGCTGGGCATCTAATCTTACAACAGCTCGCCTGCAAGAATAACTGCGGGATCTCCTGATCATGAAGACTAATAGGATTGCAAGCGGCTACGCTGTTCAAAATTGGCCTTCCCAGCTCCGTATGTAGACCCGAGCTGTAGTTGCGGTTGAGATAACTCGCTCTCGTGCTTCCTTGTCCGTTGAAGCGCGGACATGTACGATGACTTTATCCGCAGAGGCGTCTCGAGTAATTGGTGCAGGGGTTGTGTGCCCATAAGGCCGGTGTTGTCTGGGAGTGAGATCTCGGACTGGGATTTGGATTGTTTGCTGCTGGAGATCAGTGCTGCTAGGCCTGTTACTGTTAGGTTGGAGTCGTAGAGTGCTCAGACACTAACACCAGTGCGGTAGAGGTTTCAGCGGCAATCTGGGGATTATCGGAAATAGCTTCATGGATTCCAATCCAGGTAGTGGCTCTTCACAAGTGAACCTGCAACTCCCTCCGACTGAGTTTAGCAGACAGCGGCGTCGGCATGGAAGCCCATGTCGTTTCCAGAGACTCGGATGGGATGCATGGGAGTATGACGTGGTCGCATTAGGGCTGGCTGAAGGAAAATAAATCAATCCGTCTCGTTCAGTCAGTGACTCGATGGTATACTGGAGCGTCATACGGATCAAAACTGTCCAAATATTGCTATGTCAGGGCTTAAATACAAACTATCGCCATGGGCTGTGATGTCTCTGATCTGAGATTCCTCCCACCGTGTTGGAAGACGGCTGATCCTATGCAGGTTGATGCAGCTGTATGCAGATCGATGAGACGGAGTTTGGGTTTCACCGAGTTTCCTCGCATGCTGCATGAGCCCATGCACGATGGCATTTCCTCCAGGCTGAAGTGGACACCGTTCCCTCTATTTCCTTTTCTTTATCAGGGAAGTTGGGTTGCGTCGCAATCAGCAAGGGAGATCAGTCACCCACTCTGCAACTCGCACTCCCAGTTTCTTAAATAATGAAAACTTCAAGTCTCTGGACGCTTCTTATTCCCGAGAAACCAGCATGGCACCTGGCAGGATGCACTTCGCGCATCGGGTGTGCGCCTCGAAGTCCTTCATCTTGGCTGCAGTGATACTCGCTCTGTTCTGCGGTCAGTTCGTCACAATTCACGTCTATTCTGTGGCTAATAAGCTCAGACACCTTTCTATATAGCTTCCCTGTCCCGATACTAGGCTACATGATCGAACACCGTCTGCAAATCGACCCATCCCAGACCCAGAATATAATCACAGCGTTGCTCAGTCTGCACGGGCTTGCGACTCTGGCATTCGCCCCCGTCATCGCGCACTTTGCGGGGAAATGCCCAACCAGAAAAGCCCCGTTCTTGATAAGCCTGGCTGGATGTCTTGTCGGTACACTCTTGCTTAGCTTGACTCCCTCTCGTATGTCCCTCGTCACAGGCCCCCAGTCGATACTGATAACTGCAGTCCCGGCTCTTTTTATAGGTCGTCTTATCCAAGGAATCGCCGGTGTAGCCACGTGGATTGTAGGATCTGCTACCTTGAGCGACCATGTGAAGCTGGGGAAAGTCTACGGAGTGTTCATGTCGTTGGTGAGCGCCGGGGTTGTGGCTGGCCCTGCAGTGGCCGGCGCTGTCCTGGAGCTGGCGGGATACTGGACTGCATGGTCTGTCCCATTAGGGCTTCTCCTCCTCGATATCCTCATGCGCTGCGCTATGATAGAATCTCCCAGGGCGCCATCGACTGCCACCAAGTCCTCATCTCCCACTCCAACGCCATCCACAGAACCCAGCGAGGCGTCCGCACTCCTACAAACCATTAACCAGCTGAACAACATGAACACCGCAGACCCAGACTACCAGCCCTGGCGCGACATTGGCCCAGAACCAGACCCAGACCCAGTGCCCGAACCCGGCTTCTACGAACTGATGCTCTCAGACTCCCGCGTCCTCGTCGGCCTCGCCAATACAGTCCTCAGCTCCGCCCTCCTCGCCAGCTTCGACACAACCCTCACCTTGCATATCCGCAATACCTTCGGCTGGGGCCCTCTCGCCGCGGGGATCATGCTCTTATCTCTACAACTCCCATTTCTCCTCCTCGGCCCTCTCGCCGGGTGGGTCCGCGACCGTGCGGGACTGCGGTATCCCACGACCGTGGGCTGGGCACTTCTTGCGCCGGTGATGTGGCTGATCGGTATTCCCGGCTCTGGGATATTCGCGCCCGAGTCACCGGTCAACACCGAGACGATGTTTATCTTTGCAGTGGTTGTGTTTGGCGTCGTTGTGCCGTTTGTGAGGGGAGCGGGCTTTTTGCAGGTTTCGCGTGAGTCCCTCTTATACTTATATTTATCGTATACCGGTATAGTATTAACTGCTCTGCAGTGGTCCAGAGCGAGTTCGAAGCGAAAGACCCAAGCTGGTTTGGTTATAATGGAGGGAGTAATCGGGCGTTTGCGCTGCAGGACATCGCACTCAGTACGGGGCTGATGGTCGGTCCGTTGATATCGGGGTTGTTGGCTGAATCTGCTGGGTATTACTGGGCGAGTTGTGCTTTTGGTGAGTCCTTCTGTTATTCTCCTGCAGTTCGTGTGTTAACCGATTTACAGCCATCTTGTGTCTCCTTTCGGCAGTTGCTTCGGTATTCTTCCTTGCCGATAAGCCAGTGGTAAGTGATGCGGATGTTTGATATGTTAATAGTAGATGAGTATATTAGTGAAAGAATGTATATCCGGCGTTACGCTTGACATTATTGATTATTGCAACGGCCGTTATACTGTAATTATCTCGTTCTATACTTCTTAATCAATCACACCGACTGATCTCTTTCGGCGAATTTTCAGTCCAAGTTTTAGAATTGTTTAATTTGACGATATCGATGATTTTCATTGACTGCATTGTTGGTGAAGCTTATAATTATTGTACACGTTTCGCCACGTCAAGTAATGGTTGTTTACTAATACTACTGGGGAAATAGTTATATATATATATATTAAATTGCCTCCGTCCAAGTAAAGTCCAAATAAGCTCAGTTCGCGCAAAATACATCTCATTCCACTGAAATTAATATGAAACAGTGATAATATGACCAAAAAAAAGCAGATATGGACGAAAATGAATATAAATAAATGACTATGTTTTTAGACCAAAAAAAAATGGGATGAGCCGGGATTGAACCAGCGACCTCACGATTCCAATGAACAAACCAAAGTAGACTTCAGTCGTGCGCTCTCCCAACTGAGCTATCACCCCGTCGATATGGTTTTGGCAAAATATTGTGCCTTACCAGGTGTCTTACCATTTTTATTGTATGGGCTGTAATCTACAAAATGTCTATAAATTAACCTGGAAGGCTGCAGTGCAGCTATATCTGAGTATATTATGCAGGTGTACCTGTTCAGCAAACAACCGATTTAGCATCCGACCAATCAGAAATGGGGCTGTGGTTTAGTGGTATAATGTTCCCTTAGCATGGGAGAGGTCCTGGGTTCGATTCCCAGCTGCTCCACTTTTTGCTTCTTGCTGTAAAGGACGAGAACTTTCTATTTTTGCCAGGCCTGTCTACGACACACTGGCCAGGGTAAGTTCCCACCGAAGCAGTACTATAACTACCTGTCCTGATCGGGAAGAGATATCCCGCGTATCGCTCAATACAAGTGTGCGCGACGATATCGTGATATAAATGAATCGCCACTGCACTAGGCGACGAATCATGCATACATTATATTCATAATAGCTCATTAATGCCAGTCATTAATACCGACGATGCATCTATCACACCCGCTTCTCACTAGGCCCCAGCTCAGCTATGAACCTGTTGCTGTCTCCCGAGTCCAGCTCCGACGGCAGAGCAGAGAGCTCAGACGGAGGAACCGGAGGGAACGCGCCCATTCCAGCTGTCTGCGGCAGTGGCAGTGGTTGTGCCGCCGCTGCCGGCGGTAGATGTTGTGGCCGTCCTTTGTAATGCCTCCAGAGGAAGAATGCGCCTCCAATCAAGATTATGCCTCCTACTGCTACGCCTGCGCCAATACCGCCTTTTGCGCCTGGTGATAGGCCGCCGCCACCGCCGCCGCCGCTGCTGCTGTCGTTGGCATCAGTGGTTGTGTCCGTCGGTGTCGTGGTAGGAGCAACACTTGTCGGCGGCAGAGAACTGGAAGTAGGCGCAGGTGTAGATGACGTCGGAGAGGGGTCTGATTGCTTAAGGATTCTAAACCCTCGCGACGGAGCCTCCGGTAGATCCTCATCGTACGGCTCATCAGTTGACGCAACAGGAGGCTTGAGACGATAGACGAATTGCCCACCACCGTCGTCGATTTCTTCGTCTGTCAAGCTAACTCTCCAAGCCCAGGTACCGCCGCTCTCGGAGTTGACGCTTGCTGAATTTACTGTTAATTTTATCCTATCTCCGTATAGACCAGGATTTGTGACATACCAGCTAGGCAGCTCGTAAAGTCCAGGCCGTGGTAACTGGTGAGCCAGAGGGATATATCGCCATTATCGTCGATTATTGGGTCTCCAGATACTGTCTCTTGCAGTGTGGCTATTAAACCATTAGCCGTGCACGCAATCCAACTGGCGAAATCCTACAATTGAGAACCCAGGCGAACTCCACGACGTCGTCTTGGGTTATATCGTTGACACCGTCAAAGTCAAACACGGTTGGATCCGGAGTCGTGAAGGCATATTGCGCGGAAGTAAAGGCAAACAAGCTCGACAAGCTCAGAAGCCCGTAGACGAGTCCGCGCAGTGTCATTATCATCTCGATTCTCCAGGTGGGAGATGTTGCAAAGGGGAATCGTCAGGCTTGGTGGATTGGGGGCCGCAGTTATTTAAAAAAGCTCCGCCACGTTCTGCATTGGCAAGCTCAGCAACGACCCTGCTCGCGGACGCTAGCTGCTAATGGCACGCCCATCTGCTGATCGATGCACCTGAGTTAGGGAAAACTTGAGCAATGAGAAATGACGATCATCTGTGACGCTCTTGGCAGCCTCGCGGTATCTCCCGAGCACAGCCTAATTCTTCAGGGCAACCAGAATTAGACAAGTATAGCAGAGTATTCTCCAAGGCTTGATATACCAGTGCCAGTACCAATACTCCTGTCTGTCTACCAGTCGTCCCATATTCCAATGGCTGTTATTTGTCGTATTTATCGTATTTTATCACGATCTAAGGAGCTGATCCCATACCCTGTGGCTGTATGTGCCAGACAGCTGGAATAGAATAGATACTTTCACATATAAACAACAGAGGACACTAACTGTATATTCCTAATAGAACGGCAATTCGATATATACAACTCAGTAGTACTTTGTTAAGCGAGACGTAAACATGGCTTAGTCATCTTGTCTCCACTGAATGATACAACACAACACCAACACATCACCATCACCAACACCAACATGCAATAAACAGTCAACACCAACAATGCCCTCCGTACAAATCCTCGACGGCGGCCTCGGCACCTCGCTAGAAGATAAATACGGCGTCCACTTCACTAGCACAAACACTCCCCTCTGGGCCTCCCACCTGCTAGTCTCAGACCCTGCAACGCTGCAAGCCTGCCAGAGAGACTTCGTCGACGCAGGAGCAGACGTGCTCCTCACGGCAACATACCAAGTCTCGCCGGAGGGGTTCGCACGCACTAAGACGACCGAATTCCCTGATGGAATTCCGCGCAGTGCTGTTCCCCGGTTTCTGGAAACCGCCATCCATGTTGCAGAGCAAGCTGCTTCTTCGCATGGTAAGATTGCCTTGAGTCTGGGTCCCTACGGGGCCTGTATGATCCCCGGCCAGGAGTACAGTGGCGAGTACGACGCGGAGCATGATAGCGAAGAGGCACTGTACCAGTGGCATCTGTCCCGGCTGCGACTGTTTCGAGATGCAGCGGGTGGCGATTTGCTTTCGCGGGTGCAGTATGTTGCGTTTGAGACGCTGCCGAGACTTGATGAAGTGCGTGCTGTGAGGCGTGCGGCTTGGGATGCTGGAGTTACGGCTCCAGTTTGGATTTCGTGTGTCTTCCCTCGTGAGGATGAGTGTTTGCCGGATGGGAGTAGCGTGGAGGAGGTTGTTGATGCAGCGGTGGCACCTATGCGGGGCGGAGTTGTGCCATGGGGCATTGGAGTGAATTGTACGAAGATCCAGAAACTATCTGGGCTGGTTGAAAAGTTTGGAACTTGTATTAGGCAGGTTATTGTTGCTGGTCACATCCTAACTGCGCCTGCTTTGGTTCTGTATCCAGATGGCACGAATGGGGAGGTCTATAATACCACTACGCAGGCCTGGGAGAAACGGGAGACTACGGATACTCGAGAGCAGACTGATAGGGTAGGGTCCCTCCCCTGTACTACGTGAGATGCTAACCAAGGCAGCAACCATGGGAAACCCAGCTTGAGCAGGTGGTCAATGATGCCAGCACAAAGGGCCATTTCGAGTCCTTCCTTATCGGCGGCTGCTGCAAGGCATCCCACCAGGATATCAAGAGGCTGCGCGAGAAGTTCCAGTAGCTCGACAAATGAACTGGCTTATGCAAACATGTCTTGCGATATTAAAATCTAATGGAAATGACTATACAAGCCAATCGACAAATCGGCCCCAAAGAGTGTTACTAGGGCCTGGCTGCGGCGCGATTTCTCCCTCCTGGAGACGCCCCGACCAAAGATCGATTTCATGGGCGCGAAGAAACTACACGAAATCAGTACAGATAAAAAAAAAAAAGAAATAAACAAGCAAACTGACCTTTGTGCGATACCAAAGCTTCCAGCCCAAGATCGGCGCAATGAACAGCGGGATACCGATATACGCTGCCACAAAGTCCGATGTATTCCACTGTCCTCTGAGAAACACCTCAAACCCAGCAACCAGAGTTATAACCGTCGATCCAATAAACCCAAACCAGGCCGCATAGGGCTGCAGTGGCGCAGACCAGGGCGACGTATCCCTCGAAACGCCCTGCGCCTTCATCGCCGCATAGAACCGAATATAGCAGAAACACAGCGTAGCCCAAGCAATCAGCCCGGAGATGGTGCTCAGATCGATCAGCCAGGTGAAGGCTTGGGAAGCGCCGCCGGATCCGAGGCTCAGATAGGCCAGCGGGCCGAAGAGCCAGGAGACAATGACTGCGATGTATGGGACACCGTGCTTGTTCACGCGGCCGAAGAACTGCGGCAGTTGGTGGTCGGTGGTCATGGCGACGATCATGCGAGATCCGACCCAGCAGTATGAGTTACCAGCCGTCCAGGCTGCGATGAGGATACAGGCGTTTACAATGGACGGCAGGGCCGCTATGCCTGCTTCCTTTATCGCAATGACAAATGGCGAGCTGTTGGCGTTGTCGTCGCCCGAGGTCAGATCTGGATTGCGCGGGTCCACGATCATGCCGATCAGGAGAGCACCCAGGATATAAAAGAAGCCAATACGGTAGGTAACGCGCTGGGCAGCCTTGGGGATAGACCGGTGGGGGTCCACGGATTCAGCCGCGGCAATGACGACGGTCTCAATACCAACGAAGCTATAGGAGGCATTGACAAAGGCAGACAAGAACCCCAGGAAGTGCCCAGTTGGTCCTGTAATTCCATCCAGGTCTGTCCAGGGGCCCGGAGTATGCCAGAAGCGAAACCCAATTGTCTCCTGCTTTGGACCACCACCAGCAGTAATCACAATAGACACAATGACCAAGCCCAAGAAGCAAAGGATCCGCACAGCCCCTCCAAAGACCTCGGTTTCGCCATAAACCCGCACATTCACCAGGTTCACAGCCAATATCAGCACCAGACTGACCGTAATCACCAGCGCCGGCGTTATATCCGTCCAATACGAAACGATCACAGCCGCCGCAGAGACCTCCGAGGCAAGCGAGACATTGTAGCAGTACCCATAGGTAATCGCCAGCGAGAATCCCACCGCAGGGTCAACAAACCGCGTTGCCCAGTGTGGGAACGAGCCCGCGGTGGGCAGCAGAGTAGCCAGCTCGGCGATACTCTGCATCACACACCAGAGCACTGCGCCGACCACGCCGTATGCGAGCAGCAGACCGGCGGGACCGGCTTTGGCGTACGCAGCGCCCGTTCCAACGAAAAGGCCTGTCCCGATGCCACCGCAGAAGCCGATCATGGTGACATGGTAGTTGCGCAGGGCACGCTGGGTCGCGCCGCGGCCGCCGACATTGAGCTGGAGCTCGCCTTTAGGGTTTATTCCTTGATCCTCGAGGGTTGGCTGATCCGGATGGATCGAGTCGATGCCCTCCCCCATGCTTCTGATTGTGCAACTGGTGAAAATATCAACAAAATCTGCAGCAGTCTCAATCTGCGATCACGCAAGCGGGTGGATAAGGCTTGTCAAGGAAGGCTAATCTATCTTGGTATAGTTTTTGTTCTTGGATCCACTTAGTGGGTATGTTGCCAAATGCTTGACTTGATAAGTGCTATCATTGAAGTTGAACCATTCCTTCCCACGTATCAGTAAATAAAACAACAGCTACTTTAAATACAACGTTCCATGGCTGTATCCATCAACTTATAACTATCCTGCTTTATACCTCTTCAGGTGACTGCTTATAGCGCACCAAGGATGGCGCTATAGGCGTCCTTCGCCTGGTAGTTCGAATCGAAGAGCAAAGGGCTCTCTTCTGCGCGCCAGGAGTCCTAGATGGAGTTATTATCTTCTGACTGCATACCAGGGTGGCTATAAAGATGTATTACCTTGTCAGAGACACCCCAGACGGTAATGCCAATGCACTTCTCGACACTCAGGCACGCGTTGACGACCTAAATCTGTTCAGTAGAGTCCAAGTTTAGAATGACCATCTACTCACATTCACCCAGTCGTCAGAGGAGCCTCCACCAATATCAAGCTCAGTAATCGCTACCTCGGACGCACCGGTCGACGCAAGTGCCTCGAGGGCTGCCTGGCATCCGGAGGTAGGGAAACCCCCAGCACTGTGAAGAGTCAGTATTGTACACGCCTGTTCGTAGGAGATACTTTACCCGTAATGAGATTGAGAGCCTAGAACAAAGTTAGTTTTGTAAGGATAGCTAGAGACGAATCAGACACTCACCAACTCCATCAATTGGAACTCCTGCAGCGATCCACTCGCCGACTTTGCTAACGAAACCCTGCGTTTTGGCGTAGGATGCATCGTCCAAGCTATCGCAGTCAGTCAACATGCCGTCGTTTCAGATAAAGGGACATACTTGTAGTCATTGATATAGAGCTTCGCGTCGGGATCAGCGGCACGAGCAGCTTCAAACGCGATGCGGACAAAGTCCTCTCCAAGCACATTGGAAAAGACACTGTCGCGGAGGGTCCCGTCCTCATCGAAGATCTCATTCACCACGTCCTAGGGCTGTTAGAGAAGCTATACAGGGGGGAATGGAGTACTCGGCGTACCCAAGCGTAGATTTGTCCCTTGTACTGGTTCATCACACCGGTGACATGGTCCTGGATGACGCCGGTCAGGGTATCCGGATCACTGATCTGGGAAACCCATGATGGAAGCTGAGAGTGCCAGACTGCCAGCTACAGTTAATAAAACTCCAAATGGGAACATAGAAGTACACCTACCAAGGGTGTGTCCTCGAACCAGCTTGTCGTTTTCCACCGCGTAGTTCACCTGTCTCATCAGTCACATATCCCGTAACTCAAGTCCACCAGAGCGAACAAGAACATACAACAGCGTCAGATCCGGAGAAGCTGAAGCTCCCCTGTGAGGCTACTCGGAGTCAGTATTATGTATACTATTCCAGAAGAACACTCACGCTCGGTTGCATCCCATTTCATGCTGTTCTCGCAGGTCAGGGCGCCAAAGTCAGAAGCAAGGATAGGCTCGTTCTGGCCATTCTCCAGCAGGGCCTGCTCGGCGATGTTTCCGAAATACAGCTTCCCAGCTGCGGTAAAGGCAGCATGAAGGCTCTGCGATTCCTGCCGGCTGAACAAGGATGCGGATGCAGCGGTGGCCAAAAGCGCCACGGAAGAGAAGTGGACCATTGTGAAAGACAATTTAAGAAGACTTGAAAGGCTGAGGAAGTCAAGTATCAGTGTTGTCAAAGCCAGCGTCCCTTGTGGTATATATAGATCCAGGGAGAGAGTTGTGACGTCAATTTGACCAGCTATTTAGGCAAAACTACAGTAGCAAAAGTATCTCCTTGTTTTCGTTTTAAGGTAGAGGACTCCGTGGTGGAGTGTAGCGGTGAGTGACTAACCCCTGGTGATTTCATATAAATTACGTTTGTAGGGTAGAAGTGAGAAGACCTGGAGCTGATACCTGATATAGTGAAGTAGGAGAGCCAAGACCGCAGAATAACCCAGGTTAAAGACCCGGATAATTGGAAAAAGACCAATCGACTTGGGGTCGAACGGCATTCGATCATTAGCCTGGACCAGCGGCAAGCCAGCATGTCGATCTGCTTTATCTGAGACACCGGTGCTCAGGCCCGACCCCTGACTCAGGCAATGCAGACTCGTATTGAAGAGATCGACATTTGTCTTCCCAGGTGTATAGGACGATTGCTTGTCCACGGAGTATAGTTCTGATGGTCGGGCACGCGACCGTTCTCGAAGAAGAAATCTCAGCAGAAGGCATGCCTGACGAGAAGCCCTAGACTTATCGTGCAACAGGGGGAACTCTGATTTGGGATCAAATTATCTGTTTGCATGGGTGGGACTAGACAATTGTGGGTAGCTGCCTGGCGTAGGTTGTTCCTGGAGCAAGATATTGTAGGGCTATATAAACAGAAGTCAGTACAAAACCTGCTGTGACAATATCTGTCTACTCCAGGAGTGATTGGCACTGTGCTAAGAGATGACTAGGGCGGAAATAAAATGTATCTTATCCAAAGAGTACGAGCTGCTAGATAGCCTGACTGCATTCTAGCCTGGATAAAATGAGCTCAGTATGTGAAGGTCATATTTGCGAATATATCAGCTACTAGGCCATTGCATCTGCCGAGGCATGTCGTGTCAGTGTGTTTGGAACCTACAGCTGTAGCATGTTTCATACCCGCACAAACCCCTTGTGGAGCACCAACTATTAACTACAGGAGTCTCAAGATCTTGTGGCTGCAGATTCTGTCCCACTAACGTCCCTGGGATGGGTGTGAGACGAGGTGTCGAACTTTATAGGAAGCTGCCAAGATATCCAGACTGAAACAAATCCAATATTTACGGATGGATACTATAGTTCTAGAACGAGAAGGGCCCGGTCTAACCCCACACAACGCGGCAAAGTCCCTGATTTAAGACCGAGAGATTCCCAAATGAGTGTTTGATGGTGATCATATACCGGATCCTTCAGGCGGGTTCTTCCGACAACCCACTGCACAGGGAGTAATCCATTAATCCACACTAGGGTTTTAATGGAAGAGCCGAGGGTGTATCTCGAGCAGGGTGTGGTATCTGGAGTTGACATTCCATCCCGTTTATCTGTATACCAATAGGATCTCGATAGGTTGAATTGCCATGTTATTCTGCTAGATATAGTTAATACTAGAACAGACTCTTCAATTTCGATCACCTGGATTTAGGCTATGATATTGTCCCGTTTTCCATTCCGTATCCCAAAGAGTAATATTGCGGTGGAATGCAGTTGATCGATGCACTCGGCAATGAGACTCGCCTGATCTGCCGAGACAGTTCAGCTAGGCTCTAAGGAGGTGCAGGTTGGGTTACATTCATTCAACAAGCTCTGACCTCTGGAGCCAGGGTACACATCCTTGATGTAGTTTAAGTCTGTTTCAGGGCTGATTCATGGCGGGGATCTGGCTTCCTCTAGTGGGTCTCCATCAATCGAGCTGCCCCTGGTCAGCAAGGCTGATATTGCAGTATCTGCAGCTCACCAACAGACAAAATATATTATATAAAAATAATAAAAACATACAAAACAGTCAGCCGCCATACTACTAACCAGCCGGCGTATGGCTGGTTGATGTCTTCCGCGAAATCGGCCTAATTGAGGATGAGATCTCATCCTTTCTTAATGGGCCAGCCTTCCAAAGCTATAATCGCTTTGGGAACATCCAAGGCTTCTAGAGGCCCATCTTTCAGGTGTTGAGGATGACGCTGGCATGCTTGTGCTCGACCTCTGCGACCAATGCTTTAGGTACAGGGCCGAACTCGCATAGATAATTATAGATAGATGGATAGCAGAATATTATCCAAGAGCTTTATATACCAGTGCCAGTACCAATACTCCTGTCTGTCTACCAAGTCGTCCACCCCCGCCGTGTAGCCCGCGCATGCACATTATCAGGGTGGTCGGAGCGCCATGAATGCTCCCACATCTCCATACCCAGCGACTGGCGGTGCTCCTCAACCTCTTCGACCTCATACCACTTTTCGTGAAACGAGTCCAGCTGTCCCGGCGTGAAGTATATACGACAGATGCGCTGCCACTCCTCGCCCCAGCTGCGACCAGGATGCACGAACAACAGCCCGGGGTGATATTCACCCGCCATGGGGCTGTATACGTCGACCATGCCGGGCATCCGGGGAGTGGTCGGTGGAGGTGCACTGGCATCTAACTCTAGCCTCTCATGCGCTTCCTGGAGCATCTGCACAGAATTACCGCGAGTGGCTTTCTCAGCTCCGTAGTGGACCATACAATCCTGTGTGCTGGCGCCCGGCAGGAAGTAGACATCCAGGCGAAAGTGGAATGGCTCCGGCCCCTGGGGCAAAATGTGGTCGTGCATGGATATAAGGTTAATTCCAAGTTCCTCAGAGTCAGGTAGCGGGCCCTCGGGGTGGGTAAAGTAGAAATTGAAGTTCATGAGAGGTGGGAGTGGGTGCTCTTCGTGGCTCTGGAAGACCATGAAGGAAGGGGTTCCGGCGTGATCTTGAAACGGTACAACGTGGGTTATGAGTGAGTATCCGGCGAACTGTGGTGGTGGAGGAGAGGGAGTTTCTCGACGCCCTTCTCTCTTGCGCACAGCCCGGGTACCTGCCATTGCGTATCTTGACGCACCGTCTCCTCGCATATTATACTCTTTTCGCCATCGATTTTTGGACTTGCACCGTGCACCCAGAGGAAACGGACAGTGATCGCGAACAATTCTAGAATTGCACAGCCGCCCTTGCATACCGAATCTGATTCTGTTGCGAAAACATCCTTGCTCGACGAGTTGATATTTGGCAGGAATGGGCTCGGGCTGAGTGTAACCTTTTGCGACGGTATTGTCGTTGATCTGGAGATATTTAAGACGAGGGAGCTGTGAAGCGACCTCCTCGAGCTGGATTGCGATACTGGGGGTTGTCTTGGGACACTCCTGGGTCGGGAGAACAAGGGATTCAATGCTGGCCGGAAGGGTGTCCTTCAGTTGGACCGTAGTTGGGGTCTCCGCATAGCCGCCGATGAGCATCTCGGTCAATATCGAAAGATATCGCAGCTTCGTGAAGTGGGATAGGGGGCCAAAATGGTCGCTGAATCGGTATTTTGCTGTACGTGAACCTGGCCGGAACTCATGTAGGACATCCAGATATTCCAACGTGTCTTTATACTTCTGAATGGCAGTCCAGACTTCACGGTTGGATATATGAGAGATAGTGCGCTTTTTACCGTTTATCTTCTCCTTGGTCTTGCTTCTGTCTTTGTCCCAGGAGAAGGTAAGGCTCTTCAGGGCTGTGGGGAGACTGAGCAGCGCGGTCACATCTTCGACTCTAGACGGCGACGTTTCTTTGGTGACGATATGGAGATGGTGTATATGACATTCACCACTATCCTTGATTTTCTCCTCAAATAAGGAACCGAAGCCGTCCGGGTCGAAGTTGTATAAATAAAGCGTGCGCAGACCGTGGAGATAGAAGACAGGCCATATCTCATTCAGTCTCAGCGGAGGTTGTTTTATATCCTCTTTATCAATATCAGGGCCTTCCTCGGAAAATGCAGGAACTTCACCAAAAAGGTGCAGCTCTTTGAAGCTGGATAGCCGGCCTGGTACACCTGAATCAGCTTTCTGCTGGTCCAGTGCTGTGCGAAAAATAGACCCTAAAAATATATCTGATGCTGGAACACACGCATATACCGTCGATAAATTTGGTAGGTTGGTTAGGGTCAGCGCTATCAAAGGCCGCTTGTCTCGATAGCCATTGCACTTAGTAAATATGGCATCCATAAACAGAGATCCAAGCTCGCTCGACAGTCCAGCATGCTGGATGGCTGATCTGACGACTTCCTTATCATGGGATGTAAATTGAAACTGCTCATCTCCATCCTGGAGCTCGCGATTTCTCTCGATATAGAATGGAGGGCAAGCTCCCCAGTTGCCGATAGCCAACACTTGCACCGTGGCTGCAAGGTCTGGGTTTGTAACTACCGTGCGCAGGAACTTCCAGAGGGAGCTGTAAGAATGCCGTGTGCCATTATAAGTCCAGCTTGAGTAGACGCGGGGGAGAAACACCTGATGGTGTTTGCGGTTGACGAGGAGGAGACGGCTGAGGCCATTGATGTCGACGAGGTCCTCGTTGTAAACGTCTTTCGATGTAAAAGCAAAATAAAAAATTTCGTCGATGAGCTCGACAGGGAGGTCAGTAAGGTCAGGCATGAGAACGACAGATGAAGAAAGAGAGAGACGAAGTGGGAGTGAGGGAGAACGTGAGGGTAGCGGTATTTCTGTATTTAATGTTTACCGTACAAGCGGATCTGTAGCCGCCCACGCGATCCACCCTGACGACCCACTTACGGACCCACCTGGTTAAATTAGGCTTGTAGATTGGATGTCACTGTATGTCTGTATGTACTATGTATCGGTATTGTACACATGCAATAGCCCACCCACACAGTCGTCCGTGATTGGGAGATTCCTATTGTCTTGTTACCAGTCCATTCTTCCAGAATACATACCAGGCATAAAATTGCTTCAGACTGATATCGTACTCTGCGGCCACCGTGGCGCAGGTTGCATCTGAACCTATGCAGAGATCAACATTCGCTTTCTAGACCTCCCACCCTAAGCAGGCTACTACAGTGTATACGATACCACCGTCTCCATGACACCGTCACTGCTGTATCTCTTACGGATGCTCCAAGAGATCCGGTTACCCCAGCCCAGGCTGGTAATATACTGTCTACATACTCCCCTCCACGGAATTCTATTGTAGCGGGAGACTTCAATACCTATTACCCACGTCACTTGGGTAATGCAGTCATACGAGAAATCCTTCTGTGATCCCAGAAGAACGGCAGCGGGGTAGCTGTTATCGTCGCCAGCCAGTTGTCTGATGAGTGGGACCTGAATTGGTCGGGTCTAATAATAGGAATATAATACTGGTGTAAATTTATTAGTGGAGGATTATAAGGAGAGAGATCGTGTCTGCGGGAGTATATGTCATGGATGGCCTTGCGGTGGCTGTATTCCGCAGTTTAGGTTACCGGCTACATGGCTTGGTTGCATAAGATAAGCTGACCGCATATATATTTTATTAGTCGAGGTTTCTATCGGTCAAAGGAACCACCTTTGATATATCGGGCACGTAATCAGCAGGGCTGAGTGGGTACGCCCCAGGTTTCTGGTCGAGGCGGGGTTCTCGTATCACTTCCCTATAGTCACACGACAGCTCGACTATTCTGCGGAGGTCGGCAAATAAGCGCAGTCGTGTGTGTTGGTCTGCCTATACGAGGTGGCTATGTTCCATAGCAAGTTAATCGCGATATTCATCCACTATACTTTAATGCGCAAGCTGGAAAACAACGCAAGAGGCCTGATCTCTAGAGAGACATCGCCGATTCCGGATGCTGAGATATTGCCAGTAGCCATGGTAAGATGAGGAACAATCTACTGGTTGCCTTAAACTAATCCGAGGAACCTAAAATGGCAGTGCTACAATGCGCCGGAAAAGGCAGCCTACGTCTATATGATTTTCTAAAATTATCTCCAAGACAGGGCACCTCGCGGCTCAATAGCCGAACTATCTACAAAGTAAACTTTCCTAAACCACGGCCCATCGCCTAGGCGAGAAACTCCATACCCGACACTCAAGGCCGGTGGCAAGTTCTCCAAAAATAAACAGGGGCTATGTCTAGGGTTTACCACACAATATATGGAAGTAGACAGAGAGCCAAAGTATAGTACTAATCATAATTTAGCAAGTTTCCTGTGTTTTACGGCCCACGAGATGGAATCCATGGATGCAGTCAGACATGACATCATACTATTTCAGGTGACCTAGGGCTGTGAGACAAATAGCACGCCGAAATAGAACAGAGGAGTAGATACGAGGCTGAATACCATCATGACTTACTATCCTATAGTGGCTGAGGCGTCTAGTATCATCGAATGGCGATGTCATATATTAACTTGACGTCTATAAAAGGTCCCTCTGCCCGTGTAAACTGGGAAGTATCATCCAGCAACAATCTACTTCTACTATCAACTACTCTTCTACCCTTTAATAACAAACACAACTCAAAATGAAGTTCTCTTCAGTCGCCCCCCTTCTCGCTGCCGTCCCCGGCACCCTTGGCGCTGCCCTGCCCCTCGCTACAAGAGGACAAGACGCAGCTCAGATCACCTTCATCGGTGCTGCCGACGCCCAGTTCACCCAGGACTTCCCCAAGGATGGCTCCGCAGTTACAATCAGTACGTATCACTATGCTTACTCTGTAACATGTCTAACAAAGTCTCCTAGCCAACCCCCTAAGCATCTCACACATCTCCTCCAACAACCCAGATGTCACCTGTACCTTCACCGGAATCGACGACAGCTCAACCACCACCAACGGTGTTGCATTTGTCGACGTCGGCCCTCCCCAGACTCAGGTCCAGGGATCTTGCAAGCGGATCTGGCACCCTGAAACAAGAAGCCCAAACGGCGGAGCTGCAAGGGAGGTTGAGATTACCTTCACCGGGGCTGCAGATGCGCAGTACAAGCAGTCGTTTCCCATTGATGGCGGTGTTTCCACCATAGGTACGCACCTTTTTCACTTCAGGTAATATATGAGTCAACGCTAATGGTTTACTGTCTAGGCGAGTCACTCAGTGTCTCGCACATTTCGTCTAGCACTGGCGGGGTTAAGTGCACATTCTACGGCGTCGATGGCAGCAATACCGTTGTTGAGGGCGCCCAGACTGTTGATGTTGGGCCCCCCCAGACTCAGTCTGCTGGACACTGTGCTCACCTTTGAGTCTTGACTTGATTTGACTTTTATGTCTTGATTTGGGTCTCTGCTTGAGAATCCTGCATTGATGATGAGGTGATTTGTTTAATCGTTTATTGTGATTTTCTTTTCCAATCAGTTGTATTACAAGTAGAGTATGTTGCGGAGGAATCAGATTTCTGTCCTTATAGCTGAATGATATTTATTTATCACACGGTTTTAATACGAATTGGCTTTCTACATATCTAACCATGGGAAATCAGACCATCCCCATGTAGCAGTCTAGAGATGCCTACCAGAGTTTAATGTAAGTCCCAACCGGCCGACTATAATGCTGATCCATAAGCACGATTTCCTTTAACAGAGCATCATATATAGAGTATTCTGTATAAACCAAATGAGAGAGAGCATATCAACGGCCGAATCCCAGGATAAAGCAAACAAGAAACAACAAGCACAAGCGCCGGACTCTGACGAAAGATCGAGGTATACCTCTTATTAGTGGCCAGAGATCTTTTCTTATAATACGCGGAGGTGTGCTCTCCATGCCGATGATAGTATTCTTGGCCAGGACCTTGCCTGTGTCCGTTGGGTTGATTTCAGAGACCAGAGACTCCATCATGGCTTGGGCCTTGGTTGTGCTTTCAAAGGGCTCCGTTAGCGTGCCCATGTAGTAGGCAACGAGTCGCCATAGCGCCATGTAATCTTCTATCTCCTGTTCACTAATGTAGATGCCCTGAGGCGGCGGGTCCGAGCCAGACAACCATGGTACTGAATATATTTATGGTGGCAATGCAGTCCAAATCATTGACTGGAATGCCATACTTGTCAATATCGTAGTATTCGGGGCTCTGTTCCACCAAGCTGAAGATCTTCATGCTCATGTCTTGCGCGGCATAGATCTGCACGCGAGTTCCATTACTTTTTTTTGTGAAAGGCGAGGTTTAGCTGCGAAAAGAGCACAATGATCGGCCTGCTCGAACGCTTCTACGACCCCAGATCAACAACAAGTCTCTCAACGAGATGAACCCTCGCCTCTACCGGGAGCCGCTGATAGATTGTCTTTTGTCTATACTTATTGATTCATTTTTCGGTCTTATTTGAATCAGTTCTAGTATCTTTGGGGTTTCACAGCTGAGTGTGAAACTATTGACTGACCAGGATCCTGTCTTTCGGAGATCCTCGGTGATCGCCAGCCGGCTGCTTCTGCGGACACACTATCGAAATGGGATCTGCGCTTGACAGGTTCCATCTGATTACTTGGATGTGTTGGTTTGAAGAAGACTGGATGGTGCAGTGGAAACCTTTATGTATTTAAGCCTTTCGCGCTCTCGCAAATCCTCTTTTCCCATCCTGCATCTTGCACAGCAACACCAGCACAATGAAGTTCATCAGCTCTGTCGCTCTCGTTGCTTCCCTGGCGGCCTCCACTGTAAACGCCCAGTCCTTCCAGGCAAACAGTGTCGTGACCAACCTAAACGACGTCAAACGGGAAGCCCAAGCCCTGCACAACAGCTTGGAGCTGCTGCCCAGCAGTCTCGACGTGTGTTCATCCGTGTTATGATCTACCATACCGTGCTGACCAAACAAACGAATAGGCCAATGCCTTGCAGTCGAGTCTTGACAGAACCGTGACCAGCCAGCATGCCTGGGTTGATTCTATCATCGATGTATGTCTGCCTTATCCTTTGCCTCGTGGGGTCCCTCTAATGTCTCTTAGTCGGGCTATATCAACTGCAGAGGCCTCGTCAGGGATCTCGGCAGGGCGGCCGATGCAGCCGAAGACATGTCCGCGCCCTTTATCCAGGTGGCTGCGTCGAAACCAGTCCAGCAGCGCATCGGGAGGATTGCGCCCAAGGTCCACAGTATTGGGGCTCTCTTCCGGCGTGTAAGTGATGTGGTCTTCCTGTCCCAATCCAGCTCTAATTCTTTCCCATCATCAGGGCTACAAGGATGGTATCCCATACACGATCCAGAAATACTGCTCTGGCATGAAGGGATTTGATCAGGAGATGCACACGTCGAATGCGGACAGGGCCCGTGGTGCTCTTAATCGAGTCTACCAGGCTCTTAAGGACGGCGTGGACCAGGGTGATGATGACGAGTAAGCGGTTGAGTGCCAGTGGCAGATGATGACATTCTGCAATGTGGGAGCATCATTCTTTGCTTTTATTCAATATCTCACGTCAGCACGCTCGGACTATTCCAATAGTCCGGGAGGAAATGAAATCATAAGCGTGTCAGGATCTGCTGTGCATAATTGGTTTGTCTGAAGGAAACGACGTGCAGCACGCATTAACCAGTATAAATTGATTCGATTCATCCATTGTAACTCCAATGAGAGCCAAGAAGCGGATATCATTTCTCTGTTATTCCAAGCTTGTTCCCTTTTTGTTTTGCCAGGTCACCAAAGTCCAGCTGTCGAACTTGAACAGTTCCAGACGTCCAGTCCATGACTTTATAGAAATTTGAAACTTTATAATCCCCTCTGAAGGGCTGAGGAACAATAGTTGGACTGGGTTTGGTAGCTCTTTGCTCCACCGAAGGCAAAGGCAGCCACAGAGGAAAGGGAGAGGATGCTGAGCTTGCCCATTGTTGGTGAGAAGGAGTGGGGGTGTTTGAACTGTTAAGTGATTGAGATGGTGACTGTCAGATAGTTCGAGGGAACAGAGGGTATTTATAGTCCGCATCTCACCTACGCACACCGTCAAGTCTGATATAGCGGACTCTGATGGATGACCCTTCATTGGTCAACTTCAAGACTTCTAAGATAGTAAAAGGACACGCCAGTACACTACACACCCCGAGTAGCTTCAACTACCATCAGAGACTTCCTGCTCAACCAGCACGGTAGTCAAAATGAGCAGAAGCGACTGCAACGTGCACGCCGTGGAATTCCGCGAGGCCAAACCCTCCCACGGCGATGCGTCACGGCCAGTTGCAGACTTGCTCCGCTTGGACAACCGATCAGTTATAAGTAAGACTCTCCAGTCGTAATCCTTGGATAGATTAAGCCAAGTTAGAATGACTTTTGTAAGTGTTTTCGCTGTAAACTTGTACAAGACACCGAAATAATGAATGTTTTGGTAAGTCTACCTAGTATGAAGCGGGTTATATACAGTCTAATATGGTCCATCGTAGAACAGCCCCCGCCAATATTAGACCTGATCCAAGCTGTCTGAACTAGCAGCTGTCGGTATGGCCATCACCTCCATTCTTGCACGCGTATCCGCACTTCTGGATGACCTTGATCTCGCCGTTCGATCCTCCAAGACACTCAAACAAGGCATTGTCCCTGGTGATGCCAGGGAAGTCATCCTTGGCATCTTCAACGGCGTTTCGGATCTGGGTGTCGTAGTTCCCTGTCATCATAAGCAATTATTTTTATTACAATATTGGACCGGCGTTACAGACCTCTGCTGAGAAGGGCCGAGGCGCAGTAGTTGAACTTGGTTTGGCAGTTCTTTGCTGCACCGAGAGAGGCAAAGGCAGCCACGGAGGCAATGGAGAGGATGCTGAGCTTGACCATTTTGGTAGGAAGATTGAAGGTGTTCTGGATTGGTGAAGTAATTGAGATGATGATTGTGAGATAGTTCGAGGGACCAGAGGGGTATTTATATTCCACATCTGGCTACTTACACCGCATGTCGACTATATAGCGGGCTTTGTCGGAGCCTTCATCGACATCAGGGCTTCCTAAGATAGTATTATACGACCCTGTCCAGGCTGCAGATCAGCAGGTCTTGGCTACGAATATGCCCTCTCTGGACGTAGCCCCATCCTTCCATCTCGAGATCGGCCAGGCACAGCCCCAGGACCCTGGATGCTCCACTGTAGGCTGGGGTTTTCTGCACAATGCTGATCGGTGGCTTGGGGCCAAATCGAAAAGAGGATATACGAGAGCCAAGACTTGTACTGGGGCAAATCACATGAATATAAGATGAAAGAGAAATATTGGAAGCCAGTGTTATGAAAGTACGACAGTTGCATAGCCCGTCAACTAATATCAGAGCGTTCCTCAACCACCACAGTAGACGACTCAAGCTTGGTCCCAGAAGAACCAGAACTCCGCTCACAGTCAAAGACTCTGCTTCGATACTTCCCCAGCCACAGCATCTGCTCATGCTCACGGAGATACCGCTCACTAGAGAAGTTCTTGTAGATATTCTCCCGGCCCAACATCCCCAGCTTACGGCGCTGCTCGGCCTTGTCATACATACGCTGCGAGATCTGCTGTACCTCTTCCAAAGACGGCTGAAGCGACAGCGTAGGCGGAGTATACCCATCTTTGTCACCTGCAAAAGCAGCCCACTGTCCCAGTAATGCGAGGACGCGGATCTGGGCCCCTGCTAGCGAAGCAGGATCATTCGGCGCAACGACTTCGCTGAATCTTTCCCCTGAGTCTCTGCCGGTTACCACGCAGAAGGACGAGCCGACGTCCGTGCAGACCACGGGCACACCGGTGAGAGCTGCCTCGCCCATGGCCAGGGGAAGGCCTTCAGATATGGAGGAGTTCATGAACAGCCACTAGGATCATTAGTATCCAGTTAAATAGGACCAGGTAGGGAGCATACCGCATCTTCAAGCGCTACCAGTGGATCCCCCAGTCCCATGAGAAAGACATTCTCGCGCAAGCCCTTGGAGTCAATCATCTGCTGGCACTCGGAGGAATATGCCGGTGACCGCTCCATATCGCCGTATATCTTGAGCTGGTAGTCGACGAAGCCCCAGGTGTTGATAATCACATCAGCGGCCAATATAGCCGTTTTGACGTCCTTGACATAGCGAACATGCGATAACATCACGACGGTGGGTTTCTCTGCCCCGGACCCTTTATTGACTTTATACTTGTCCATGTCTGCAATCCCGTTCACGACGGCGTCTATCTTGCGGCTGAAGAGCCGGCGATGCTGTAATGTGCCTTCGCATGTTCCAAGCTCAATTTCCCACCCTGGGTTGAAGTATTCAGTGCATGGGAGAATGATATCTGCATGATATTGGATAAGCACGCAGGACAGATGAGCGAGACTGATAAGAGCATGGTTGACGAATATCGAGTCCAGGGACAATGCCGATGATAGATACGCAACTATCTCACGGAAGCTGATACAGTGGTCCCAGAGCTGTAGGACACACTGGCGCTTCATCTTGCATAGCACCCCGTATGTAGCTCCTGTCCAGTGGTGGGAGACCTGGAACACACCAGGGATCTTTTCGGGGACAGGGATGGAGAAGATAAATAGATCTATAGAGTTAGTCTTGTTGGTCGTAATCTGGGCAAGACGAGACAAGGAATAAATAGCTTACAGCGATGCCACATATCCAACGCATTGTCCAGCTGTGGAATCGTGGGCCTTTCAGCGTCCAGCCACTGCGAGATAGGGGTTGCCCCCTCTATATCCTCGCTCAACCACATCTCTCGCCATGCCTGCTTCACTGTATCGCTCATCCAGACATCATTCCAGCTCCTAGACGATTCAAAGTAGGCATTCAAGTCCACCAATGCCTGAGTCGCCTCCTTGACATGCACCCGATCTAGATGGCCCATGCGCGCGCACCGGACAAGGGTAGATAGTACAGGGATGAAATTAGCACGGATATCAGCATCCGTAATACCCCAAGCCCTCTCGACAATAGCAGAATGCAAACAGTTCTGGAAGATCCCATGCGTTGGATGCAGGAAGTCCAACCCCCACTGCGGCAGGATTGTCAGGGAGTGCACGTTATGCTCGACCTGGAACCGGGGGATACCGAAATCATTCGCAGATTCAGCAATAATATGCCACCTGATTTGTTTCAGGTTGTTTACCAGATCCCGACGGCATGCAGAGACACCCCCTGGCTCATTGGGCCAAGTCCCCGTATCCATGGCTAGAACGTGCAGTTCGTTACTGCTATCATTCAGCTGTGTCGAGAGCGTTCGTGTGTTTATTCTTGCATCTCCGCCCTGACCGAAACTGGCTAAATCGCTGAGCTTGAATGCGAGAGGAGCCCAGGAGCTGACTTCGTGGCTGAGATCGACATCTGCGACAATGGCGTCTGCATGCTCGTTTAGATACTCGGCTGCTGCCTCGAGATTGGCCCGGTCTCGTCGCCGCCAGTAGGGCTTCAATGCCTGGCTTGACCGCAGGATCATTTCGTCTAGCCATCTGGCAGTAACTGCATCGACTTCATTGGATGTCCGCCAGGACTTCCAGAGATACGTTCGGCCTTGGGATATCGACACCGGATGCTGTTTGATATTGCGTCGGAGGAGGCGAGACAATACACTAACTTTACCAGAGAATAGCGCCAACGGATTGTCATACAGGAAGTTGTTCCTTGTCGGCTTCTGAAGCACATTGAACCAGTCTTCAGAAATCATGGGCGGTACAGGGACCTCATCCCCGTTAAGGGTTGCTCTTATTGTCGGGTGGAATCTATGGTCATAGAGCCACTCGGCACTGTACACCTTGTCACCTTGAATAAACAGTGCCCTGGTAACCAAAGGATAGGGGATCCATTCATCCAGTTTCCCTGAATGCGGCGGTATACTCCATGCCACTTGGATCTTGATATGTGGAAAGACATACTCCCCTCGCAGAAGGTCACTGGCTGATCTGGCGTTCTTCGCGTACCAATATTGAAACTGGACAGGTTGGTCTCCTTTTAGGGCTGAACCAGAGATAACAAATCCTCGACGATTATAGCAAACCACTTCTGACTGAAGCTTGCCCGCAACACACTGCCGTTGTAGTGGCACCATGCGTGCTTCAGACACCTGCCCATATTCATAGACAAAGCGGTTAATCGAAGCCCCCTTATTATCGTACTCTTCTCTGGATCGTAAATGCGCGTCACTTGTATACGTATTGATTGCAACCAAGTTCGTCCTTTCGGTTGGCTCCTCCTCATATCGGCCAGAATATTGATATAACCGCGAAGGCGCATCTTCCAAGTGCATAAAGCAAGTGAACGCACCATCCAAAGTATCTAAAGTAAGCCGATCCTTCTCCAGGGTTAATGTTTGCCCCTTCATCGACCTATAAATAGAGGATATTCGCCTCCGACCATGCAGCTGAGGCATATTAGCAATGACTAGGGAATATCAAGATTCAGCTTACCAGGACAAGCGGGAGGATAAGATCCTGCAACACTTTACAGAACGACCAGATACATGCGAGGCAGCGCTTCAACGGCCACGAAAGGATCAAGGGCTGCGTGCGAAGCATATAGTCCAGCTCTCGCTGGTACTCGGGATCAGCGACCAGCGAAAGGACCGTGAATTTAATGCTCGACTTGATCTTTAGATATATTCGGAGGAGACTCGCTTTGACGCGTGAGGAAGGCCCTGTTACCTGCTCGTCACTAAGCTGGAGGGACGATATCGGTCTGTTTTGACTCGGGTTCGTCAAGGGCGTCACGGCCGTCTCATCAGCAATACGTTGGGCATAGCTCCCCACAGCCTCAGCGAGTGAAGCACTCAGATCGTATCTGGCGAGCCAGACATCCAGGTCCGTGGAATCCGTCAACTTGAACCTGGATTGGATCCACTCCGCCTGGGATGTAGATAGACGGTATGGCTGCCCGCATGCCCGTTGCAAGAGGAACCTGCGAGCGTCACCGGGTAGGATGTCCCACTCCTGCTCAATATCAATTCCAAGGAGAAGATGTCGAAGAACGGCTTTTTGAGTGTCTGATATCAGCTCTCGTCGGTCCCGGCAAGAGACCTGGAGCTGCCGTTTTATGCCTTCAGGGATAGGCAGTGTATCATGCGAATTTTCATGAACCAGCAACTCAGTGAGCATCGCATGGTCGTGCGACAGGCCAAGGTAGTTTTCAGCCGTGCTTGATACGAGTGCTTCTGCGATTGCATAGCATCTTCCCTGGAGCGTATCTTGGACTAGGTCCAGAGGTGCGATAACAATTATGTGTAGTAAGTCCGGAGTCTTTCTGCTTAAACAGCGGAAGGAGTTCTCTTCTGATCTGAGTAAAGAACTGGCAGAGACGAGCTCGACCAGTATACGTCCGGACTCCCATAACTCGACTGTACGGCGTAGTATGTCCGCACCCTTAGGAAACGCCTGTGAATAATGGGCCTGCTCAGACTGGCTTCGTGAGCGAAGTATCCTCATAACCTCAACCCCAGAATACCGAGCCGGATCTATCCTATATCGCAGATTCAGGGGCATTGATTGAATTCCATCAAAGACACCCACCAATGTGCCCTGTGGAATCTCCGCGTCTGGCTCCAGGGTGCTGCAGGTGTATACAGCCACCTCACCGGTGTTATCCTCACTATTTCTAGGAGTTTGTCTGACGTCGGCCTTGAGAAATGACAAGATCGCTGTAGTCCAAGTACCAGCTGCCAGACCGATAACACCGCCAAAGGGAAACCCATCCGGTATGAGGCGCAACAAGAGGCATGTCATGAAACCCACAATTGTGCCAAGGGCTACTGCACCGTCGGCCCGATGGCGGACATATATCCTGCTGTACTGATACCAGAGTAGCCCGCTGTATGCGCCGACGTATGCCAAATACATCTGCGTAGCGCTGCGGGAGGACTCAAGAGACCACATCAAGGCAGATGTCACGGCCAGACCCCAGATGTGCAGGAGACTGTACTTGAGGAGCTTCGACCAGTATAGAGACCGACGCTTGAGTCTATTGTTGAGGACTGCGCTGTGGAGGGAGTCAAGACTGGAAACCTGCTCGGACGTGTGCTGGTGTGCAATGGCCCATAATGGCTGGGAAACAGCGTCAAGGATAACTGCGCCCATGAGGTAATAAGCAAGTCCAAACCCGACAGCCAGCCTAAATGTCTCACTCGAGACAGACAGCCCAACTATGGATTCTCCGGTGAGTAGTGCAGTCCATTTGTCCATTAGTGCGAGGGCAAAGAAGAGTAGTCCGCCCCAGACTTCCTGCCCGGAGTGTACCCAGTGGAGGAATGCGCTGTGCAGTTTCAAGCCTCTTTGGATGTTGACTAGAGTCTCGGTCCCTGATTTGAGCTGCAGGTTCCATGTCGGACTGTAGGGTAGAGGGAGCCGCGTCCGGGTGTACTTGCAGTACCATGTAAGAAGGAATATTGAGGCTGGATAGCCCTTGGCTATACGTCGGATGAAAGGGTCGGATGTAGGCTTCGACCAGGAATGGGATGCACATTCCTTTTTAACGCAGTCCCAAAGTATCTGACGTATCGTAAAGTACGATGGCATCTCTGCAACAGCTGGCATATATGTTTTCTGATACCAGCCGACTATCTCCTGCTCAGTCACACATGGTATATCGAAATACCAATTATTCCACTTGGATATCACCCGTCGAGCAGCAAATAGCAATACTGCTAAGAAGAAGGCCAGCACACATGGATATATGACGATGTCATGGTGCAGCCACGTAGTGAGCAAGGGGGAGAGGAGAAGAATTGGGACGCATGTCACGACCACCACACGGCCCTGCTGACGTTAGAGGGGTTAATATTCACTAAAGGTTCACGTACCGATTGGAACTGATGGCCAGGCATCTGATATATGGACAATATAGATAGGACCATCAGGTATGCTGTCAAGAGGACCAGATATACGAGGAATATAACACCCGAGCGAAAAGACTGCGCAATTCCAATCCCGATCATTGTGACAATGCCCACCAACAAAACAACGGCCAGCCCGGCAATGAAACGCGTCATCACAAACATGCTTGTTGCAGGGAACGCCATGGAGTAGAAGTAATAGCTCCCCCCGGAACTGATCCAGGTACCGAAAGCGCCACCGAGGAGCAATGCCACCATTAGCGCTGCAGTTGCTGCCGTTTGATCTGTATCTTCCATAAAGGCCGACAGGTAGAGCCCACGGCCAATTGTTGTAAGCAGAGAGATATCTATTAGGGCAGGGATGGCAAAAATGCCGAGAAAGGTGATGCGGTAGTGCAGCGGCATGTCCTCCTCAGCTGCGTCTGGATCCAAATCGACATCCATAGAGGCATAAGTGGTAGGCAGCTCAGTCGTGTCTTCCTCAGGTAGAGGGGGCTGATGTTCATAATGATATTCACGGATTTTGCCAAACAGGATCCTGCCCAGTTCATTCGGCGTCATATCAAAATAGGCGTCGCATCGCGCTCCCACCGCGTAGAATTCAGCAAAGCACGCTGCTTGGATATGGTGTAGATTGGGTCCAGGATTCCGGTCAAGCACCTCGAGATAGACTTCATTGAGGGCCAGTTTACGGACGGCGCAGAAAATGGACATGGCAAGAAAGTCTGTCTTGACGTCGATACATGATGGCTGCAGAACAGAGTCCATTACCACAGCCACTTTCTCAAGGGTGCTGCTGTCTTGTTGAAGAAGAGCCTCCTCAATGAAGTCACCGATCTCCCTGAATAGTCCCATAGCAGATTCATATTCTAGAGATGGACTGCGCTGGCTCTGGTACCATTCCAGGCGACTCTGCACGAGCTGTTCAGCCGTGAGCCTACCCCCGAGATATTCCACCGAGGCCGTGCGTCGAAGCTGGGCCGATTTGGGTGCGTCCAAGAGTTGGTATTTACAGATAGCTCTCACCTTCTCTGCGAGTGCTAGGGAGCCTTCACACGTCGAGTGGTTCAATCGTTGCACCCATAGAAGTAGCTCTACTGGAGTGAGGGCTTCCACATCATGAACCGGACGGGGAGACAGTCCCCATTTCGAGCAGAGTTTTTCGTTGGCCTCAGAGAGCGAGATCTCTGCCATTAGACACTCAAACCGCGTAAATCCTCGACTAGACAGGAAAGTATGGAGTATTGTCCCTGCACGATCCGTCGTTCTGTTGGAGAGATATATATCCATAGTCCCAGTAACAGAGTCAACTTCATACATCCCCCAGACCTGTGCTTCACTGCGAGTGCGAAACCCGGAGTGCAGACCGACCCAGACTCGGACATTGTGAGTATCAGAGGGACCTCTGGAAAGCATATCGATCAATTCCTGGATGCTGGAGTAGGTGGTGGAGGTGTCACTCTCTGGTTCAATTTGACTTAACCCACAGAGTATCCCGTCCAGTTCCTCTTGCTGAAGGCGCTCCAGAAGGTCCGACTCGCGGAGACATCTCTGTGCTTCCAAAAGATCATTTATTTCCGTGGTAGAGCAGTCAAGCCCGAGCTGGAAGCAGCCCAGGCCGGTGTAGTCGGTGCCGTCAGGGGATAGAGAAAACGGGTCTAGATGTGCATTCTGAAACGGTGGATATGCCTCATTGATATTTCTTTCCAAGCTGTTCGTTGTGATGACGTTTGTAGGATAAATTGTTTGTAACTTCGTGGCGAGACCAGGAACAAAGCTGTCTAATGCCCCGTATAAATCATCGTTCCCAGAGGGGCTCTGCAGGATCTTGCAAGCATTAGCTAGGACAGTCAGTGTACTTCGGATAAACCCACCGTATCATTAAATCGCCAGTGATCGTGTGCCCTTGCCACTGCATCATCCCGTAGCCAGACCAGCGCTGACAGTGGCTCCTTGATTACCGTGCGAGACGCAGCAATATCCGCATCCACCAGGGCAGATAGAGGGCCAATCCAGGCCATGGCAGTGTTATAATTGCACCATTTGAGTGTACGCCGCATAACAGCATGAGGGATAGTCACTTCATCGTCAACTACCTCCCACATGGCAAAGCTACAACCTCCTGCTGGTTTCTGGCCAGCCAGAGCCCTCATAAGAGACCGTGTCTTGGACATCTGGAAGTAGTCCTGGTGGTGTCCATCGTTACGGATAGTGCCGTTTTGGAAGGCGATGCCTTGGACGTGGCTCATGTCGACGCCGTCGTACTGGCTTTCGTTGGAGTCTCCTGATATCTCCAGCCAGACGTCGAGGCCGATATGGTTGATGTATTCAAGTAAATGGCTAAGCACAACGGGTTCGAAGTACGCCTCCCAGTTCGATAAAAGGATTCCGTGAAATGGCGTCTGGTGCGTGGCAATGCTCGTAAAGGACGAGGCGAGTCTCTGGGTGATAGTTCCTAGTGCCTGAATAATCTGGTCATTCGTAGTGCTGCGATTCGAGCCCAAACAGCCCTGTACATCGAGTCGACCGAGTATATGTGCCGAGCTGCAGTATCTATTGACTGCATTTACGACGCCCTGTTGCAAAGGGTCGACCACGATGGCGTCCCATTGTAACAGCAGCCGTCCCTGTGCTGGAGTAGGAGGATCGGCAAGTGCACCAAGATACACACCGAATGTCTTGAGGCTCCTGGGAGGTTTCTCGCGAGAACGAAGAGGCTGCGCCGTTTCCTTTAGGGAATCTAAATAACCGGTAATCGAAGCAGGGGCTCTGGATACTTTGCGCCGTCGCTACAGCCGTTGATATCAGCATTCCTGGCGGCAGTCAGGGGAATAGGGACATACATTCCAATGCGTGAATACAGCCCGCCCAGTGAGGTATATAATATATAGCCCGCCTATAATTATGGTGATGAAAGTGACAATGGCCAGGACCTGCTGGAAATCAGATATCGCGAGGAAGTGCCAAAGGGACGAGACTTACCCTGCCTGACCATGTACTCAGCATGTCATGCCACCCAATGGCATCCAGGCCGAGATATTGGGCCTCCATTATGGCAAAGTTGGAGCTGGTAGGGCAGAATGACTGGTGTGGCCAAGTCCTCCTTGTTCCTGTCTCCAACAGAAGATATTATGGAGGGTTAGGGTCGCCGACAGAGGCCGTCGGATATTGTTTATCCCTATCGCCTTACTCATAGACTACATGTTTTCATGTTTACAGACATCATCCCAATGCAAGCAAAGTTCCGCTTACGGCGGATCGGTACGTGATGACCGTAAAGGGCCATCTATCCCGGCCGGCACGTTGCCATTTGCGGCGAAGCCACAGCTTCCAGCCCTGCCAACTTTCAGCAGTACAGTAAGCGAATCTGGCCTGACACGGCCTGTCATATCGGGGTCGACCGAACTGACAGCCGTTCCAGGCGCAGAGCAGCTGGTCCTAGCATGTCCGGATCGGATCTGGCCAGCAGCCCGGACCAAGGCTTGATCTACCGGTTTCAGAGACCCACGCCCTTTCCTTGGCCACTTTCCTTGGATATTATAGAACTAGGCACCGGGTCCGTCTTCTCATGTCTACAGATGTGACACGCCGTCTGTTGGTCTAGGCAATGGGTAGTACAAGGCGTCTTGGCGAGTTGTATGCAGCGACCTCGAGGCCTCTCTAGGCGCCACATTACACCTACACAGCGTCTAGGTACATATTAACAGTTCCTCTGTACCGAAAATGGACTTGGCTTGCCGGGCTGGATCTCGACAGACACAACGGCGGACATATTCAAAACTGACTGTCCAGTATCCTGCCAGACTGCCTCTATCTTACCAGTATTCAGTCTATCACCACCTTCTACGCTATAATGACTTCGGGTTGCAATTCGCGCTGGAGCTCCTCGAGCTCCCTAGAGCCCATGTTCGACCTCTCGAGCTCTGATACAGATCTGGATTGGGTGTTCGAAAAGGAATCTCCACCATTGGGGGACAACGAAGATGCCCAGTATATCCTCGTCTCTGGGGGTTTGGGCTATATCGGAAGCCATACCTGCCTGGAACTCCTAAAAGCAGGATACAACGTCCTCATTGTGGATGATCTGAGCAACAGCCACTACCACGCCTTCCACCAGATATTGAAGGCTGCACAGGGGCATCATAGCCGTGCTAATGCTGCATGTCCTAAGGCGACACTATCCATCATCGACTACGGCGACATACCCGCAATGAGGGAGCTGTTCAATGCATACTCCCTCGGACCAACAGCCCCTGGAAAGAGCCGATCAAGGATAATAGGCGTCATCCACTTTGCTGCCTTCAAACAGGTCGAGGAGAGCATCCGCAAGCCGTTGAAGTATTACGACAACAACATCTGCGGGCTGCTTAACCTCCTCGCCCTGTTAGACGAGTACAACGTTCGAACCTTCATCTTTTCCTCGTCCGCCAACGTCTACGGCTCCCAAGAAGTAGCTGGTCAGCTACTCCGCGAGGAAGACTGTCTCCATGAGCCAGAGCTGCTCAATCCCCCCAAGTCAACTCTATCTAGGATAACCAATACCTACGGCCGAACCAAGCTATTCGGCGAGGCCATCCTAGCGGATCTCGCTCGTGGCGATCCCTCCTGGAACATCGTCGCCCTGCGATACTTCAATCCCATCGGCGGCGATGCGTCGGGCTTGCTGGGAGAGGACCCCAAATGCCCATCCACATCCCTAGCTGCAGCGCTGAGCAGGGTCATCACCGGCCACAGCCCAAATCTCTATATCTACGGGAATGACTGGAACACCCGCGACGGAACCCCGATAAGGGACTTTATCCATGTCAGCGATCTGGCACGCGGGCATATTGCTGCCCTGGAAGCTGCCACCCAGGGGCGCATGAAGGGGAACTTCCGCACCTTCAACCTGGGCACGGGGTCTGGGTATTCGGTGTTGGAGTTTCTCCATACACTCGAGACGGTGTCACGGAAGTCCATTCCCTACCGCGTTGTCGGGAGAAGGCCAGGCGATGTGATCTCCTCCGTTGCCGACACGGAGCGGGCGGCGCGAGAGCTGAGCTGGCGCACGGAGTTGTCGTTAGTTGATGCATGTGTGGATATGTGGAATTACCTTCATAAAAAGCGCTCGCTGGGCCAGGAATAGTGCCTGGTCTCGTTTGACTTGGCTATTTGGTTACTACTTGACTTGATATAACTCATTGAAAGAGGCATTGCCTTGTTACCAGGGGCTGGGAACTTTGTTTCTACGCGAACATCCTTGAATTCCTCTGTACGACCAGCTCTCAGCCACATGCAAGGAGGTTTATATACGCAGAACAGAGTCTAACCACCGTATCCAGCCGCGAGACGTTGGCGCGCAAGTCGAAGTGCTTTCTGACCAATTGTTTTTTGTTCTTTACCTATCCCTATCATTCTTGTATATTAGTTCTGAATACTAATTTTATTCTGTTGCTACACTGAAATGCTTCGCAGCTGTATGTTGGTTGCAACCGGGAGACCCTCGACGCCCAAGAATGCAAATGTGACTATGACCACCCTGCACTATGTGGCGTCGATCTGGACTCGGCAGGTTGCGGACTCGCTGTTTTTGAATATTTCCATCCGGAATTTGGTCTGAATTAATAATCGCTCAACACACGATAGTCGCTGCTGTCAGCCTTTAGGGCTAGTTGGCGGCCATCGACAGAACCATATCCCATCAGCCACTATAGCATGTTTACATGCCAGTTTATATGCAGCTGCAGTGTGTGGTAGCCAGGACAAAGTATCTAGGGCTTTAGGATCATAGTTGCTGGGGCGTAGGCAGGAGTTCCGTGGCGTCTCAGCGCGACTCCTATGGAATGAAGATAGCGATGGCTCATTCCTGTACTCTTCGCGAGTCTATCTGCAGTGGCAGTCAGCAACAGGGATAGAGAAATGTATTTGCCATTTATACCCAGCATTATTTCTAGCCCTTCCCCCACAGATCATCAGCCGTGACAATTGTTCCCTTGTAAGCCCTATCACGGTTCAGCATTCATTATTATTTACTGTCTAGCATTGTTTACCACCACCAGGGAGTGCGTTCTGCGCAATGGGAATCAATTACTCGACACTTCTCCCTCAGACAAAACCTTTCCCTTCCATGTCTAGCACGTCTCTATCAGCAAGCGCCACCGCGCCTGTTACCTCTACTTCCAGTATCTTCAGCTCCACTGTTCTCAGTACCAATGCCATCATCACTTCCAGCTCAGCAGCACCTTCATCCACAGCAACCGAGCCCCATAGCAGCTCCGCACTCGCTGCTAATATCCTGGTTATTGCCCGGGACGCCACCGAAGCAAAAGTCGCCTCCTCCGGTCTAAACGCATATGGCATCCCCTTCACAACATTGCTCGTCCCCAAGACAGGGGTCCAACTACCAGACCTAGAATCTCCCTCTGGAGGCAGGTTTGGCGGGATTGTGGTTTCTGGAGAAGTCAGCTATGACTATGGCAATGGCACCTGGGCCAGCGGCTTGACTCCTAGTCAATGGAATCAACTGTACGCCTATCAAATTCGATCCGGAGCCCGCCTGGTTGAGTACGACATCAACCCAGGCAGCAAGTCTGGAACCAGGGCCGTGTCAGGCGGTTGCTGTGAGGCTGGCGTTGAGCAGCTGGTCTCCTTCTCTGATACCAGCGACTTCCCTACTGCTGGTCTTCGTACCGGTGCTAATGTCAGTACAAAGGATCTCTGGCATTATCCAGCAGAGATCGTAAACAGCACTACCACAAAGGCTATTGCCAAGTTCGCGAGCAATCAGGTTATCGAGAAGGAAACAACAGCAGCGGTCATCAACAATTTCAACGGGAGACAGCAGATGGCATTCTTCACTGCGCTGGACCCGTCCTGGAGTCCAACCTCTGCGTATCTGCAGCACGCATGGATCACATGGATTACCCGTGGGTTGTACGCAGGCTATCGCCGTGTTAATCTGAATACCCAGATCGACGACATGTTCCTCAGCACGAGGATGTATAAAAGTGAGCGCAGCTTCCGCCTCACCCCGGCGGATCTCGATGGGATCACCAGCTGGCTTCCGGCTGTTCGGTCAAGATTGAACCCCGGCAGTACCTACTTCGTCGAGGTTGGCCACAACGGCAATGGGAATATCGACGCAGCGACTGGGCAAGTTGGCGAGGCTCGCTGCAGCGGTGGTGCGATCCAGCTCAAAGGCCCAGCTCCTACTCCTCCTGAATTTAAAAAGCCGCTTGGGACTGGTTCGAATGTCTGGCCGGCTGAGCCTCATTCGTTTAACTGGGACGACTCCTGTATGAACACCGACGAGCTGCTTCAGTGGTGGAAGAAGAACTATAACGAATACGCCCATATCTCGCATACATTCACGCATCTTTCGCAGGATAATATCACCTACGACGACGCCAGCAAGGAAATCACCTTCAATCAGGCCTGGCTATCCCAAGTAGGCATCTCCTCTGCAAACCGGTATACATCAAACGGCATCATCCCAGCAGCCATAACAGGCCTCCACAACGGCGACGCCTTGCGAGCCTGGCACGACCACGGTATCACAAACTGTGTAGGCGACAACAGTCGCCCTGCGCTCCGCAACCAGCAGAATCCCATGTGGCCGTACTTCAGCAGTGTCAGTGCGGATGGGTATAGCGGAATGCAGGTGAACCCGCGGTGGGCGACGAGTATATACTATAACTGCGATAACCCAGACTGCAACGTTCAGCAGTGGATTGATGTATTCTCAGGCAGTGGCGATTTCAATAACCTCCTTGCAGCGGAGAAGGATTGTACCATGGTGAATATCCTGGGTCTGTATCATGACGGCTACATGTTCCACCAGGCGAACCTGCGTAACGAAAACGCGGACACTATCACCGTTGGTAACTCTACCGGTCGATACTCGATATTCCAGGCGTGGGTAGAGACTGTTGTCCAGGAGCTGGGCAGACTGGTGACATGGCCTATCGTGTCGACCACGCATCAACAGGTAATCCCCCATATATATATGTTGAGAATGTAGCTAATATCTACTCAGATGTCGGATAACTTCCTCCGGCGGTATAACCGTGACCAGTGTGAATACGCCCTTACATATCAGGTTTCGGACAGCCACATCACCGGCATTATTGTGACAGCAAAGAACAACGAATGCAGCGCAGAAATCCCTGTCACCTCGCCGGTTGAGCTGGGAAGACATAGCTTTGCAACTGAACAACTCGGCAGTGATCCACTTACTGTCTGGGTTGAGCTCAAAGGTGATCCGGTCACCCTTGCTCTTGCTTCTCCGATTCCGCTGTAAGTGGCTGTTGCTTTATATATCAGTGTTTGTGGATTGGCACCTGTCAGTCTATCATAGCACCATCAGTAATGTATTCAAGCTATACTGTCGAATATATGTATCTGTAATTTAATTGCCCATCTGGTCCATTACCAGCTCTCCCAACGCCACAAGGGTCGTCGACTCGGCCAGCAGCGTCAAGAAAGGCACATCCACCTTGAACGCCTGATAGAACCAAGTCCTAAACTCCGCTGCCAACATACTGTCCATTCCAAACTTGGACAGTGCTCTGGTCGGATCGATCTTGTCGACCTGCTGCAGAACAAGATTCGAGAACCGCTGCACGATCATATCGGTGACAGCCTCGATGTCTGACGGCACATCAGAGCCTCCATTGCCCTTGAGAGCTTGATCGGTGTCGCTGTCTAGTACTGATGCAAGGACTGCTGCTCGTGGGTCATTTAGGGTTGGATTACTGCCACTGAACCCGGCTTTCTGTAGGCGCTTCAGCCCTAAAGGTTCAAGACCAGTAAGGACATGGCATGAGGCCATGCGATCATACTCGTAGCTGGCACTGGTGTTCCACGAAGACTTCAGCGAGATATCAATAATCTGAAGGAGCTCATCCTCGTTAATCGCCTGAATCCCCTTTCGCAGAAGCAATGCTTCAATCTCCGGATTCTCATGCAGATACCCAACCTCTGAGATCATTCCCAGCCCGATAGAGACGCCAGGGAGGCCCTTGCTCCTCAGGAAGCGGGCGAAGACGTCCAGGAAGTAATTCGCGGCGCAGTAGTTACCCTCTGTCGCCGTACCAACACTGCCGGATACCGAACTGGTCATCAGGAAGAAATCCAGATCTCCGCCGCGGGCTTCCAGCGCATTGTATAGGTTCCATGACCCGATGAGCTTTGGATCGATGCCCGTGTGCCAGTATTCCACTGGCATTCGTGTCCATAGTGCTTCCTAGGTAGTGTTAGAAGGTACACGGTATATGTATCAGGGTTCATACGTTTAGTCCCATTGCTGCCTGGATAATACCACCAATTGGCCCATGGATTGCAGAAACAGCCGCCTGGACATCGGCGTACACTCCTACATCTCCTCTGATGACGACTACCTCTGCACCGGATGCCTGGAGATCTTCGACGAGGAGTCTCGCCGGTTCCTTGTTAGTGCCACTGCGGCCGATAAAGACGAACTTCCTGGCGCCTTGCTTCGCCATCCACTTGGATATACTTCTGCCCAGTCCGCCCAGGCAGCCGACCATGAGATACGATTTGTCCGGACTGAAAGTTGTACTGTATTTTCGAGATAGCGTCTAAACAGTTAATAAGAATATGCAACTGCTCGCAGGAAAGAGTGTACTCACCGGGATCAAGGACTCTCCATTCTGTAGAGAAATTGCGATCTTGCCCATTCGATTGCCCAGTCCAAAGTATCGATAGGCCTGCGTTATCTCAGAGCTATCAAAGACTTTCAACGGCTCGATCGACTTGATCTTTCCTTCACGGTACAGAGACATGGTCTCTGCCAGCAAGCTGGAGACAGTTAGCAGTGACCATACCCCGAGGCCGATAACATACCCTGAAGCAATCCGATTAAGCCTGGGCTGACTCTCATCAGACAACTCGCTGAGATCAAACGCAGTGAACGTAACATTGCGCTGGAACACCTCCATATCCAGCTTTCCAGCGTCGACAATATCCTGCTTGCCCACCTCCACGAACCGTCCCCACGGCGCACAAGCCCTCCAGCTATCATGCAGCAGGTCCCCAGTCAGCGAGTTCAGGACAACATCCACACCTCTCCCACCAGTAACGGCTAACAAACCATCCAGAAACGAAGAAGATCGCGAATTGAATATATGTTCCCTTCTCAACCCAAACGCCTCAACAAGATACTCCTTCTTCTCATCCGTGCTCACAGTCGCGTATATCTCAGCGCCAGCCAGCTGTGCAATCTGGATAGCAGCAATCCCCAACCCTCCAGCCGCAGAGTGTATAAGCACCGACTCGCCGTTCTGGAGATTTGCGCGGTGATGCAGAGCATATATAGCCGTGGAAAATACTAGAGGCAGCGTGGCCACGGTATCAAAGTCTTCGTCGTCTAGCAGCTTCTGACAAGCCCACTCGGGTATGCGCTCGTATGTGCTGAAGTGGCCTGGGCCCATTGATACTACTCTATCGCCGATTGAGAGATTCTGAATTCCTTCAGAAGCGACTTTGGTTACGATGCCGCTGCATTCGAGTTTGCAGACGGCGTCTTTCGTGTTGACTTTTCCGGCGAGGGCGTAGAAGTCCTGCAAACGTTAGCGCTGCTCTTTAGTCAAATATTTAAATCAAGACGATTATACTTTTGCGTTCAATCCGACGGATTTGACTTCAATTTCGACAGTCCCCGGTGCCAGAGGGGACTCATCTGCCGCTTCCTGTCTAAACGCAAGAGTATCAAACTGTCCGACAGTGCCAATGCTAAGTCTCGCCGGCGAAGCATCCTTCAGGGGAAGGAGTCTAGGGATCTCATCCTGCTTCTCGCGGAAAGTCTCATTCATCGTCTCCTCGGGCAGCATACGACTGATATGCAGGGTGCCATTCTTCAAGGCATACTCGCAGTCGGGAACTGCAGATTCAGCACTTTGGCGCAACACCGCAGCGATGCCATTCAGAGTCTGTGATGTCGGTAGGGTAACGTCCAGATCTAGAATCGTAATATGCAACGATGGCTGCTCTAGCATCAATGCCCTAGACAGGCCAGACATCAGGGCGAAGTCTGGTCGGGTGCCGTTGAGGGCGTCTCCTGCGGTCAGCCAGAGTAGGTGAAGGGCTTTATCCGTTATGTGTTTTATAGATACCATTTCCTCTGCGGTTAAGGATGCGAGCACGGGTCTGTTTAGCTCGATAGCTGAGATAACGAATGTCTTTGGTGTGATTGTGCTTTCGGATAGCTCGCCTAGCAGAGCCCGTCGAACAGGTTGGTCGAATATATTGGACAGATATTGAGCCAGGGCGTCACCAAGAGGGCTTTTCTCTGTGTCCTCTACTATCAGGATGTCATCGTGCGTAGTGTCTGCCTTTGGTTTGCCATCAGGTGTAATTATTTCCAGGATATCTCCGGTCTGCGTGACGGTGCGAAGTGTGGTATGTCCATCCATCTGGTTTGGAGTCGATGTGATTCGCAAAATACTACCACCATTCTCCAAGTATTCAGTGAACCGTGAGACCTCGGAAGACAAGTTGCTCCCCAGGATGACAAGGTCGAATTTATCCTTGTTATTGAGCTTGGTCAACGCATCCGCGTCGCGAACCTGCAGCTCGCCGTCTTCAGTGATATGGCCTTTGGAGTATGTTCTGTACCGCTTGAATGCCGTATGTGCTCGTAGAACATCCAGGAATCCCTCGGTCAGCTCGTCACTGCCGGTCATGTCCAAGACCCGGAGTCTAGGGTTCTTGTGGGAGATGATATCAACCACGGCGGCCATCTGCTGCGATTCGTTCTGCTGACAATGTCAGCTAGCTCACGTTACATTTCGATAACTGTACTTACATTTGCACATGAGGATAGGTACTGGGTCAACCCTTCGCTAGTCATGGTGGTAATGTCGGGCTTCCACAGGACTCTCAGCATGGGCTCGCGCATCTCCTCATCAGACGTTTGAGCTGCTCCTTGATATCCGGTAACGCGTACGTTCTCCAGAGTAGCACAGGGACTGTCATTCTGATCATACAGACACGCGTTGAGCATGTAGGCGGAGAATCCTATCTTCTTGGCCGAGGCGTCAATCTGATATGCTTCCTGTGAGGCAGAGCTAGGGGCACGGAAAGACGCCTCTTCAATGGACACCGGTACATGAGCACGAAGATCCCTGATCGTGCCTGAAGTGCTGGCAATAATACCAGCCTGCAGCATCACGTCGATCGTGATGGGATGAACCAGATATCTCGACTGGGCCGCCTTACCCTCACCACCTCCCTGCAGAAGCTGGGTCTTTGACAGCGAGTATCGACCGACCTTCCCCCTCGGCGTCCGGATTTCTTCCAGCGCAGCAAATTGAGGCCCGTAGTTTAGTCCTACCTTGGTGAATTGACCGTACCAGTTGCGGACCGCGAGGGCTTCGAGGTCGGTCTTGCTTTCCGCTGGGATGATATCTGGCTTAGCCAGGTCCTTTCCATAACGCTTTTCCTTCTCCTCTGCAATCTTGATTTTACCCGTTGCATGCGTAGTGGACAGACCATCCTGATAACTGCACACTTCGAATTCCCACCACGTCTTCGAGCTGCTCGTCGCCGATAACGCCACGCGCTTGAGCGTCGTGAAAATCTCTACGCCTGCAGCATTCGAGTCCGTCGACAATACCAAAGCTTTAAGGATTCGGAACTGTCTAAGCCCAATAGCTAGTGCTGGATCTGATACATTCTGCCCATTGACTTGGCAAATCGCCTCAATACCCATGGCGATATATCCAGCACCCGGGAAGACAACAGTTTCATTGAGCTTGTGGTCAACAAGCCACGGCACGTCTTCGACCTTCAGAACATTCCGCCAGGTTGTATGTACCCCGTCACCTCCTGGTCTCTGTGAGCCAAGCAGATCGTGGTGTGGATATTTGCGGTTCCGGAACTCGGTGCTTGCGCGACACTCGCTCCAGAGGAGTGTGTCGTAGCTCCATGTGTATGGGGGGAGATTTGGAATGACCTTGCCTTGGTGAGATGGGTACTTTGAGTCATGAACGGCCAGTGCAGTGATTGGGCTTTCGACGTAGTTGACCTGGGCAAAGTCGATGGAGTGGCCGTGCAGGAACAGGTCTCCAACGAGGCTAAGCAGGCAGGTAAGGCCGTTCTTATTCCTGGTCAGTGCGGTGGAGTAATGGAAAGACCCTGGCTTAATCCCTATGGCTGACATTGTCTGCTTGATTGGTAGTTCCAGCGCTGAGTGTGGTCCAAGTTCGATCAAGTGGTATTTGGATCCATGTATGAGGCCTTCCACTGCGTCACTAAACAGTACTGGCGACTCTAAATTAGTTCTCCAATAAGAGGGCTGGACCTTTCCAGTGACAGCCTGGCCAGTCACAGATGAAACCCACCGAGCCTTGTGGTGTTTCTGGGTATAGTGTGGGCCATGGGGCAGATTGTCGTGCAGGAGTTCCTCATACTCCTCCCCAATCAAAGACATATGGTGCGAGTGGTAAGCTCGATTATTCGTGTTTAGCTTCCGCGCAAATACTCCTTTACCCTGTAAATGGTCGAGGATCGTATCAATTCCCTCGACATCGCCGCTGATGGTCACATTCTCAGGGGAGTTCACGCAAGCAACCCTGATGGAATCAGCCAGACTAAGTGCTTCAATCTCACTATCCGCTGTATCCCTATCGAGGCCTACTGCAGCCATTCCTCCTTTCTGGCCAGCAAGAGCCCGGCTATGGCCTACCACATACCCCCTGTAGTAGGCCACAACGATCGCCTCTGCTGCCGTCAGGAGCCCAGCGGCATACGCAGCAGCAATTTCACCAGAGGAATGCCCAATGACTGCCTCAGCCTCAATACCCCATTTCCGGAGAAGGTCGACAAATGCAATCTGGATGGCGGTGCACAGAGGCTGAGATCGAGTGACGTGGTTGATCTGGGACGTCTCCTTGGGAGCTAGCAAGGCCTGTCTCAAGGACCATGACGGAGCATGGGGGAGCCTTTGCAGTACATTGTCCAGCTCGACGAGGCTTTTTCTGAACGATGGGACTTCCTGGATTAGTTCTTTGCCCATTTGGGCCCACTGGGCGCCCTGGCCTGTGAATACAAAGGCAACCGGCAGCTTCGTGGACGACGGCTTTTGTTCGCCAGTCGTGAAATCCTCCAAGCTCATACTACCTAGACCAGCCTGCCCGATGATGGCGTAACCCCTGCAGGACAGCTTTGACCGGCGTGCACCCAGGGTGTATGCCAGATCAACAACATTGACATCTTGGGAATAAAGTGATAGACTGCGTATTTGCCCCTCGAGCGAGCTCCACGAGTTAGCAGAAACCGGGAGGATAAAGGTGGATTTCATCTCCGACAACGTCACTGAAGAAAGCCCTAACTGCTCAGGAACGAAATTGTCCACAGACTCCAGGATGAGATGGCTGTTTGCGCCTCCATACCCAAAGGAGTTCACACCAGCTCGCACGACAGGCTTTGGGACCAACAGGCTGGGCCTTGCAATGGGCCAGTCCATCGAGTTAGTCACAATCTTGACTCGCCAGTCATCTGTTTTGATCTTCGGGTTGAGGTTCTGCACTCCAATCGTAGGCGGAATTGTGCCCTTTTCCATGGCCATTACGACCTTGAAGACGCTGGAAAAGCCCGATGCTGCTTCCGAATGCCCTAGATTTGTCTTCAAAGAGCCAACATACAATGGACTGTGGACAGGGCGCTTCTTAAAGACCCGAGACACAGCCTCCAGCTCAATCGGGTCTCCAACAGCAGTCCCAGTGCCGTGGCATTCGACGTAGTTTGTCTCGTGGAACCTATGCTCTAGCCCAGCCTTTGCATACGCCTTTCGAATCACAGCCTCCTGGCCATCAGAACTCGGCAGTGTGATCCCGTTAGTCCTCCCATTGGCATTTACTGCGGAGCCCCGAATGACTCCTCGGATCGGGTCATTGTCTTCAAGGGCTTTGCTTAGTCTCTTGAGATACAGGGCACCGATACCATCAGCCCGGCCATAGCCATCCGCGGAGGCGTCGAAGGTGTGGCAGGTTGAGGTTCCAGAAAGAACACCGGCCTTCATTGTCCCTAGATGCTGCTCTGGGGATTGAATGAGATTTGCACCGGCTGCGATTGCGGCGTCACATTCGCCGGCGTCGATGGCTGCGCAGGCCATGTGGATTGCGTATAGAGACGACGAGCATGCGGTGTCAAGAACCACACTGACCAGGTTAGAATACTGTTAAGCTACTAGAAATGCTAGATATAATACACACCTCGGACCCGTCAGGTTAAATACATGACTGATCCTATTCGAGAGAATCGTCGTCCCCATGCCCGTTGCATGGTATCGGTGGAAATACTCCGCGTCCTTGGCCTGCATGGTGATATAGTCGATGGTGAAATTGCCGACATAGCATCCAATATTGGCCCCGTCAATGTCCTCTAATGTAGCGCCAGCACTCTCAAGGCACTCGTAGCAGACCTCCAATAGCTTCCGCTGCTGGGGGTCCATGTAGGTTGCTTCCAGGTTGTTGATCCCGAAGAAGCTGTTGTCGAATTGCCGGATATCATCCTGGATGAAGTAGCCGCCTTTGGTGTTCATGCTGCCGGGGCGCTGGCTGTTGAGATGGTAGAAGCCCTCGATGTTCCAGCGTGAGGGAGGGACATCGCATTGTCCCGATTGCTCTTCGATGAGAAGCTTCCACAGGTCGTCTGGGTTTTTGATCCCGCCGGGAAGACGGCAGCCTGTAGAACTATTAGTGCTGGACAAGACATAGATCCACAGACCTACCCATTCCAACAATAGCAATAGGCTCCGGCTGGGCAGTAACACAGTCGACTCTTGTCAGTAGCTGAGGAGTCGAGGCCTCGCTGCTGCTGGAGAAGCTATCGTCTTGGAGATATGGCGCCATGGCTGATTGATCAAGTAAAGATTAATGATTGCTCTAGTTGCTATAGCTGTTTCTATAGGGTCTCCTGTCGCTTCGATTCTATTCTCAACATAAACTGGTAATTTATATCCCATTATGAGCCATTGGAAGATAGGAAGTATGCCCGCACTGTCAGCTCCGATGCACTATATACTCTGGGTCAGTCCGGTATACTCTCCAAGTCCGGCGGACTTTTAATCGGACAATGCATTGGGATGCCTCCGATGTCCGGTTGGATCCTCCTAGACCTCCGCAGACAAACTTCCAGTACTGGTAGGGGGGTAAGCTCCATTCCGTCCATATCCTTCTCCTGCAGCAGCCCACAACTAAAACCTTTCCCATCTACGCCTTGAATTCTCGATTGTCACAGAGATGGCAGAGCAAAAGTTTGCATTAATTACTGGGTAGGTATTCTCAAATTGAGGATATATCGGTGTGAAGGAGACTGAATCTGACTTAGGGCTGGAAAGGGTGGAATCGGACACGCCCTTGCACTCGAACTCTTGGAGAAAGGCAATTATCTTTCTATCCTACATTATTCTTCCTGTTGACATCCTAACCTCTGTTAGGCATCCAAGTCATCGCAACCCTGCTTCCCCATGAGGATGCCGACCATCTGCTCTCTCGAGGTATCGACGTCACCCGGACAGACGTGACAAGCGACGAGAGTGTAGAATGTCTCAAGGAAACAGTTGAAAAGATCACAGGTGGGAGATTACACATTCTAATCAATAACGCGTTAGTCCGTACCACTCTGCTCAGCTAAACGCAGCTAACAAGCAGACTCTAGTGGAATATGTAAGTATCTCGTCATGTCAATCACTCACGCTGCTCACCTTCCAGGCTATACCATGCCCGCAACAGACACGGAAGCCAACGAAGTCGAAAAGATGTTCAGAGTCAATGTCTTCGGTCCTATGCGAGTTGTTCACTATCTCCATCCATTGTTGATCGAGGCCAAGGGAGTCATCGTCAACATTGGATCGATTGGAGGTGTATGTCCGTATGTATATGGAGCATCATACAATGCTAGCAAAGCAGCACTCCATCACTATGGGAATACCCTTCGGGTTGAGATGCGGCCTTTTGGGTATGCAGTGATATCATTCTCGGTATCCCTATCAAGGAACTGACTGCAGCAGCGTCCGGGTTGTGAATGTCATTTCGGGCGAGGTCAGCACGAATATATTGAAAAGCGATCGAGGGAGGTTACTGCCATCCGGTAAGACTATTGACCATTTCTGCATATCAATCTGAATACTAACTGTCTTCTAGAATCCGCGTACAGCCCGCTGAAGGACGCTTTTCAGGCCCATGTTCAACGGAAGCCAGGTACTAGTTCACTTTCCACGCATTCCAGCACAGTACTAACATATATTTCCACGGATGCCATGACTCCTACTCAGTATGCAGCTGGAGTTGTCAAAGAAATCTTGAAGCCGTCTCCCGCTGCCTGGTTCTGGTTCGGTGCTTCTTCTGGCATGATCCGGTTCATTGATGCGTTTCTCCCTCGGACGTTCTGGGTGAGCCTCAGTTATTTTATCAACGGGACTCTCGCTGACTCGTGATAGGACTGGATGTTTGGGCGTATGTTCGGCCTTGACCGGCTGCTTGGGACGGAGCCCGGTTCGTAAGACTGGCTGGAGAGACGATATCGTAACTAAGTTATATGTGATGGTCGAGTACATGCGTATTTTATCTAGGCAGAAATGAATATAATTTCTGATTTATCTACTTATATGAAACTAAAATGATGCCCGCTTCCATTAAGACAGCATCGGTATTCCAGATTAGCCAATTCGATTCTATATTCACGCTTAATTTCGTAAAAAAAGGGCTGTATACCGACAAATCTATCCCAAGCAAACTCTGAAGAGAAATCCATGCTGGAAATGACATCCCACGGAGCCCTAGTCGCATTTCCCTACGGTATGCTTGTCCTACATAAAACCTCCGATCTATCGAGCTTTTGACAGCAGTTTCAGTATCCTATGGCCTGGACGACGAAATTCCGGCCGGCAGAGCCGCACATGCAGATGTCTCGGAAGTGATACTCTGTGCCCAGTGCGAGCTGTGTAACGGTGATGGCTGCCTTGTTGATAGCCTGCAGGTGAGACGGATAGTTCCATAATTCCGTATTTCCTGCAGTCAGCGTCCGATACTATAGATAACTCATGTGGTACAAGCGGACCTCCGATACGCCGGTCCAGGGCGGATTCCAACACTTCCAGGCTCATGGCAGCCATTCTATGCATCATATCCTTTTTTTATGTTAATGTGCTCTGCTAGTATCTAACAATCCTCGAGAAGCGGGCAATTCCGGCCTAATCAGACCAAGGCAGCAGAATGGAGCCGTCAACTATCCCTCCTGTCTGGTACTACATCCTCACTATCCTTATTTTAAGTCTGGTATACTCGTACTTCCGATCATGGTATCGCCTTCGTGACTTCAGAGGCCCATGGCTCGCCAGCCTGACAGAGGCATGGCTATTTGGAAACACAACCAAAGGAGATCTCCACATGCGTCTGTATGAAGTTAACAAAGAATACGGTCCGTCTATCCAATACCTGATATATTCGCCTTTGCTAATACAGTAGATAGGAGATATGGCACGCATTGGCCCGAACTGGCTCGTTACCAGCGATCCAGACATCATCCGGTGCACGAGCGCAGCCAGATACAAGCACCGCAAGTCATCCTGGTATGCAGCTTTACAGGTCGATCCGTTCCTGCATAGTGTCTTTACAGAGACCAGTTTGGAAAAGCACGATCGGTTGCGAACCAAAGTGCAGCCTGGCGTACGCCTCCTACCTAACCCAAATCATCTCACCGATCTAACAGGTGAATAATCCAGTTCTCAATGAAAGAAAATCGCGATCTAGGCATTAAAATCGATTCCCAGATTGCATCGCTGGTAAGCCTAATCGAGCGCAAGTATATCTCCACGTCCAGCGATGTCCGTCCCATCGACCTGGCGCAAACAGCGCAGTATTGGGCATTGGATGTAATCACCAGCATCACCCTTGGCAATGCCTTTGGGTATTTAACAGAGGATAAGGACATGTACGACTTTATCGAGATCATCAAGGGCGAACTTCCGCTGGCGACTGCCTGCTCGAATACGCCTACCCTGGGGAAGCTTGTCTTTGGAACGGGGCTGCTGGCCTTGATGGGCTCAAATCCAGAGGATGATAAGGGTCGTGGCAAGTTAATGGGGTTAGTAGACCGATATTTGTGCTTTCTTAGTTTGTTACGGCGTCCTAACTGACTATAGTGTCGCCCAAAAAGTGGTCGAGGAGCGCTTTGGCCCTAATAAAGTCGTAAAGGACGACATGCTGGGCAGCTTCATCCGTAATGGACTTGACAAACGCCAGGCCGAGGCGGAGCTACTTGCAACAATGTTTGTCTCTTTGACCTCCAAGCATTTATTGAACTGACTTCTTTGCAGTGTAGCTGGATCAGACACCACAGCCACGGCCATCCGAGCAACCATGCTATATATCATGACGAACCCGCGCGTATACAACACTCTCATAAACGAGATTCAGTCTGCAGAACATAAAGGAAACATATCATCTCCCATTACATCCACAGAGTCACGGCAGATGCCCTACCTGCAGGCCGTGATAAAGGAAGGACTACGCATCCACCCTCCCATAACCGGTTTATTGACAAAGGTAGTAAACCCCGGCGGCGAGACCATAAAAGGCCGATTCGTTCCCGGGGGCACTGGCATTGGACACTGTGGATGGGGCATCCAGCGCCATGGAGTCTTCGGGGCCGACGTTGATGTCTTCCGGCCAGAGCGGTGGATTGAAGCGGATGATATCCGGCGACGGGAGATGGAGAGGACGCTGGATTTGGTCTTTGGGACTGGGAGATGGGGGTGTCTAGGAAAGGCAATTGTGTTGGTGGAGCTGGATAAGATATTCGTTGAGGTGAGTCAATCTCAGCTGTACTCTATATCTAACTAACTGGGTGTCTCATAGCTGCTTCGGAGATTCGACTTTGAGCTAATCTACCCAGGGTCACCGTGGAAGTCTGTCAACTTTACCTTGTTTCTGCAGAAGGAGATGTGGGTGCGTGTCACGGAGCGAGGGCAGGACTCTTCGGTGGATGGCTTGGATTAGGTTGCGAGGAGTAGTGATAGAGCTAGTCCTGGTCTTCAATACATTTCGTTTGTCAGTGTATGGTTATGCCTAGATTGTATTCTGGTTCCCTCCACGCATTCAAGGCCCATTTGGCTCTAATACGTAGTATTCATCCACTCTTTATGGTCTACACCTGGAGATTGTTGTATAACACACAAACGCAGAGTGCTTCTACTTGCTCTGCTAGAGCTCCTCCCAGTAGTATAGGCCGGTTAGAAATCTGGCAGTATCAGCAAAGGATTCTATATTGTCGATGTCTACTGAGCCCCCTGCCTATCCTACGACTATCAGGTGGTTCCGCTGCAACTCGATAGAATGACGGCATGGCCGGATGTAAGCACAAGCTCATTGGAATGCCATGAAACAACAAGCACTCCTATTAATATTTATCCATCGGTGCCTTGCAGGGGTCACACAGCGTAGTGTGCCTCGCCAAACTCCTGGGATCTATGCCATGGCCTCCTCGCCTCGTCGATGTCCTAACTATAGGACCGGGCGAAACCTCAATGATCCCGTAAATAGCCCACGGCACTTCCTTCAACTGGACGACACCGAGTAATCGAGACTAAAGGCTACTCGCATAGGTCATATCTGCGGACATGGCTTTGGCCCTTCGGAGATAAGACTGACGGGCGCTGGAACAGGGCAAAGTGCGGTCTTTGAAACTGGGGCTGTGAACTATCCTGTCACTTGCCCAAGAATAGTATATGCCCGTGAACGCCAGAGCTTAGTTGATACCTTATCCCTGCAAGCCACGCGAGTTCAGCAAGGCAGACACGCAGCCTCCCAGTTGGCTGACTGTACTGATCCGAATACTTCGCCTCGTGTTTCGAATCACCAGGCACAAGTTGCTTTTTTCTGACATTAGGACGCCGAACCATTGGCCAGTGAGCACAGGAAGAGTCAGCATTCTTCACGCGTCTTTCGTGAGCTCCTGTTGTTTGGGATGGGCAGAGCTACGTGAGTCTGTTTCAGCTGTCACTTGAATATAGAAACATGGCGGCGAATCATGAAGAATTGCACTTGTCTTACTGAACCATCTCCTATCCTGCTATCTACGAGCCTGAGCCTGAGATATCCGTGGGACTTTCCGGGCCAGCGCTGGCGACGCCTATATAAGGAGAAGCAACTGCCCTAGACCGCAATCAACAACACATAGACAGGAACAGCAGAAACAGCCTATTTCTCAGAATGATATCACTTTTCAGTTACCTGACACTGGCTGTCTTGCCAGCAGCCACTTTGGCTCTTCCATACCCTTTCAACATTGCAGCACGCACCCCAGCCCAGCATAACCTGACCTCTACCAGCATTATCACCCAACTTGGCCCAATGCTGTCCTCTGACGCTGCAATCTACGCACACAACGACGACCGGTGGGAAAACGCAACGTCTCGCTGGCAGTCCTATTCCAGCCCTGATTTTACTGTTGTCGTGGAGGCTGGGACCGAAAGCGATGTGCCCGTTATTGTACGCATACTTGTCCTCATCATATTCAGCCTTCTAATTGTTTACAGGTCAAGTACGCCAATTCCTATGGTATTCCCTTCCTTGCAGTCAACACCGGCCACGGCGCCCCAAAGTCTCTGGGCACTCTGCGCAATGGTATCGAGATTTCCATGCGGCAGCTGAACGAGATCACCATCGCCCAAGACGGAGAATCCGCATTCTTCGGCGGCGGTGTCTACAGTGAGCAGGTTATCCGTACTCTCTGGGACGAAGGATATGTTGCTGGTAAGGACCCCCTTGTTCCATCTAAGCTACTTCACCTAACATATAATACAAAGGCACCGGCAGCTGCGCGTGCGTAGGCATTATCGGCCCAACCCTCGGCGGAGGCCACGGCCGGTACCAAGGCTTCTACGGGCTGATAATCGACATGTTGATTTCGATGAACGTGGTTCTGGCCGATGGGTCGACAGTGACTGTGTCTAATAGCTCACACCCAGACCTCTGGTGGGCGATGCGCGGTGCAGGACATAACTTTGGCATTGTGACCAGCTTCGAGGCTGATATCCACCCGCGCACGGTGGACGAGTGGTATATCCACCGGTTTGTCTTTACGCAGGATAAACTGGAGGCGGTGTTTGAGATTGTCAATGCGCAGCAGATGGATGAAGATGCCCCTGTGGAACTGATGAACTATGGCGTTTTTACCTGGAATGCGGAGTTTAGTACAACTGAGGTACGACCACCCATTTTATATGCTGAACTTGTACTGACTGAATAGCCCATCCTGGAATTCTTCATCCACTATGTCGGCACCGCCAACGACGCTGCCCCATTCCTAGAGCCATACGAAGCCCTCGACCCCGTCGTCTCAACCGGGCAGTACCACCCCTACCCCGATGTTCCCGATGCAACAGGCACAGGCGTCCATAGCCCCATGTGCCAGCACGGAAAGACCAACATGCAATTCCCCTTTGGGCTGCTCGAGCACAATATCACCGCGACCCGGCAGATCTACGATTACTTTGCGAATGTCACGGCCGCGCAGCCGGTGTATAACCAGTCGATCGTGGTCTTTGAGGCCTACTCGCTGCAGGGCGTGCAGGCTGTTGATCCGGCGGAGTCGGCGTTTCCGCATCGTGCGGATAGGTTTCTTTGGTGAGCCTACTTACTTCTAAATATATCTGAAAATGCTCTAACATAACACCAGTGATGTCTTGATTACCTACGATCCAGATAGTTCACTTGATAACCGGGCCATCGCTATCGGAAAGCAGATCTCTAGACTCTGGGCAGAGGGCCAGCCAGGGCAGGAGGAGCACATCTATGTCAACTACGCCTTTGGGGATGAGCCTCTGGAGCAGGTGTATGGCTATGAGCCGTGGCGGCTGGACAGACTGCGTGCTGCCAAGGCGAGATACGATCCGAATAATATCTTTCGGTACTATAACCCTCTTGTGAGGTCTACCTGAACAATGGCTATGTACGGTGGGTCGATCTAGGGCAGACCTGTTGGAGTATAGGAATTGTCACTCGTTTTGTCAGTTTATACAGATTGAATTAGATTATAGAGATTGTCAATTGATTGTTTGATATTGGTATCCCAGTTTCGCACAAGAGATCTACAGTCGCAGTGGCTTGGACTCAATGACATCAGACTCAGGCCAGCCTGTCTATATTAGAATGTCATACTACAAGGATCGGAGTCCGCAGCATGCAGCGGACGTCAGCACAGGCAGCCAAACTCCGATAGATGAATAGCGGCTCAGACACATTCGGCATATTCGACGCACCTATCCCGAAATACGCCTCTCGCCATTGATCAGCAAGCCGGACTCGTCCTTCCCAGTTAATTCCGCGAAACGTAGTATCGAACCCAATCGGCAGACAATGACGTCGCACTCTTCTGCCGTCGATTTGTGTTCGGATACCCTGTCCAGACACGACAGCGAGCGCCTGGGCAGTTATGATTCTGGTGAAGATCTCTCGACTGTGTCCGCGATAACCAGCTCTCTAGTCTCTCCCCAGGCTACAGGTTCCCCGTCGAGCCCTATGACAGCGAGCTGCCAGCCCGCCAACGCAAGCCCAATGCGAGCCAACCCCCCCGCCACCAGGGGCGCTGCACAGGAAACCACCGTCGCTTCTGTCGGGCCATACGTATTCCAGACATCCCGCCCTTCACTCACAAGATAACTAGCCAGTTCTGAAGAACAAGCCTCCCCAACCAGTACCAACAGCCGGACACTCCTCAGAGCCTCCGCCGGCCACATCGCCGCCAGAGTCGAAACGGTCGGGACATCCGATAGTGTATCATAATTCAGCCCATTCTCGGAAATTGTAATATCACGCAGTTTATAGCCTGTGGATCATCCAACAGATCTAGACAATTATTTATGGCCATACTGAATACTGGCCGGTATGTGTATCTGACTCTCTGACACTTACTAACTGGTTGTGCCGACAAATAGTGTAAACCCCCCTGAGCTGTGCACTTCTGAGTATCTACGGGCTCTGATACTATTTATTAATTACTAAAATTAGTTAGTTAAATAAAGTTAGTTAAGCAACAGGGCTAAGTCTAGCTTATAATTTTAGCTTTTAATAAAAGTTAATCTTATGTATTACCGGTATTCCAGGGGGTTAGGGTTTAAAAAACTGTAGCTTAACGACAGATGACCTTCCACTACCTATTTTTCATAGAGAATACGTCACTTTCTAGTTGCTATAAATGTAAAGTTGCTCTACAATCTACTGTTCTTACCACCGAAGTATACAGTCCCGTTGGCTTCCTAGAAATCAAGTGATCCATCACTACACCCAGCAAGCACAACTTGACTGGGTATATAGCCTTAAATAACAAGAGATCTTTTTAATCTCTTCTAGTATTACGTTCTTATAAAGGTTATCGCCCGGGAATTTAAGATTTGAAAGATATATCTTTGTGCACATTTAGACCCAGAAGCCGCATCCTAATAATAATATGAGGTCTACCCGTAAAGCCAGCCTATACGATACTCAACGCGGTTTTGTGTCTGGCTAATCATAGGAACCTAACGCATTGACGTTCCAAAGGGGCGAAAGGATCCGGAATGATGCCTGGAATGTGCTGTTGCCAGTTCGATTTTGGCCATCAGTGAGGATTCTCCTGTGTTTACTAACTTCCATTGGCCTTAGGAATGTTTCGTGCTGGCTTTTTGCGCGCGTCAATGAATGCTTGTGTAACTGATGTGGCATCAGCCGCCGAAATCAGGGTATATAGCTACAGCTGTGCCTTTACTGACAGCTCATAGTTCTCTAGCTGTATAGCTAATTGATCTGACAACATGCGCTTCTCAATTGGACTGGAAAGACTGGCAACCTTCGCTACTATATGGCCAGGAATAGTCGGTGCTCGGTCTATCCCTGACTCCAAATCTTACTCCGATGATAACTGGGATGTAAACCCAGAGAACATCATCACGCGCGATGTCTGCGTTCTCAGCAGCAGTGCCTCCGGTATATACACCGCTATCTGTCTGCAAGAGCTAGGCTAGAGTATTACTCTTGTTAAGAAGCAGGACTATCTCAACAGACACACAAGAATATACTATAACCCAGGTATAGGTGTAATAATTAACTATAGCGTGTGGGTGTATAAGAATAAGAATAAAGTAATAAACTTCTTTGCGTGTTTTAATATCTCCCTGACTATCCAGGATTTCTCATGCATTATCCAAGTGAGTTAGAGATATGATCTTTAAATAGGGCAGGCTGTCTCACTATCTAATAGGAATGCCACGGACGTGATAGTCTATTATATAGAGCAGCTGTTGAAGTATCCTTATCTTTTAAATAGATAGGATCTTCCTGACGCTGTCCTAGTAGATCTGCTGCTTTTATTCCGTGACTTTATTATAAAGTATAATCTCGAGACTGTGGTGGAGATACTGATCCTTTATACGCAGGGGCTTAGAGGGGATATCCTGGACTATCCTATAGTATATATCATAAAATACTCTAGTCTGGGTGTACTCAGTAGTATATAGGGCGGGTTCTTGACAACTGTAAATCATAATAATAGAGAGCTGTACGCGGCGGTACAGGCGGAGCTTAAAGAGGATGCCCTACTAAATAGCAGTCATAGGCATGCAGCGAGAAGTTATCGGTTCCAAGCAGCATCATATCCTGGTCCGCACTGCAACCGGCGTGAAGCTTATCAAAGCTAATAACCTAATCGTGACTATCCCGCCTATATGTCTAGTCGGCGTATGCTCTTGCAAACACACATACTTTCTTAATGATCGTCTGTTACAGCCTATTCCCAGCATTGCCACAACTGCCCGCCGGGCCTTCTCGAATAAACTGGCATGTAGCCATGAGATGAAACATCTTGCCTTTGAGCTCTCGAGCAGACCCGGTGGAAAGACACCATCCCACGAATCGACTGCGGGCAACTGCGGTTGACTTGCGCAGCAGCCGTGAATGATATCGTGGCCGCAGGTATGCAACACCGCTGGAATTAAACCATTCCATCTTGTCAGTGTCTGGATGACACGGAGAATGAAGGAGAGGCAAGGCAGCATTCTCAAATATTTAGACAGATGTCTCGCAACACTGTCGGGATTCACATAGCCAACGCGTCATCTAGCCCGGGACGGGCAAGCCCCAACCCGAAGTATGCAGGGGTGAAGCGTGGTCAGTGGTCACACCATATACAAGTATCACTTGCACATTTGAGCTGGAACGTATGAGTCCTCCAACAGCAGCCCTGGCGCGGCGGGGACCAGTTTAGCGATTATGTATTCCATAATGATTCTAAGCACTCATTAAGATTGACAATCCGGCATACTTATCAGCAGCAGAATCTGTTCAGGCTAACTCTGCCCGTCCTGTTGCCATTAATTCACTCGGCGGTCTCTCCGTCGTTTGCGTTCTCTGATTATCGCTTGACAGTTGCGAAACCGTGCCTATTGTCTCTGCCTGAGACAGGCGTGTGTGGTGAGGATCTCTAAGCCCAAATGTAGGAAGAGGCGCCATCGCATCCCCGGGCTGGTTTGTCGCAGTGATTTCGCGAATCTCTTTCCGGCGACTTCTCCGCCGATATATTATGAAGGCTCCTATCAAGAAAGATAGCAACAGTACACCAAGTGGCACGCCGACGCCAATTCCAACTTTACTCGCTTTTGAGAGACCGTGGCTAGCATTGGAAGTCGGGGTGGTTGCTGGTTCTGAACTAAGGTCGGTCGCTGAAGGCGTGGAGCTTTCTGTTTCTGTTTCTGTTTCTGTTTCTGTCGTGTTGGCGAAATTGTACGAGACGGGCGATGGATCACTGGTATATCTCTTCGATACCCCAAAGAGAGCGCTTGTGATGTTATTGCCATACGACTCGAGCTCAGCAGTGAATGGCTGCAGTTTGAATTTACAGCCACTCTCCACGTAGCCCTTGCGGGTCGCCGTCCACACGTAACTCTTGTTGTTGGTTGCTTCCTCTTAAGTCGATTGTCAGATCTCGTGAATCCTGCAGCAGACATCGGATGGGATGGAGACGGTACCTTGTAATATGCGGTTCCTCTTGCCACAGCTCTCGTAGAGCGAGATCACAGGAGCATCGACAGTCCAGGTTATGTTGACCAGATCTGCGACTATGAACTTGTTTTCGGCTTTTGTCGGAAACGTGAATTTTCCTGACATCCTGGGGACATCAAGGTGAATTTTCTTTTAGTAGCCGGGGCCATATGATAGTGAAACAGGGGGGCATGAGATGGTGGGAAATGTGTGTGTGGGAAACGTGTGTCGCAAAAGGGGGCATCCTGCTCTGCTATAACAGATGGTAGGTACTTTTGATCCGCTAAACAGAAGAGAGCGCACGCACTATCCGGATTCTGGAGTCAGTCACTACTCATGAGCCCTGTCTAGTGGCTGAAACCAATGCATTGCTGGTCACTGTGGATATAACGGATCATCACGAGCATGCTAGAACGATTCCGCTATAAATACAAGTACCTAGGATTCGTTCACTATTAGGAAGCAAGAGATTGTAAGCATAAACAGATGCACATCAGAATACCAGCTTGTTGAAGTTGTTGTGGCGACCATCGAGCAGCGACAGCAAGAATCCGTGGGCGAGACCCATACTCCGTCGTATCCACTTGGGACAGTGGGGGTATAGTTCCTGTACTTACATCATTGGCAGCTAGAATTCACGAACAGGTAAGGATCTGACTCCAACTCTCCGGTCGCTTCCGCAGAGCCCTTACCCTCGCACGCATTGCCCTAAAACCCTTTAGGCATGGATGGCGACGAATTCCTCGATGTTGGGGGAAATTGGATGGATCTACGCTATGCATCTTGATCCTTGGCTATCCACTTCCGCCGTGGTGTGGTCGAATTCCTAATTCGGATATCTCCTGCTCCTGCGCAACCCCGTGGAGGTATGTGGATGTCTCTTCGTTATTCTGAAGGACTGCCGAACAAGATTCCACGTTACGCTGTTCAAACAGCTTACAGCTCGACAGTGGCAGGAGTACGACCATATCTAGTCAACCAAGTTAACTAAATAATGACCTACCTAAAGGGAACAGGGCATCTAGATATTCTGAAGGGTTTGAAAATATAGAATAGACAAATGATATTAAGTTGTTGAAGCTATTATACTACGTATTACATTATAAACACCCTGTAGTGGTCCTCTTGAAGGCCACACCTGGAAAAACTAACGCTCTGATCCAGCCTTGCTACATATGCAGCTTTCTCCCAAGACGCCTACCTACCAATTTTGGCTTACTGCTACCACCTTTTTACTTTACAGCCTGAACCTCACCTAGATCAAGCTTGCTATTCTTATCCGTATCAAACCTGTGCAGATTAGTAACAGCATTCTTGCGAAACTCGTACATATGTATACTCACGAATAAAAATGGTCGATGTAGGATTGGTACAAGCTGGGCGATACTGGATGTGCGCGGCCCAGATGCTCAGTCACCCATGCAATATACTCGCCCAAATCCAAGTCGCCTGAACTGTCGTCGTCGACTGACTGGAACAGACTGTCGATTTTATCAGCCCGCTCCATTAAAAATGGTAGGTCTCGCTTCCTGGAGCTCGTGAGTTCGGCAATCTATTTGCGAATAAGGTTGGGATTCTGTCTCTAGAACCTTGTTGAACAAATAAGGATAAAACATACCACAATTGCAACAGAAGGCATCGCATGGGCCTTTTCCGCAGCAGGGAGTAGCCACGGTACCATCTCCGCAGATCCATTGGCCATTGCTGCTCAAGTAGTTTCCCCAGACATAGATAAAGAGCTCATACCAGTATTTTATAAAGAGGTCTGCCTTATAGCTCGCGACGAAGTAGTTTACTATTATTATATTATATATCCAGGAAATACTAATATTATAAGGCGATAAGGGATCCACAAGCTATAACTAGTAGATTTAGTCAAGAGAGCAGATAAAGATAATACTTATATCTATAAACATGCTGCTAAAGAGATAGAGGTATATACTACAGAGAAAGTCTATACTATAAGAACTTATATAATAGCTATTTATTATACCCTAGATAGATACCTCTAGGAGTATTTCAGGTAGGATAATCTTTGGTATATAATTAGATAAGTCTGGGATAGTATTAAGTATATAGATTATCTATAAGAGCCTGTAGATATAGTACTAGTTAATTATATTTCACTAGTACTATTTTAGTATTATCGCAATTCCGGCATACTAGTAAGCCCAGATATTTTTCTCTAATATTACCAGGTGGTGTTCAGAAAGAGAGGTAAGGATTGCTTCGTCGCTGCGGGTGTCAAGGGGCTCGGCGGGTTTGAGCTGGTCTTAGAGCTCTTTAGGGATTTGGTACTTTACGTGGGTGGACATGGTGTTGGCTATAGAATGTGATCAAGCGTAGCTGACTGTATAACGTGTGGAGGAACAGAGAGACTGACTTGATAAGCACTTATCCTCTAAACCTAGCTAAAAGGTCCCATCTTCGCCAATGTCCGCCTGGTTGCTCCTTTTGCAACCACAGTCTTCTCCGTAGGTATAGCCGAACAGGCGAACCATCGTCTTCCTAGTAAATTGCACTGCTGGACTTCAAAATTATGTCAATGGAACGCATAGCAAGTCTGTATTTAGCCAGACAAAACTCAATGATAGACAAGCTAAACTATCTACCTTCCTTGTGCTCCCTCACTGCAGATTAGATAGAACTTGGTGTAGTCAGTAACACGTACCGCCAGTCCCCCACCATAGTTACAGACTAAAAGCCATACCACTTGAGCCTCACTTCCAAATATTAGGTCTTGTTCTGACTCTGCCACCTCCTCCTGTGTCTCTTGCCTACTACGCGCAAAGCGAAAGCTCTCCGCGAGGCTCTTGGACCCCAACCACCCTGGTTTGTAGCAGCCATTCTACTGGTAGATGGGAGGACACGAGCCCACGGGCCTGACGCAGCCTAACACATCTCTGCAAATTAGAGCAGTCATTTCTGACAGGGGTCCGCGTCTTTCCTGGCTTCGCCAATTTTCATCCACACCGCTACCTACGCGGCTGCGTTATACCTCCCTTTTCTTTCTCCATGGCCCCCTTTCTCTTCCCAAGAGTATCTACTCATCCGGCGTTGCACAACATTCCCCCTTTCAGAAGAGCTTCTGCCCTGGACACAGATTTGACCAGACATGAACGATCCTCGCTTTGATGCGTATACAGTCTGCTGGGTGACAACCCTAGATTGCGAGCTTGTTGCAGCACGACTGTGCCTGGATAAGCAGCATGCGGCCCTCCCGACTGACCGGCAAGACCCCAACAAGTACATTCTCGGGGAGATGGGGATACATAACGTTGTTATTGTATTTGCCCCGCAGGGTCAATATGGGATGGTACCTGCCTCAAATACAGTTACCAACGCGAGTCGAACGTTCCGGCAGATTCGGTGCGTTCTGTTGGTAGGAATTGGCGGCGGAGCTCCCGGAAAACCCGACAAATGGAACTCGATGATGGATATACGTCTTGGGGATGTAGTCGTGTCATGTCCAGATAAGAAAGAAGGTAAGCATGGTCCGTGGTGGACGGTGAACAACCGTTTTTTTTTTTTTTTTTCCTTTTTTTTGCGACAAGGCTGATCTGTAGGGAAAGGTGGTATTGTGCACTATGACGGTATTCAAGTCGCAGCACACGTCAATAAACCGCCGACGTGGCTTCTTAACAACGTGAAAGAGCTCAATTCGGAACATACGTTGGGAATAAGCATGATGAATAAGTATATCGCCCAGGCCCAGCAGAAAATGGGACAACGGAAGACCCAACAGAGCTACCAGTTCCCTGGTATACAATACGATAGGCTATTCAGATCTGACTCTCTGCATGTTGGCGATGGAAGCTGTACAGGTTGTGACGAGAGTGCAATCGATTGGAGTCGTCTGGATAGAGACGAACCATGTGTCCACTTTGGGTTGATTGGATCGGGGGCGAGGTCATGCGGTCAGCAGAAATGCGCGATCACCTGCGAAATGAGCGAAACATCTTGTGTTTTGAAACGGAGGCTGCTGGGTTAATGGACAACTTCCCCTGTCTGGTAATAAGGGGGATATCTGACTATGCAGACAGCCACAAGAATGACTTCTGGCAAGGATATGCAGCCATCACTTCTGCTGCATATGCAAAAGACCTGCTTCGCGTCATGAACGGGGGGAATGTTCAAAACGTTGAGCCTGTGGTCGCGGTGATTGAGAGATGTAAGATGCTTGTCTCTGCATAAGAGGAGTTCCATAAACTGTCACTGACCTCGGCTTTCTGTCTTGCTTTTGTTTGTTTTTCGACATTTAGTTTCTCAAGCCGTAGCATCAATCGAAGACAATGTATCTGCAATGAGAACAATCCACGACAAGGAGAAGAAGGACAAGATCCTGAGTTGGCTCTCTCCACTGACACACAGCGACGAGCAGACTGCGCACATGGACAAGAGGGCCGCCAACACTGGCAAATGGTTTTTAGAGTTAACTGAATTCCAAGAACTGGTCAATGGCTCCAACGTCACCGTCTACTGCCATGGGATTCCTGGGGGTGGCAAAAGCAGCCTGGTCTCTCTGGCCATCGATTACCTCTACAAGCTTCGGCGCCAGCGCGAGGGGCTGGGCATTGCGTATCTGTTTTTCAGTTTTGATCGCGGGACTATGCAGTCTCTGCCTAACCTAATCGCGGCTCTAGCAAAACAGTTTGCGATGCAGTTCCCTAGCCTGCCCCAGGTTGTCGAGGAGTTTTACGAGACGCACTCTAGCCAACAACGCCGTCCATCCATCCGAGAACTGATTCTATTGTTAAAGCAGTTGATCAATGGGTTCAAGACTAGCATTATCGTTCTCGATGCCCTTGACGAATGCATGGATTCCAGTGAAACCCTGGGCAAGTTTATGCAAATCCTCTTCCAGCTGCAGAATGAGAATAAGGAGATGGCAACGAATATTCTAGCCACTTCGAGGATTAATCATAATATCAAGACTCTGTTCAACAAGTCTCCCTACATCATCGAGATCCGTGCACGGGACGATGATCTTAGGGAATATCTTGACGCCGAACTAGAGACTGTCCAGCAGGATAAGCTTGACGGAGGTTTGCGGGAACAAGCTCGCGATAATATAATCCGTGCATCTGATGGAATGCAAGTTAGTCACTGCAGTTGTTAGTCTGTTCCACTCCAGCTGACAAGTTATTCCCTCCCTAGGTTCCTCGTTGCGCGGCTCTCTGTGAACCACGTTCGGACACTGCCCACGAAAGGACACATCCGGGATGCAATCAATAACCTATCCCACGGTCTACACGAGCTGGACCACTTATATTCCGCCGCTTTACGGAGGTTGGAGAACAAAGGGGAGCATACACGAGAGCTGGCGAAGCACATTCTGGCTTGGATTGTACACGTGAAAAGGCCTCTTGTGACCGAGGAGCTTCAGCACGCCCTTGCGATACGACCAGGAACCAACGCACTGGACAGAGAGCTTATCAGTGACTATTTTTCAAATATTGGGCATCTGCAATCGGTATGCGAAGGGCTGGTGGAGGTTGACAAGCACAATAACATCCGCCTGGCACATCACACGACATATGAATACTTTGGACGACTACAAGCCGACTGGATAACAACCGCCGAATCTCACGTCGCCAGGATGTGTTTAACGTACCTGTCATATGAAATATTTGGCAGAGACGTTGGTTCAGCCGAGTTGGACGGCAGAGCTCAGCTGATTGAATATCCATTCTATCAGTATTCCGCCCAGTACTGGGGGTATCATATCCGGAATGCTGCCCTGGATGGCAGTGACCTCGTCCTAAGCTTCCTCACAAACAAGAATAAATTTCGAACTAGCTGCGAGGCCATGTTAAGCCTCAAACACCCATTCCACGACGAGGAAATCGATGAGCTTGGACTGAGAGACGCTCCGGCACTCCATGTAGCGGCATGGTTTGGGCTCGAAGGGTCACTTCAACGCCTGATTAGTCTGGGGAGTGATCCAAATACCAAGGACTGGCGAGGAGGCACGCCACTTATTTGGGCGGCCATTGGTTCGCAGCAGTCCACTTTTAGCTCGTTACTGGGCAATGACCAAGTTGATGTAAACGCCTGCAATCTTGATGGGGCAACAGCATTGCACGAGGCAGTCAGCCAGGGACAAGAGAGTATGGTTCAGCTCTTGGTTGAAAGGAGCGATATCAATGTGAACCAAAGAGACATGTTCCAGGCCACGCCTCTTCATCTAGCTTGCATGCACAATCAGGTCGCAGTTGCCAGGATCATAGCGTCATCTGGCAAGGCAGCCCTAAACCTGCGGGATTGCGATGGCTGGACACCCTTGTTCTTGTCTGTCAGCAACAACGACGCCGACACGGCCAACGTGATTATTGAAGCTGGGGGCACCGAGATAAATTTCAGGGATGCGCACGGCCTACCGCCGCTTGTGGAGGCAGCGTATCGATGTTCAAATCTGGTCTTTGACCTGTTACTAAAAGTGGATGGAGTCGACGTTAATTTCGCAAGTGCCCGTAGTGGCACAGCATTGTATGCCGCAGCGATGCTTGGGCGTGAATATATTGTCACCCGTCTTCTAAATATGCCGGGAATTGATGTAAATCCAAGCGAGGAGATATTGATGACACCATTGATCGTGGCAATATTGATGGGCCATGTTCCCATCGTCAGGTTACTCCTGGATACCGGGAAGATTGATGTGAATGACACTAGCTGTTCTATCAGAACACCTCTTATGCGCGCGGCAGCTGCAGGACAAGAAATAATTACTCGGCTCCTATTACAGGAATACCACGCGGACGCTACGAGGCAGAGCACGGATGGGGCCACGGCACAGACAGTAGCAAGATTGCATGGCCACCTCTCTATTGCGAATATGTTGGAAGATTGGATTCAGAGCACTCGCCGGCCCAGAACGCCTGCCAATGGTGCTCATTTAACAGGCCGACTTGATAATATAGATGAGGAACATCGCTCCTCCGGGCCGGAAACCTACGAAGAAAGGAATGATATAAGCCAAGCTACGTCGCTTTGTCCTATTCAGAAACCGGATCTGACCTGGGAGCTTGTAAGGGCTATATTAAAAGGCAATACAGAAGATCTTGAGGTTCTCCTTAACCAGGGAGTAGGAGTGGACTATTCAATTGATGCACACGGAACCACTTTGCTCATGTTAGCCATCATAGCCAACCAGGCAGCGGTGGCTATTATCCTCCTCGAAAACCATGCAGATCCGAATATCACGGATTCCCGAGGGACAAGTCCACTGCATTTTGCTCTCAACACGAGAAACACGCAGCTGGCCCAGATCTTACTGAAGTACGGTGCCGACCCCAATGCGCGCCATGGCATGGGTCTGACACCACTAGCAGCTGCAATCGACTTTGAAAGCGCCCAAATGGTGACTTGCCTACTGGATAGCGGCGCCGATCCGTACGAGTGCGTGTTTCCAGGGCTCCCCCTCTTGGCTTTTGCTATAATGTTGAAAAATGAAGAAGTTGCCATGGCACTCCTCTCCCATGATCTGGTGGACCTTGGACTCCGAAACGAGCTGAATATAAGCCTTGCTGTGCTGGCATTGAAACAACGACGTGGCCCAGTTTTTAAGAAGATTTTCCGCGCATTATGTTCCTCGGGCGAAGGGCAGGTGGTATGAATGTACGTACGGCTGCTCGGATCTGCCACTTCAGGGATCATTGGCCTTGCATTGCTTACCTTGTATTTGCCCCCACAATGTATATTAGACGGCGCCTTGACATGACTCTGTCCCACTTGCCGATTTGACTCGTGGGACACGATAGGTAACCCTACGAAAAGTACATTCACGCGGCTCTATATTCGTACCTGTCTTTGGTTCCCTCTCACGCCCTCCTCAAACCAGATGTTCGTCCAAGCTCCCACCTTCGATTTCTGTTCTTGTTGGACACCCAAAACCACAGAGGAATCAGAGGAACCCTGCCATCTTATCATTTCTCATACTTAACAGTAGCTATATTATATATATATACCTGTAAAATAAGAACTACAGTACACACTATACTACTGTTAAATAATACTAATACTATTCGACCAACAGGCGAACAGGCTACTGCGCTTATTACTCTTAAACATTTCAAGTGCGCACTTAGCGGTGCCCCGTGCTCCAGCGTGGTCATACTTTAGCTGGAGATAGCGAAGCAACGCAGGCCGCTGGACAACAAGAAGGTGCCTCAAGCCTCGCACAACTGAAGCGGCATTATTGAGCCGGGAGTCGCTCCCCTGGCAGAAGAAATAGGACAAGATGGGCCGCGACATTTCCGTTGCCGGCAAAGCTACGTCTTCACCCGCTGGGAGCTGTACAGCCACATGGTTCAATGATCAATCACGGATCAGGAGACATCCAATCAAACGTGCCGACAGTCAGTTGAGCGGCCAGTCAATAATAGATTCATAGAGATGCCGCAATCCAACGGCTTAGAAAAATAATCGCGCAAGCTCCGCTCTGCTTGTGATACCTGCTACCTCGAAGACATAGGTGCTCTTGCAGGGTATGCTGGTACCTCATATTATCCACTATTTGGTTACTTCCAGTACATACGACCACAGGGTGTGGAAAACAGGGCTTCCCGTCCGCTCAGCCGTACTTAAGCCACACGCCGGCTGGTTAGTAGTATGGTGGGTGACCACATGCGAATCCCAGCTGTTGTATGTTTTTTTTTTTAATTATTTATTATTTATTCTTTACTCAGTGTTGTTTTGGTGGTAGGCTGGCTGGTAGCACAGACTTGGCGAGTGTAAAGCGGGACCTTGTTAGGGTTTGTATGATTTAAAGGTAACCGCGTAGGGCTTCGGAGTTATTGATTCAGATAGAGCACAAAGACGAGCCCACTAACTTGCCATGGCATTATCCAGCAGGATTAAATCAGGACATCTTGCTTCCCCTTTAAAATTTGCCCTCGAATTTCTAAAGGCCATCTCCAATTGCAAAGTCCGGTTCCGCTACATCGCGCCGGGGATTCGATTCCCTACAGTCTCTGAATCCCTAAGTTGGCCAATAACTAACTAACTGACTTTACTAGTTCGACACATAATCACCGGCGACGTCCACTATTCTGGAGCATCAGTGTCGACTTTATTACCTTTTAGTATTGGGGGTACGGATGGTGATAGTCTAACGGGGTGCCGTTGGAGTAAGCTCCTATATAGATAAAGACCCAGAGTCTCGTGATAACTACAAGGCTCTATACCAGGGCAGAATAATACATAGAACTACGAACTTTTATTTAGTATAGGTAGAACAGGTACTGAATAGCTGGGCTGATCGGATGAAGAAGAGGGATTGCGAGGCCAACGAGGATGGGGTCGCGGTCGGGATTGAAAAGTTCAGAGAAGCTAACACGGAGCATTGGCAGAAGTATTATATTCCACCGTCATGGTAGGTTGGATATCTCGAGACTCGAAATTATACGTAGTGCCCAACCAGGGCTGTTAGGTATAGACGTGCATAACATAACCTGACCCCTACGGTAGGACTACCTTGCCGGCCATTCATGGCAAATGTGTCATGTCCTATGTCAGTGTCGGTGGCAGAATCAAATTATAGAGAAAATGCATGTACGGCTTTCTTTGCCTGTCCTCCGAGGAATTGTGGTAGTTAGATGGGCGGCGACGTGCTATATCTATACTTCTAAAGGAGATATTAAATGTATATTTAATAAACTTTCAATATCTGAAGCAAGTGCTTCCCAAGTCTAGAAAAACCCCGGCTGTTCTCGACTAGGAAGCATAGCAGATTGGGTATATGTTAGGGGCAAGGCCCGGAACGAGCTGGTTGCGTACTAGATACACGATGGAATAGCTAAAGAATTAAGATACATGGCTGACAGGGACGGACACGTAGAATATATTATAGCTAACTGTTTCGTGCTTATATTACTTTAGTCAATCTATTATTAGTACTATTTCTCTAATATTTATTTTCTATACTAACTATATACTGAGAACTCCGGTGTATCCCGCATTATACTCTGTAGAATAATATCCATTAATAAATCTAAATCTAAATCAATCAGGGAATCTAAATTAATAATATCCTACTTCTGGGCGAAGAATAACTGTATATAAGACCCTGAAGACCCTGCTGAGTATAAAGATAAGGCTATTACAGCACTTACTCTTAGGTTTTATAATAAATAACTCTTTTCTCTTGTTCTTCAGCTTTATTAATTTCAGTTATAGAGTTATTTTAGAGGATTAGTCCACGCAAGCTGTGTTTTAGACATTGTTACTGTGGTCGCTTTTAACGTAATGACAGTGTTACATAGGGAGCGAGATGCGCAGTGGTCGCCAAGGGATCGGCTGTGGTTATCGGAGAGAAAAACAAACACACAGCAGGAGAGATGCAATTGGAAATATAGACATGCAATAGACGATGAGAGAGAGAGAGAGGAGGAAAGTCGTGTGAGGAACAGGATCGACTAAATCGAGTCCGATAAGCTCAGAACTGGCCATCGCCCAACATCCATGTTATACTCTGCCCCATGCACGAATCTATCAAGGATCGGAGCTCCGGTACCTCACGGACTCCGGACAGACTGGTGCCTATTGTCAGGGTACTAGAGCCTTGTGCTATAAAAGTATCTGGAAATAGACCTCTAACACCATCAATTAAACCTTCAACCAACTCACAATGGCCAACGCAAACGACATCTACGCAACCCCCGGCCCCTTCACCAAATTCCCTGGTGAAGGACTCCCTGATATCAGGCGGTTCATCACAACCCACAATGCCCAGGGCGAGGGCATCTTCCTCCCAACCGACAACGGCGACCATCAAGCCCTGATGGCCAACGGCCGGGGCGTCCAAAACATCATCTATAGCACCCACGGCGACGCAGTAGACCTTAACGACGAGGCGGACCTTGCATTCGCAAGAGATAACGCGGTTAGCCTCCTCTCTTTCTACCTTCACCTGCTTTCTCAGTACTTACCTTCCAGCCCGGCCTGCACGTCCCCGGCGGAACACTCCTGCGTATGATCGACTTCGGACCGGGCGTGGAATCGCCCCTGCACCGCGCGATGTCGGTAGACTACGGGACTGTAATTGAAGGCGAGTTCGAGGTTGAGTTGGACAGTGGCGAGAAGCGGATCATGCGTCGGGGTGATGTGCTGGTTCAGCGCGCGACTGTGCATAGATGGCGCAATGTCTCGCCTGATCGACCGGGAAGGATGCTTTTTGTCTTGCTGGATTGTAAACCGCTGAAGCCGATTAATGGGAGGGAGATTAAGGTCGAGCTGAATGAGTTGCAGGCGGATTTTCCGGATAATCTTTAGGGGGAGTATTAGAACTAGGATGGTTCTGTATATGGGAGATTGAATATATTACGATGATTTTATAGACAGTTCTGGTAATATTTATATGAGAATGCTAATGGCAGCCTTGATGGTAGCCTTAACTCCTAAATGCAGACTTAACAACAATGATAAACGCTCCTAAAATAATAAAAAACATTTAAAAATACTCAATACTCCGTGCGAATATCAGGGTCAACCTCCTTCAAGACTGCAACAATCTCCTTCCACAGCTTCTCTCGTGCCAGCACCAAGTCCGGCGCAGACACCATATTACCAGGACTGTCAATATTAGCATCATCCAACAATATCAAATAGAAAACGTACTCTCTAATAACCTGGTCCTCGAGCCACTGCCCATGACTCTCTGCTCCCTGCGTCACACCATGAACAAGCGTTTTGCTGCCCTCCTCGATCGTCCTCGCAACAACAGCCTGCACAATCTTGATCATGAACGGGATATTCTCCTCCCTCGACAGCAGATTCGACTTGCAGAATCCAGGAGCGACACAGTTCACAATAACAAGCGGATCCCCATTCTCGTCTCGCGGGACCAGTCGCGCCAGCTCCTTGGTGATATAAATGTCCAGCAGCTTCGTGATCGCATAGCGCTCTGTCGGACCAGCCAGAGCCTGGGACTTTTTCCACTCGTCGTGACTATTCAGCGCTTTGAGGATATTGTCAGCGTCGCGCTCGGGGAATCGCGCATTCTTGTGGATGTCGCTCGCAAGGAGCGTCAAGTGTGGCTGCGACGCAGGGTCTTGCTCTTTCGCTTGAAGCAGCAGCGGCAATAACTCCAGACTCAGAAGTGCGGTCGATAAATCGTTGACTTGTAGTCCTCGTTCCCATCCATCTCCTGTCGTCGCCCATTCTACCGATGCAAGACCTGCGTTCATGATTGCAAAGTCCAACCGGCCACCGGAGGCAACGTATTCACGCGCCCTGGCGGCGAAGGCCTTGACGCTAGCGAATGATTCCAGATCGATAGGCCACACGTGTACTCGGGAATCTCCGGCGACGATACCTGATGCGATATCCTTCTTTGCTTCAGCGCCCTTTGAAACACAGCGCACACCCAGAATGACATTGGCACCGAGGGTTAGGGCATGGCGGGCGGCTTCGCGACCCAGGCCAGTGTTTGCCCCGGTAATAAGGATAGTTTTTCCATTAAGAGCAGAGAATGGAGGGAGAGTAAGTCTTGTAAAGAAGCGGCTGTAGATGGCGCCCATGATGTCGGTCAGTGTCAGATAGATGTAGGAGGCTGAGTCTAACCGATATTAAATGCTTATAAGGTTGAAGCACGGTGCAATAAACCTCCCGGCGGACGAACATCCATCCGCTGTGACAAAGAGTGAATAAGAATAGCAATTCTGCTGCGGTGAGCCTGGTGAGACTTGTGTAACCCCCTGTGCAAGCTAACTCCGGCTGGTCCGTGGTTTGCCAGAGTATCCTCGTCATCTTAGGCTGAATGAGCCTGATCTACGTCTTATCAACCAGGATCAATACAGTTTCAGCCAGTCTGATGTGGGCTTGGGCTTGGGCTTAGGCTTATCTCTTTGTTTCGAACCAGACTTGACTTCCGTGGCCCTCCGGCACCAAGCTGACTACCTGATGCTTTGTTTGCTGCTTATGACTTGGCTGTGAATGGCAAGTGAAGTACTGGTGTTACTCCGTCCTGATTCCAGGGGACTGTAGGCAAATGGCTGAAACAGCGTGGTATTAAAAGGCTTCGATAAAGCAGCCGTGCCCTCTGCCAGCAGCAGTTGCGAAGGTCCATACTGTTAGTTTATTTGTTTGCTACAATGTCATCTACTGAAGTCATTCCGTCTTTTCCCTCGCAGACTCTCTCTCTGGGCGTGGAAAATAAAGAAGAACATAGCTCAACAGAGGCAATCCATCGCACCCTGAGCGTTACGCAGCCACCACGAGATGTCCATGGCGTTGCCTGGGTGCTTGTCGGTAAGTACAATTCATATATGTAGATACATGGCTAACCTGTTCAGTACTTTCGGTGTTTTCCTGCGTCTTCCTGTTTGCCCTAGACAACACTATAGTGGCCGATGTGCAGCCGGCAATCATCAATGAATTTGGCGACCTCACGATGCTGCCCTGGCTGTCAGTGGCCTTTCTACTTGGAGCTGCTAGTACACTGCTTGTTTGGTAAGAATCCCTTTCTCATTCTAGTATTGTCTAACGTAACTAGGAGCAAAGGATACGGCCAGTTCAACTGCAAGTGGCTGTATATCATCACCACCGCCATCTTCGAGGTCGGCTCAGCAGTGTGCGGTGCTGCGCCTAATATGAGCAGTCTCATTATCGGACGTGCCATATGCGGTCTCGGTGGCGCTGGCATGTATCTCGGCGTGATGACGATTCTGTCGATGCTCACTTCGCCAACGGAGCGGTCTATCTATATGGGACTGACTGGCATGGTCTGGGGGACCGGCACTGTGTAAGTATACTTATTCAGTATTATTTAGTTATTTGAGCCAATTTATTGTTCAAACCTAACTGTCTAGGCTTGGTCCCATCATCGGTGGCGCCTTCACCGACAGTCCAGCAACATGGCGCTGGGCCTTCTATATCAACCTCTGCATCGGCGGCCTCTTCGCCCCAGTATTCTTCTTCATGATCCCCAGCATCGACCCCCGGCCTGGCGCATCAGTCAAAGAACGCCTTGCCGAAATCGACTGGCTCGGCCCTGTTATCTTCATCGGCGCCTACGTCTCCGGCATCATGGCCATCTCCTTCGGCGGCGTGCTCTACCCCTGGAACGACAGCCGCATTATCGGCATGTTCGTCTGCTCTGGCGTCCTGTTCACTCTATTCTTCCTCCAGCAGGGCTTCACCGTATTCACCACCTACAGCGCCCGCATCTTCCCCATGCAGTACCTCAAAAGCAAAGAGATGGTCCTCCTCTTCATCGAAACTGCCGCCGCGGGGACATCCTGCTTCGTGCCCATCTACTTCATCCCGCTCTTCTTCCAGTTCGTGCGAGGCGACACCGCCCTCGATGCCGGGGTTCGTCTTCTCCCGTTCATCGTCCCGCTAGTTGTGTGTAATCTCGTCAACGGCCTCGCCATGTCCGCAATGGGCTACTACATGCCCTGGTACCTCCTCGGCGGAGTCCTAGTCATAGTCGGCGGAGTCCTCCTACGGATTACAGAGCTCTCAACAAGCCAAGCCCAGATCTACGGAGCTCTCGTCGTAGGCGGGATAGGCACAGGCGTGTTCTCCCAAGCCGGATTCGCCGTCGCACAGTCTCTTGTCCCTGCTAACGAGATCCCCATGGCTGTTGGATTCATCACATGCGCACAAGTCGGCGGTTCAGCCATCGCGCTCTCAATTGCCAATACGGTGTTTCTGAACCGTGCAACTACCCAGGCTGCTGCGTTGCTTCCCGGTGTGAGTGCGGACGGGATCCAGGCGTTGATATCGGGGGCGAATCATGCGCTTCTGGACTCTTTAGATGAGGCGCTTAGGTCGGATGTGCTTAGTGCTATTGTACGTGCCATTACGGATGCGTTTGTGCTGGATCTGACGGCAGGGTGTGTTGCGGTTGTGCTGGCGGTGTTTCTGAGGAGGACGAAGATTAGTTTCAATTCTGCTGCTATTGGGGGGATGTAACTGTGTAGCTGGATGTATGTCAGAGTGTCGATCAAAGCTATAGATAACTTAGGCCAGCTGCAGATGACCACATGGCAGGGGTATAGCGTATATCAAGTCAAGTATGCTTGTTGAATATCATATATCGGACTGTTTTTGCTTATTGCTCCTGCACTGAAGACACCGACGTCCTACCACTCCCTGTAATTGTAGGCCGATTGATAGCCCCTCGCGTTCTATACTCTGGTCCCTCTATTGGACTTATTGACGATCTCTCCATCGAGCTGCTATAGGCTGTAGAACGCCATCCCGACCTCCAGGTCACACCAAACAACCCGCCAGTCTCTTCACCGCTGGATTGCTGCAGCCTAGATTGCAACAATCATCTATCTTCATACAAACAGGACCGTAAGCCTCAATCGATATGCTATCTTCAGACTCTGCTCTGGACGGATTGGCAACCCTGAATAAGGCCAGCCGCTGCTTCCTCAGGATTGACGACCTCCTGCAGTCAGCGCCCATCGCGGAGGTGAATTACTGGTCGTCCGGCCTATTTGTCTTACTGGCGAGGCTCAGCGTAATCAGAGCCCCGCGTCCGTGATGGAGTACTTGAAGCTATGGCGATCCGTGAGAGTTGGCGCTGTTCAAGCTCCGTCTCACTGTCAGCCGCCACAGCTCTGGCAGCTATACTATATATTATACTTTCTAGCCATAGATAGATTGGCTGAGCCATCTACCAAAGTACTCTCGCGATGTCACTATTCTCATATTCATCCAAGGAGCGGATTCAGTCTGTTTTGGCTTGTACGCACTGCGCCAGGTCAAAGGCTAAATGTGACAGAAAGGTATGAGAATAATCACTACAGATTTACATAGCTAATCTCAACAGGTACCATGCACCAGGTGTGTAGACAGAAAGCTTGTCTGTGAAACTCGGCCACCCCGTCGCGGGCACGGACAGGGACACGGACACACTCGGTCAAACCACAGTTACAGCGATTCGAAAAGAAAACGGCCTCGCTCTAGAGATTATCATGGCCGGACGAGAGTGAGCTCGGATCCCTCAGCTTTTATGTTCGCCAGTGAGAATCATTTCTCCCACGACGGCTATATAGATATGGATTGGACGCTATTGGGCGACAGTTCTAGTGACCTACAAGCTGCACTTCAAGGCCCTCCTATTACTGCATCCTCTTCAAGTGGATATTCATTGTATCCTGATGAAGGGCCCGGATGTTATGCGCTCGAAGATTTACTCCCAGGGGACCACTTCCCCTTCAGCCCTTTTCCAGAACTGCCATCGCCAACACCCTATTTGACCAACTTGACAGACACAGACGGGTCTCTGTGTGATATTCCAAGCTCTATTACTGCAACGGACAATATATTGTCTCTGCAAGCGGCTGATATCCAACCCCAGGCCGAAGCCCTAGACGGCTGGCCAATATTCAAGTGCAATCCCATCGTCCCGTCAAGCGAATGCACGCCCACAGCTGCCCGGCATGTCAATAACCTCCAAACACTGCTCGAGAGCTGTACCGAGCCGATAGAAAATAGCGGACTGACCGAGTCGACTTCAGCGCTTGCTCCTCTTCTCGCTACCACCAGAGAACGACTCACTGCAGTCCTGCAGGGCCTATTCAACGAAGCCCAGCATGTATACAGTCTCCGCAATCGAGCCATCGAAACGAATACAGCATCAGGATATACTACCCCCAACCCCATAGGCCCTGGTCCATCCATCCTCCTCCTCCCCCCTCCCCCCGTGCTAGAATCTATCCTCCGATCCTGTCTCGTCGCATACTCACCATACTACCCCTTCATAACAAGCGCATCCAGCACCGTCAACAAGCGAATGGAAAGCAGTCGCCGCCCCATCCTGCCCAGTATATTCCTGCTCCTGATGCTGGCAGCCGGAGCCATGACGGTTGGAGCGGGCGAAACAAATAACCAGATGGCGCATGGGCTTGTTGAGATTTGTCGAATTTCCCTGCGCAGACAGATTGAGCAGGATGTGCAGCTGGCATTTGACCCTGAGGTGCTGGAGTGTGCGTTGTTGCTTACGATTGTGGCGGTTTGGAGTGGTGATAAATGGCAGATGGATGTAAGTGTGATCTTGTATTTGCTTGGGCTCTGCTGACATTGCGCTTCTCCTGCTTTTAGATTGCGATATGTCAAAAGGCGATGTTTCTTGAGGTGGGTAATATGAATTCCGTGCTGATATCTTAGTATTAACCTGTTATAGATGCATTCCCAGGCAGGATTCCAAGAGAACAGAGAGGCCCAACTGGCCAAGCTCAAGTCCACGGATGTTGCCCAGTGCTGCCAGGTATGGGAAGAGAATGAAAGGAAAAATAGGTACGGGCTTCATATACTAGGTTGTTCATTGCTAATGTAACAGAATCACGTATTCATGGCTCATCCTCGACCAGGAGATATGCCTGTCCCAAGACATCCCATCCACATCATATCTCTCCATCATCAACCTCGACGTCCCAATCCCAAGCGGCGATAGCAACTCGAGTCTAAATTCCGTTAAACGCTGGATGCAGGGCATATCACAGTCATCAGACCATGACCCCATCCCCCCATCACTCGACGAATATGTCCGCCAATTTCGAGAAACCAACGACGTCCACAGCATGCGCGATGTTTCACCAACATCTCTACGTCTACTGCTCTGCTACCTCCAAAACACAGTAGCCCATCTCCGCTGCAGCGTAGACAGAATCCCGGCCCCGGGTAAGAGCGAACGCCACAGAGCCGTCGGACAGACCTCGCTCGTCCTCCTCTCCGTCCAGTTCCAGGAGGTGCAGGAACTCTTGCATAAATGGTATATACTTGCCAGAGCACACAGTGCGTCCAATTCCACAGACGACGTCCCATCCATGCCGGATAGTGATGCCCGCGCATCCACCGCTAACATGATCTTGTACCATCTGATCATGCTCAACACCATGGTCAGTTTCCCCGAGATAGAGCGGATGGCGCGCATTGAGCCCGGATCACAAGTTCCAAAGCCGGGTCCCGCTCCCTGGAAACATCCATACCACTTGGAAAATACACGGGATATATACGTCCACTGCGGGCAGGTCCTGCGTCTTGTTCGCGGCACCCCAGAATCAAGTAGGCCGGTCTGGTGGGCTGGGGCTGTATACCGCGTTGCCTTGGTCGCGTGGGCGAATTCTCTCAACGATACCAAGGCTCAGTCTCAGTCTCAAGAGACCGTGGTGCTCGATGATCTACCACCAGAGCATCCGTCTATCCTGGCGTACTTGGATCATCAGTCTGAGCTTGTTCCCATGTTCTCTGATCCCAGCGGTACACTTGTTTCTTTGCATGTCCCGGTGGATATTATACACCACTGTGCTGGTGTGCTGGATTCAGATGTGCAGACGAAGTTCAGTATGGGGATTCAGCAGAAGTTGTTGAGTATGGCGCAGCGCTGGGGGAGGTTTACACATGGCTCTACCTGCGATTGAAACACCGATATACAAGAATACATCTGGTTTATTTATGGCTGCGACGCCAATAGAAAAAGATATTTTCAGTTACAAAATTGATTTCCTGCCTCTGTTTAACTTGTTGTTCTATACAGATACCGGCCCATACCAGGCCTCATTAGGGCTTCCCCTTGATACTTTACTACGCAATGAGATACACTTCCGTCGGACATACATATTATTTCGACACCACGTGCGCTGGTAATTCGATCACAGTGCAAGGCTGTAGACCTCGTTATTATTCCTCAATACAGTGGCGTTACGACCAGCCAGGATGCTCAGCCTGTTCTGAAGAATCAGCACGCGGCGTCCCCATCCACCAATCCACGAGCATTGATAAATCAACTGCAGCAGCTGTATCCTATAAAACCAGGGCTTGATCAGCTATCCATCTTGGCTTCCCCGCACGGCGCCAGCTGGTCGAGTGCAATAGGACAAGGCTGGACTTGGCCCTCCTTCTTCCAGTGCATGTAGCACAGTAAATGGAGGAAATACAGCAGACCAGCTATGTAACGACGAGGCTGAGTATAGACAAGAAATAATCAAACAATCAACATGCCAGGCTCCGCAACGAGGCTCAGCAGCCGTTTCATAAAAGGACAGCGCATAAGCAGCCGGACCTCTGATGGCTCCACGCGGGCCTCTGTGACGCGATCTCCCAGGAAAAGGGCAGTCGAGACCCTTCCTGCAGAGGATAGACAGAAGATAGACAGAGATGGATCCGGTATCGGCAGCGGGGACAGCAGCCCAGTTCCTCATGCTTGCTTACGCTGTTTCCTCGCGCATTACGAAATACTGCAGGGCCTCAGCCAACGTCCCCGTCATCTACCAGGACCTCTCGACGCAGATTCCCCTGCTGGCTGAGCTCTTTCGCAGTCTTGAGGGTGATCCTGCTGTCAATCCGGACCAGCGCCTGGAAGCCGTTATCAACGGCTGTATCCGGAATCTCACGACCCTGAACAAAATCCTGACCAAGGTTCTGCCTGAGAAGGGCGACTCGGTGGCATCACGAGTCCTCAAGGCTTTGAGGAGCGTCAACGCCGAGAATACCGCGAAGGAGTGCAAGGCTGAGCTCGAGAGCTACAAGACAACCCTAACCCTCTACCTGAGCACTCAGTCGTCCGTCAAGGCTGCTGCTGCTGCTGCTGCGCCCCCGGCCCCTCCCACGTACTACTACCTCCCCACCCTCGGACAAGGCCCAGCCAAGTTCGTCGGCCGAAAGGATACCCTTGAGGCCATCGACCGCGTCGTCAAAGCGCAAGGCAGAGACGCCGACACCAGGATCGCCGTCCTGCTGGGCATGGGCGGACAAGGCAAAACCAGCCTTGCGATAGAATACTGCAGACGCGAGAAGACACGCGCCCACTTTAAAACGATCCTGTGGATCAACAGTATCTCGACCCTTTCCATCCAGCGCAGCTTCGCAGAGATTGCAAAGAATATCCTCGCGCTATCCGGCGAGCAGAGAACGTTCGCCAATATCCAGGCCCAGATTACCTTTGTGCACGGCGTCGTCGAGAAACAGGGTGGGCACTGGCTGCTGGTGTTTGACAATTACGACTGGCCGCAGAAGGTCAAGAATATCCTCGAGTATACGCCTCCGAACTCGAATTCCACCTCCGGATCGTCGAGCGGTGCTGTTATCATGACGACGCGCCATGCGGATGTTGCGCCGCTGGGCACCCTCATCCCCGTCAACGGCATGAACGAGGCAGATGCGGTTGAATTGCTCTTGCAGCGCACCGGACACGCGCGCACAGTTGCTCATTTAACACAGGCTAGAGCTGTCGTCAGGGTCCTGGGATATCTACCGCTAGCCATTGACCAGAGCGCAGCCTACATTCGCTCGCGCAAGATTAGCCCGGAGGAGTTCTTGGATCACTACAAACACCGCAAGGAGAAGATCCTGAAGGATGTTCCCCATATCTGGGAGTATCAGCGGTCACTAGGAGAAGGGGAAGGGGGAACTGAAACTCCTCTCGGGGTATTCACGACCTGGGAGATGTCGTTCCTCCAGGCGCAGGAGCACAGTCCCATCGACGCCGACTCTCTCGGTCATTTCCTGAGTACCCTTGCATTCTTTGGTCCGTTGTATGTGCGGATGGAGATGTTCCAGGCCTACTTTGAGGGCATGCGCAGTACTTCCATTCCATCGTGGCTAAAGCCCTTTTCCAATGGTGCAACCTGGGACAAATTCGTATATCAAGACGTCGTCGTCTTCCTGGCTGATCTATCACTGATCCAGCATGTTTCCGGTGGCGATGACAACGATCTGAATGACGCTTCAGGCTTCTGTACGCTCTCACTTCATCCTCTCGTACGAGACTGGATTCAACTGCGCATCCCACCCAGCGAGAGACGGCAGCACAGCATCGAAGCCCTCCTCGTCCTCGACCACTACATCAAATCAGCCGGCATTGACTACCGCGACTGGACGCTGAAAGTGCGTCTCCAAGCGCTCTCTCATGTCGACGCCAGTCTCGAGCTCCAATGCACCTACGCTGCCAACTGGGCCGACGGGTCCAGTTACAACGAACTGCGTATTGCATTCAAGGCAATCTGCACGTTCTACACAGACAACGGACGCTACGACGAGGCAGAGCGAATCTGCAAAGACGTCCTCCTCGCGAGTATAAAAGCACAAGCGAGCTGGGAGAAAATCGCCTCAACAGAAGCCCAGCTCACCGACATCTTCCTCCTGCAGGGCCGCTACACCGAAGTCGAGGAAGCCCTAACTCGCCTCCTCAGCTCCAAGAGCAGCACAGAAACCGACAGCACAGCCGACCAGGGCCAGGTCCGCAAGACGAAGACAAAAGTCCACATGCTCAAGAACCTCGCACGCTCTCTCTTCAAGCAGGGCCGCTACGACGAGGCAGTGGCTATGTACCACGACGCCCTCCGCCAGCAAGCCCTCTTCCTCCCCAGCAACGACCTCGCCGTACTCAACACCCGCGAGCTCCTCGCGCAAGTCTACCGCAACCAGGGCCAGCACGAAAAGGCCATCGAGATCTACACCATGGTCCTAGACGCATACCGCGCATCAGGTCTCTCAAACCACCTCGAAGCTCTACACTGCATGGTGAACCTCGCGAATACATACCGCGCACAAGCACGCTACGACCTCGCCACGCAACTCTACCAAACAGCCAGCAGAGAAGTCTCCGCCAGACTGCACGCCGACCATCCCACAGCGCTATCCACGAAGCTATTCATGGCGATCAACCTCCGCGAACTCCAGCGCTACGACGAGGCAGAAGACGCCTTCCGCGACGTAATCGAGCGCTCTGCACGAGTCCTCGGCCTCCTCCATCCAGACACACTCAAGGCAACAATGAACTACGCCATCCTATGCGACCGCTCGGGCAAGACTCTCGAGGCGGAAGAGCTCTATCGCACGACGCTGGACGGGCGCGAGAAACGGCTCGGCGTGGATAACCCTTATACCCTGCGCACCGTCGAACGCCTGGTGAGTCTGCTCTGGAGCCAGGGACGCAGGGAGGAAGCACTGGCTATAACGACGCGGACACTTGCAGCGCAGAAAAGGAGGTCTCGCTCTGGTCCTCTGCCTCCGCTCTCGAGTGCGCCGGGGACGCCGACGGGGTCGACATTGGTATATGAAGATCCGGACTCAGATGCAGAGCTTGATCCTGCCGAACCCAAAGGCAAAACTGTGGCAAAGGCTCAGTACCACCCCATCGAAACGCTCTTCGAAGCTGCTGTAGCCCGGGACCTAGAAGCGCTGGACGCCGCGCACCGTGACCGTATCGAAACCCAGAAATCTCTTGCGGCTGTTTACTCCTCGCAGGGAAGGGTTGAGGAAGCGCAGCGTCTTGAGGGTCTCGCCCGGGACGGGGAGGAGCTTCTCAGGCAGAGACTGGGCGTGGAAGCTGTTGCAGCTAGTCGGCATCGCTTGGATTCTGATGTGACTCTTGTCCAGGGGGTTTCGGACTTGTTGGCGGATTCACCGATTGAGGATCCGTCGCCTCCTTATTCGGAGAAGGGAGAATGAGCTAGAGATTTGTGGGTGAGGGTAAGAAAGTGATATGGTAGGAAAAGGCAGGCTGGACAAATATGGGAAATGGAGCTGGAAATCCCATACATCTCGTTCATCATACTATACTTCAGGCTGTTCAGCATATTTTCCTATATACCATTGCGTAGACAGCAGCCCAGTGTTTTATAACATCCTATTAGCCAAAATATCACTCAACTACCTCCAGGACCCTCCCAACGTCTTCTTCTCTCCCTCGCACCCCGCAGGAACAGTATACTGCCGATTCGGATCACTCTCCCAAACAACATCTGCACCCGTCTTCTTCACAAACTTGTACTCAAAGCTCATCCCAACCGGCAGACTTATAGTCACGGTCCAAACCGGGTTTGCAGACGTATACGCATCCGCAGATAACTTCACAGCATTATCCGGATCCCAGTTCCCAAGCTGCGCTATAGACCCAACGAGATATATATTCTCCCCGTATACCGTCTGCACCTTCTCCTCAAACACAATCTGCAAAGCCGTTGCCGCCGCCGTCTCGGACACACAAGCCGTTTCTGTCGCCGTTGCAGTCGTAGTCGTAAGCGTACTCGTCGGCGTACTACTGCACAATCCACTCCCAGATACCCACGAGGCAGGGACAAGCGCGCGCGGAAGACCCGACGACATAGGCACGGGGATATTTCCGTTCGAGTCGACTTGCAGCGAGGAGCAGGTGTATAGCTCTACAAGCTTAGAGCCAGACGAGTACCCGTGGTTGCTGAGGTCGAATGTATACGAGCTACCGCGGGAGCCGTGGTTCGATAGCAGCGTGATAACCTGAGATCCTTGGGAGCCTTTGCGCATGGCGATGTGGTTTGTGTCGCTGTAGAATGGTGTATTCTAATAGATTACAATCAGTAGGCAATCAGAGTTAGATATCAGGGCTGGGATGATGTACCCGAGACGTAACATAGCCCGAATCATTATCAATAGCCAACTTGCGGGCCTTGTTCGTAGCGGCAATGAACTGGTACAGCTCGGACTGGCTAGAGTAGCCAGACCACCAGACAGGCTCGCGGTTATACGGATCCTCTCCGCCTGAGTAGTGCTGTTCCTGGCCGGCGTAGACGATTGGGATTCCGTCTGTCAGGAAGATGAAAGCGAGGACGTTCTTGGCCTGGGATATGTCGTCGGTGTAACTGGGGCTGTTAGCACAGGATTGCAAGGTTAGAAATCACGTACCTTGCGAACCGGGCATTATCATGATTCTCAATAAAACTACCCAGCAAAGTTGGATCCCTGCAGTTAGACGCAACGGAGTTTATCATGTTATACAAGTTTCCCATGCTTCCGCTAGAAGACTTAAAGGCTTCTCTGAGGGGATAGTATCTAGCTCCTAAGTTAGTCCTATCTTGAGATCACAGTAAAGAGTTGCATACATCGGATAGTTCATAACGCCGTCCATAATCGACGCCTGGTAGCCGCATGTGTACGCTGGGTCGCCGTTGAAGACTTCACCAACAGCATATACCCCTGCTGCCTGGACATATCCCGGCCAGAAGTCCTTTTCGACATGCTTGACAGTATCGATGCGTAGTCCGTCAACTGATCCTTGTTACCCTGAGAACTGTCTTTGATTATTGGCGTATCTTACTGGAGTACTCTGAAACAATATCCTTGATCCAATCATACCAGATACGGCGGACCTCGGAGTTCTGGGTATTCAGGTCCGTGAGCGACACTGTGTTGTCTCCCAGGTAACAGTTCTCGGACTGCCACTGATCGTCGTAGTTGTTGATCGGGCAGTACGAGTGGAAGTAGGAGGCTGAGTTGAATGGGGTGAAGATGCTGAAGTCGGTTGATCCCCCAGGACCGGCGTAGGCCTGTTAACGTTAAAAAACAATATAGGCAGTTGTTCTATTACACAGTTACCATATGGTTGGCCACGACATCAAGCATGAGGTACATCCCGCGGTCGTGAAGCGCCTTGGATAACGCCTTTATATCGTCTGCTGTCCCCAAGTGGGACTCAACGTTATATCTAGACTTCTTAGCTTGTATATGGAGAGTATCCAGGACTCGTACATATTCTTCTGCCAATAACCGTGGAATCCCGTTCCAAATGCAGTCGTCTCGGGAATCTGCTCGGTGATGGGTGTGATCCAAATTGCAGTGAATCCCATATCTTGGATATAATCAAGCTAGCAAAGGTCAAACCAGTCCGCTACTATCAAAGGGTCATTGACATACTTGGTTTATAATCCCTTGCCAGCTCCCACCGCAGTATGCCTGTTCTCAGTCAGCATCCACAAAAAGGATAAAGACAAAAGTAGCCACCCTTTGGCTAAGCTCACAAGGAGCAGTCGTCGACCCATCAGTCCGAGCAAAACGATCCGTCATGAGAAAGTAGATAGACTGGCTGCGCCATCCATCCGCATTCAAGGCCAGTGCTCCATTCCCAGCCAGAGCCCCAAATGCCATCAAAGTAGAGAGTCGCATGGCTGTAGCTGATGTCTATAGAATAACCACTGTTTCCGATATATTTCTACATTGGAAATGACCCTTTTATATCCTTTTTCCCACAGAGCATCCCCGCAGCAATGTTGGAAACCAGACTGATATTGGCGCCGGAGGTTACATAAATTGAACGTTGGCTGCCAATTAATGTCTACACTTATGACCAATCCAATTTCAATGCTGAGGATAGATTAGGGAGTCTCCAAGCTTATGAATATGCCAGATCTTCTAGGACCTATCGCTTTATCTAGCCAAACGGCTGTTCCCCGCAAAGCATGCATGACAGCTACGAGTTTGCCGGCAAGATCCGGTCCTGCAGAAGCCCAGGCACTGTATTTGTCCTATACTAACTAGATATTATAGAATAGGATAACGATCTAGTCCTAATAGGCGCGATCCTCCGGGGCAGGGATGGGGATGGGGACGGAAAATGGGTTCTAGACTGTTGTCTGATCACAGTATAAGCACATGAAGAGGCGCTTTCCTCGGCAGTTAACAGGTACACAGCGGGGAGATATCGGGGAAATGAGATTATTTGAATCGAAATAGCTGGGCAAATGCAGACTATCTACGATGTCGGTCCGACATATCATTAACTCTATATTAACTGGCCTTTTGAATAACGCCACGTCTGTTTCCGGCATTAGGTCCGTCTTATAGTGTACATATATAGCAATCGTCTAGTATGTATCTAAGGAGGACTATGGCTGTCTAGCCTCTACCCCCAGTCCATCCCATGCCGTAGCGTGAAGAAGTTTTGCCACAGTATCATTCCCTTCACTGAGAGCGGATTCTGCAAAGAAGCGTATCCTAGTGCTAGCAGGACAGTTGGTCTCGCTAGCATTGTATATCCGAGTTGATATGGCTGTTCGTTCATTCACAAAGACCTCGAGCACGCTTGCATCAAACAATGCTCGGATACGCAGCGTTTCTTCCACCTCTTCGTCATTAGTTCCCTGACTCGAGATATATGTGAATAAAGTATGAGGGCTGGTTTCAGGATCATGGTTGATTCCCCTGTGCGTATTCTGGATGTCCGGCCGGTGGATTTGGAATGTCTCGGATTCTGGATCCCAGAATAGAACAGTTTTGTAGTTTTCTATATGAATATAGCTTGTTAGAGGTGGTCCTTGACTGATATCAAGGAACTTACCGTGGTGAATCTCCAGCCCAACCCTCGTGCAAGTCTTGCCAACTGAAATCTCAGCATCGATTTCCCATCGAGCTGTGTTAAGCTCAAGATGATCATTCATATACTCCCCATTTTTATCTTCCAACACCAAATCACAAAGTTTACTCTCCTTCGCGCCCTCACGCAACTTCATACCCCGCGGATCAGGAGTAACCCCCAACGTCCGCACTGTATACGAACCACGATCATCTGGCGTCACCTCAATCGAAGTAATATCCTTCAAATCAGTTATACGCGCTCTCTTCACTCGGTGCATGGTCTGCAGCTTCATAACCCTCGGCAGCGAAATCAGCCCACTCCACCCCTGCTCTTTGCGAATATCGTCCGGCAGATCCTCCTCCGTGATCCAGCCAAACAACACCTGCTGCTGTGCAACAGGGTCCCAGAACGAGTTTGCGGCATAGAAGAGTCCGCTATCGAATATCCCACCGTAGGCATACTGCATTAACGCAGAAGACGACCGGTCAGCGCTGTTCTTAATGCACATCCACAACTGGGACCTTTGGATCCTGCGGTCTCTCGCAACAGCTTTTCTGTCTCTGTCCTTGCTATTATTGCTCTCTGGAATACATCCCTCAACACCCATAATAAGGAAATCCCGCGAAACGCCCTCGTCGTCTCTCAACGTCACCAGATTCGTAACCTCCCAGTTCACCCCGAAATCACCAGTCCATCGTGACGGCGCCATGTTGAGTCCAACATCTAGCAAGCTGCCAATATACGTCCATTTGCCCAGCTCGTTTCGCGGAACAGCGTACACGAATATCGTCGGGGTCTTTCCCACTATCCCGCCTGAGATGAAACCGTACATGATATCCTCCGAGGCAGCCGCATCCTGTGCGCGCGTCCTGACCGCCGCCGGGGCAGAGGACCAGGAGAATAGATACGGGTCTCGCCAGCCCGTTACCTGTATATCTGGTGGAGGTCTGTCCAGGATAGGGTTATGTGGATGTCTTTCCCAGGTACGTCCAGCGTCGCGGGAGAGCGCAACACTCAGTGTTTCGCACCCGGGTGTATAAGGGAGAGTATAATGGATAGGCAGCTTGCTAGCAGACGTGTAGATGTACATAAGCGTGCCATCAGCCTGTCCGTTTATGTTCGTTGGCTGGAAGCAGCCCGTGAATATGCCCTTGGAGTCATAGGGGGCATGCGGGACGAGGCATGGATCCGCGTCAACCTCCCAGGAGATGAGATCGTGTGATGTTGCGCGGCCCCAGGATATGTCGCCCCAGTCGTTGTCTTTGGGGTTCCATTGGAAGGCGAGATGGTATTTGCCTGTGGATGGGTCGTAGCCTGGACCGCAGGGGTCGTTCAGCCAGCTGTGGGGAGCTATGAGGTGGTATGTTGGCCTCCATCTGGTGAATGCAGGAGACTTGAGATCAGGTTGTTGTTTTGAAATGGCAAAGCTTGGTTTAAATGCTGGGGTGGTGGAGTTGGTGTTGGTGCTGGTGCTGGGTTTAGCCAGCTGGGGGGCCAATTGTGTGGTAACAGACATTGTGACAGTATTTCAAAGCAAAAGACGCGCGCATCTGGAATTTGAGAAAAGATATAGCCGGATTTAAGAAGGAGATACATATCGGTGAGGATGATGTCTGATATCGGGGCATCTCGGAGAAATACAGGAGAAACCGATAAGTCAGACTGGCGCCGAAGAGAAGCCGAGAACCACACAGCCCGATGAGCAGATCTCGGACGGAGGATTGCCGGAGAAACAGCTCGCGTGTTCAAGTGATTTTGCGGAGAAATTGGGGATCCAGAGAGCCACGAGGACTCTCCCCAGTGCGGCCTGACCTCGGACTGCTCGTCCCCCAGGTCATATAAAAAGACTATTCCCTGATGTCGGAAAGGCTGTGCTCAAGGTCTCTGCTCCAGACGAAGCAAGGCCGTTTTCGTGATCTTTGCAATTGCCGGAATATCTGAAATATCTGCAGTCCTGCTCTCATACAATGGCGTCTGAGAAAGTCGACCACGACATGGCTACAACTGAGAAGCCGGCGCAGAGCTGGCATATCGACGGCGTCGAAGCCCCCGGCAGCCAGACTGAGCCGGAGAAAGGCGCTGTCAATGCGCTCATGATCCTGGCGTGTATTGCCTTTGGGTCTGCTTCGTTCGTCTTTGGATTTGACGACAAGGTCATCTCTCCGCTGGCAGCCCTGAGCGAGTTTGTACGACCCCCTTCCCTTCGCCTTCTGATATGGCATCAAGCCCTAACCACCACCAGGTCCAAACATTCCAGGGCCCCAACCCCGTTGATGGCTCTCTCGTCCTGACTGCGCGTAACCAAAACCTGATCTTCTCTGTCCCTCTCGTTGGCTCCATCTTTGGCGGCATTCTCGCCTCGCCGTTGAACAACCATCTTGGCCGCAAGTGGCCTCTCATCGGCGCATACATCCTCTCCATTGGAGGCGGTTTTCTCCAGCTCTTCGCCAGGAACATCGCCGAGTTCGTCATCGGCCGGTTCCTGAACGCTATTGCCATTGGGATTGCCAATGCCACTGCGCCGCTCTATCTCTCTGAAGTCGTGCCCCCTTCTATGCGCGGCCGCAGCGTGACATCCATCAACATCCTGTCCATGGTGGCCGGCGTCATCTCAACCGTCACCGTCGACGCCACCCAGAAACTCTCTGACAGACGCCAGTACATGATCCCGCTGGCGATCCAATGCGCCCTCCCAGCCCTGATCCTCATCGTGACCATCACCCTCCCCGAAAGCCCCCAGTGGCTCATCAGCAAAGGCCGCGCAACAGAAGCCCACACCAACCTCCGCAAACTACGCGGCTTCTCAGACTTCCAAGTCGCCGACGAGCTGCGCGTCATGCAAGCCTGCGAGGACAACGAGCGCGCCCTCACATCAAACGTGCGCTTCTGGGAGATCTTCGACCGCGCAAACCTCAAGCGCACCCTGACAGCCGGCTCCTTCTACTCCCTCAACCAGATCTCCGGCATCATCCTCTCAACCACCTACACAACCGTCTTCCTGACCCAAATCGGCGTCGGCGACGCCTTCACCTTCACCGTCATCGCCTCCTGCTGCACCCTCGCCGGCACAATCGCCGCGCCCCTCGTCATCGACCGCGCCGGCCGCCGCCCAACAGCCTTCGTGGGCATGACTGTCCTCCTCCTCATCGACATCGCCGCCGGCGCACTCGCCTTCTACACCGACAAGAGCACAAGCATCGTCCTCGCAATTGCAGCCCTCGGCTTCATCTTCAACTTCTTCTGGGGCGCGGGGTTCTACTCCCTCTCCGCGCTGATGCCTGCTGAGATCGCAACTCCTAAACTGCGGAACCACACGATGGCGTATACCATTGCTTGCGCGCAGACCAGCGCCGTTATCACGACGTTTGCCGTGCCGCAGCTTACCTCTGCCGATGCGGCGAACCTCGGCGCGAAGACGTACCTTGTCTTTGCGGGCTGTATGGCTTGCGTTTTGGTGTTTGTGTACTTTTGCATGCCCGAGACGAAAGGGCGCACGTTTGCGGAGGTGGATGAGATGTATGATGCTAAGATTCCGATGTGGAAATGGCGAGGATATCAGACTAGTACGGGGGCGAAGCCTGCTGCTTCTAAAGATATGGGTGCGTAGAATAGCTTGTATATATACTTGACATATTTGGTATATTGAATATGTACACTACTATGACGAATCATAAATCATGCCCGTCCATACCTTCAACCCAGCCAAGAGACGCAAGGTTCGCTTTATACTGAGCGACGTAAGGATGGTTTCCGCCGCGCAGCGTTTGCATGAGCTTCATATAATGGCCTGCGAGCACTCTCATTGACTCGGACATCTGTAAACCACCCTCTGCACGACCTTGTTCAGTATGTGCCGTCAAAAGCGCACTGGTAGCGATGTTGTACAGTTTCTCAACCTGCGTCTGTTAGTCACAGCCTAAGGCGTGTAGCGGTGTACTTACAATCCCAACGCCATGCGCTTCAAGCGCACTAATCCGTAACAAACGGCATAATCTCAGTGCCTTTTCGGCATTCTGCTGTGCGTAACGGAAACTGAGTCCTGGATGTAAGGGATGTGGTTGGGAGGATAATAATCCATGGCTGAAGCACAAATTCCATACTCGGTCCTGGACCCATTTCTGCGTCACTAGTATATCAGCACACTGTGTCTCTGAGAGGAACACAAAGTCTCGTAAGATCCGGGCTTCGTTATTAATATCCTCCCCCTCTCCTCTTGACGACATACGCTGCGGCGTATTCGTGCTAATTGCCTGGTCATCGTTGTTAGTATTATTGCCCCCACTGAAACTGTTCCGTCGACTCTCGTCCAAATACTCCGGCTCAAACCGATCACTATTCCTCCCGCCACCTCTATACCGACTCGCATCGCTAACCCGAGCTAAATTTTGGTATATACTCAACGCCTTAGCCTCAGTCAGGATGTGGCATTTCCCGTCCCCGTGCTTAGTCGAGACATTGCACCGCGCGTTCCAGCAAATGAGGATATCCTCGTCAATGGCATCGAAGATCTCCATTAGCAGAGCGAGACCTATCATCCCCGCGGCGTCTTTTTCCGTATGCACGATTATGCCGGAGACGAGGCGCTGCGTTGCGTTTCGGATTTCGTCGGCTGCGCGGATGATGTCGAGGGGGCGGCCTGTGAAGCTGATGGGATGTTGGCGCTGGAGGGCATAGGCTCTGTTCCTTGGTTAGTCACTTCGACTGGGGTAGGTAATATCACTCTTTTAGAAAGGCGGGGGGGGGCACCTTTCTGTCACAGACAAAACCAGATACGTCCTCAGCCACAGCCCCTTCTCCTCCGTGGAGCAGTCGGCATACGTCGCGGGATTGTTCAGGCCTAAAGTGGACGCAAGATCCATGGCTTCGCGAAGCCGGAGTCGCGCTGCATTATGCTGGTTGCTTCCGAATAGATACCCGAATAGAAAGAAACTGGATAAGACGGCTTCGATGGATGGATTCTCGCCAAAATCGGACGAGGTTCGCATCCGCGTTGCTTCAGTTACTAGCACCTTGGCCTGGTCCGCACGAGATGAGGACGTCGGACGTTCGCTGATATCTATCGGCTGCGTGAGTGAAAAGGCGCAAAGAGAAAGAATCATTGCGCCGAATTGGGGATTACGGCGGTGTTCTTGTTGGACGATCCGCGTGAAGAGAGAGGATCGGTTGAGAACTGGGAGAGTCGGGTGCAGTCGGTCGAAATATACATCTATCCAGGGAATGATACTGGGCTCGTTGATATATGACGGCCAGAATTCGGTCTGCAGTGTACCAACCTCCCCCGCATGACGCACGCCCATGAGATTGTCATTTGGCATAAACGGCGCGGAATTGCCGAGTCCAACATCAACATTCTCGTCAATTATAGGCGGCAGACTCTGCTTAACAAAGATATTGCTACCCTGGAAACCAAAGGATGGATAAGGATGTGAGCTGAAGCTGTCCGGCAGCCAGTACTCGAGGTCAGCGGCTCCATTCCAAGCCGGTGCAGCAGGGGCAGCACTGCCCAAGAGAGAATTATCGTAGTCCTTTCTAGACGGATCACTGTAGTGACTCGCCTGCTGATGCTGGTCCGATTGCGGCAAAAGGACTTGACCTCCCGCTCCAGAATCCAGTTGGTTTGGACTCAAAGACGGCACAGTAGGTGGAGCATGAGGTTCAGTCTCGGTCAAAAAGGTCAAATCAGCCCTACTTCCAGACCCCCTGGACTGATCCTGCTGCTGTCGAATTTGCGACACCCGGCTTTCTGGCATTAACACGCTGCTCTCTAGCAGAAGACAAGGAAACGATACACTTACTGGGCAGGAGGACCGCGCTTCTTCTGCGGTCTTAAAAATGTGCACTCAAACCCCATTGAAACACATAGTCCGCACGGCCGAGATAGACTGCACTGTATACACCTTTCTAAGCAATGTCCCACGCGGTTGGCGCATGTATAAGGATGTGTCTTACCCTGGTCTTGCGCAGCCTACATTGATCGCAGGCCCGGGTGGCGCATTTTGCAGGCGACTGCACGCTGGGGCTGCGGGTGTGGCTGGATGGCGGGCCCATTTCCAGCACTCGCTGCGGCGATATTCTTGATTCGAATGCCTCAGATGCCGGTCATTGGGGCCAATGCCATCATCTACTCACTCACTCGGACTGTGACGCCGTCCGGAGAAATGCAAGTCAGGTGACTTCCGCAGTCGATTTACGCTAGCCTATTGTGGATTGCCCCGGCCGCTTTATCTGGGGCCGACCACGGACAATTTGGTGTAGAAACTGGGCTGAAAATGATCTATTTGATTGAAATCCAGTATGCATAGGTACACTCGTCCATACATACATCAACTCCACGAAACACAACTAATCCAAGATCCAGGATCCATAGTATAAACGCCGCCCGTTCAACACCGGTGGATAAGAAAGAAAGGAAAATTAAGAAACAAGACGATCTAAACGAGCGGACGCGTCGTCCAGCAGTTACTCGGGAGTAAAGAAGCTCGATCAACCAGGTTCTGGAAGTCTTACCCCAACGAGAGCATCGAACTGGGCTCAAATCAGATGCAAGTGGCTGTACAGTACAGGCAAAACAAGGGTAGAAGGGTCATCACTGCATTAAACAAAAGAAAGTGTGCTGGATGAATCACGGGGCAAGAAAGGACAAGTCTCAACAAGGGTGCAGCAGCGCAAGGAAATGCATCAGTGCCCATGCCTTGCATGGTCTTTCGCTCTCAGAATGTATACCACCCAACCTTAACTCCAAGAAATGACTTAATTATTATATTGTCGAAGGGGGGTTTCGAGGCCGAGGCCAATAAGAAACCCAAGAAAAGTTCAAACTGACTTTTGCGGGTCAACCGTCAAAAGGGGGATATCACACCGGCCGCATATCCAAAGGTTGCAGCTGTTTTGCAGGATTATGAGATTATGCATCGTAGCGGAATGAGTGGCGCGCCCAAACCTAGGGCAGTTCTAAGTCAAGTTTTACCTCAGGTTCCGAATCACCTTTCTTCCTCGTGCCAGGAAGGGACTGGGCATTTCATCCCGTTCGGGGTCCCAGACTGCGGGAGGTTCACGATCAGAGGAAGACTTCAATGGGGCAGCACAGGCTCCGACACGCGGATCGCTGCTGCAGCGTTTGACTTCATCCATCGGACGGCCGCCTGCGCGTGCTTGAGCAAGCTCCACCAGCGTCCTGCCGCCCATGTTGCGCTGCATTACAGCCTTGAACATCTCCTCGCCACCACCGTTCGACTTGGTCGGGCTCGTTCTCATACCACTCTTGCGAGTCGGCGATCCCGCATCAGCAGCCAGGTTGGCCGACGATGGAATCTTTGACAACCGCCGATGGGGTGACCGCGATTTCGATTCCCTCTGACGGTCGTCAGGTTGGCCGGAGCCTGAGACCTGGGGTAGTCTTGAAGAGTTGGCAGGGAAGATGGGAGGCTGGGTACTGAGCTTCTGCATTAATGCGGTCGTGTTTTGACGAAGGAGAGGGCGAGACGGGGCCTTGAAAGGATCAGGCTTAACCTTCGGACGAGTAGGCGACGGGAGTTCGGGTGTGTCATCTTCATCGTCCGATGTCATTGTTGGTTCGAACTTGGGCCGTTTCCTTTCGCCTTCGGCAAAGATATTCTTGCCAGAGTAGGTGTTTGAGGTGCGTCGTGGAGACAAAGAAAGGGACGCGATCGATATGGGAGATGGCTCTGCCATCTGAACGTCCATTGGGGAATCAACAACCGTTTTCGAGCGAGTAAACGGGGTGCGTGACTCCTTCTTCTGGGGTCGGCTGCCCCTGCTCGAGGGCGACTCAATTGACAGCTGACTGATGTCTGTACTTGAAGGATAGTCCGAGTCTTCACTGTTGCTGGCAGAAGTTTGGGATCCGTGGGCGCTAGAATGAAGGCTGATGTCCTCGCGGAAATTGACGGTTCGTCTTTGTTTCTCGACTTCTTGGGAAACGCGGTCCTGGACCTCACAATCAAACCTCTTGCGAAGTTTGTCCAACTCGCTTTGGACTTGGCGGTCAATCTCCAACCTCGCCTTCACTTCCCATTCCCGCCGGATGGAATTCTCAAGGTCGGCTCGAATTTGCTGCTTCTCCTTTTCGAGCTTCGCAAAACCTTGCTCCACATCCTTTGCCTTTTGTAGAGTGGCTTCTTCCCTCTTCCTTACCGTTCTGGATAGGCTGCTAAGCTCAACCTCCTTCCGCATCAGGCGAATGACGGGCGTGTTGATCAAAGACGCCGTATCGGGGCGGTGGTCGGGGTTGACACGGAGACAGCTCGCGATGACATTCTTCAGCTCTGAGGAATAGAAATCAGGCAATGGGGCAAATTTCCCCTCGCGGATCTTCTGGACGAGCTGAATGTGCGTACGCGCATTGAAAGGTGGCTCTCGCTGGCAAAGTTCGTACATAATACAGCCCACGGCCCAAATGTCAGATCGCAACGTGTATTTCTCGGCCGCGCATATCTCCGGTGACATGTAAAATGGAGTTCCCACATAGGTCGAGGCAAAATCGTGAGAGTTCATCAATTTGGACAGGCCAAAATCACCTAGCTTAACAGCGTTGTCTGAACCCAGGAATATATTTTCGGGCTTCAGATCACGATGCAGAATAGTCATCTGAGCTTGCTTGCCTTTGAGGCCAGAGGGCTTCGCAGCTGGCCCCAGCAAGTTTGACCCAACATCTGCCGGATCTGAACCATAGTGACAGCGGTATAGGGCGGTCACGAGCTGGGACAGGATCCGCCAGACGAAGTCCTCCTCAGCGTATTTGTTTGTTCGCTTCAGATTCTTGATGACCATGCTCAGGTCCCCACCACCGCAGTACTCCATGTAAAGGTACAAGTCCTGACTTGCTTTGAGGTGCTCGCGGTGGTAGTAGGCGACGATGTTTGGATGCCGAAGAGAGCTAAGGATGTTGAATTCGGCCGTCAACTGCTCCCTCTCTTTCTGCGACATCTTGATGTAATTGATTTCTTTCCGACACAGTATCTGATACGAGCTTCTTGTAAGTTTCTTGCTAGCACCAGGGGTTGGCGGGTTTCCTTACGAAGCCATCTGTTTTCCGCTTGACTTTGCGAATGATCCCGAAGGAACCGCAACCTGAACAACGATAGTTAGAACGACGGCTCCAACATCATCCTTTACAGAGGGCGACGGAAGCAAGTACCAATTTTCTCCAGCACTTCATACTTGTCTGCCTCGGCCAGTGCAATTGCCATTGCGGCTGCTTAGGAGGAATCGAGAGTCGCTAGGTGGGATGTAGGCAATTAAACAGAAAAATAATAGAGGAATGGACAACAGGGGTTCCTGGGTCATTGACGACTCGTTCCGGATGTGGCGATTCCTGTTATGTTAGTAGTTTCAGAGCTCAGATTGTATCATGGAGAAGGTTGAAGCTTTCGAGAAGTCACGGTATGGAACGGCGTGGAGGAAAGCGAATGTTTAGAGCGGATCCTGTTGCTGAGCAACCGAGCGCTAACGAGGTACTATCTGCATCTGGCAGGCGGTGGGACCCCCAGGCGGTGTTGGCGGAGATCACCCGTTCATCCCCCTCGACCTTCAATAGCATATTCCTGCATCCCTTCTTGCATGTACACCGCGGTCTTCAGGGGCCCAATTATTAGTCCAACACATCTGCACTTCACAATATAGATGAATGCGATAGACTTTCCCGGCATGTCCTTACCAGGGGAACCTCCAAGAATCATCCAAACAGGCCCGCGTTTAATTGTCATGTGACCATGCTTATCGATAAGGGAGCCCGCGATCGTCTGGTCCCGCATGTGTTCTTATCCTCCGCCACCACCAAGCAAGACGCAGCTTCTTCACAATGGGAGACAACACAGTTCTGCGCAAGGATCAACTGGAAATCAGCTTGCACAATGAGAAGAAGCTGATCAAGGAGGGAGCCATTATTGATGACAACCCTCTCGACCTCAGCGAACCTTTTCGGCAACTCTGCGAGTCGTGTCGTAAGGGGGACCTTAAGGTTTGTCAAGAAAAGATCACTGAGGGGGTCAATATCAATGCACGGGATCATTATGATTACACCCCCTTGATTCTGGTCAGTGACTTCCGTGTTGTCTGTGTCGTCCAAGCTGGATCAAGTAGTAACTGATAAGCGCTTAGGCGAGTCTTTGTGGCCACTACGAGGTCGCCCAGCTACTGCTAGAGTCCGGTGCTCTATGTGAACGAGATACCTTCCAGGGTGAAAGGTGCTTTAAAACCAATATTATCTCCGGTCCGGTTATTCCCAGAGTCTCGCTAACTTAGCCGTCTCTCAATAGATGCTTATATAATGCATTGAACGACCGCATAAGGAATCTGCTGCTCGAATACGATTATTCGAAATCTACCGATCCTCTCCAACCTCTTGCTGCCCATACAGCTTCGCTCCTGGTGCGGGAACAGCCCAAAACGTCAGATATAGAGGTGGCTACAGGCGAAGAAACTCTGTACTTGCATAAATTCATTCTGGCCGCTCGATCACCATATTTCTATCAAAAATTACAGGCTTCTCCCGAAACAACTACGTGGAAGCTCCCCAGTACCATTCCACCCCAAGCCTTTGGCACGGCGATCAAATACCTATACTTGGGAGAGCCTCCTCGGGATTTAAGAAGCGGTCCCGGGACAGGGTTTACTGAATCCGAAGTCTTTGCTGGAATCGACAAGATAGCCAAATATTTGGAAATTAACAGTCTCGTTGACAGCATAATCGACGCCGGTGACAGAAGACTGGCACGCCAAAGGAGAACGACAGAGATTGCGCGGGGGCGAGACCAGCTCGAAGGATGGTTCCGAGAAAATGTCCTCAAGCATAAGATAGAGATCGAGACGTCGAAGGTCGGTGAAGTGAAATGGGATCATAACAACCCGGTCTTTGCAGATGTCTTGCTACAGGCAGACGAGATTTTCGAGGATGACCTTGACGGTGAAACTACCGGTACGACTGGAGCTTCTGAAGCTAGGTCTATTCTGTTTCCGTGCCATCGGGCGATGCTACTGCGATCCGAGTTCTTTCAGACCATGTTCAATTCACCCTTCCGCGAGGCCCATATGAAGGAACATTTGCACATCATTCCCGTCGATTGCTCACCAGACGTGCTGGAAATCATCTTGACCTTCCTTTACGCCGAAAGAGCAGACTTCCCTCTTGATATTGCGGTCGAAGTGCTATTCGCGGCGGATATGCTCTTTATCGAGAAGCTCAAGACCAAGGCCGCCGTTTTGATTAGTACGCTCGGTAGTGGTAATATGTCACAAGCGGAAGCTACAAGGACCAAGGGAGATGTGGACGACGACATTGATATTTACGGCATTATCCGTGCCGGGTGGATGACGCGAGTTCAGCGGCTAGAGGAATTCGCTGCTCGCTATTTGGCCTACCGTCTCGAGGCGTATATAGATTCGCCGGAGTTTGCAGAGCTGATCCAGGAGTCAGCATCCCGTATCCAGGGACGACAAGAGACCGATTCTATTGAGTTGTTAGATGATATCCGGTTTTATCTCAACGAGCGGTTTAGGCTACGGTTTGACGATGCCGGAATTGAAGAGATGATGGAGGAAACGGCACAGCAGCAAGCTGCGGACCAAAAGCTTGGTGACGAAGGCATCGAGAAGGTCACCAGCGGAGTCGAAGAAATTCATATCTCGTCAAACGGTCATCCACATCCTGATGGTGAAGGATTGCCTGAACGTCTGGCGCCCGCGCCAGCGAACGGACAGAACCATGGCTCCATCATCAAGACATTGGACGGTGCGGTTGTGGAAGATGAAATCAGCAAAGATGCAATAAACTACCAGATTTTGATGGAGAAGCTTGACCAGATTCTGGAGAGCTTGAACTTGGACGCATAGACGGCTACGGATCCCGAACGGTATCTACAAAACACGAGTTGACGATTGACGACCTAACGCAGGGTATATATATATATACATACATATGGTCCCAACGAAGATAAAAACATATAGAGAGCGGTAGAACACGGTATATTGGATATTCAGTACACACAAAGATACAATCCTGGGCTTTCTGGCGAGCAGCACAACATCAACACACACTATATATATATATATACACACATATATGATTCAATCCAGATTTCACTATTCAAGTTGATTGCATCCCAATACAAGGGTCTCATTACAAGGCAACATCAGATCAATTCTCAAGGCACACTACGCTTTGAGGGAGTCAAGTCTCTTCACAATCACACGCCATTCGACCTGCGCCATCAAAACGGGTCCTGAGGGATCCCACGGTATTGAGAGGTCACAAGGCAAAAACCCTCAACGAACAGCACATCGATCGGGTCAACGGATGTTTCATACACTACGGACAGATTAATATTTATGGATAAGCGTGTTGACGAATTCAGGTTTTTGTTGCGCTGCTATTGACTGGGAACAGGGAAAGCTGCACCCCCCCAAACGTGCTCTCCAGGAGCAACAATTCCAGCATGCGCCCCGGCCCGCAGGGCCAGTGCGACACTCCTGAGGCCGCTAGTACATGCAGTCCTATTGTTATTTGATCATCCTCTGGACAAGGCGAAGTCAAACAATTTCAAAGTTTGACCAGACGGGGGTCAGAGCCGTGAATTTTTCGTTGCTGAGGCATTGACCGTAAGCGCAGACACCCCTGCGACTAGAAGTGTCGCAGCGAGGTGTGACTCAGGCATCACGATGCAAGAGGTTGTGACAGAAAAGAAGACTATGCATAATTGCGCTGGCAGCATCTCAGACCCCGTTGCTGCCCATGCAGCTTCAAAGCAATTATCCAGATCCCTCGACGAGCCATCAGGGCGAGTTTACGTGAGTCAATCTGCCATGCAAGGCGCGCGAGCAGCAAGAGCAGTGTCCAGAAACCACTTGCATCCGACGGAGGATCACGTAAAGATGTCCCACGCCTCCAGAATTTGACTTTTACTTTTCCGACGTGTATGGGTTTGAGCGTGTGGGCAGTGTTACGGTGTGCTCACGGTGTGGGATGGCAGACTCGAACCCTGGGAGGCCTGCACAGCCAACCAACATCCAACACTTACGACGATGCAGCAGGGAAGAGCCACTCCAGGAGGATCTGTACTCCGTACAGACTTCAGAGTCAGAATGCGACTCAACTTGCGGCGATGAGGCATCCCAGCCCACCAGGCGACCAACCGCTCTCGGAAAAGTGGACGAGGGGAAGCTAAACCTGCAGGTTTGAAAATCAAAGCGCGAAAACGCTGGTGATCATCGATGTTGATTGGCGATCTGATCATTCTGGCCCCTTCTTTTTATCTCCTGGTGCATTCTGGCTGGGACAGCAATCGGGCATTTCCGTGGCGGATCGCCCACGAAACGCATGGTCAATCTGGGTCGGAATTTTAACCTGCCAATCAACAGGGCTGGTTAGCCGGAAAATGGTTGATGTTGGGCGTCAATATGGCGGCCACTACGACTCGCTCGCAGTGGATGACCTTTGCCCCCCTCCTCTCAACTTGATTGTCCCGAGCGTGGGATTGCCACGACACAGAGGGCGTCACTGATCTTGCGCCTCCAAATACCCGGTCTGGTTCGACGATGCTCACTTGCTCCGTCCCCACTGATTTGCTCCAAGAGGTCGATCGACAAAGCCATCGCCACTCGGTGTGTGCGGGGGACGAGGACTGATTGGTGCGATATTTTACGAGTTGGAAACCGTTGAGCCATATGGCGATGAACTAGGGTATGCTTTCACGGCTTCTGATGTTCGCGAAGCTTACGCCTGCGTGGGACAAAGAACCAATCTCAGGTTTTTGCCAGGCAGCTCCCACGCCTCCAAGCGCGATGCTGCGAGGCCCGTATCAGGGCTGACGCCATTGTGGGAATTCATGGCGGGGTCCAAGGTTCAAAACGCAGAGGGGCAGCGGGTTGAATTGTCGCTCCATCCATTGACAGTTTGCCTGATTTTCTCAAATCCCACAGTCGTGGCGGACAATCTAACTTGATGCGGCAGTAGTCTTCTGTATGGTAAATCATGAGGCCTGGTGCTTGCCTGCCAGCATGGACTAAAGGATTCCAGGTGGCTTCTCACACAGAAAACAAGCGAAACCTGAAAGCAGCGGATGATCCGTCAAGCGACCTTGGGCGGCCCTCGCGCCGGATATGCATGGGCTGACCTCTCTACGACGCATTTCCCTGCAACAAAAGAAAGGCATCACTCTTAACTCCGTAAGCCGAAGTACTTTCGGCCTTCGACATGCCTTTTGGCGGAGGCCCTGCGATCGTACATGGAATGGCTCGTTATTCATGGGCCACTCTCGGCCTTGCTGGGTAACTAGGATTCTTTGGCCAGGTGATGCAAAGGAAATGCGGGCATATGCAACCGTTCAACTCCTCCCAAGCGCCTGGTAATCTATTCCAGAATTGTCCGTCAACTCCGGTAGCTTTTGCTCTCCATAGCAGACATCTATTCGAGACACATGCGTGATTTCTGGTGTTACAATGGCGCAGTGTTTGTCACCACACAATAATCCTTCCGGAGAAGGTCATACTCCTCGTGGCAGCCACTCCGTTCCCCAAGAAGATAGTCTAACGGAGATCAAGGTCGCATCCGCCGAGTAAGAAACCTGACGGTCGATAAGCGAAGGTAAAGAGGAGGGTTGGGACGGGCAGACATTGGTACCCTCAGGACCCAACGCACAGTGCCCTAGATGCAAGTTACCATTCGTGAAGAGGAATGATTGTCTGCTCACGCCTTCACCGAAGACCAGACTGTGTCGACGGATGAATGGCTGCACTCCGCGGAATCCTGGATATGCAGCAGATATGGAGAAGCCAAGGACGGCAATATACTGTGAGTCATCATAACCTCAAAAGGGTACTCCAACTATCGAATCTGGGAAGAGATCGAAAGTCAGGATGCATGCTCAGATCAGCCGGAGCACCTTTGACCCTCCGAAAAGATGCAGGACAGGACCACCGGCTCTACGATAATGCAGGGGACGATTTTGTGGATTATTATTGCCTGGCAGCCTACAGTGCTTTGGAACTGCTCTTTGGAACCAACACCCGCCGAAAATAGCCGCAATTGTCCAAACCGACGACAAATTCCTCGTATGTCGAATCGGGAAATTCAATGCCCGGCGCAGTCCGAGATGTGGCAGGCTTCAAGCAGGTGATGGATCCCTCAGATTACAGACAATGTTGGAAAATAGCTCAACTCTTGGGCCATCTATCTGCAAGGTTATCGCCAGTATCACACCCGTCTTATTGGCAGATTGCAGTTGCTATTCTTGCTTCAAATCCCAGACCTCGGGCTATGCAGTTCAATTTCGTATTGGGCGCCTTGACCACCTTTTCTGAGAACACGAGAAACCCAGCAATATAGAGTTAGATGAGATGAGGGTCGAGGTCAGCCACGGCGCAGATTGAGAGTCACGATAATGGCGGTCACAAGGCGCAACAACACGCCGTCAGCAGTCAAGCCTCTCACAGCAGACTGCAGCCATGCAAGAATTGATGATTGTGATGCAGCTGCTGCGCGGAGCTGCAAAGCACAGAGCCAGCGCACGGAACCCCTTCGTCTGTATCGACAACTTTGTACTTGCAGTTCCTGGCCTGCAGCAGAGGAACCAAAGGAGCAGCGGTAAGAAGAAGGCTGAAACACCAGTCACTTCCTCTTCATGCAGCCCTGATCACATTCGATGATCACCGACCGACCCCCCGTCTTGAGGAGCAGTAGCTCGCCGGCCGGCACCAATGTACTCTATCGGAGAAACTAAGGGTATTCAATAATGGGCTCTGGACTTAGCTTCCTCTCTGCGTCGCTGAGCCGGTTTCCTTGGACATGAGGATCTCACATCTCCACCCATCTCCGTCTCTCGGGGGAAGGCGGGTCTACATAGCCCTTTAAGCGGCTGTTATGATTATGAAGCTCTTTCTCAGAACGTATATACTGTACACTCTCAGGCCCTCAATAATAGTGGGCACAGGCATCTCATTCTCGAAGTAGAAGCCGACGTACCCGGGTCCGAGGCAGGCCCCTTGAAACGTTGAAGACAGATCTACATTCAACACCACTGTTCCCATTTAGCCATTTATCCTGTAAACATCCAGAGTTCCATCCAGATGGACAGTGGAACAGTATGAATTATGGACAGCAGTGGAACTCCCCGTCTGGAACCTGGCAGGATGATGTACGGGCCTAATTTGGTGCGTCAGTCCCCGTTGTCGATCCCTCCCTCTGGAACAATTTCGGTGGAAATGAGCCCCGAATCCAAAATTTACGAGCAGCATAAAAACCCACTGTGCCTGATTGGTCCAGACGCCACGCTTAAACCTCGGACTCATCCATGGAACCGATGGAAATCTTACCCACGGCACGGCAAATCAATTAAGCCCCTTTGGGTAAGGCTCCGCCTGCCACGCTGGTGATCTTCGTATTTTTTCCACATTCTCTTTTTCTTTTTGCTAATCCTTTTTTGGCTTTTTCCGGCCAGGGAAACTATAACCGATTAGGTTAGTGGATTCGAGATGTCTTACGCTGCGGTTCAGCTGAGTTTGAGGCCACCAGACTGAGACTGGGACGCAGCCTGAGGCTGAGACTTGATGCCTGAGCGAACGAGGCATCACCTTTCCTTCTTTCGATCTTTGCTTCTGTCGGGCAGATTTCCCTTCTAGTGGTGATATACAGATGCTCACTCCTACTACTATATAGGGTTAACAGCCACAGATCACCAACACAGTACAAAGCATATCATCCTCCTCGCCCAGAGCACCCGCATATGGAAGTCACCACGACAGACAGACTGACAGACCAGGAACTCCTTAGTTATCCCAGCCACCTCACAGCCCTGAGCTCACCAACACCGCCAACAAGTCGGCTGGCTACCAAAGTG